AGGTCTTTCTAGTCAGTCTTCTCATCTATACAAGGAGCGAGACCTTTCAATGGCAATTGATAAAAATTTTCACTAATTTGTTAAGTAACCCATAATGTTTGATAAGAATAAAAAAAGAAGTCTCTTGAGTAGATTTACATAGCTCTGATAAATTTTTTAAAAGTTTAATGAAAAATTTAAGGTTTTGATACTTAACTATTTTAAGATATAATATTTCAAAAATTAAAAGTGCAATTAGATTTGAAATTTTAAGATAAAAATGTAATTTAATTTAAATTTTAATAGTAAATACTAAGGTGAAAAGAAATTTAATTTAATTTCATAATTAAGGATTGAAGTGTTGAGTAATTATTAAATTTTAGGAACTAAATTAAATTTCTAATTCTGAAATAATCACCACAAAATATGATATATATATTTACAATTCACTGTGAAGCTCAATAGGCCAAAATAACAATTTGAGCTGCATAACACAGATAACATTTCTATTAACTCATTAAATTGATAAAAAATTATAGTCGAGAGGACTATTTAATATTTTATTAATAATATAACATTTTTATGACTTTACTTGCTATAACTTTTTTCTATCACTATTATTAAATTCATTTTTTCAATTTATTGAATTTAACCCTACGATGAGTTAGAAAGCAAAAATCATTTATCAACATGACTTTTCTTTATTTCATTTTTTTCTTCTTAAAAAATATATATATATATCCACAAAAGCTTTATCAGCAATTGGTCAAATTCAACCTTTTACGCCCATTTCTATGTTTTCTACCCATGATAATGTTTCGAATCGGTCCCTGTCGAAATTGGGATGGATGGATGGCCTAAAATTTGAAGCAAGTGGACACTAAAATACAGGTCAAACTTAAAACTAGGATAAGGTCAAGATGTGCCGCAACCGTCCACTAATTGCAAATTTTGGATTCTAACTCATCACAAACACACATAAAAAAACTATATTATTTCAATAGATCCAAAATAATAATTTATACCATTATGTTTAAAGATCTTTTAATTTAGTGTAGTCCACATATTATAATAATTGATGTAGAGAATAAGAATTTTTAGATTTAAATTTTTTTTATCATAAAAATTATCATTTCGCCTATAAATATTATTCAATAAAAAGATTAATTCTGATTCTGTAACTTTCATTGTTGTTTTGATCTTTTTGGACATATATTAATACAAAAATTTTTTTGTAAATGGTATTTTTTTTCTTTTTTTTTTTAACATTTTCAAATTATTTATATTAATTTTTGCATTATTTTTTATTAAAAAATAAATTTAATAGTAAAATTACACCAAAGTTTTCTTGATTGTTGTTTCAAAATCAAATTGTACTATTACAATGAGATGGAGGAGGAGAAATATTATTGGGCAAAGAGAACATCAATAAATACATGCCACGTGTAATATTATATGGAATTAATATTGGAACGTACCTCTATGTACTGCAGGCAGCCAGGCACTACTATGCTTGTGGCTTAGATTAAAATAACGATTTGAACTAACAATCTCCAAGCTGGTTGTCGGAGCTTTGAATTCACGCTCGACTACTAAGTTTAAACTAGAAATGCATTTTATTTTACAAGCATATCCGTAATTAATATAGTTAAACGATAATTTTTTATTATTTTATTATTTATATATTTTTTAAAAGATTTAAATTAAAAATTTCATTAAGAAAAAATTTCATAAGATATGAGATAAAGTTTAATATATTTTTATAAAAATATAATAATAAACTACTTATAGAAATAATAAAAAAAATATGATATTGATTTTAAAGTATTTGATTGAGTTGACAGAACATAATATTTATGTCATAGATGATCGCTTGCTCTATTTGATATAATTCATTTATGGTTTCATTTTATTTTTTAAAATTTTTATTTTATTTGGTATGCATTTTTTTATTAAAAAAGTCATCATTTGTCATTGATATTAGTTGACCGATTACAACTTTGACATTGTACCATGTTGAACTTTATAAATAACTTATCATCAATTTAAACTTATAAATTTTAGTAACTTTGTAATCGCTTCCACATTTTTAATAATATTTAATTTAATATTGACATAATTATTAAGTTCAATATTTTATTATTGACATAATATTGAAATAATAATATTTTGTTTTATATAAAATTATTATTTCTAAATAAAAAAATGTGAATAATATAAATATGAATTTATTTTTTTCCTTCCTTACAACCAAACATAAATGTGAATAATAAATATAGAAAATAAGTTGATAAATTTTTGAAGAATTTTTTTCATTCATAACGTCTCGGATCGAACCGATCAAGCGGTACAGAGAGCGTATACGTGGCACCACAGCAAGCAAAGATAAAGAATAACAAGCTATATCGTCCAAACTTTTGTGGTATGAGCGACATGTGTATTTTCTGTCACGTGTCGTATTTAATGGTAAGATATTTATTTTTCACCGTTGATAGAGGAGACAAGACAAATAACTCAAAGATTCCGGCGATTATGGATCTGAGGTAAAGAGTAATTATTAGAGTTAATATCTATGGTTAAAAACATTACCACGTGGATTATGATGGGACCCAGACTAATACTACTATAATCAAACAGAATAGGGGATTCCTGTCTCCGTACTCCTCAATGGGGACATCTGCTGCCACTCAAGTCAAATTTTTTATTTATTTACCAAAATGCCATTCGAATATTCTCTCTTTATCTCATTTTTAAAAAAAAATATAATAATAACTTCAAAGATATTTGAAAATTATTCTTCCAAATTATCAAGTCAAATTTTTTATTCATTTACCAAAATGCCATCCGAATATTCTCTCTTTATCTCATTTAAAAATATATATATATATAATAATAACTTCAAAGATATTTGATAGGGGACATCTGCCTGCACTCAAGGATACAAATTTTATTTATTTATTTCCAAAATGCCATCGGAATACTCTCTCTTTATCTCATTTTAAGAAAAAAAATATAATAATAACTTCAAGATATTTGTAAATTATTCTTCCAAATTTCAAGTCCAAATTTTACTTCATTTACCAAAAATGCCATCCGAAATTCTCTCTTTATCTCATTTAAAATATATATATATTATAATAATTAACTTCAAAATTTACCAAAATGCCATCCGAATATTCTCTCTTTATCTCATTTAAAAATATATATATATATAATAATAACTTCAAAGATATTTGATATTATTCTTCCAAATTATCAAGTCAAATTTTTTATTTATTTACCAAAATGCCATCCGAATATTCTCTCTTTATCTCATTTAAGAAAAATATAATAATAACTTCAAAGATATTTGATATTATTCTTCCAAATTGTTAATTGTAGTGTGAATTCTTTGTTGTATGCTCTAATCAACTTGTTACATATATTAAGAAGTTATTATTCATTCAATAAATGTTATTTAAAGAGAAAAAAAAATATTTATGTAGTAATTAATTAATTGTGACCTAATTAATTTTTTATTATCTACATAGATTTTTATATCTATCTAGCTCCACATATATATGTGTGTGTATATATATAGAAAGATTACAATATAAAGTTATAAATTTATATCTATTAATTTTTTATAATTTTTAAGATTATAAATTTCTATTAAATATTTTAAAAAATAATAATTAGTAATTTTTATATTTTTATTAAAATAAAAATAATATATTCATTTTTAAAATTTTCTTTAACAAATATATATTATACGACATAATATATAAAACAATTATATTTTTTAAAGATCATTTTACATTTAATAAAGTAAATCAGTATCAACCAATAATCACTTGCTATCAACCATTAGTTGCCAATCAATTAACCAAACACACTTATTATCGACCACAGTTAGGCAGTGTAAGCTAAAATAACTTTAATCATCTTATCATTTTACTGTTTTGTAGATCATTGCAATATGGGCAATATATCTTTAATGCTTATAATTTTATAAGTTGAAATGTTAAATATGTTAAAGTAAAATGTAAGGACATTATAAGATTACAATACAAAGTTCAGCGATGAATTTTTATAATTAGTTGTCTTATAAATGATGATTACAATTATGTGTAGCCAAAGACTTTCTCTTTCTTTTTATTTTTTTTTTTCTAATGTTTGAAAAAAAGATTGTAGATTTATGAGAATTGGATTTTGACCAATGAAACTTCCATGTATTAATGAAAATCGTGAAAACAAGACAATTCTTAGAGGGTTTGAATCTCATTTTTAAAGACTTGCATGATCTTTATTCCTACTTTTAGTTTTCAATATTGAAATGTTTTCACCTCTAAATAAAGAATTTTTAGAAATTCACCTCTAAATTTCTAAACTTTTCAATTTTATCCTTTAAAATAGAGTTTTTTTTTTTTTTTTTAATTTAAACCCTCCTAACTTTTGAAAAAAGAAAAGAAAAAAAAAAAAAAACGCACCTGTTATGGTCAATCCTGGCTCGGGCCACTGGTTTCACCTACTAGTATAGCTATGGCATTAAATGGCTAAAGACTTGGGGCTTTAATTACAAACTCCATGCAAAAACATCTTAATGCATTCAATTCAACTATGAAAAAGAAGATTAAGTGCCGTAGGGTAGAAAGTCCAAGGCAATGGTCTTCATGGCAAATTGTGGGCTTAAATCACTCACTCAAAAACGAAAGTACATGCACTCTTCCACCACAGAGATGAGGGACACAAACCCACATTAAATTTTCATATGACAAAGGATAATATTGTAATTTAATGCATTTATGACATATCTGCTAACCGACAAACAAGGAGGTCGGCAACTGTCGGCCGGTGAACCGGGGAGCCAGAATAAGCGGCGAAATTTCCAAAATCCCCCACACATAATTCAAAACCATTTATTCATATTTATATTTTTATCCCCAATACTAAACTATTTACCTCCAATTAAATCCCTCCAATAGTTATTTTATTTCCTCTTTTTAAATGCTATATTTCACCCCCCAAAATATTCCCCCATTTCTTGCTATTTTTTTCTTTTTCTCTCTTCTTGTTCTCATTCTCTCTCTAGAAATCGGCGACAAATTCGCAATCTTGACAGAGAATCGATTATTGGGTACTTGAAGAATATAACCTGGAATGAGATGGGATTGTGTAGATCATCGAAACCCTACTAATTCTTTGTTTGATTATTTAGTGTTTTGCCAATGCTATTGTATGAAGCCTCCCTGGCCATCTCCGATTCTATAGGTAGGTTTTTTTGTGTTCTCCTTTTGAGCAAAAACCCTTAGCTTTTTTTAGTGGGTTTTGTTAGTTTGTTATTTGGGTATAAATAATGGGAGGGTGTTCTGATTTTATTTTTGGTTCTTTAGGAAATTCTTGTTTTTGAAACCGAATTTATGTGGTATTCTTTGCGGTTGTTGTTGTTACAGTTATAGGGGCTTATTTAGGTTTTTCTTTCTTTCTTTCTTTTTTTTTTTCAATTTTAGTTGGTTATAGAGTATCTAGTGGTGAGGGTATTTTTCTGGGTGGCTTGTCTAGGTAAAAGATCTTAGCTTTGTCGGTCATTTTCGACGAGAAATATCCTTTTTGACGCTGATTTTTAGAATCTTTTAAGCTTATAGGTGTTTGATGAAATGTCTAAATCAGTTTCTATGTTCTGATTCTAATTCATTTATCCTTTTTTGTAAAAATTGTTCGTTGTTGGATATTCAGTTTTTCGGCGTTTGATAAAACGCCTTGGTCGAATGATGTTCTTAATAATCGAATTTGAATTTGGTGTCAGTTTCAATTCTTCGGATGATTAACTTGTTTTTTTGAATTCTTTGAATTTGACTGTTGTTTCTGATATTTCGCTAAACCTCTGTTAGCGTTTTCCAAGTTCTCGTATTTGGTTGACCTGGAAGAGGGGGGTTTGTTTTAGCTTCTAGCTGATTTAGTTTGATTCTTCTTTTATGTCTTTCAGTTATTATAGAATTGCAATTTAATTTTCTCCGGTGAATGTGGATTATGGAGGTTGCTGAGGTCGAAGAAAATTTACTTGGAGCAGGTGATGCCAAGGTATGAATTTCAATATTCGGATTTGCAACTCCCAACACGGCTTAGCTTATATTTTGGTTTCTTTAATTCTGTAGGCTATCATTCCTAACATAGAGAAATGTGATTTTACTATTTTTGATGGCTTTGGAATTTGCTTGATGTTTTGTGGGATTGAGCGTGTTGGTTAGAGAGATTGGTCAATTGGGTTGGGTTTGGTTGAGGCACATAAAGATTTATTGCTTACTTGTGGTTTGTCTTTTTGATATGACTATATTCTCAACTGTTTTTGGCTTGTGATGCTTATTCAAATTTTCGATGATTGTATATGCATAAATGGATTATGACTTCTCCAGGCTTCATTAACAATGTAAATTGATGAAACATTGGTCATTTTGTCCAGCTGCATGGAGAAATGTGCAAGTCACTCTCTGCAATTTATTGTAAAATCTTGTCAATTTTCCCTTCTTTGGAAGCTGCACGACCTAGAAGCAGATCGGGCATTCAAGCATTATGCTCATTGCATATTGCACTTGAAAAAGCCAAGAATATTCTACAGCACTGCTCAGAATGCAGCAAGCTCTACTTGGTATGTTTTTATTTCTTCTGCTGCAGCCTGCAGTTTTTTGTGTCTATATATTTTGTTTTGTGATTTTATATTGTTGTTGGAATGTGTTGCTAATATAGCTGCATTTATACTATAGGCTATTACTGGGGATGCTATCCTTCTAAAATTTGAAAAGGCAAGATCTGCTCTTGTAGATAGTCTTAGGCGTGTTGAAGATATTGTCCCACAATCAATTGGATGCCAGGTAATTCATTTTTTCCCCCTCAAGATTGTTCAGTTATATTGCCCTAGGTGAATTTTGTATTAGTAACATACTGTTACTTATAACAGGGAAATAAGTCTTGAACATTTGATTTGCTGGCCTTTTTTTTTTGGCAAATCCTATAGTAATTATCCTTTTCTTTTGTTGCATATATTGCAAAGGTTTCTTATGTTCTTGGGTTTTGTCTATGCTGGTTGAAGGGTTTTTATTTTTTATTTTCATTTTCATTTAGTGCCCATTTCAGTCACATGTGCTTATGATAGTATATCTTGAAAATTTTGTTTAATTGACTACAATGTTTTCATTGCTTGATGGGGATACTTTGTGTCTGCTTGTTCTTAACCTATGCTATCACTTCTGTTGATCTCTTTTACAATCTAATCTTCTCAGATTTTGGAGATTGTCAGTGAATTGGAGGGTATTGTTTTCTCACTCGATCCATTAGAGAAGCAAGCGGGCAATGGAATAGTTTCATTACTTCAGCAGGGGAGAAAATTTGACAATTTTAATGACAATAATGAGCTTGAATCTTTTCATCAGGCAGCCACTAGACTTGGTATTACATCTTCCAGATCAGCTCTTACGGAGAGAAGGGCTCTTAAGAAACTTATAGATAGAGCTCGGGTGGAGGAAGACAAGCGAAAGGAATCGATTGTGGCTTATCTTTTACATCTGATGAGGAAATACTCCAAATTATTTAGAAGCGACCTTACAGATGATAATGATTCACAGGGTTCTGCTCCTTGTTCGCCCACTGTTAAGGGTTCTTTTGAAGATGCTGGTGATGGTCATGCCTTTGAGCGGCAGCTGTCGAAGCTTAGTTCTTTCAATTTCAAGTCAAACAATAGGAAATCTGGGCAGCTGGCTGTTCCCCCAGAAGAACTAAGATGCCCAATATCATTGCAGCTTATGTATGATCCAGTCATCATTGCTTCTGGACAAACTTATGAGAGGATCTGCATTGAGAAATGGTTCTGTGATGGGCATGATACCTGCCCAAAGACTCAACAGAAGCTCTCTCATCTATGTTTGACTCCTAATTATTGTGTCAAGGGTCTTGTTACCAGTTGGTGTGAACAGAATGGAGTTCCAGTCCCTGATGCTCCACCAGAGTCTCTTGACCTCAATTATTTTAGGCTGTCATTGTCTCAGTCTGAGTCCGCAAATTCAAGATCAGTGGACAGCATAAGCACTAGAAAAATGAAAGGGATCAAGGTCGTCCCTTTAGAGGAGAGTGGTACTATTGAGGAGGCTGAACAGCATGAAATGAAACTTTTGACTCTACAGCAGGAGCAGATACCGCAGGAAGAAGACCTTGAGCATGATACATTTCAGAATTTTATGAACATCTTGAATGATGAACGAGATTTGCAGAAAAAATGCAAAATAGTAGAAAAAATAAGGCTTTTGCTGAAAGATGATGAGGAGGCCAGGATTTGTATGGGGGCTAATGGGTTTGTTGAAGCATTGTTGCAATTTCTAGAGTCAGCTGTTCATGCAAGGAATGCAATGGCTCAGGAAATTGGAGCCATGGCTCTCTTTAACCTTGCTGTCAACAATAACAGGTTAGTGAAGCTTCTAAACATTAACTTAGCTTGTGGTGGTAGTAAGTAGTAATTATGGCGAGAATAATTGTGTTCAATTATGCGGTGGAGTATTTGTTATAATCCACTGTTGAAATAGCTTATAGACAACTTTAGGCGACATTGCTAAAAATAAAAGGAAATAGAAATATGAGATGTTGGCTGACTTGGAATTTCTGTATGACTGGATTCTTTTTTCTATTTTTTAATTTTAGAAACAAAGAAATGATGTTGGCTGCTGGTGTTATCCCATTGCTGGAGATGATGATCTCGAACTCTGATTTCCATGGATCAGCAACAGCCCTCTATTTGAACCTTTCCTGCCTTGAAGCAGCCAAGTCTATAATTGGCTCGAGCCATGCTGTTCCCTTTTTAGTCCAGATCCTTCAAGGTCAAGATGAACCTCAATGCAAGATGGATGCTCTCCATACCCTCTATAATCTCTCTTCTCAAGCCTCCAATATTCTGAACCTCCTTTCAGCTGGCATCATCGGTGGCCTTCAATCCCTTCTTGCGGCCTCAGGTGATTTTGCATGGACAGAAAAATCCATAGCAGTGTTGATAAATTTAGCAACAAATACATCAGGGAGAGATGAAATGGTTGCAGCCCCTGGTCTCATTAGCGCGTTAGCAACAATATTGGATACCGGTGAGCCTATAGAGCAGGAGCAAGCTGTTTCGTGCCTTTACATTTTGTGTAATGGGAGTGAAAACTGCAGTCAGATGGTCCTACAAGAAGGGGTCATACCTGCGTTAGTCTCTATTTCAGTGAATGGGACCACAAGAGGGAAAGAGAAGGCACAGAAACTTTTGATGCTCTTCCGCCAGCAACGGCAACGAGATCATCCTCAACCGCAGCCTGAGGTCCAGTTAAAGTTGGATGAAAATAGTTCCAAGCCCATCGCTAAGGAATCAAATCCATTATGTAAATCAGTCTCAAGAAGGAAGATGGGGAAGGCTTTAAGCTTTTTTTGGAAGAGCAAAAGTTACTCAGTTTACCAATGTTAAGAACGCTTGGTCTTGTAAATTTCTGTTGTATCTTCTATTTCTCTATCTTTTGTCCTGTTCCCGTGGGTATTATTTAATTTTGTCTTCGTAGAGAAGAAAATGTACAGGCCCTTGAAATCCATGGATTTCTTTTTCATTTTGGTTCTCCTTCGCTTTTCCTCTTCTGGGTAGGAAATACGTGTACCATTTATGCCATTGTAATTGAAGCATTAGTAGATTAATCTTAACGATGAAACAACTTCTGCCTTTGTCTTAACGTCAAATGACCATACATAGAGTAGAAGAAATTAATTACAAAATAGAGCTCGTTTACTAGTAAACAAGAATTTATTTTACTTACTAGTTTATATATGTTGAAAATGAAAAAATTTAATGCAACAGAGATGATAGGTTATGCGATGTGATTATATCAAACTCGCACAAGTCTCCGTTTCCCCCTTCTTGCCTTCTGCCTCTTATTTTTCTTGATTTTCTCTATTCCTTGCCTTTACTTTTCTTTCTCATTTTCGTCTTCATTCGCTTTATTTTCTTCAACTTGGGATTCTGATTCTTCATATTTCATTTCCTTCTTGCTTCGCAAAAATTCAACAACTCCTTCTAGAACGGCCTCAACATCATCACCTTTCATGAGCTCTTCTGCAACTTCAGCTGGGGTCACTTGCACTTCTTCCTTTATTAGTTGTTCTATAGACAATGATTCTTAATCTTGAGATAGTTGGAAGCAAGAATCTTAAAGCCACTAGCAGTGCAATAAGACATGTTTATTTGCATATCCATTCTGCCTGTTCTCAGTAATGCAGGATCTAGCTTGTCTTCGTAGTTGGTAGTGAATACAGTTATCCTCTCATCTCCACAGCTTGACCATAACCCATCAATGAAATTGAGCAATCCTGATAGTGTCAACTGCGACAACAAGAGGTAACATTAACTTCATTATCAAACTTGAAAACAGTTGCTGCTATATATATACATACACACACATATATGACTAACCAGTTCTGTTGTTCTTGCAGAGTGTTTGTGAAAGACTATAAATTATTCGTACAGTTTTTGTTTATCTAGAAAATAAGGAGCTATAAGCTCACCTGACTCTCGCCATTGTCATATCCACCATGTTGTCTATCCTGCAAATCGATGCTACAATCAATATCCTCAATTACAAGTTTTGATCGATTCGCAGTTGCAGTTAACAACCTTCTCAGGTCTGAATTTCCATGCAAACTTGTAAGTTCCAAATCGTAGATGTCAAATTTCAGGTAGTTAGCCATAGCTGCAATTAAGCTTGACTTCCCTGTCCCAGGAGGTCCATACAGTAAGTATCCACGTTTCTTTCCTACTCTTTTGTAGAAATCCTTTCGCTTAACAAATCTATCCAAGTCATCAACAAGTTCCTGCTTGAGTATTGGATCCATCGCTAATGTTTCAAAAGTTGATGGATGGTCAAGATTTATTGATCCCCAAGGACCTCCACTATAGTCTGCACTGTAAGTTCCAAGTGAATACAGCTTAACTACCTTATTTTCTTCTTTAATGGCTTTTGATCTTTCTAACACTTAAGGCAGGTAACTGTTCAGAACCTTCTCCTTGTGTTTCTTGTCCAAACTAAGCACAATTGATTTATGCTCCTATTTTTCTGTGGATTAGGAGTAACTTTCATAATCAACAACTGTGTTTTGTGTTTCAATGCAGATAAATTCCCATGCTATATGTATTCCTTCGAAGAAATCGACAATTTTCTGGCCTTTGTTGATAGTAACTGAGAGTTTCTTCTCTCGGGGAGCTTTGGAAACTTTGAGCTTATCTATAGATGAAGTGATTCTTGTGCTTAAGTAGACTTCTGCAGCTTGGTATTTCGTTAATGGCAAACCAATTATACTCATCAATTATAAGGGTTAACTGGGAAGCATTCTTGAAGAGGCCTCCAAGACTAGATAACAATTTTTCTTGCAGCTTTTGAGGTAGTAGGTGGCTAGTTATGGTCTGAACCTCATTGATGACTGTCCGAACAAGCATCGTCGAAGCAGCAATGGCTGTGTAGGTTGATAAAACTGATGATGTTGAAGGCATGTTGGGTATAGCAAACATTGTTTGATATGAAAGATTCAAGTACAAGTAGATAGATGGTTTTGGTTGGTGTGTTATAAGCAGAAATGGGTTTTTATAGAATAAACAGAAGGCTACAAAGAAGCTTCTTCTGAAGCCTTGAAAGTTGAAACAACCCAAATAATACTTCTTCTAACAAGTCTCTTGGAAGCATGACAAGGTCGGCATTGTTGACAAATCTCAAATGCAATCTTCTTGAGCAATTTTGTTAAAACTGATAAATTGAAATGTTAAAGTAAATTAAGTAGTTCATTAAATTTTGAGTTTTTTAATATTAAATGTGTGATTATTTTTATAAGTTAGTTCATTTGTTTCAAAATATAAGTCGCTTAAGTAAGCAACTAATTTTCTTAAACTATAATATAATCAAGTATAATTTTAACAAATTATTCTTTATCTCAAAACCAAGGTAACTTGTAAAAATAATTATTTTATCTGATATTAAGTAAGCATAATATTAGTAAAACATCATTTATTATTCCCTATAATATTCAAAACGAATCATATTTTTGGAATAAAATAACAATCTTAAAACGGCTTATATTTTGAGAAAAATGAAGTATATAAGCAAATGAAAGGTTAAAATTTATTGCTAATAGAGTATAATAACTTGAGCAATTCCATAATCTTGAAATTAAATTAATAAAAAAAATTTGAGAGATTGTAATCTAATTAGTAATTTCCATATAATCATGTGCGCTGGGGAGATTTGAATTGGAACATCAAAGTCTTTTTTTATCTATTGAAACTCTAGACTTTCTGTTGACTTGTAATGAACAAATGGCAAATTATAATGGTATTTCTGGGAAATAGAGGCATATAGTGTCGATGGATAAATGACACCGACATGTAAATATGAAAGAGGGATCCTTTTTCTTGTAAAACTCGTAACAATTCAAACTTTCTGCACATATTAAGTCCAAGAACACAATCCAACACATGAGTGGCACCAAACAAAGATTCAAACTCGGTATATATCTGTTTATATTAGATTAGAAATATCATATCGCTACTTGAGCACTTATCTCAGAAAAAAAAAACATCTGCAGGCAATGAGGCTTATATATATATATATGATATATTAATGTTCAGAACCTAGCTTTCAACATTTTTTACATTGGATAATTATACTAAACTATCTACAAATTCTTCAACCATGTTAGGCCAAGATGTTGTATGAAATACAAGACTGTCACAAGCTGCTTTCATTCACCATTTATATGACAGCTCTGCGTTAGAAGGAGCTTTGTTCTCTATTTCTGGGTTTAATAGGCCAAGTAGATTCAAGTAACTCTAAAATCCGATGACCCTTGCTAGACTTTTCCTCCGTTTTATCAGAATTTCTATCCCATTTTACCCACTTTCTTCCATACTCGAGCTTGTTTTTTCAGTCTACTTATCTGCACTCTCTTCTTGCTTTTCTATGGTCTCTTTTCTTCCTCCAGTATCCTATATATTTGCCTTGCTTTCCTTTGTGTTTTTAATCTCTTTAGCACTATCTTCTTTCTTTTCTATCTTCTTCTTTGTTCTTCCTTCCTCGATTTCCATTTTCACAACATCTTTTTTCTTTTCTATGTTCTTCTTTTTCCCTCCATCCCCATTCTCTTCCTTCCTAACATCAAATTCTCTTCTCTCTTTTCCACCATTCCTTCTCTTTCCTTTCTTTCTTGTTGTCCTTCCTTTGTCCTTACCCTCATTTTCTTCTTTCTTCCCTTCGTTTTCTAATACATTGCTGTATGTCATCCCTTCTTTATCCTTATTCCCATTTTCTTCCTTCGCTTCCTTCTCTAGTGCATTCTTGTATGTCGACTGTCCTTCATCTATATCCCTTTTTTCTTCTTCCTCAGCTCGTTCCTCTAGTATATATTTAGATGAGCTCTCTCTTTCATCTCTAATATGATGTTCTCCTCCCTTCTTTAATGCATCTTTATATGTTTGACAAATTATTCCACCAGCATTTTGTGCTGAACCTAAATCTTGCTTAATTTCAGGAATACCATCATCAAGGTTCTCGGATTCTATTCCCTGAAATGCCTCCTCTTGAACAGTTTCTGATTCATTACAGTTTATATCAACAGGAATCTCTTTTTCCTTGGCATTTCCTGATCTCCATTCTCTCAATATAGATATAAAGAAATTCAAGCAAGAAATGACACGAATCAAGGTCAAATCCAGAAAAGGAAATTGATGAATCATCATTGGAAACTTGTCCACAGCTTCATCAACCTTTCCTGGCAGGATTTCTGCAACCTTGACAAGATCATCAATCTTGTTGAATGCGTATTTTGATGGAGGAAAAATGGCCTCAACCGCAGATTCAAAGGCGAAAATCCAATTATCCAAGAAGGAGAATATTACTAAGAGTTGATATTCCAATGCATACACATAAGGAGAAGCTAATAAGGCTAACCTTGCAATCATCTTTGTTATTGAATTAGATGCTCCATTTAAATTCTGGGCTTTTGAATAGGCTTTATCAGCTATTTCCATTAAAGAAATTGCACAGGTATGCAATGGCGGGCGTCTGCAACTCATTCTGGTAGTTGCTGTTGAATCCTGAGGAATTAAAATCAAATATCACAAAAACACCACCAAATAGCTGTAATTTCTTTCAGCAATTTCATTATAATAAAAGAAAAATGCACATTCTTGAATATGTTTGGTACATCGTAATGAAACATAATGTAATAATATAATGCGATCGCAGCTGAAATATTTCAAAGTCAAAATCCTATATGTCTGTCAGGTAATAACTTGGGAATTAGAAAACCCATTACTTTCTTGGAAAAACCATGAATTTTCTTTTTTCAAGAACCTTGGCAAATATTTTTCCAATCTCAATAGGGTGGTACCAAACAAAGAAGAAGGATCAACATGGAATAATCTTTGATTTGTATCTAATTAAACCTAGATTAAGTTGTCACTTACCTCCCTAAATCCTTATTGCAAAGAAAATTTCTTCACGGATTTTTGAAATCTCATGAATTTCAATATCTGCTGGAAAACTCATAACATTATTAGTAATAATCAAAAAAATAAAATATACAGAGAGGATATTTCTTTTTCTGTTCTTGATTTTTAACGTGAAAAGTGCCTTTTCATAATTGACATAAATTTTAGCAAATTATAAATAATTTTATCTTGTCTCTCAACTTGGCACTTTATGGTAATTGTAAAAAAATAAATTAAAACTAAAAACATTGTATAACAACAAAATATTTTATCAGATTTCAATTTACATCTCACTTTGTAATAATATAATGAAAATCAATTAATTAAATTTACGATGGCATCGGTGGCAGTTAATATGGTTATTTTTAAACTAGTGTACTAGCGACTTAATGTTAAGTTGTGAAATGTGAAAATTAATCCACAACCGTTGATCAAATCTGGTTCTTCTTTCTTCTATAACATGTAGGTACTTCAGAAGTTACATAAAAATGTAGTTACGTTAAGTCACGTTCACGGCTTATTCTCTTCTCTCATTTCCTCCATGCCAACAGAGATCATGAAAAAGGCATAAAAGCATCAAATTCCGATTCTCAGATTCTCGCTATCATACTCCAACCAGCTCACGTTGTCAATCTCTCTCTCTCAGGTAACATTCTTCTCCCTTTCATTTGTCGAATAAAATGGAAATGGTGAAATAGCTACTTTATTGGATGTGGTGTTTTTCTGTTCCAAAAAATGGGCAAATCAGACTCAACTGCGCTTGGTAACGACTCAGTTCAATTTCAAAAGATTTGTATGTGCTTTCTGATTAAGTTGACAATGTCAAAGTTTGTGTTTTTACTCAAAAGAAGACGAAACGGATTTCTGGGTTTATTTAAAATTGATGCTTTGCTTATGATTGTTTTCTGTTCCATCCTTTACTTGCCGTATATACTTTCTTTTTCATTTCTTTTAGCTTTCTTTTTCTGTTGATTTATTGTTACTGGGTTTGTTAATTCATTTTACTCTTTTGTAAGGAAAAGCTTGCTAATTGATATGGATTATGGCTTAGGTTCTCTTTTAACTTCAATTTTATATATTTATTCATTTCTTTTTTTGCTCGAGTTTCGTGGGATTATTATTTGAATTCCACTTTGAAGATGCTATGCTGCTGAATAGGATTTACTGTTGTGTTAGGTTTTTTGGGTTTGTTTTAATGAATTGGATCGGCGTGTTATTACGTTCGGTTGGTGCAGGGATACCTGGAGATGGAAGGTGTTTGTTCCGGTCTGTGGTCCATGGAGCTTGTCTTAGGGCAGGGAAGCCATCTCCAAGTGAGAGCCTTGAGAAAGAACTTGCGGATGACCTTCGAGCCAAAGTACAAAATACACCTAGTTTTTTAGAAGTTGAAGATTGCAACTTTATTTTGGAATTTTTCAAATTTATTTAGCTTTATTTGTCTTTCGTCCGAATTGATGAATCTAGTGTCATTTATGCCAGCTATTGAGCATAAACATGTATATATTCATCAACTCATTGCAATTTATACTGAGTTAAGAGAGCAGAAGTCATATTTAAACTTTCTGCTCTGCTTATCATTTCCTGTTCTCTATGCATATATAAGATTTCCAGTCAATTACTTTCTTTTGGTTCTTACACATCTAAACAGAATTAGTATGCTAAATGTTTATTTATTTATGAATCCAACCATAGGCTTGTGACACCAAATTGAGCCCAAGTACCTGAGACGGTTCCAGTCCTGAATTCAATTACGCATGCCAACAACTTACGATAAGGAGGGTTTTTGATTTGGATGGATGGGTTTAGGGCGGTCAAGATATTCCCTATTGTTTGGCCTAGATTCCATGTGTCTCATTTTGGAACAATAATACATACCTGTCTACATGTGTTTTCTTTTTGTTGTTTCAGCTTTTAGTGTTTTGTTTTACTGAAAAGTCAAATGGTTTGCATAGGTAGCAGATGAATTTATTAAGAGGCGCAGGGATACTGAATGGTAAGTTTGCTTGAGCATCCTTGTTCTTTTTTCCTTCTCTTTTGGTGTCATTATATGATGACATTGTAAAAGCATCAACTAATAGGTTTAGGGACAGCTTCGTTTATGCACAAATTAGTTGAGGAGTTTAGCAATTTAGTTTAGGTTTATTTATCAGTCAATTGATTCCTATGACTATCTAGCTAAGCATTTTCCAGCAAGCAATTTTTGCATTTGGCAGGTTTCTTGAGGATGATTTTGACACATATGTTGGGCAGATGAGACAGCCACATGTTTGGGGAGGCGAGCCTGAACTTCTAATGTCCTCACACGTTCTAAAGTATGTTGCCCTTTTTCTGCTATTTCAAATTGTGTAGCTTTCACTGTATATCTGTTTTCACATTTCATATTTTATGCAAGTGCAAATATTTTTTGCTGGATTAAAGGGTCATCTGTATTTTATCTATATGGACACTGTTCTGCTGCTCACTGCAAATATGATATCTGAGATTGGAAGTTGAAGTTAATTTGGTATAGTAAATTTGGATATATAGGATTTTCCATGTTGGTCTTTTTCAAAACTCTAATGAGATATGAAGAATAACGAGTGATTTTAGTTTCTTATGATCTTATGTTGACCAATATATGTCTAATTTTCTGACATCATACGAGTACTTATAAACACATCAAAATATTCTTATTTTCATATGATTACTCTATTTTCCATTTATAGGATGCCAATAACAGTATACATGCGGGACAGAAGTTCTGGAAGTCTCAAAATTATAGCTGAATATGGCCAAGAGTATGGCAAGGAAAATCCAATCTGTGTCCTGTATCATGGGTATGGGCACTATGATGCATTGCGAAGTCAGATTGCTGTTGCACAATCCAAGCAGTAAGATCACTTGCTTCCTCTTCTTCTCCTTTTACTTTTGTGTGTGTTTTTGGGCAAGTAATGACTTGCTACTTATCTCACCTGTCGAGTTGTCAATACCGTTTGCTTATCTGTATTGCTGTATTTCAAAAATTGATGTCATATGCATTTGCGACGCAGATACTTGATATTGCACACCAAGTTGAGGTTGAAAAAAGAAAAGGAACCGATTTGATTTTTGGTGCACTAATAGTGTTTGGGCTAGCTAAGCTTAGATGACTAGTTAATGGTTATTAGCTTAGCTTAGATGTGGAATGCAATGCATAGTGAGCTGATGAGGTGAACTCAAATTCAGGAGGCTTTTATATCTTGGATTAATCTCTTTTAATTTCTGCATTATATTTACATTGTGGTTGAGTCTTTTATTCCATGTAAACATCATTAGTCTAGATGATTAAAATCACAATTTATTCAAAGTCAACTCCTCGTGGAAACGATACTCTGCTCGCTCTTTATTGCTTGTTTATGACACCGTGCGCTTGCGGCATTCCCATCAACAAGTTTTTGTTTTGCCTACACCTTGTCATAACAGGTTCTTGTGTGACCCATATGAAATGCAGTTCCAGGATACACCATTAGCTAAACTAGATGACTACTTTATGTGTATCTCCTGATCAATGCAATAAATTACTGATTCTGGTTATTTTTTAGATTATCATAGCCTCTAATGCAACTGTTTCTTTGGTTTCTTGTCAGATTCAAGAAAAGATGAAGAAATTAATTCATTGCTCTTATGATAATAAATTGTAATCCTTTACACTGTGAAATCTCTGGTTTGGTATCTGAAGATTTAAATTATTCCTGTTGTAGATTTGAATTGTTCAAGTCGACTGACTAGATGGGATGGCAATGTATAATTACCCTTAACATGAAGAAACTTCAAATTATTAGAAAATTGACAAATTTGATCTTCTTTCAAGATCTGGTAGGGCTGAATTCTTGAATCCAACCATATATATATCATCTATCTTGCTCTATACCTTTTTTAACAGCTTTCAACATTGTAATTAAATTCAAGGTTACAGAATCTTCAAAGCATTAGTATTATTAATAAGGTATAAATAATATACATTGTTTATAAAACTTCATTTGCCCCAATAAAGGCCTATTCCCATTCAACTGTCAACTAGAAGCACCACAAGAATGAGAACTCTACATCGCATAGAAACCGTATACGCATGCCTTTCTGTTTCTGCTCATATGGAATCAAAATTTACAGCTCCGAATATTAATGATTTAAAACAGCCGACAAAAAATACATGTTTATATATACATACATGACGTAGCAGGGAAGAGAGAGAGAGGTGGGTGGCAAATGAAAGGTTATTCACCATCCTTCCATACTTGCCGGAGAAGTTGATATCTCACAACTTTCCGGCCCCCATTACCTTTTGGGGCCCAATTTGATACTGTTGGAACGGGGGAATTTCTGGAGTTGTCAATAATGATAGAAGTCATGGGTGAATCCAATTCATCAAGCTCATCATCACTAGTATACGATTTTCGGAGCAGTGCTGATCCACACCTCTGCAGAGTGTGAGTTTCCACCTCCCCAATAATGTTTGTTAGCAAAGCTGCAGAAGGCGGCGAATAGATTGTAGGACTGGCAATGCATGGAAAGCTTGTGATAGACTCCTTCCCATCCTCAGCAAGGTCCTAAATCAAGAGAAAAGAATGTCACAAAAAATTTCTTGAATATCGCTGTTGCTTGCACTAGTCAATGATGAAAAATGATCCATCAAGTTGACCAAATAATTTGCAGTCCCATGTGATCAAAATGGAGTGCAGAAAAGTTTACCAAATACAGGAGCAGATAATTGTCAGCAGAATGGACTAACCTCAGAATCCAACGACTCGAAAATTGCCTCTGGGATAGGCTCTGGGTTGAATTCATCTGGGACAAAATTATTAAGAACTCTCTCGATAATCCGTGCCCCAAATATAGGGCATACCTTCAATAATCAAATTTAAACAGGGACATGTCATCATGGGGAGAGTAAACCAGAGAATCAAATATATCTACATTCATGTGTCTGAGTGGGGGTACTCTTACCTCTTTTCTTGTTGAACTATCTGCAAGCATTTCAAATGGAAGCATCATGAGATCACTCAATGCTCGAAGGAGGTGAAAAGCCTTGAATGAACTCTCACATTCTTGACTGTTACTTCCAAGTTCATTTATATCTCCTAGAGAGTCACTATCATCAATGCCGAATAAATCTGTGAGCCATCTGGACCAGTTTCCTACCTGTAGGCATGATGACATTGAAGATCCTTAGATCAAGGGAAAACAAGACAGCCAATCTATTCATCATTTACACAGATAAAATACTTTTATCACCACAATAGAGAATTAAGTTAGCAGTTCAACGACATATTTGGACCAATTTCATCTCCTTTTCCTTTTTCTTCTCCTTTATTTTCTTTCCTTTTCTTTATTTTGTTTTTTATTTTTGTATTTTATGGCCTTGGGATAGATTTGTTAATGACTTCTGAATTAATTCATAAGCCCTAAACAGTATTAAAAGCTAAGAAACATAACATAGCTTATAAAAGTGATCCCAGATCAACTTAGAAAGGAGTATATATTGTAAAGTATAACGTTAGCAGGCATCTTATTGTTTTTCATATTTTTGATTCCAGTTCCTTCAGATTTCTACAGCACATTATCTAAAAGGGTCCATCAGAAATTGGCTAAAAGATCATCACAACAACCATTTGATCAATCCTCCTTGAAGGGCCATAAGCACAAAAAGCATATTCAAGAGACTCCCTCACTGATATAAGCAATAATCAATATCTACTCTGCACAATTAGTTCATTTGACAAATTTCTCAGCAATGAATTTCTTGAAAATGTTTTCTGGACTTCTAGGCAGATGGGATTTTTGACAGGGAAGCTAGGTCAATAAATGCACACAGGTAGAGGGAATTTGGTGCATGTTACTCACAGCATTTTTCAGTTGTGCGCCAGCTCCAAAGCTAGATTTTCCAGCCGGTATTGGGAGGACCTTTGGATCACTAATGGGGTCAGAAACAGGATCAGTTGGCATCTCATCTGCTGATTCACGAAGAATGGCATTGAACATGGCGACATCTAATCTATGCACCAACTGCTCCATTACCTAGAAACAGAACTGGAAATATATTAATATACTGCATTTCCTATGGGGAAACATCAACCAGCAAGCTTTTCTAGCAGAAAATAGACCAATATGTCATCTTTTTCTATAAGGGAACATTAGATCAGTAAGCAATCTTTTCTTATAGGAAATGGATTAATAGTGCACCTCTCTGTGTAAGAAAGGGACCATCGTTCTTGTAGGAAATAAACTAAAAATAAAGATATGAAAGAAGTTAGTGCAAATGTGAGGCATTCTTTGAACACAGAAAAATTACCAATCTTGTGGAAAACTGCATTCACCTAAAAGCAAGAGAAATGAAAAGTGAAATTTTAGGACAGCAGCATGGTTCATAGCAAGCATCAGTTCCTACCCATTCAACACAATACTGTTAATCTAGATCCTTCAACACATAAACTTACCTAGGCCATATTCCTAATTCAACCTAGTCTAGAAAGCATGATAGCAAACATATGGTGGAGATGTTTAGAAGAATAAAGGGGTTCCCTACTCCCTAGGACATGGAGCCTCCAACGTAGGGATATGGACATGGGTTGCATGTCCAACCCATGAACAAGAGCACCAAGAGTAGAGCATGGTGTTGAAGGAAATTGAAGTATTAAAAACATACCAATCTAGCCAGCACAGGCAAGCAACCACATTCATGCCCCCCAGCTCGAATAGGACAAAGCCTTTCACATGCATCCTTGAAGGCCTTTTCCCATAGATCAATAGCAAAATGCCCCTGTTCTTGGTCACCCAATCCGTATTTCCTAGCATGGGTTTTCTTTGAGCTTGAGCCTTTCACCACTGTGGACTGCATATGTGGAGTCAGAGTCTGGAGTGCATGAAGCAGAAACCAACATGAGAACATTTCAATATTTAATTCTAAAATTGTCAGAACTAAGAAAGTTTGCTGCATAAACCATAAAGGAAGTAGGATCTGACCTGCCACCAAACTGACTCAACAATTCGCAAGAAGATCCAAGCTTCAATTCTTTCCAAAGCTTCTATAAATGTTCGAGGTTCCTCCCATTCATCAGAACTACAGGTTTCATTTGTTTCCTCACCTTCATTAGGTTTGGACTCATGCCTGCCCTGTTGACTGTCACTTTTATTGACAGATGGTGCTGCTGCAAGTTGCAATTTCTCAACAACCTGACTTACAATTGCTCTCAGCATAATTGAATTTGACAACCAGAAAGTTAACCTGATTAAAGGAGATAAAATATTCAATTAGTTAGTCCACAAGGTGTCCTTGCATACACCATGGAACAAAGTTTCAATGTCACGATTCCTGACTTGTCTGTTTTTAATTTGACAAACCAGGATTGGCATCGTCCACATTAGTTAGTATTAGAATCTGCTAAAACTTAACAGGCTCAATTCATAGGGCTAGATAAAACCGGCATACCTTGGAACATCATTTCCACATGCTTTAGAAACCAAAACAAATCCTGAGATGATAGCTCTAGCTGCACTGGCCCTCTTAGCCTGTGACCTTGCCTTGCAAGCATGAAGATAGAACCTGGAAAGGCGCCTAGCTGGAGCATGGACTTTGTTTGTAGAACTCCCATGCTCAGCTACAATGGAGTAAAGACCAGCCTCAAGAGCAGCAGCTTCCATCAACTCTTCCTCAAGCATTTCGACTTTGGACTCCAATTCAACTTTGTTCCCAGAAGAACTATTTTCTGTTTGGTCTCTATCACCTGGTGTAAATTCACCTACTTTATGAATGTCTCCAGAATCGTCATTTTGGTTTCCCTTTTCCTTTCCCATTTGTTGGAGCTTGTTTGTAGAGTTGTCATGCTTGACAAAAGCCGAGTAAAGGTGAACCTCCTCAGCAGCAGATTCATTTGACTCTTTCTCAGGCATTTCAACTTCAGATATCAAGTGGTCTTGGTAATCAGAATGTTTATTTGTTGGTTTTAGTCTTTCACTTTGTATATAATTCAAATCATCTTTATGAACATTTTCAAGATTATCAATTTGCCTTTTCTTCTCCGTGAACTGGATATTGCTGAAGGGCTCATCACTTTCAGCTTCATTAAACTGTAACTGAACAGACTTCAGATGCTTTAGTCTATCTCTGCGTGTATTCCCCTGCACTCCATTTGCTATCTTGTTGGATGCAAGGGTGTTACTTCTTAATTTGAGTTGCCTTCTCATAGCTTCTTGAGGTAATTTAGCAACTAACTGTTCTTCCTCTAAAGTATTTTTCTTTTCCACCATAAACTCCTCCTCCTGGCCATTGTCTTGCTGCTTCATTTTTTGTTTATCTTCCATAAGATTAACATGTAAACTATTAGTTGCATCCACCTCCAGTCCACTTTTGTCATCTTTCCAACCATTTATATCAGCCTCTTGAATGGTTTGAGACACTTCAAGACCTACACTGTTTGAGTTTTTACCCACCTGAATATAATCATTTGAGAACACAACTTTGCCCACAAGAGCATTTGCAGGGTTCTGCAAATTGGACAATAAACCAATTGATGATGGGTTGGATGAAGCTCCATTCATTTGTTTAGTAGCTTCAACTGTGGAATTCTCCCCTGCTTTCAGAGAAGGCACACCTGAGGGCAAAGTAGGCTTCCAAATGACCCTACTTGTGTCACCATTTGTTGATCCTTGTAAATGCTGCAGTTCAACAGCAGATCAATATTGCAATCTACAAATTAGTAGAAAATCCTCATGCAGGCAATTATTGCTGCATGCAGTATCATATAGCTCTACGGCAAGGAAACATACTTCACAGATATGCCAAAAAATAAAAAACAATATTAATCAATAACACCAAAAGCTGCAGAACCGAATATTAAAATTTCAAAGCTTTGGTTGCAAGGAGTTTAGGCAATTGAATTTGAATTATAAGGCATAGTTTTGAATACTTCTATTAGTGTACATGTCACAAAATTCAATGTTGAATTGAAGTCATAAAAGTGAAATCCTTAAACTGGAGTTCTCAATCCAGTTTGATTTGTGGTACAAACAGAAAAGATCCTAAATTTGCTGGTCACATCTGCATAATCGTCAACATTAAAAGCAATTCATCGGAGAGGGGATCAAGCAAGGAATTACTAAAATCAAAAAGGTCTACCTTTTCATCTTGACCTGGTGAACCTCTACTAGACCCCAAGGCCAAAGAGGAAACAGTCCTTGATGAATGTGAGGAAACATTGTCATCAACATCATCATCAGTGAACGAGGCAATCTCAGTTTCCTCGTCATTCCCTTCATTTGTCACTTCTGAGACAGATTCACTTCCATCCAGTGACACTTCTTTGGACAAGCTCTTATCAACATCAAATGGTTGGATATTAATATAAAGAACTGATTGTACTGCACTCTTAGAACTCTTCTTGAAGTTAATCGGAGTGCTTATGGTTGTGGCATCTTTGATAATCCCGTAATCTGCAAGGTTTATAACTGCTGATCCCAATAGTTGACTTTTCATTGCCTTGTCCTTTCGAGGTTCATACAAGCTTAACTCTAGGTAATTCTTCTGGAAACTGTCACTTTCAGCGCCTTTTCTGGATGCTTCCCTATAAAAAGTAACGGGAAGCCTGAAAGACTCGCTGAATTCAACTTTCCCATTTTCAACACTGGAAGTGAAAGAACCAGAATTCTGATCACCATTCTCCCACTGAAGCAATACAGATTCTATAGATTTCAAAGACTGCAACGGAGGCCAAGGCTTGATTTCTTGTATGTAAATCAGGTAATCAACTTGCATTGAAGTACCTTTTCGGTTCTTTGATCTTAGCCCAAGAACCATTTTTTATGAGAATCCTGGTTTTTCTCTTGGAGGTCCTATCAAATTGCAATGCGGCTAGTGATCACCTTACAAAATTAGAAGTAAGAAAGATCTGCAAACGAAAAAAATTAAAATCTGCATAAGTAGTGTTAAGTTGAATTAACAAAAATAGAGAGAAAAAGAGTAAACTCCGTTTACAAAACAAAGAAAGGTACAGAGAACAACGTGGGCAGGTCTTCACATTTAAATTGCTAGCAATATTTTTTAGCATGACTCAGTCCTTTAATGCACTGAATAGCTTTAAATAAAAGAAAATTGAGCAAACCTAACCTTAGACCATAAATATTTTTATATACTTGAAGAGGACGGCCATAAATGAAACTAACAATAAGGAAAAAGAACTCTCAACTCAATCCATTTATATTAGAGAAAGAGTCAAAAGGTGAAATAAATAAATAAATACACCACTTCAATTGATTTGATCATGGTTTTCTCAAGGTAAAAAAGGCAATCAATTCATATGAAAGATCAAAACAAGACTCATAGCACACTGAAGAGTAAGCATCACAAGCGAGAATCCAAGAAGAGAAGTACAGAAAGAGACATAGCAACTTACTTCATCAAAGCATTATAACTATCAGATCCAGACAAAACCAATTTAAACACAGAAAACAGAAAAAAACACCACAACCCCATTAGAAAAGCTCCCTAAACCAATGCAATGCTGCAATTATTATCCAAGAAAGTAAAGTGCAAACACTGCACTTTTGTCAAATCAAATTCGAATTTACTCAAGTGGGTTACCTCAAGAAAAGTAGCTGAGAGCTGGAAAGGAATCGAGAAAGAAAAGACTGTGTCTGTAAGTAAAAGGCAAGACAAAAAAGAATGAGAAGCTAAAGCTAAGAATAAAGATGGTAATAAATCGTTCTTTTATGTTTTAGAGAGAGAGAGGGAGAGAGTATATACGTAGCAGGAGCTGAGTTGGGATTTCTTTTGCAATTTGGTTTCAATATTTTTAGTTTTGTTAATGACAAATGGGAAAGTTGTGTATGAAATCCTTGAAACGGAAAAACGAAGAAGAAGGATCGCAACAATTGGAAAAGTAAGGACGCATATCTAAACCAAACTATAACCAGCCAAAAACCGCGTTGTATCAAGTTTTTCAGTCTTCCCGGATTTTTCAACGCGAAGATTCTTTTTCAGTCTTCCTCAATTGTTTAATCGGTTTAATCGGGAAGGTTATAAACCGCTTCGAACCGGATAAAAACCGGAGAACCGGTTCAAGTATTTGGTACAGTTTAATTATAAATCAACTTAAAAAGAAATTAAAGAAAATTTTACGAAAACTTCTTGCTCGTTTTTTCTTCAAAGCACATAGAAAATCTCCAATCTAAGATCTGATTCTTCTTCTCTAAAGGCCATCTCTACATCTTATGAACCAGGGGTTATCCATATAGGTCATAGATAGACTGATTTCCATATTCATTTATCAAGTTTCTCAGGTTAGCTTTCTAATTCATCTTATTGAATTGCTTTGTATGTCATTATTGGAAGCCTTTGTAAGTTTTGTTGTAATTTCTTGCACGTTTCTGCTATAATTAGTAATTACAACATAATGGAAATATTTGTATTAGCTTAGTTCAAAAGTTCAGAACGAAAGAGAAAGCTTGAAGGGAATGGGACTGTGGGATGTTCTTGTGTCTTGTAGGTGTTTGTGAAAATGTCTGTATAGGTTATTGGCGTTCGGTTGTGGTTTTTGATGGCACTTGAGATGCACATATTATCTATCAAAATGTTGGTTTATTTTAGATTATTGTGAATTTGGTTTGGACAGTGGGATGACATTCCTTTACTAGGTTCAGTTTTTATAAAAATAGTTAATGAATATAGCTAAACTTGAAAAAAAAATTACATTTAGAAAAAAAGGAGAACCATCTTCACTGATCTGTTCTAGCATTGTCTGATTATCAGTAAAAGTTTGAACCTTTAACGAGGGAGAATAGGAATTGTAGTGTTTAGTTGAATTGGATGGTGAATAATATTATAGAATTATAGTTTCAGTATTTGAATGATTGAGTTTGATTGGATGCTGAATGTTATTAGTCTTTTTTAACCTTTTTTATAAAGTTATTTAGCATTTATAAATCTTATGTTTTTAATTATATTTTAAAATATTATATATAAAAAATTTAGTTGAATTGTATTGAACTCGGTCTAACCTTCCAGTTCAATGAACTCTTACCTTTATCGGTTTAATGACCGATCTGATTCTCAGAACATTGCATAATCAAAATTAAGCTAAATGCCTTTACCCCATCAAAAGTTTTAAATGGATAATAATTAATAACCCATATTAACTACTCAATCTTGAACAAAGTAAACAATTAGGTTAGGAATCAAAGGGTCCCCATCAATTTGAATTGAAGAGAGAAAAAAAATATTTTTATTGAAAATTTTTGTTGAAGGCGATTGTCAACTTGGATTAATTTTGCTTGCTATGTATAATTGATTTAATTGCATTACAAAGTCAAAAGATCCCATGTGCTCAAAGACATTTCGGGTACCTATAAGTGGGAGCATAACAATGGACATTATTTAAATCTTCTTTTTGGAAAAAAATTAATTGTGATTAGCTCAAATATCCTTTTTATTAATTTTTAAATAGTTAATATTTATTTAGTGGAGATACCAAGAAATAAGGGTAATATTATAAAAAAAAAAATTAATATTTCATTACTTTTCTAAAATGACACTTGAAATGAGATGAACGTGTGAAAGTTTGAAGAAACAATAGCAACAATGCGTGAAGTGTAGAGCATGTTTCTGTATCTTATAATACTCCTCGGGATATGGTCGAATGTCACTAATATAAATATTTTTTGATTACTAGATAATGATATAATTTCCGTATATGAAATAAATTTTGGTTATATTTAATTATTTGAAATAAATTGCTAAGTCAACCAATGGTCACTCTTATTTTAATGGCATGGACAATTATATATTTAAAATATTTCAACTTTTATAACATGTGTAATTTTTTTTTTTTTGTAAACCACTGGTATTCGGACGCTATTATTAAGGGAAGTCTAATCCGGTTTGAGACTTAGTCATCAAATCCAAGAGTCATTTTCACATGCTCAGTCTGTGTTACTAATTAAGTGTAATTATTTATTTTAATGTGATTTTAACTCAAGTTTCTAAAATTTTGTTTTTTTTGTATAATTTATGTGTATTAAATTAAATCATTACATAAAACAATGCAACTCTCTCAAAAAAAAAAAAAACTAAAAAAATCAATTTTAAAATTTTAATAACAAAAAAATTTATTTTTTCAAATATATAATATCATTAAACATTTAACATAATACATGATATTTTAAAGAAAAGCATTGTAAACTTATTTTTTTAAATAATTTTCATTTTATTCCAAAAAGGAGAGATTAAAAAAATTAATTAATTAATATTTAGACTATAAAAATATATTTATTTTAGAGTGTATAAATATAGTGAACTTTGCATATTATATCCCGTTTTAATGATTTTGTGCAGTTAATCTCCAAGTTTCATTTTATGACATAATTAATAGAAAATTAGTAATAAAGTGTAATTGCCAAGTAGTAAATTTGAGAGTGTTTTTACTTATTTAAGATATTGAAAATATAAAATATAAATCAGTTAATATTATTATAATTGCAATTATTTCTAATTCAGTTTACTCATTGTCCACCGTCCTAATTACTTCTTGAATTCCCCATATCACAATGTCTTTTACTAAAATCGGTAATCGCAAGAGTCTAAACTACATATAAACGACGTCATTTCATATTTGTCGATTCGTTGCCAGAGAAGCTCGGGACAAAGCACACTATCGCAAGATCCAGAGTCAGTTTTCTCTCCTGTTCTCTTTTCCTTTCCCTTCTTTCATTCTAAAGATCGAATCTTTTTTTTTTTTTTTGTTCTTTGTTCTGCATTCTGTTTGTTTGCCGAGAAAATATGGTAATGGAAGTTGAGAGGAAAATTTCCTCTTAATTTTCAATTTAGTAAACCCCCATGAATCTGAGTTCAATTAGCTATCGTCAGTCTCATAATTTTTAATTAGATGACGATTTTATTATATAATATATCATTTGCTTTGAGAATCTGAATTAAGTGAAATAATGACGTACTTAAAAAGAGGTGGAAATTAGGAAATCTTGATAAGTAACTAGATGAAATAAAGTATTGCAAGAGTTGGTTTTGATAGTGATTTAGTCAACACTGAAATAATTAGACAAGGAAGGTGGTTGAATTTAACTTAGTGTAGTAGTATAATGTGTGGATACCCTTTTCTTTTTTTTGTTGAACAGAAGTTTGAGTGGTTGGAGATTGGCAAACTGTAAAATCAAATTAAGGTGAATGTCAGTTGTTTATCAAGTGGAAAGTTGCTTCATTGGTATTTGGTTTATCTATATGATAAATTTGGGAAGAATATGATTAAGTGTGGTAAAAGTTAATTGCAGTTATGTCATTCTGTCAAGTTAGCTCTTGTTTATGAAGAAATTGAATCTGGAGTTGGATTTGTACCCAGCTGTGAAGCATTTTGTTGACTCTCTTGCCTTAGGTGGCTTTTAACTGTTTCTCAATTCAATCATCTTTTGTTTTGCTGATGGGTGTGATTAAAAGATTGAGAATGTATAATGAATTGCATATAGAAATCCTTGTATTTCAGTATAAAGACAAATTTGCTAAACATTTTCTAAAGTAGTAAATGGGATTTGAAGGGCAAATCAAATCCAGAGCTTGTTGGGCAATTCCATTTCCTTATATTTGCTGGCCATAATACCAAGAACAAAAAAAGGTTTTCTTTATTTTTTGTAGTCAACAGGTGGCCTTCAAGTGGACTCTAAACTTTCTGAATGTTTATAGGAAAAACTTGTGGGTTCTCTAGTGTGTTTTAGTAGACCCACTATTATGATCTCTTTTCATTGGCTGCACGCCAGTCAATCATGGTTTTTTCCCATAAAAAAAAAAAAAGGTTTTTAACTAACTGCTTGATTTTTCTCCCTGCTAGGCCGTTTCTATCAGATGTCTGATCATGTGGAGGCTCCTAAAGTTGGGGAGAACCAAAAAGGTTCAGGAGCCTCATCTCCTGCCAATGAAATTCAGGCAACTTGGTACAGTACCCTACTCCATCAAACATCTATCTATGGTATAGCTGCTGGATATTGCATTTCAGCATCTCTTCTTTCTATCATCAACAAGTGGGCTGTCATGAAGTTCCCTTATCCTGGAGCTCTTACTGCTCTACAGTATTTTACTAGTGCTGCAGGTGTTTATGTATGTGGGTTGTTCAGAATCTTGGAACATGACCCACTTGACCGTCTAACCATGTGGCGTTTCCTACCTGCAGCTATCATGTTCTACCTTTCACTCTTTACCAACAGTGAGCTTTTACTCCATGCCAATGTTGATACTTTCATTGTCTTCCGTTCTGTAGTCCCCATATTTGTTGCGGTTGGAGAAACCCTGTTTCTACACCAGCCATGGCCAGCATTGAAGACATGGTTATCACTTGCCACCATTTTTGGTGGAAGTGTGCTTTATGTTCTGACAGATTACCAATTTACGATTATAGCTTACAGTTGGGCTTTAGCTTATTTAATAAGCATGACTGTAGATTTTGTTTACATTAAGCACGTTGTGATGACTATAGGTTTAAATACCTGGGGTCTTGTGTTGTACAACAATCTCGAGGCCCTTCTACTCTTTCCCTTGGAACTGCTTATAATGGGTGAACTGAAGAAGATAAAGCATGAAATCTCTGATGAGTCAGATTGGCACACTTTTGATGTTGTTTTGCCTGTTGGATTATCGTGCTTATTTGGTTTATCCATCTCTTTCTTTGGGTTTTCTTGCCGGAAGGCAATTTCAGCGACAGGATTCACTGTTCTTGGTGTAGTGAACAAGCTTTTGACAGTAGTTATCAATCTCGTAATTTGGGATAAACATTCATCATTCATTGGAACCATAGGGCTTCTCATTTGCATGCTAGGTGGTATTTTGTATCAACAGTCCACGAGCAAGCCCAAGTCTGTGCCAGAAGTAAAAGCAGGAGAGCCTGAAGAAGAACAACAGGAACTATTACTAGAAATGCAAAGCAAGATAGAAAGCCACAGGGATGAGAAACAAGTTACTGAATCTGGCCAGGAAAAATGAGATTTCAAAGTCAAATTTTGGTAGCCTGTGCTTGAACAGAATTTTGGTGATAATTGCTTTGCTCGCGCATCCTCTTCTACAAATGTTTATAGACCTAGAAAACCAGACAGTTACATATAGTCGCAGCAGCAATGTTTTTGGAGTTATATTCTTGCGAATCGAAAAATTTATTAATGAAGCAGAGCCCAATTGGGCATTTTTCTTGTTATCCAATATGAATTTTTGCCTGTTAAATTATAGAAGGGGAATTGGTCAATGGCCATTCTTTAAATTCCTTGAAACAGGTCTCTTCTGGTTTCCATCTGGGAAATAAAATTCTGAAAAGAAGAAGATAGATACATCCAAAAATAAGGCTATCTATCATCCAGGATAGATGGATTTCTAGGGAAGGACTTTTTGATTGGCTTTGCAACTGATGAAATTGAAAAGTATTGTTTTCGAAACTTAACAATCATAGCAGATGAAATACACTAACAACAATTGTTAATGAACTTAAATCAATGATTTCATATATTTCTCTGCAGCTGACAGAGACTACCGAGTACAATTTAGCTAAAGCATTTAAATCTGCCTATACTCTTCAGAAACTCGAAACAGTTTTTGATTGCAGACCAACTCTTCTTTCTTCTCACATTCTTCATTGCTCTTTCCCTTCTATAAGACTCCAATATTTCTTCCTTATGCTTAATTTCTTTCATATCACTCATATCATCAGTGCCGAAAAATACATCTGAAGAAATACTGTTAATCTTCATCGGTTGATCAATTGTAGAAGAAAATTTTCTTTTGTATAGGTTCATGTCTCCTTGGCTGCCCCATTCTCCAATTCTGCTACTATCATCACCATTGACACAGCATAAGGTTCCTCTGGCCATGGATTAGTTTGTTTTTTCCTATAAAAACAAATGGAATTTATAAGAGACCATTCATAGGGTAAATTGATCCATTGATATATGTATTATACTAACGCTCAACCTTCTGAAACAGCAACTATATACACCCTAAAAGGCTACGACTAAATTTCAGAATTTAAGAAAAGTGTAAAGACTAACCTCTCTGGCTTTTTAGAATTGTCTTCTGGATTTTACTTTAGGATGATGATGATGAAGAAGAAGAAAAATATTTCTTTAGCTTATTCAATAGATAAGCAAAGGCGCTTTGGAAAATTTTCTGTTAGGATTCTTTTTTAAGAGCTAGAAAATTTCTTTTTTTTTTTGAAAGGTTAAAGAGCTAGAATTTGAGTAGGGTTCAACTTGTTGTTGCATATAAATATCAATAATGTATTTATTTTTTTTTGAATTACAAAATTTTTATTTCTTTTTCATTCCTTTATTTATATTTTAATTTTGCATTCCCATTAATAATTTGGTAATACTAACGACCCATTTTCTCTTTATTTCTATTAATTTTTATTGCCTCTATTTAGTAAATTAATACTTATCTTCACCCTTAAAAAAAAGAAACATTTTAGCAATTTTGCATTAAACATAAAGCCTAACGATTAAAAAAAAAATCCAATTTTAACATTTTTTTTCTATTAGTTCTTTTAATTTTATCAATTGTACACTAAATTTAATTTTTTATAATAGTTTCTGTACAAAAATCGCTACCGTCGGTTTATTGATAAAATAAAAAAAATTTCAAAGTTTATGTTTTTTATCAATCAATTTTGATGTCACCAAAACATATTGATGTGTCAGTAACATTTTTCGTTTGTCATACCAAAAAAAAGAAAGTTAAAAGTTTATGTTTTTTCCATATTATCTGTCAATAACATTTTTTCCATGTTTTGATTTGTTATTATATTCTTCCTGCGAAATGCAAACAAGACATTATGTTAAAAATAAAAAATCTATTTTCAACGAGATAGTAAGTTAGTTAAGGTGGTAAATCATCTTAATCATTTTTGGAAAGTGCATTTTGTTAAGAAGGCAAAAAATCTGTACGCTCTAAGTTAAAAATAAAAAATTATCTGTACTCTAATTTTTAAATTTAATGTTTTTAATGATATTATGAATCTATGGTAGTTAAATAGACTGTTATCACTAGAATAGCCAATAACACTCTCCCCCAACTTCTTGTTGACATAATAGGCGGGCGTTCGACGACAGAGCCACAAATGTGCTGCCTTTTCAAGTCCAACGATAGAATATCATGGACTCATAATAACACAATTAGAATCAGATCCAGAGTTACTTATAACACCCAATTCAGTCCGTTTGGGGATAAGGAAGTCTAAGAGATATATACACACACGATTTGGACAAACTTCCCGTCTTTGACCTAGCTCTAGCTTTTGGAGAGAGTTAAGTCTAGATTCGTGAGTTAAGTATGGATTCATTTTCTTTGCTGTGGTTATGCTAACACATTGAGGAAATGGAAATTATCTAGGCAAGCCGCATTTCTTTCAAAAATCAATCGCTTTAGAATTTATTCGATAAAATTAATTGTTTATCAATCGCTTTAAAATATATTTAGTAAAATTAATTGTTTTGATAGTTGTTAATTGTTTTAGTAACATTTAGCTGTTAATTATTTAAATAGTTTTTCATAAAATGCTAAAAGTTAAACGTTATATGAATTAACTTTACGCTATTTTAATTTTTAAAAGCTAGTTTAAAAACTATGTTACTGTACAATACTCCGCCATAGTTTGAAAAAAGTTAGAAAATTTAGCTTTTTGAAACTATAGTTTGCTCACTCGCCAGCAGCAACACTAGACATACAAACAAATGCTCAGAAGCAAATCAGCCAGGAATCTCCCGATATAAACCACACCACATCCTATGAAGGCAAAAGATTAGTTTTAGATTAGTTGCGGTCTAGCTCGAACTCACTCAAATCCATGCTTAAATGACCCGATCACAATTTGGAATTACCATCCCAAGAAGATAATATGAAGGAGAGAACATCGACCTATAAATATATATAAATTCATCACAAAACTAAAAACTTGTTCATCTTATGATTGAGTGAATAGGGATATTATTAACAATGTTTTTCCATTTCTCCCTTTCAAAATCTGCCGGGGAAAATGTTAAAATGCATGAACTAACAAGAAATCATTAATTCTCAGACAAAATAATTATTTCTCTGAGGCTTTCAAACTCATATTTGATACAGCTTTAAAACAAACAAGAGAGAGCTAATAGAATATGATGCAAGAGTCAACCAACAGCCAAACTAAGCAGTAGTTCTTCAATTATTCCACAATGTCCAACATCGCCACCATTCCCTGCATAAAAGAAAGCAGACCATTCATTGCTCATCCAGAAAATTTTTAAAATTAAAAGTTTACTGTTGTCTGAACTATCCAGGGTCTTTGGATGTTTTACTTGCCAGATTAAGTAGGCTTAAGTAGAAAACATCATAAATATACTAATATCCTTACATTTGAGTTTGACATCTCCTTAAAAACTTCATGAAGGTTTGTAAATAGTTTTTCATGAAGCACTTTGATCCTAAATATGCAATGGTGTCTACTAATAATTTAATGTTGGGGTAGCATTCAATTTTTTTAAAAATTATTTAGAGGCTTATACAACTACCATCCTTCACCACAATGAAAAAAGAGCTTAATCTACAAAGGAGCCACTACATTGATTGAAAATAAGCATCTCGTTAATCTCTACTAAACAAAAGACAAATCTAAAGTAGATTGTGTAAGAAGGTAGTTGCTCCCACCGTTACCACGTCCCACTAAAAGGAAAATTGACAAGGGTCCATGGTATAACAATTAAGGCACTTTAATTAAAGCCTAGACCACACAGTATCCCTGTTTCTCTTTCTTCTTCAATGCTGGAAAGATGGTCACCTAATATTCTTGCTAAACAGATTAACACGAGGCATTTTACAAGGCAGTACTGATCCTGCACATCAATCATGCAGGCAAAATAAGTATCTAATCAGAACAATTTAAGCTAACCTCACAACCCATAAGCAATAGTTTACAAGCATCTATCAAGAACATACAAATTTCATGACAATAATGACCCTAGCCCAGAGATATTCATAATGCAATACCCTATTTGAATTCTACTTCAGAAATTAGAAGTATAAGACAAAGGGAACCTGTATAGAAAATCTTATGCAGCAGCCTCCAACAACTCCCTCTCCGCACGCTCCTTAATCCTTCTTTCAAGTTCTGGCCTAAAATGCCTTATGAGTCCCTGCACCGGCCAAGCTGCAGCATCACCCAACGCACAGATAGTATGTCCTTCAATCTGCTTTGTGACCTCTTGAAGCATATCTATCTCTTCCAGCTTTGCATTTCCAACTTTCAATCTTTCCATGATCATCCAAAGCCACCCAGTACCCTCCCGGCATGGTGTGCACTGGCCACAACTCTCATGCTTGTAGAAGTAAGACAGCCTTGCAATTGCATCCACAACATCAGTAGATTTATCCATCACAATCACAGCTGCAGTCCCCAGTCCTGACTGGACAGCCTTGAGAGCATCGTAATCCATTAGCACATCGTCACATATGTGCTTGGGAAGTAATGGGACAGAAGAACCCCCTGGTATTACTGCAAGTAGATTGTCCCATCCACCCCGAACACCTCCACAGTGCCTATCTATTAACTCTTTCAGAGGTATGCTCATCTCCTCTTCAACTGTGCAAGGCTTATTCACATGACCTGAGACACAAAACAATTTTGTCCCAGAATTGTTCTTCCTGCCAAAACTAGCAAACCATTCTGGCCCACGCCTCAAAATGGTGGGAGAAACAGCCACTGTTTCCACATTTGTGACAGTAGTGGGACAGCCATACAACCCTGCATTAGCTGGGAATGGAGGCTTCAGCCTTGGTTTTCCTTGTTTTCCTTCTAGACTTTCCAAAAGAGCAGTCTCTTCGCCACAAATATAAGCACCAGCACCATAGTGGATGTGAACATCAAAATCATATCCAGATCCACATGCATTCTTTCCTAACAACCCGGCTTCATAAGCTTCTTTTCTTGCTCTTTCCAGGTTCCTACGTTCATTAACATATTCACCCCTAATGTAGATATAAGCAGCACTGGCTCTCATTCCCACACCAGCAATTAAGCAGCCCTCTAACAGCTTGTGTGGATCATGGCGCATAATTTCCCTGTCTTTACAAGTTCCAGGTTCACTTTCATCAGCATTGACCACAAGATAGGAAGGGCGGCCATCAGATACTTTTGGCATAAATGACCATTTGAGACCAGAGGGGAAACCAGCACCACCACGTCCACGGAGGCCAGATTTCTTGACTTCATTAACAATCCAATCAGTGCCCTTAAGTACCAAGTCCTTTGTTCTATACCAGTCACCCCGTTTCATGGCACCTTTGAGAAAAGGGTCATGCAACCCATACAAGTTGGTAAAAATCCTATCCTCGTCTTTCAAGCCACCAAAATGGGTTTTCTCCGGAGGTGGGGGAGGTGGGGGAGGCTGTGGACTGCCAGCATTTGTTGCAGCTTGGGTGCTCAATGATCTAAATCCTATGTCCAGCCTATCACTATGACGCCGAATCATAGCAGCTCTTTGCAAGGAAAGAATGCCCCTAATGGGTGCCTAGAAAAAGATTATATATCAATAAAAATGCTCCAAAAATAAATTTTAAAACATTTAGAATACAAGCTTTAATCTATTTCTCCAAAACTCAAAATATTTAAAAAAAAAAAAAAAAAAGTTTTTTCCCCCAATGAAATAAAAACAAGGACCAGGACACAAGATAATAAGCAAAATCAGAAATGCTAAGCGTTGCCAAAAATGATATATTAGTTTAACAATGAGAATGAGATTGAAATATAACAGTAAGATAATTTCTATTTAGAATACAAATTCAGAAAGTTCCACCCACTAAAAGCCTAAAAAACATTACTAAGAGGCATAGCTATCATTCATCTAAGTTAAACAATAGAAACTCTCTTCTAAAACAAAAAAGAAAAAGAAAAAACTCGAAACTCATACCTCCTTCCTAAGTACCCTAAATTATTAATAGGCATTACCATAACACAGAACATAAACAAACAAATTACAGCTTTGATCTTAATTCAGCTACAAAAGCTTAGCCTGCGAAAATGATTGACAGCTTGAGCCTAAAAGGGCAAATAAATTACTGAAGTGGATCTAAACAGAGAAAATACTTGGATTGAAATGAAATTGCAAAAACCCTAGGACAGTGAAGCAGAAACAGAGAGGGAATGAGTAATAGCATACCATAGCGCGAAATGTCACGGATTAGCTTTTCCGAGTCCGCGATTCAGCGAAATCGAGATAGGCAAACGGAGAAGAAAATGAATTGAGAATGTGGGGAATGGACTATGGAATTCCCTACTCCCTGGACCTGGATTATGCAAAATGAACGGTTGTGATTTTCTAACATTGATTACATAAGGGCCTTTCTTGTGATGATCATGGTTAACACGTAGAGATATCACCGTGTTGCCGCGATAGATGGAAAACGGCAATGAATGCTACTGTGCGTTTTGATTCTTGGGCTTGGCTTCATGAACTGAAATTTAACTTTAGCCCAAAAAGAAAGTAGCTCTCTTGTCTTATTTGTTAGATCCAATTTGTAATTACCTCAATCCAAAAGTAAGAAAAGTTATTTTAGATATTTGTACTGATTATTAAAAAAAAAAAAAATTGGTTTCAGTTTCTTTATAAAAAAATATTGAATTATATAATTATATGTTAAATTTTAGTAATATGGCATTTCCAGTATTAAATAATATTTCATTTTGTGATAAAATTAAATGCATTAGGTCTATCTGAAAGTGAACGTGGAAATTCAAATTTTATCAATGAAACAAAAAAAAATTACACCTATATACAGTTACGTTTTGTTCAAAAATTCTATATTTTAAATTTCAATAATTACTTTTTTAAAGCTTATTTTAAACCTTAAAATTTTAAATTCTTTTTTTATTTTCCATTCATATATACTTCAAAAATTACACAGGCAATTTATGTAAATATAACTTGACAGAAAAGGATAAATATGAATAAAATTAATTATAGAGTTATCTCAATCAATTTTGGATATATGAAAAATATTACTTATTCTTAGCGAATGAGTTTATCCATATACTAAATTAATCCAATAAAATCATTTCCGATAAGTATTATTTTCTTCTTTTTTTTTTTAAATATCAGTACCTTAATTTGTATCATATATATTTATTAAATGAGAATAATATATGATTGGATCCATATACCACAAATAGCTAAACGTTTACCATCATTGCATGCACAAATAATTGACAATCATGTATGCTTGGACTCTTTCTAAGGAAGAAGAAGATTAAGGCCTAGGCCCCTAGGCCCTAGCCAACAAATGATATATGTCTATCACTCAAAATACATGGAATGTTGTGGCTTTATTAGGAGCATATATATACATATTGACAACTTACTCTGTGTATGGGCACATTCATCGTGCTTCATTTGATTTAGGCTTCTTCTATGTATAATATATAATGCCAAAGACAAGAAGGGACCTACATAGTTTCTACGAGAAGTTGGCCACTGCGAGGGATCCAATGCCTAAATTGAAGAGGACAATGAAGAATGATAGGAGTGTGCAAACCCCCGGTTCCGTTCCGACGACTGAACCGCAAAAACTAAAAATCGAAAATAGAGTTTATTTGGTACCGATTCAAATCAAAATAAATTTGAAAATCGAACCAATCTGATCGATTTAATAGGCATCGGTTCAGTCAAATGGTTCGATTTTACTCAAAAAATAAATATTTTGGAATAATCGATCCAAAGACCAAAAATCGAAATTATGGAAGGTTTCAAACTAAAACCGAAAATAATTTGGTTCGGTTCAATTTTTGATTTTTTCCAAAGCTCGCCCCTAAAGAATGAGACTGAAAATCCACCCTGTATGTGTTGGCCCATTGCCTTTTCAAGTTCTTAAACTTTGAGCTCTGTGTTTGTTGTGCTTGTTTTAAGGGCCGCATACAATGGAGAGACAAGCCCTTCTCCCTCTGCCCGAGATTTACAATACAACATAGATGGTGTCCCTATATTTTTCTTGCGTTAAATTGCATATTTTTAGCAGAGTTAATTTGGGTCTCAATCATACCATTTGGAAAATTACATATGTATGAAAATTATTAGTGACAGGCCAGCATAGCAAGGAAAACATTTATAGATGGCAGGCCGACAATAAAAACATTCTTCAACTGCTACGGATGCGCTATTTGAGTCCAAACTCGATTATAAATTAATTATCTAAATTATTTATTTCATATTAATTTAGATTTATCATCCCCAATCGCAATTCAGTGGTATTTATGACTGCGATATTGAAATTTAAAATCTTTTACGGAGTGAGATGACTGGAAGATTATAAAGTAATTATATTTAATTTGGTACTAAATATTTTGATTGTCATGTATGATAAAAAAAATAAATTCTTGATAGGATTATTACTTGTAATCTCACGAGAGATGCAGGCCAAATACGGCTTCTAGTGATGTGTATATAGAAATTTATGTAGGACGAGATCAGACAAATCCTACAAATATCATAGTACAAGCTGTTCTTTTTTACTATATGATAATAACAACCTTTTTTTTTTAATTTTTTCCTGCAGAGTTCAAAACAAAATTAGACATAGACAAGTGTAGAAAATTATTAATAAACTTAAGAATGGAAAAGAAAAATATCTAAAATATGAATTCTATATAAAAAAAATGAGGGTGCAGCAATTTAAATTTCTGAATTCAACATGATAAAGGATTGAACCGGGTACAAGAAAGTCCGATTAGAATTCAAAGGTAACTCCAAACATTTAAACCGGTCATCAACCATAAATATTAAGACTTTATTAGAATGGACCCCGCTTTTAAGCTCCTCCCATTTTTTTAAATCACAAGTAACGTTAATCACGACCTGGTCAAACTACATTATTTACCGTGGTTAAATTAAACCGCTCCTAATAAAAACACTTGCGTTCCCTCCTTGTTGCCGCTGGCCTGCTCCCCTTCTCTCTCACTCTTCTCTTTCCTGGTACGTGACACTAACAATAACTAAACCAAATGTTTGGCAACTCCGGTGCCGGAAAACAGGTCTTCCCAATCGATTACCAGGCTGAAGTTTCTCAGCTTCTCGTTGATGCATGTCATAGTAATGACTCGAAGTTGGCGAGTGAATGTCTCGCTGATCCTTTCGTGGACGTGAACTTTATCGGGACGGTGAACTTGAAGACGAAGAAGACGGAGGTTTTACTCCGAGATGAATCGCCACATGAAGTTCATGTCGAGTATGAGGAGTTCAAGACTGAGGTGACCGCTCTTTTCCTCGCTGCTCATGCCGGAAATTTAACGCTCGTCAGGATGTTACTGGTAACGTAACTGACTCTCATTTGATTTGGCCTCTGGGGTTAAGTTACTTGGAAGTCAAAACAGAAAGGAGAAGGGAGTCTTATTCTTTAGTTTCTATTTAAAAATGAAAAATCATTACTCAGTTTGTTGATAATGGTTTATGGTTATGGCTTTTTAGCTTTAGTATCAATGAATTCTTAATCTTGTCTTTTGGATACTTATGTTTGGCTATTAAGGAGATTCAAAATTTTTTTTTCAAATGATTAGTTATTTGATTTTATTAATTAATTTAAAAGGATTTCTTCGTTTAAAAAAATCGAAAGCGTTTAGAATCAAAGATGATTTGAGTTAATCTGCTTCAGTTCTGATCAGTATTTTGAGGAAGAGAATCTCTAACATGTAGTGAGACAGAGAATATTTTCCCTTAATATCTTTGGTTCAGTTTTGTACGCCAGCATGATACGTGATCACATAATCTGACAGATAACCTGAAATTTTGAATCCACCTTCACGGGTCCAACTGACAGAATTACCCCGTTCACCAGTAGAAGAATTCCTGCATCAGATAGCTTATCTTAAAACCAGGGTTTTGGTAATTAGTGTAGCTAAACAATTGGTTCAACTCTTACGTTTTGAAGGATGTCATTAGTTGGTTATTAGGCAAAGTTGTGATCGTAGAATGGAAACACTGAACTTATGAATCTTCATAATCTGTGGTTCTCTGCAAGCTAGAAACAAGATAAATAACAAAAATATTAAATCAAGATGTGGTTTTCTGATACAGAGCGTCGGTGCCAGTGTGAATCAGAAACTGTTTCGAGGCTATCCCACGACAGCAGCAGTAAGAGAGGGTCATTTGGATGTATTAGAGGTGCTTATAAAAGCTGGAGCATCTCAGGAGGCATGTGAGGAGGCTTTATTAGAGGCAAGCTACCAGGGGTTGGCCAGGCCTGCAGAGCTGCTCATGGGGTCTGACTTGATACGCCCACAGGTTGCTGTTCATGCTCTTGTCTCTGCTTGCTGTAGAGGGTACGCCAATGTAGTTGACACCCTAATTAAGGTACAAATATTCTATCTTTAGGAGCCTAGCAAAGGGATAAGCGTATAGTGAAATAGAGCAATTTTGGTGAATGCATTCTGATTAAATTAGAAAAATTTCTTTTCATCAGAAAGCATTATTTTGTGATTGCAGTGAAGGTTGCCTTGCCTTGCATAGGTGCACTCATATTTATACTCAATTCAGAGATCTCTATGCTTCATCAATTGATAATTGCTGATTGAATTTGACGATCTTACTTGGTGGCAGTGGGGAGTAGATGCCAATGCAATTGACAGGGTTCTGCTTCGTTCTTCCAAGCCATCACTGCATGCCAATGTTGACTGTAACGCGCTTGCTGCTGCCATTGTTAGCCGACAGATATCGGTCGTTAGATTGCTGTTGCAGGTACGCATTTGGATATATAATACTTGCAAAAATCACCGGAAAGACGGATCTTATAGAAAACTATTTCTGAATGGCATATAGCACGAAAACACATATCTGAGGTGTTGGGAACTTGGAACAAAGAAGTGTTGTATGATGTGTTGTTGCCTGAAGTGTGAATATGTCCTCGTTGGGTACATGTGTTATTTATGATGGACCTTGGATGATGGTTCTACATTTGCTATTTACATAACCTTGCTAGGATATTTGATCAGTTAGAGTTTCTCAAGCTTCCTTTGGCAGAATTACTAGTCAATAACTATAAATATAATATTAACGAATTGGAATTGGTAACAGGTCGGTGTCAAGATGGACACCAAGGTGAGGTTGGGAGCCTGGTCTTGGGACATGGATAGTGGCGAAGAATTCCGAGTTGGTGCCGGATTAGATGAGGCTTATAGCGTCACCTGGTGTGCTGTGGAGTATTTTGAATCAAGTGGTACTATATTGCTCATGCTCCTCCGACATCTCCCCGTTAACACTCTTCACATGGGGAGGGCTCTTATCCATCACGCCATCCTATGCGGCAATGCAAGAGCGGTAGAAATGCTATTAAACTGTGGTGCAAATAAAGAACTTCCGGTTAAAACTTCTAAAAATGAGTGGCGCCCCGTCCATTTAGCTGCACGGCTTGGCTCAGCCAAAGTTCTTGAGGAGCTGACGCTCGCTGGCTGCAATCTCAACTCCAGGACGGATTCTGGAGAAACTGCCTTAATGATATGTGCTAGACATAAGCAACAAGAATGTCTAAAAATCCTGGCCTCAGCTGGTGCTGATTTTGGATTGATCAATTCATCTGGTCAGTCTGCTAGCTCAATTGCAAGGTCTGCTAAATGGGCTCTTGGCTTTCAGCAAGCAGTGATTGATGTGATTCAAGCTGGGAAGAAAGTAATATCAAGCAACCTCTCAAAATTTTCTCCCTTAATGTTTGTTGTTCAAGCAAATGATATTAAGGCCTTAAGAAAGCTCATTGAGCGGACGGACATCGATCTTGATGAACAAGATGATGATGGATTCTCTGCAGCTATGGTAGCTGCTGCCAGCGGTCACGTGGAAGCTTTCAGATTACTGGTCTATGCAGGGGCTAATGTAAAGCTGCAGAATAAATATGGGGAAACCGCAATCAGCCTATCAGAGTCAAGCCACCACGGTGAAGTCATCGAAAGGGTAATGCTTGAGTATGCAATTGAAGAGGGATATAACTATTCTGCTGGAGTTCAAGCTCTACATCGCGCAGCGCACTGGGGTGACATTGATTTGGTTCATATGTTAACTAGAAGAGGTTACGATGTCAATGCTTTTGACACTGATGGATACTCTCCTCTAATGTTAGCCGCAAAGAGAGGCCACAATAGAGTGTGCGAGCTTTTAATTTCATGTGGAGCAATCTGTGATATTGAAAATGCAAGAAAAGAAACTGCACTCTCACTCGCCAGGAATAATGGCTATGGAAATGAAACGGAAAATATAATATTAGATGAACTTGCTAGACAACTTGTTCTAGATGGGACTCGAGTCAAGAAGCATACAAAATGTGGAAAAGGATCTCCGCATTATAAAGAATTAAGGATGGAAGGTACTGTTGGAGTTTTAAGATGGGGAAAATCAAGCAAGAGAAATGTAATTTGTAGGGTTGCCGAGGTCGGTCCAAGCTCAAAATTCCGGTGGAATCGCAGGAGAAAATTTGATGTTGAAGACCCTGGAGTTTTCCATGTGATCACTACAAAGAACAAGGAAGTGCATTTTGCGTGTGAAGGTGGAGTAGAAATGGCAGAGTTGTGGGTAAGAGGAATCAGGCTCTTGACTAGAGAAGCAATCTTTGGCAAGAAACAGGTGATTTGTGAATGATGAATGACAAGTTTGCTTGCTGTGGGAAATGCTTCATCTCAATGTATTTTTCATTTTTTTTTTTTTTGTACTTTTACTCCATTGTAAAGATTTTTTGTTCTTCAGATATTGATGCAGACTTGCTTGTACAATTTGCTTTTTGTTTTTTTATAATCTAAATTGCTTTTGCTTCATTGAGTAAATTTCGACAAAAGAGCCGTTTTTCCAAAATTTTTGTCGGTTATGCATTTATGATGCTTTTACGCGGGTAAAATAAAATTGCTTGATTAGCGTGACTTACAGTCAAATTTGGAAGCATTTAATTGAAAATGTCAAAAAAAATTTAAAATTCATTACGTTAGAAACGATATCGTATTGGCATGGCGATGGTCGTCGCAAAAAGGCCCATGATAAAACGGACTTCAGGTTGCTGAGAAATAATTTTGAACTTCCATAGCAATAATTTCTCTCTGTGTTTTTGGTTCCCTCCTTTCACCCATGGCAAGTCTTCCAATTGTCCAATTTGAAGAGAAGATTTTACAAACAGTGGAAGAGAATCCGGTAGTGGTGATAATCGGAGAGACTGGATCAGGGAAGAGCACCCAGCTCTCTCAGATGCTACACCGTAGAGGTTACACCAAGTCTGGAATCATTGGCGTCACTCAGCCCCGCCGAGTTGCCGCCGTCTCTGTTGCAAGGTATAATTTCAAAAGAAATAGTTGTTTGCTCTAGTCACTTGTTGGTATTGTGCTTCTAAATGGTGCTTACTAGGTTGATTGCGGGAGTCTAGGTCTTTAATCTTTTAGTTGCCGAGAAATTGCAGAGTTACGGGTCCCAGATTTTCCTAATCTAAGAAAAGGAACTGAAGGAACCTGTAAGAGCATGATTAATCTTTTTAGGGGTTGAAGACTAAAAAAAAAAAAAAAAAAAACTGAAGAACCATGTCTCAGAGGCATGATTGGCCCACGTTCAATCTTTTTAGGGGTTGAAGGAACAAAAAAAAAAAAAAAAATTAAAAAAACTGAAGCTCCACTCATATATTAGAGTTTCTAATTCAATTACTCTTTTATATATAGTTTTTGCTGCTATTTACGTTTTTCACTTTAAATTTAAGTTCTAGAAAAGAACAAATCTCTCAGAAAAAAAAAAAAAAAAGAAACTGAACCTATCAATATTAGAGTTTCTAATCAATTACTCTTTATATATAGTTTTGGCTGGTTATTTACGTTTTTCACTTTAATTTAAGTTCCTAGAAAGAAAAATCTTAGAAGAAAAAGAAAAATAGAATTAAAAATATTCTTTACTTCTTGACTTTTTCCATTTGCCAGTCAACCAGTTGGTTAATGATTTGGATAACTTTCTTTGCAAGTGCATTTGTTTATGCTGCAGAAGAATTAATCGAATTTTGATTCCTTGCTCTTTATTTAATGTTTGCAGACGAGTTGCACAGGAGCTTGGTGTTAGGCTTGGGGAGGAAGTAGGCTATGCCATCAGATTTGAAGATAGAACTTCAGATTTAACACGAATTAAGTAATGTAGTTCAATGCTAACAGTTTTTACTAGTTTTATTTATGAATATAATGTGCCAAGTCTATAGGCTCCTTATTATAGCATTGAAATTGCTCAGATACCTTACTGATGGAGTCCTCCTGCGTGAAAGTCTGTCCAACCCAGAGCTTAATGAGTATTCAGTAATCATATTGGATGAAGCCCATGAAAGGAGTCTAAACACGTAAGATCTTTATTCCTTTTGGTTTTCCCAATCAAAGTCTAACACATATAGTCTTCCATAGTTTAGCGTTATATTTTTAGATTTTAGAGTTTCAGCAACTTATGACGTGTTTTTTTGGCATGTATTCAGTTGTGTATGTCCACGTTTATTGATAACTCATTTTTCAGGGATATTTTGCTGGGATTAGTAAAACGCTTGGTCAAAATGCGAGCCTCCAATTTAAAAGTTCTTATAACATCGGCAACTCTCGATGGTGAAAAAGTATCAGAATTCTTTTCAGGTTGTCCTGTACTAAATGTCCCTGGAAAGTTATACCCCGTGGAAATATTGTACAGCAAAGAGCGTCCTAAAAGCTACATTGAGTCCTCGTTACAAACAGCTATTGGTATGATAGGGCATCACTCTTATGTGTTTGGCTTCATCTTTTCTTGTTGTTGCTCAATAACAAATCATTTGTTTACAAGAATTGCTTCCAATATTGATAGTTTGCTGCAGATATTCATATTCATGAACCTGAAGGTGACATCTTAATATTCATGACGGGCCAGGTGAGGTCGAGTATGCTCTGCCTTGACTTCTGCTTGGGCGTTGATTTTTACATTTGTTTTTTATGCTTCAGTTGACTGTAAATTTAAAACTCATCCATATGCAGGATGATATAGAGAAATTGGTTTCAAAGCTGGAAGAGAGAGTTCGAAACCTAGAGGAAGGGTCCTGTATGGATGCCATTACCCTTCCACTCCATGGTTCCTTGCCACCTGAAATGCAGGTATTTTTTCATTTGCATTTTTCTCATAATGAAATCCAATGATATTACTAGTTTTACTTTATTTTACCGATGCTAAGGGTTCTTCCAAATTGGACACCTTTCAGTTTATTAACTGGCATTCAAATAAAATCAGAAGTCATTTTGATTTATTTGTATACTTGGTTGTATCATGTGCACTTAATCAAGTATGCTGGAAGGAACCATTTGCTGAGTTGAATAAATCTTCCTTGATACTGATTTGCTGAGTTGGTATATCATTTTGATATGAGTTTGTTATGGATGTAGAAAGAGAAAAAATTGCTGACAATGTGCTTTGGATATGGAGAAATGATATCTCACATTTTATTAGCAATAAGATTGCCCATTTTAGCATAATGAAAATCTAGATTCTGTAATAATTAGAAAGATTGTAGAAAATAGATCACAATAATTTATGTTAAACTATATCTTCAGTTGGTCTAGTAGAAACGACTTAAATCTATCTGTTATAGTTGCCTTTTTCCTGAATATTGATCAGGTTGATTAATGACTGAGGGCAGAAAGTTGTTATACCATGAGCAGTTTCCTGAATTTTACTCAACGATTCTTGTCATTCTTGCTGTAGTTGACATAATGTGCGAAGTGCGTGGTTTTTGAGTTACATTTTTTTCCTGCACGTGGCTTTTGTTGTTTTCTCATTCTCACTTGAGTGCTAAGCATTGAACTTGAGATTAGAATCTAATTTCTTCACACAATGTTTCAACTTTTACTAACTTTTCTTGTTGATGACTTCAATGTTCCCTATGACTCTTTAGGTGCGTGTGTTTGCTCCTGCACCTCCAAATTGTCGGAGATTTATTGTTGCAACGAACATTGCTGAAACTTCTTTGACTGTTGATGGTGTTGTGTAAGGAGACTTGATGCTTATGCTTTGACCCTCTTTTTGCTGTATTTTGTATGTAAACTTAGTGTTTCTATTTTGTGCCTGCAATCTCCATGTTAACATGATTGCTGTTCTACTTATTCATTTCCTTTCTTTCTTTCTCTATTTGAATTTTTTAGTTGAGCTCAAATATCTGTGAATGACAGGTATGTCATTGATTCTGGTTATGTAAAGCAACGGCAATACAACCCGTCAACAGGCATGTATTCACTTGATGTTGTGCAAATTAGCAAGTAAGTAGTTAATATTTCTGTAACAGCTGCCAAATTGAAGTTTATGATCACTTTTAATTTTTGTTTTCAATTGTTCTTGTATCATTTTGTCTCCCCATACAAAATCTTTTTTTTTTTTTTTTTTTTTTTTTTTTTTTTTTGTTTTCCAATTGCTTTCTTGATCCATTTTGTCTCCCCATACACAAAATCTTTTCTTTTTCTTTTTTTTTTTTTTTTTTGAAGGGCTTCTTTTGTTTCCTCGCCTAAGTTTGTAAAGCTTGTGAATAAGTAAACTGAGCTTGACAAAGAGCAATAACAAGGGCTTTGTTCTGCAAGCGACCACTCTATTGTAAGCATTGCTGCTATTGTTGCTGATATTCCACTCTCAAATTTAAGTTGAAAGGTGATTTGCAATCCATTAAATTCTACTTCTATATAGTCTATATATAGTCCCATTCTTGTTAACTTTATCTAGATGAAATTGGGTGACGGCTAAAAAAATTATATAATAGAAATTTGTGAGGTGTTAATGATTTTCTTCTAGAATATCAACTATATTTGGCTTAGGCTATTCCAAATAAGAAATTGTAAATTACACACTTTCTTCAAATGCAAAACACTCTGCTCTCATAAAGAAGTTTCGTTTTAAGTATTCTTTCTGACCCTGAATCTCACTGCTATCCACACTCACTCTGTTTTTTTTTTTTTTTTTTTTTTTTTTTTTTTTTGAGGGGCTTTCTTTTGTTCCTAGCTAGTTTTGTTAAGCTTGTGAATAGAGGTAACTGAGCTTGACAAGAGAATAACAAGGGCTTTGTTCTGCAAGCGACCACTCTATTGTACATGCTGCTATTTGTTGCTGATATCACTCTCAAATTTAGTGAAGAGGGATTTGCAATCCTAATTCTCTTCTCTTGTTTGTCTCTGTGTCTTGTTAACTTTATCTAGATGAATTGGGTGAGGTCTAAAAATTATATAGAAATTTGTGGTGTTATGATTTTCTCTAGTTTATCCACTATATTTGCTTAGGCTTTCAAATAGAAATCAGGTAATTCAACATTCTTCAAATGCAACTACTCTGTACCATAAAGAATTTCGTTTTTAAGTATTCTTTCTGACCCTGGATCTTCACCTGCTGGTACTTATGCTTTAACATCGTGTTTATAGTAGTTTGAGATAATCAAGTTTAGCTGCATTGCATGTAGTTGAAGGTTGCTATACTGCATAATTTCTGAGCAGCAACACAGAATTAGTAATTATTTATTGCCATACTTGCATATATATTATCGGTGGAGGTTTGTTTCTAGAGTGGATAATTGCTTCTTTTCTGCCATTCTTATCACAATATATTACCTTCTGTGGTTTTATTCTTTCCGGAGATAATTATTTGCCCAGAAGAAAAAGAAAAAGTGAACAGAAATAGCTAGAGTGATCATTACTGTCTCTCATTTTGCAAACTAGATTATCTTGTATAACAGCTTTTATGCAAACCATTTTCTTTTATAACAAAGAAATCCATTGAGTTAATGTACTTACTGACCGCAGAGTGCAAGCCAATCAACGAGCAGGACGAGCAGGAAGAACCCGTCCTGGGAAGTGCTACCGGCTATACCCTTCCATGGTTTACGAAGATGATTTCATTGATGTAACGGTCCCTGAGATACAGCGTTCTTCACTTGCTGGCAGTGTTCTTTACTTGAAATCATTGGATCTTCCAGATATTGATATTCTCAAGTTTGATTTCCTTGATCCTCCTTCGAGTATGTCTTCTGTTCTGTGTTTTTTCAATGTTCATGTGCCGAATAAACTACACTTGGTTTCATTTTTTCACTTCCAGAATTTCACATTCTCAACCACCTTCCTAGAACATGGATGGATCATTTTTTCTAGCACATCTACTCTCTCATACCTATGTTTTATTATTATCTCCAATGAAAATGGATGTACTGGTTAAATCTGAATGCTTTGTTGCAGATGATTCACTGGAAGATGCTCTAAAGCAACTATATCTAATTGATGCCATTGATGACAATGGATCAATCACTAGTGTTGGACGGACAATGGCTGGTAATCAACTTTCATTCCTTTTGATTTGGTGCTTATTCTGAATGTTTAGAGTGATCATATATTATTTGGAACGAATTCTTCATTGCATTTTTTTTTCTGGTGTGTTCTTAATCAGTAACAAAATGTTAGTTGCATGCACTGCATCGGTATGAGTTTCATTGGGCATGAAAAGTGCTGTCCCTAAGGAAACATGAAACACCAGTCACCATTTCTAAAGCACACAACTGTGCCTATAATAATTACTTAAAACCACAATATGAGTTACCATGGGCATCTACGACACTACTATTAAACATATAGCTATGAACTTCTTCAACTCCTAATGGATTTTAATATCAATTAATGTGTTTTGTTTGCTATTTTGTATTTAACATATGTTTTGTACACTACTATTAAACAAATAGCTGTTGAACTTCTTCAAATTCTAATGGATTTTAATATCAATTAATTTTTGTATATTTTACACAAATTCACCACATGAATTTAAATATTAGTTTCTGTGGATTATGCAGAACTTCCACTAGAGCCCTCACTCTCAAGAACCTTAATGGAAGCAAATGAGAATGGTTGCTTGTCCCAGGCATTGACTGTGGCTGCTATGTTATCAGCAGAAACAACATTACTTCCTGGTCGAAGGTTAGTTCAAATGAGAATTGAGATGAGATATTCCTTCCCTGATGCTATTATGTTTCTTGTTATTTTCACAGAAGTGTGTAGTGTTTTTCTGAAATTGTCTAATTTGAGGAGATGGAGCATTTAATTTTTGAAAAAACTGTAACCCAATCTGATTCTGATATAATAATATCCTCTTCTGTTTGCCATGGGTGAATGAATGTTCATGCTTTCTTAGTTTCTTCATATCTTTCATGTTATGGCTATTGATTTCTGTTTTGGCTGTTTGCTGAAACTTGATAATATGATTGAATGTTTCTTGTCTGTTATTATTTTCCTATCATTTTTTCCTTGCAATGTTAAGGATGTGAGCTTCTAATATCATCTATCTACTTCTAAATATTTTTTAAGCAGTAAATATTAATACTGACTTGTATTTGTGAAATTTAAGCTTCCTTTTTCGTGACCTGAAAAGTCAGGGATTCCGGTCGACTGAAATCTTCATTTTTATCCACATGGGAAACTCCTAAATTATATTTTTTCTGACATTCTAGAGTCACCAACTTGAATCTATTTCATGTTTTCTTGGTTCTGACACCTATACTATTTGAAGGTTGCTTTATTGAATTCCTTAAGGGATTAAAACTGAAGCCCTAGTTCAAAATTAACTAACCTAATCTTGTAATGATAGTATGAATCCTGAAAACTTCTTTCTTAGCCAATCTAGTTTATCCTTTAGGATAAGAATGCCGTTGTCTCTTTGTGCAGTAGCAGGAATATTGAAAAGAAGCGGAAACACACTCCTAATGAGGTTCACCTTCCTGATGGTTCTGGTTTGGGTGATCACATCCAGTTGCTACAGATTTATGAGCAGTGGGATCAAAATGACTATGATATTGGTTGGTGCAAAGATAATGGTTTACAGGTAACATTTGTCATCTGCTCAAGTAAGCATGATAGATTTAGGCTCAAATTGTTTGATGGAAAATGTTTCCCAGAAATCATTTTTGCATTTTTGTAAGGAAAATTGGTCAACAGAAAATGTTATCATTGCCAAAGGAAAAAAACCAAAAAATGACTTGTTTTTAGTATTGGAAGTCATTTTTTTGATTTTAATAAATTCATAATGAGGAAAGAAACCATTAATCTACCTACCGTTGTAGTCATCTATGGCCATTGTCTGCCACTAGTATAGGTGGCCAATCACAAATGACAACCACAATTTTACCTTTTTTTTTGCAATTTTCTTTCCTACTGAATTGCAAATAGAATAATGTGAAGTTTTTCAGATCCAAACTTTTTAGTTGTCTTACCTATTGAAACAAAAAATAAAGTTTCCAATGTACCTTAAATGGTAGAAAATAATTTCCATAGACAAGTTATTGTTTCCACAAAATAAATAGAGCTTTAGACACTTGGAGACTTCTAGATTCCATCATGTTTGACTAAGTTATCAAGGTGAATTCTAAAGTAGCATGGTTTCATAGTTTTTATAGATGATCACTCCTTCCAGACTTTTATCACACGTGGTCCATAGACTAGTTGCTTTTTTCAGTCTAAAAGACTCAGAATATGCTGCAGCCAATGCTTCCACTTATGGATCTCCCATTTTCTTTCTTGCACATGCCTATGCCCATTGGTGGCTGAAAGAGGCCAATAAATGCGGCTGCGATCTTCATTCCTATTGGCACATCTCATGTCTTAATGTCATGTCTTGACTATGATGCTGTTTTTTATTTTACCATCTACAGGTGCGAGGAATGTTGTTTGTCAAAGATGTTCGGAAACAGTTGTGTCAGATAATGCAGAAAATAGCGAAGGGTCGGTTTTTACAATCTGTATATGTATATAATAGTTATTATATGTTTGAGAAATTGTACGTAAGAAGCATAAACCATTATCATATATATATATATATTTTAACAAAACTGGAGCGGCCTCGACTTCATATGTTGATATATCACTTCACAAATGAGGTGGTTGTTTTCGTTTGTGGACATGACACGTCCAAAAACAAGTTTATGATTGATTTGTGTTCTTGTAGGCATAATTCTAATTTGTTTTTCCTTTGTACTGTACTATTCACTAATAATCATTTATCCCGGTCTCCTGATTCTATCCTCCATTTCTTTTTTCCTTCCCCTTCATGTTTCCATGACATCTTGGAGTAGTTAATGTTTGTTCATAAATTTACATTCAAAATAAAAATTTTGCCAATGCATATAGTAAACAATCCATTTGAAGTGCAGTATTTATTTCCTTTCTGGGAGATCAAACTCTAGCCCTTTGTGGCAAATTATAACACACATGGACTTGGGGTGGAAATAGAGGATATTGCAAAGGCTTCATTGATTGTATCAGTTTTAGTATTCTATCCTTGTCTATTTTCCATTTTCTGTGCATGAACATCATTTTTTTGCGTCACTTCCTATTGAAACATGCTTTTCTTTCAGGATCATTGGATGTACGAGCAGACAAAAGATACATAAAAGGTCAACAGGAGTATAGGAATTTGAGGAAGGCCTTGTGTGTGGGCTATGCAAATAAACTTGGTCAAAGGAGTATTCAACACAATGGCTATAGAACTATTGGTTTCAATTATCAACTGGTTCAGGTATTAACAGTTGGAATATTATATTCTGAATCTGAGCTGTTGGGTATCGATACAAATTTGGAAATCTTTTGATTTAAATTTTAAGATGTTAAACTCCACTGCAAAAATCAGTGCATGAATCTTTGAATTTAGATCAGGAAAGAGATCATGTTCCAAAAAATTTTGGAAAGAGATTTAGGAAAAGTTTTGGTTTAGGTGCTGGCTAAAGGAACAGTTTTAGTTGAGGCTTTAGTTAAAAAATTCAAGGTCCTAAATTTTGACTCTCCAGGTCTCCAAGTTGTGTTCTTTAGGTGATTTAGTGTATATAACTACAGAAATATAATCAAATCCATAAATAAAGAACACACAAGTGAAATAATTAGAATTCACATTATCAATTATAATTTCTGATATTTCAAATCAATTACTCTTTTGCCTTTTGAACTAGCCTGAAGGTAATTATTCATGTTGTTAGGTGCATCCATCTTCTGTTCTAACAACCGATGAATATGGAATGTTCCCTGAATATGTTGTATACCATGAGCTGATTTCTACCTCACGTCCATACATGCGCACGGTGTGTGCTGTAGAGGCTTCATGGGCTGATCCAATCTTGGAAAAGATTAAGAACCTGAATGTCAACAAACTGAGGTAAATTTATTTCCTCTGAATTTCTTCAAGGTAATATAGAACAATGAGGTTCATTACCCCTTTTTTATGCAGTGGAGGTCTTGGTCAAAATGGCAAACATGGAACTGAGGGAGAGATCTCAGGCTTGCCACAGAGAGAGCCTGTTGCTACTTCTGGGGCTCCTGATGACCATGAAAGTAAAATTCAGGCTGCTAGGGATCGTTTCCTTGCACGCAAAGGAAAGAAATGACCATCGCCATCATCTGTTTTTCATATAAATGATAGCATTGGCATGTCAAATGCTGGATTGTTTCCCCTGTTTATTGGGGATTATTACTTGAATGAGGCTTGCCAAATTATGCGTGCTAGGGAGACTTGGGGTTGGTGGCTCACTCTCTGTAAATTATGTTTTCTGTCTTCTCAATAAAATAAAACTGTTATATTTTTCCCTGGCTTCTCATTCCCATCTATGGCTTCTCATTTATGAACAGAGCTTGACGGATGAAGTACGATATTGGATTGCTTTTTGGCTTCGAGCAGCATTTATTTCTCTACTCCTGGCACATTGTGTCTCTGTATAACGGTTCAATTCTTCGGGTGCGCAGTGATGCTTGTTCACGATGCAGTGTCTGAAGGAAAGATCCAAATGGTAAACTTTTTGAGATTTGGGGAAATTGGAACGAAGCTGCTTATTTGTTAAACTGATTTCAGACAAGAAAAATCTTTCGTTCCTATGTTGTTTTTTCTGTTCATAGGATAGAGTTTGTTAAAATTTGTTGCAGATTACAAGTAAGCAGAGGCACACACTCCAAAGTAACATCATCCCTCCTTAATCCTGAATGATTTGAAGTAATGAAACGTCACTCAAGAAAGTCTAGAAATTCCAAGTTCATCCAGAAGAGTTTTCAGCTAGATGTTTTCTTGGAAACAGGGAAAAAAGTCAAGGGAAGGGGAAATTGGATGGTGGCTCAAGATATATGTCTACTACCATTAGTACTATTGAGGATGTTGAAGCTTGAAAACTGAATACTTAATTCCATATAAATATTAACCTAGCTTATTAAAATTTTGCCAAAATCTTTGGTATTCTGGCGAATCGAATTTGATTTTCAGTAGATTTACAATTCAAGGTGTTAGTACAATCAGTGTCTCATTGTAAGCAGGAGTGGACTCGACTGGCCCCCAAATTCCAAAGGAAAGTTTCCCTAACTAAAAGATTAAATTTTACCTTCGAAGTATAAAAAATTTTCATACCAATATTTAGAATATTTGAACTATATTTTCTAGTTCCTGCATCTTAAGTCACATAAAAAAAATAAAATGCAGTATGCAGGTTCTTGGATCACCAAAACTGTTTAATTAATTAATTGATTAATAAAAATAATAGAGTAGGGAAATTTTGCGTCTCTCAATGGCGTTGACTGCAACCTAACCTGACGCAGAATCTTAAAATCCAAAACATGTATAAAATCGGTTTCTCCCACCAACTTTGACTGGCGCCCAGTAGCTGACTAATTGGAGCCGAGCCGGACACAGGGTCCACCTACCCAACCAACGAACCCACTCAAGGTCCAACAAACCACTCTTAGTCTTAGCCAAAAATTAAGAGACTGCAACTACCTACCTTTCACATAAATACCTCACCAAGTCTCTCTCTCGTTCGTATTTCCATTAACAGGGAGTTGAGGTGTTTTTGCCTTACGTAGAGTGAGAGAAAATGGCAAGTTCTGGTGTAGCACTTGAGGACGTACCTTCGGTTGATATTATGACCGAACTCCTCCGCCGCTTCAAGTGCTCTTCCAAGCCTGATAAGCGTCTTGTTCTCATTGGTATTTACTTTCTCTCTATTCTGCTTTTGCTAACTTGAGTATCTCTCAGTTCTTTCTTTTATTTGATATGTTTTAAGGGAAAAAATTAGGGTTTTAGTTTCTTTCTTTATGGGAATTCTGTTATCTATCTCTAGTTCATTTGGTTAAAGGAATGCTCTTTCTGTTTCATTTATAAATGGGCCGTTTTTATATTTTGTTGACTAGAACTGGTTGAATCATTCCGTCTACAATGTGCACTGGGACTATTGGATTTAGGTAATTATGAGAATTTGGATGAATTGTAGGTCCGCCTGGCTCGGGGAAGGGTACACAGTCACCCATTATCAAAGATGACTATTGTTTGTGCCACTTGGCCACTGGTGATATGCTCAGAGCTGCAGTTGCTGCTAAGACTCCCCTTGGAGTTAAGGCCAAAGAAGCCATGGATAAAGTAAATTTTAGTTGCTCCTTTGTGTTAAGCCTATGATTTGTATATGTTTTCCTAATCTTTTAGCTTAATATCTAATATGTTGGATTTGTTCTATGCAGGGAGAACTTGTATCTGATGATTTGGTTGTTGGGATAATTGATGAAGCAATGAAGAAGCCATCATGTGAAAAAGGTTTCATTTTGGATGGGTTTCCGAGGACAGTTGTTCAAGCTCAGAAGGTTACATTCTTTTTTCCTGTTATGTAGTTAATGTTCAAGTGCATTTGTTTCTTTTCTGAAATTTTTCTTGGGTTTGGCATTGGCAATTTTCCAACTTGTTAAATGATGTTTTCCCATTTTGATACAGCTTGATGAGATGCTTCAGAAGCAGGGAACTAAAATTGATAAGGTCCTCGACTTTGCAATTGATGATGCTATATTGGAAGAAAGGATTACTGGTCGTTGGATCCATCCTTCCAGTGGACGGACTTACCACACCAAATTTGCACCGCCCAGAGTTTCTGGTGTTGATGATGTAAGTTGGCATCCAGTAACCTGTTTTCTCCCTGTTATGTTTTTGAAATTTGATGAAAAAATAAGTTGCCCATTATTGTTGTGCCTTGGTAAATGGATTATCTAGTAATATGTTATCACTACTGTCATCATTTGGGATTCCAGCAACATAAACTTCCAATCATTTTGGTATATGTTTGCTGCAATGTCATTCTGAAATCTTTGGACTTGAATCTTGCTAAAGTGGAATTAGTTCAATCCCAAGTTTAATTATAGAATTTCACAAATGGAGTCCACCGTTGAAGAGTAAGGTATCTGCTTAAGAAATATTTACTTTTCCTTTATACCCTTCATTATAAATGGTTTTAAGTTTTAGGAATAACTTTTTTTTAAAAAAAGAGGACAATTTTGGTAAAGTATGGATATTTTAAATGACGTGACACTATAATTAATGCGAAACTTTGTGCAAAAGTCAACAGGACAAATATTTTGGGACGGAGGGAGTATTATTTATGTTCAGCGCGTAGTTAAACTTTGCGCTTTCGGAAGATTTTCAATCACCTTGCTACAAAATGGAGTTTACGATGCATGCATTCAGCTAAAACAGAAGACTCGGGACGACATAATTATCATCAATCCTAACATATTTTCGCCCTTTGTTTTTCCTGTGGCAAAACAGGTTACTGGGGAGCCTCTGATTCAACGAAAAGATGACACCCCAGAAGTTCTGAAGTCAAGGCTGGATGCATTTCACAAGCAAACTGAACCTGTAGGCTTTCCCCCTTTCTTATATGCTTATGTTTTTCTTTCTTTATTTACATTTTTAGGCAATGAAAATTCTCTTTCTTTATTCTTATCACAAATCAATTTTTAAGGCTTCATGCTTGGAAAAAGATCAGCATCTATTTATTTATATTTTATGTGTATATATGTGTCACTCAAACTGAAGCTTAGAGGTTTTTTCGGTGGCCTTTGTGCATATATTGAAATGCTTTACCCCTGGTAAATGCAGAAAACTTTAACCTTCAATATTATGCTGGTATTAGTATATATCAATACAAGCTTCTCTACTTTGTAATTTAGACTTTGGTGGCATTGAAATCCAATTCCTGTTTCCAATTCTCTTCTTAATTCTTTGAGTGTCATAAATTTGAAATGGCTTCCCCAAGGTCTATATGCTTCTACTTGTACCGTACCAGGCGGAAGCAATAATTGCATTTAGGGTAAATGCTTGAGCTTGTCAAGTCTTTGGATATTTTATCGACCATAAAGATTTAGTAGTACAAATTCTTTAGATTAGGCCATTCTATGAATTTTGATTTAACAAATTTTAAAATATCTTTTTGTTACGCAGGTTATTGATTATTATGCGAAGAAAGGTGTTCTTGCACAGCTTCACGCAGAGAAACCCCCGAAAGATGTAACTGCTGAGGTTCAGAAGGTTCTCTCTTCATAAGAGTGACCTATGTTTTCTAGAGTAGCTCATATTTCGTCTGATACATTGTCAGATGGGCTAATCAGTGGTTCCTCCCAATTTTCATTTAAGATACCGATTTCAATACTGTTTATCGAGTCTTTGGAGTATTTTGTGTTAGTTACCCAATAAAAATTTTGTACCAAACATGAGAATTTGCTGTAATGCTAAAAATTTGTTGCTTTGGTTAAATCACTGTGGCTCTATGTCTGGCTGGCTTTCTTATTGTTTGATTTGATTTTGCTAATGAGATAAAAAATAAATCAAAATAGACAAAGATGCTAAGGACTATATATTAGTAGCTTTGTAAAATGAACGATGGACAAATTGGAGAACAGAGTTGGGCATGTACCCACCAGAGGCAGGAACAGATAAAAAATAGTTCGATTAGAATTGGTTCAGACACCCAACGAAAGGACAGTTATATTCATATACCCTTAAGAATTGGGAACACAAGAAAATAGTTTAACTATAATTGGTGTGGGCCCACTTCCACAGGAAGGAACCCTCCAAAAATTGGCGTATGCCGCTATCTGCGGCGAGCACACGGTATTCTTTAGTAAAAGGCGAAAGAATAGTTCGCTTTGTGCTCACCGCGCGGCTGCGTGCTTTTTCTGTGCCATTTCATCAAGTTTTTATAGAGCGTTTGTCGACTTCTCATTTCTTATTTTGCGATGTGGGATTACGAAAATACACTGGCTTGAAAGGGATTCCGCGTCGGGTTTGGGCTTGAACGCTTTGGGCGGGTTGCACATCCCTTTAAAAGCCCAAGTCTAGCCCAACATGAATTAATTAATCATCGTGATCACTGTTATACTTCTTTTTTCAGTGCTACTCGTTCAGTTTCTCCTGCTCTACAGTATACTTTCTAAATGCTCTCTCATTTCAGCTTTGAACTCTCCATCTGCAATTTGTTTCCACCGCTTTTCAACTCTGCATTTGATGCGATTCTCTTCGATTCCTCTCCATGTTCGATATCGAATCGCAGAGATTTGAAACATGAAGCTGACACCGAGAGAAGTTGACAAGTTAGGACTCCACAACGCTGGTTTTCTTGCTCAGAAGCGTCTCGCTCGTGGCCTCACACTCAATTATACTGAAGCTGTAGCTCTTATTGCTACTCAGGTTGTTTTTTCTGTTCTTACTTTTTTTTATATCTTTTTCTTTTGAAGATTGTCTTTAATTTGAGCTTTCTTTGTAGATTTTGGAGTTTGTCCGCGATGGTAACAAGACTGTGGCTGAATTGATGGACCTTGGAAAACAATTACTAGGAAGGTGTTTTTAGTATATTTAAATTTTATTTTCAGTTTTGTTTTGGCTGAATTTTAATTGCTTGCTCGTGGTTTATAACAATGCTGTTCGCGTCTTCAATGGCAGGCGACAAGTTCTTCCAGCGGTTCCACATCTTTTGCATACTGTACAGGTATAACTTAGTTTGGTCAAGCACTTAGGCTAGCTATACCTACTTAGCCTACATTGAAGATTTCTTATCAACTCATCATTAGTTGTTGTATATGTTTAGCAAAAACTTTTATGAAGATAGCTAAGCAATTTGACTCAATGAATTATGGAATTGAAAGAGGTAAACAGATGGAAAGTTACTAGGGAAATTCTTGTATGTTTCCCTTTTTCTTTTGATCAATTGCCAATGAATCGATAGCACCTTGGGAAAAGTCCTCATTATTTACTAGTTTGAGTATCTCCTGCGATTTTCTTCTAAAGAAACATGGGGAACAACATTTAAGAATATTAGGAAAAAAAATGTTTACATTATTGAACACATGACTGGGCTTTTTTCAAGCTTATGAACTCATTATTAATGATTCTCATTACAAAATTATTGAATCCATTGCTTGATTGTAAACAGGTTGAGGGAACATTTCCTGATGGGACCAAATTAGTCACTGTTCACGATCCTATTGCTAGTGAAAATGGGAATTTGGAGCTAGCTTTACATGGTTCCTTTCTTCCAGGTAAATGTCTTAACTTGGGCTGCATTGTTTCGAGGTACTTTGTTAGGCAATGGAAATGGTAGATTCTAATGCCTAAGGATTCCCATAGGTACGTAAATAAAATAATTATTGATATCAGTGATCTTTTGACATGTTAGAACGTGATGAATTATTCACTCCCATGTACTCCTATCACCCTGACTATCTTATTTCTTCTACAGATTTGCATGTCTAAGCTTAATGAATTTATGCATAAAAAACCACCTTTGCTGTTTTGTGGTTGACAATTTTTACCCGAGCTTTCCACAAGGACTCATAGACTAATAAGTAAAATCAAACCTTACAACAGAATATCTGATGGGCACTGTGGAAAATGATAATTTTGCAGTTCCTTCACTTGACAAGTTTCCTGGAGTAGATGATGACGAAATTCCAGGTGTGATTATCTTTGGAGATGGAAATATTACACTCAATCCTGGAAGGAAAGCAGTGATTCTCAGAGTTGTTAACCGTGGAGACAGACCCATTCAGGTTCTCCAGTAACTTGTTATTTTAGACTTCCCTTCCTAGGACACCCTGCTTATTGTGCAAGCGTGCTACAATAGCCTGGTGTGCCCTTAACCACCTTTTCAGATTTAGCTTTTTTAATTGTTCATCGCTTTTTAGGTAGGAAGCCACTATCATTTCATTGAGACCAACCCTTCTTTGTATTTTGATCGAATGAAAGCATATGGCATGCGCCTGAACATACTAGCGGGAACAGCTACACGATTTGAGGTTGGACTTGGTAACTTTTCCTAATTATGGCATATTTTATGTTTTACTTTATATGTATAAATTTTTGCAATCAAGTGCAATTTATTCATCATGTTACAAGTCAGTCTAGCTTGAATGGCATGTTGTCCCTTAAGAAACACTTATTTTCTTTGTGTTAGATGTTGACATATGCATAAAAGAAGCTTGTGATGTTGGTTGCCTGAGATGGAATAAAATCTTGTGTCGTGAATAGGTCACCTTCTTGTTGACCCAACTAATTTTGAGATTAAGGTTTAGTTGTTATCGTTGCTGTTGCTGCTGCTGTCATGAAGAAGATGTCAACTTAAAAGGGAGATAATCAATTCAATGAATAGGAGAGCCCATAAACATCAATCTAAAATTCCAGAATTTGAACTCAAGAACTATTTTAAGTTTTGATAATTGTCTTTGTAGATAACTATTCCAGTGGGCCTGTGATATATATTAGCACAAAAAAGAATATTAACAAAGAAGCTAGAGTGTAAATTTGTTTTCCTTTGAATTTTATCATAGAATTTTATTTCCTACTTGATGTGTCTTAATCTAAAGGATATTACCTCCTCTTTCAATCAATCCACTCTATGCGTTTTATGTTGTGTCCTAAGACTTGTTTTACTTTTGCCAGCCAGGGGAAAGTAAAAGTGTTATCCTAGTAAGCATTGGAGGTGGAAAGGTGATCAGAGGTGGAAATGGCATTGTTGATGGTCCAGTTGATGATGCTAACTATGAAGCAGTAGCAAAAGCTATAACCGAGGGAGGTTTTGGGAATCAGGAAGAAACAAATGCTAGGTTGTGATTAGGCTACTCCACCAAATTGGTTGGAAATATATGAAGTTGTCTTACTTGAGAACTAATCTTTTGCAGTGAAGGCGTAACTGGAGAAGGTTCTACTTTCAGCACTATTGTTTCTCATGAGGCATATGCTAACATGTATGGCCCTACTACTGGTGACAAAATTAGGCTTGGGGATACCAATCTCTATGCAGAAATTGAAAGAGATTTTGCTAGTTATGGCGATGAATGTATTTTTGGAGGTGGGAAAGTGATAAGGGATGGAATGGGTCAGTCATGTGGGGATCAACCAGTTGACTATCTAGACACTGTTATCACAAATGCTGTGATCATTGACTATAGCGGAATCTACAAGGCAGATATTGGTATTAGAGGTGGAATTATTGCTGCCATTGGAAAAGCAGGAAATCCAGATACCATGAATGATGTTAATGATGATATGATCATTGGGGTAAGTTCCATTTCACAGTGCTTTCAAAATTGTAATGGCATGTCGATGGCTCATATTCACACGTGTGTCATCTTCTTCATCTTCTTTTATTTATTAGGCTAACACTGAGGTTATATTCACAATTAGGTTAACACTGAGGTTATTGCGGGCGAAGGAATGATTATAACTGCAGGGGCCATAGATTGTCACGTGCACTTCATATGCCCCCAACTGGCATATGAAGCAATATCAAGTGGTGAGATCAGAGCTGGAAGTACTTAAGCTTGAATCAGCATGCAAAAGACCCATCCTTACATATTAATCATTATATGAACAAAAGTAGCAACATATAATAATTTCTTATTTCTTATTTGTTACTTTTACTGTCCTTTTGAAGATTACATGCTTGTTATATGCAGTTCTCCAATCTATATTTTGTGAATTTCCCTAGTCATTTCTGGTGCTGTGGTAAAATTGTTAGGCTGACGAGGTCATTGCAACTGGAATTTTGGGTCCTGCAAAGGTCCTGTTTCTGAGATTATATCTGCATTTGCTATATACAAGATTATTTTCTTGCTTGCTATTCCAATTGTCTCTTTTCTTTATGGTTAATATTCTATTTCTCTCTTGTATGTACTGAGAGTAGAAATTAGAGGAGGTACATTGAAAAGGTAAAAGATACTTGGAAAAATACCCATGTTGCAGGTCTTTATTCCAAGAAGGAATCATTCTTGTAACTCATTTTATATACTTTTTTCCTTCTTTACTGCTTGATGATATCCACACTTGGACTTGTTTATGACATCTCAAACTCATTGGCTTATCACTTTTCATTCTGAGTAATCTCTGTGCAAGTTGTGTGGATCATATATAAAAGTAAAATTAAATAAATATCCTTGTGAAATGACTTAACAGATTTCTCTTACAAAATTGCATGATATATGCAGGCATCACTACACTTGTGGGAGGTGGAACAGGACCTGCTGATGGGACACGTGCAACTACCTGTACTCCTGCTCCATTCCAGATGAAATTGATGCTGCAATCTACTGATGACCTGCCTCTGAATTTTGGGTTCACTGGAAAAGTATGCTTAAATGTTTTTGTATTTGTTTTTTATTCATCTTTGCTATTGATATATACATGAATTTTCCAGGATATACCTTATCAATAATCTTACAAATTGCCTGGATGAATGAAGTTACCCTTCCTACTCGCATTTCATCTGCGTTCTCAATCATATTTTGTTTATTTTTAGGGTAATGGTTCCAAGCCTGCTGAGCTACGTGAAATAATCGAAGCTGGGGCAATGGGGTTAAAGCTACATGAGGACTGGGGAACTACTCCTGCTGCAATAGACAGTTGTTTGACTGTTGCAGAAGAATATGATATACAGGTATCTTTCTTGAAAAGAAAAAGGACTTGGAGTAGCACATTTAATGCTGAAATCTCAACTTTTGTTTGATTGTGGCAGGTCAATATCCACACGGACACCTTGAATGAATCAGGATTTGTAGAGCACACAATTGCTGCATTTAATGGAAGAACTATTCATACATATCACAGGTATAGTTGTTTCATTCTCAATTTTCCACTATGACCAACAGTTTGACTTTAATATCAAGTGTTACAGTTTTGTAAACTACATACATGAGGCTTTTATATCATGAGGCTTCATACATGAGGCTTTATAAAATGACAATCCAATGTTATTTCTTTTTGAAACTTTATATCATGAGGCTTCATGAAGGAATTTTTCAAGAAGACGAGGAATAAAATGGTTTAATAGCCAAGGCCCTGGTAGCTGTCCTATGTTTTGACTGCATTCTTGGTAGTGGTTGTCAATTTAACAGTTAGGCATTTTGGCTGTTTATATTTGTTCATACTCTCAATCCCTTTTTCGTGACTTTCCATTGCTATTAGATGGATTATTGTTGATCTTTTAGGTCTTTGGTGTGTTATGAGAATCATAATCATGTCCATTTTACTTTCTAATTAATTATATAATTCCGTCCCTCTTTGTTATTAACATTGGTACCTTATTGGCCAGTGAAGGTGCAGGTGGTGGTCATGCTCCTGATATTATCAAAGTATGTGGTGTGAAAAATGTCCTACCATCATCGACAAATCCTACCCGGCCATATACTCGCAATACTATTGATGAACATCTTGATATGCTGGTATTGTAAGATTCCAAAAGTGTTGGCACAAAATGCTTTATGGATATTTGTTCTCAATCTGTATTGGGCACGTGCAGATGGTCTGCCACCATCTTGATAAAGACATTCCAGAAGATGTAGCTTTTGCTGAATCAAGGATAAGGGCTGAAACAATTGCTGCAGAGGACATATTGCATGATATGGGTGCAATTAGCATTATATCTTCTGATTCACAGGCTATGGGTCGCATTGGAGAGGTTATCTGTTTCCTTCTGTTCATATTATTCTCGATCTTCTTCTATGTGCATTTTGATTCCCATAAGAATGTTTAAGACTCATAACAATCTTCCTTGTTGAAGACAGTCTGACTTGATTGTGCATGTGAAAAATATTATTTTCTCTGTCATTCTATGATCTCACTATGGTTACACTTGAAAAGATATTGAGCTTTAGCAATTCCTCAGATGCTTGTAAATTTGCAGATTCATTTATTACTTGCAATAATTCTTGAGAGCTGATGTCTAAATGAGTTGAATTATTTTCTTACCAGGTCATAAGCAGGACTTGGCAAACTGCTGACAAGATGAAATCACAAAGGGGAGCAATTGGCCCTGGTGGATCAGACAATGACAACTTCCGTATCAAACGATACATTGCAAAATACACTATAAACCCAGCAGTTGCAAATGGGTTTGCTGATTTAATTGGTTCAGTTGAGGTATGCTAGTTTGAGTCGTTATGTGCCACAGTTACATGGTGCACCAATCCTTCTCATAATGTTCTACTAATTCAAATTTTTCAAATTATAGCTTGGCTAAACCATACGAACTCTGTAATTGGCAATAAAATCAGTATGGACTCTCCCTTTCCATCTTTCAATGTCCCTGCAGGTAGGAAAGTTTGCTGATCTTGTTTTATGGAAGCCATCTTTCTTTGGGGCAAAACCTGAACTGGTGCTTAAAGGTGGTGTAATTGCATGGGCTGACATGGGTGATCCAAATGCAAGCATCCCCACACCTGAACCGGTAATACTTGAGACTATCATCGTAAATGCAAGTGTCTTATATGTTTGATTGTGTGGCTTGACCATGCATTGTTATTAACTTCTCGTGTTATGACCTTATGACTTTGGGAATTTTATTATCTTTTGTTGTTGGGTTTTTAATGTTATCTCTCTTATTGATTGAATTTGTGTGATTGCGGGTGATCACTTTAATTCCGAACTAGCTTATCCAAAAGCAAAGCTCCATAGAGGATCATAACCACTATTGGTATTTCACATTTTTCCACGAGACTAGGAAACCTATTTTAAATTGGCCTGAAAGGACAGAATCAACCTGAACTTTTGTTGATGATATGAGTTGCTGCAGGTGATTTCGAGGCCTATGTTTGGAGCATACGGCAAGGCTGGCAGTGCTAACTCCATTGCTTTTGTCAGCAAGGCATGATTTTCCAGCTCTCTCACACACACACACTCTCTCTATCATGCTTATGTGCACAAATATTAAAAGTTTTCGTTCCCCTTTTTTATTGTAAACAGGCTGCCGTAAATAATGGGATAAAGGCCATGTATAGACTGAACAAAATGGTGAAAGCCGTGGGCGATGTTAGGCGACTCACCAAACTCGACATGAAGCTAAATGATGCCCTTCCAAGTATCACGGTGGATCCAGAAACATACATAGTGACAGCAGATAATGAGGTTCTCACCTGCGCTGCTGCCACCACGGTTCCCCTTTCGCGGAATTACTTCCTCTTTTAGGTATCATTACGAACACCTTGACTAAAAATTACAATAAATGCCAAATGAATGAAATTCCATTTTTTCCATTATTGTGTTGTATCTTTCACTTATGATGTTAGTATAATGACATCCTTGCCCTGATAATGCATGCTATTCATCTTGGTATTATCAGTATTTCCGCTTACCCAAATAATGGAAAGTGGAACTTTGCATATATTTTTATCTTAATAGCTGGTACGAAGAGCATAAATTGTTGCAAGTTCTCTTTTTTTTTTTTTTTTTTTTTTTTAAGTGGAACTTTGCGCATATATTTTTATCTTAATAGCTGGTACGAAGAGCATAAATTGTTGCAAGTTCTCTTTTTTTTTTTTTTTTTTTTTTTTTGTGAAAATTTAGAATCAATGATATCTTTTGCAATCCAATAGAATAGATATACTAGATATAGAATCTCAAACATAATTTAACTGCTTGTGAAACTTGCACTGTTTAATGATTCAACAGTCAATAATAGACATTTTTCTTTTGTTTAGTCATAAATTGTGAATTCAGGACAAGTCCCAAGATGTCATGTGGAACCATGTTACACAAACCAAACAAGTAGTACTATTATTTTAGTTATTAGATAAATGCATGACAATTAAATAATAGTCATGCTGATGATATACATAATCAACATCCAAATTGAAAATTGGATTTCCATTTTTCCATAATGGATACCTTAGATTCAAACATACATACTTATCCAGGAAAGAGAAAGCCTCCTTCTCTATTTTTATTTTGTTTTTTAGGTGGGGAAATGTATGACAGCTATTGAATACTCCTAACAATTTAAAAAAAAAATTATATTTCGATTTTTAGTGCATGAGGTCAGAGATTTGAATACCAATAACTCTCATCCTCTCTATACCAATAATAATAATAATAATAATAATAGTCATATTGATGATGATGTAGGTTTATTCAAGGCATTTATAACATGACAAATAAGCCTTAATTATTTAGTAATTTCATTAAATTGTAGATGCAAAATACTTCTCAAAAAAAAAAAAAAAAAAAAAAAAAAAAAAAAAAAAAAAAAAAAAAAAAAAAAAAAAAAAAAAAAAAAAAAAAAAAAAAAAAAAGAGATTCAGAGTATAAATACATTTGAATTTGTTGTGAGATTTTGATTGATACTATTGTTATTAGTTATTACAAATGCAGATTTTAAGCTAAAATTAAAAATAATTTTATAGGGCTATGAATGTACTTGTACATTGATTAAGATAGAATTTTTTTATTGGTTCAAAATCTATTAACAATATTGAAAGAACCCTACCTACTTTCTGCCATTAGTACAAGCAAAAAAATGGCCAATAACATTACTTTATATGTAAATATCGCTTTTAATTTAATCCATGTGAACCAGTCATCTCCTTATTTTTCTTCCCCAGGCTTGACTTTGAAAGTCTCCCAACTTTTTTGTGCTTATTCTATATTTGAATAGAGTAGTTATGGTCCCATGTATCTGGCTCAAGGGTTGGACTGCCTACTTTGGTCACTTCCTTTTTTTTTTCCATTTTTAAAAAAAATAGAAATGAGTCTTAAATTATGTTGAAAGTGACATACGGTCCCTCTACTTTCAAAAGATACCTTAACGTCGCTAACTTTTTAATTCAGTGCGAAGTGAAAGGACTAAAACATCCTTCCAAATATTAATACTGATAATTAAATTTATTATGTTTAATTAAAAAAAAAGATAATATTAATAATGGGTATTCAAATTGTACATACTTATAAAGTATTGCAGTCTTAGTAGTTTTGGCATTTAGCGAAGAAAATTACTCTTTTAGATAGAAAAATCTTGTTGGGACAGAATTAAAATTTCGGATTGTCAAGTTACTTTCTAAATAGAAAAATATGTTAATCTGAATATAATTTAGTAACTCATTTCCGTTACCCAAATTTAAATTTAAAAAGTAAAAATAAAATAACACACATTTCAAACGACATCTTGTGTTAATGTGCGAACGACGGAATGTGCTGCAAAGTTGATGAATAGCTTTGGTTCAGACTTCAGATTGTTAATATCTTATTTCGATTATTAACTCAACAAAGAATAGCTTAAATGAATCACTAACTGATGTTTCTGGAAAAAAAAAACAGAAATCGTACTATATAAGATTCGTATCACATTGTTAAGGTGTTAATCACCATGAATTATTGAGTCCAAAAGTCAATAAAGTATTATTTGGGATGAATTTATCCCACCAAACGTACAAAAAAAATCAACAAATTATATGCATATTATCATGAATTTGTATCATTGGCCTCACTAAAAATATTATTTTATTCCATTAAACTTTAATTTTTAAAAAATTACTAAATTAACATTATCTTGTTCCAATAAGTAATTTTAAAAATCACTAAAAATATGATTTTGAAGAAACACTATAAAGTTTATCTTTCATGCGCATATTATTTTACTATATTGAAAATCATGTCGTTTTTGCAAGTGTATATTTTAGTTTCGTCTATTAAATGCATACATTTTAGTTTTTAATTTCTTAGATAAATAACTATTTTAGTCCCTCATGTTTAGTTATAATTACTATTTCATCTCTCTTGTTTGGCAAACATCCTTATTATTATTATTATTATTATTATTCATCCTTATTATTATATTATTATTATTATTATTATTATTATTATAATATAATTATTATTATTATTATATATATATATTAGGTTTAGCCTCATTAAACTGTTTAGAGATTAAATACGTTGTAATATTGATTATTTGGTCATTCACGCTATTTAATGTATTTATCAAGTAAGATGATGAGATTATAATTATAATTAAATTTGAGGGACTAAATAGTTATTCTTTTTTTAGTGGCATTTTTATGTGCCTATGCCACTTAGGGTTTGTTTAACAAAATTAATTATTTTGATAGTTTTAATAGCGTATAGCTGTCAACTATTTAAATAGTTTTTCATAAAACGTCACATGAGTTAAATTTTTATAAAATATTACCTTAACATCTAAAAGTTACTTTAAATGCTATGTTATCGAATATTATAAAAAATTAACGTTTCGTCGAAACGCTAAAAGTTATTTAAAAAACTGTTAGCGGATAGCTTAAACTTTGGTAAAACTTGGTATGGGGAGGGTAGTGTTAATTATATAAAAATGGGAAATGAAGATTATAATATAATGAATAGGCCATGTGTGAATAAATATATATAAATAAATATTACTTTTGGATCCTAGTTTTAAATTAAACAAACATCAAACATCATAATATAATCAATACACCATGTGTGAATATATTAGGCGTTTAACTTCATACAGCTGGCTTGAGGAAGAGAATACTATTCTTGTCATTTGAAATCCAAATCAATCTAACCTTTCTATTATATATGTTCAAACAATAAAAATTTGATCATCCATATCAAAGTTGGTACTAATATTTGATAAACTAGTTCATTTCCAAGGGAATAATTTGATTTTCACTTTCTTACTAAGGGATATAAAATAGGCATACATAACTAAAAGACTCAGATTTATTAAAATTCATTATTTATTGAAATTAAGTGATTGTCTTTTTTTTTTTTTAGAAATTAGGTGATTGTTAAGAAATAAAGATGTAAAAGCTTATACCCACGTGTATATTTAGATGAGTAGTTCAATATTCTTCTCCCTCAAGTCCTTCACAGTAACCTGACTTGATGGAGCAAAATTTTATATTTTTTATTAAATAATTACAGAGGAAAAAGGGAAGCGAAACACAGTTATCATATTTTCTATATATTCATTTTAGTGGGAGAAAAAAAAATAAATGTGAATACATACAACATAGTTTGCTTTCATGTAAAGTGTATGCACGCACTGTTTATACATTACATAGGGGACAAGAACAAAGTATTTCTTTATAAGAAAAGTTTGTAGGGGACAAAAAATTAAATCCACATTTTTTTTGGGGTAGACAAAAGTTATATTAATGATTGCACTTTATAATAAAATCACATCCACTTTTGGGCACTACAAAATATGAACTCATGGTTGAGGATGAGATAGTTGCTGAGTCACTATAATGCATACTTTCATCATATTCAGCAATTTTCTTAGTTAACAAGTTAAGTGACTTCTAAAATTAAATTTTGGAGTTTAGCTCTAAATTCTATATTCCACTAATAAAAGTAGAATTAAATTATATTATTTTTTATGTGTATCGAGGAGATTAATCTTTTGCCCTAATTTTAATTATATAATTATTTTTTCAATAATTTTAATTATATAATTTTCATATCAATATTATAAGTGATTAGCTTTTATATTAATATAATTGGTGGTTAAGTCACGGGAATGGGACAAAAAAAAAAAAAAAAAAAAATTGGTTGGTTAAGTCACGGGAATGGGAAAAAAAAAAAAAAAAAAACTATTGTTTTGCTGTTTTTGTTTTCTAAAAAAAAAAAAAAAAAAACTATTGTTTTGCTGTTTTTGTTTTCTTTGACCATGTCTTCCTCTTATTTGCAACTAATTTTTATATTAATATAATAAGCAACGAAGCCATGTCTTTCTTAAAAAAATAAATAAAACTAACTATTATCATTTCTTTTTTTTTTTTTTTAATCATTTGTCTATCTTGTTTCATATCCTCAGGAGTTTGTTCCCTTAATTTAAATTATTCGTTTGGCCCTGTATGCCATAAAAAATATTATTCGTAATAATATAAAGTTTTCTTTATATATGATAATAGAAAATAGTCATATAATTATAATCTATGAAATAATATTTTACTTCGTTCCACAACAATAAATTCATTTTTCTTTTATTTATTCCGGAATATAATCTATTTCTTTTTTTAAAAGACCATTTATTATTTTATTTTTCAATATATATGTATTTAATATTGTCATTAATATTAGGAGAAGGTATTTTAATAAAAAAATCAAATAAAAATATAGTTTAATTATATTAATCAGTGTTTCTTAAATACCTCCTTTTTAAGTTAAAATTTTTGTCCTGAAAACCATGTTTTGAAACAGCCTTATGAATTTCCGAATCAGTGGACGAGTTGACGCTGTCCGTTGAAGATTTTGTGCGAAAGCACTGTCAGTTTTATTTCCTCCTAACAGCCACAGCACTCTCTCTCTCTCTCTCGATTCTACTCTGGAATCATTCACAGCCTTTCCTGCATTCCACTTTCAGTGGCTCGTGCTTTTGACGCGCCACTACAAAGAGTGGTCTCTTCACCAGCCTACCACTCCTCCTCTTCACCAGCACTCTCTCTCTCTGAGTTGCAGCCGAGCTGAGCAGCCTTGTTTCCTCAACTTCATCTTTCCTTTTTTCTCCTCTCGAAAGACACAGAGATGTATACAGTGAAACAACTATCTCCTTTGAAGTCAAAGATCAATTCCCGGCGATCACCGGCGGTAGGAGTCGCCGGAAACAACGGTGTTAAGCTAACGACTCGAGTGCCGGTTTCACGCGTCAATTATGGTAGTTCAATCCGAGCAGCGATAAGTAGCGAAGACAAGACTGTAGAGTCTGCCAAGTCTAATAATAATGAAATAAGAGGGCGATCAGTGTTGTCTTCTTCTTTGGATGAGAAAAAAGGAAGAGGAATTGATGTAAGAGCTGTCATTACTATAAGGAAGAAAATGAAAGAAAAGATCAATGAAAAATTTGATGATCAATGGGAGTATTTTGTTAATGGCATTGGTCAAGGGATTTTAATTCAACTTATTAGTGAAGAAATTGATCCTGGTTAGTTAAATCTTCTTCTTCTTAATTCTTTTTTTTTTTTCATAGATTTAATTTTGATTTTGTGTTGAGTAACTAAGTGCTATTGCTTGCTTTGATCTTATAGTGACCAACTCAGGAAAGAGTGTGAAGTCTACTGTGAGAGGCTGGTTGCCAAAGCCATCAAACCATGCTCATATTATTGAATATGCAGCTGATTTCACAGTCCCGTATGATTTTGGTAATCCAGGAGCTGTTCTTATTACCAATCTTCATGGAAAAGAATTCTACTTGGTGGAGATTGTTATTCATGGCTTTGATGGAAGTCCTTTTTTCTTTTCTGCAAATACATGGATCCATTCCCAAAAAGATAACCCTGAAAGTAGAATTATCTTTAGAAATCAAGTAAGGGAACTATGTTTAATTTAATATTTACTTGTTCTGCTTGTTTCCTTTAATTGTTTTGTTTAATTCTGTTTACATAGTAGTTAATCACATTTTTTTCCATTATCTAAATTGTTCTATGTAATTGAATAGGCATATTTGCCATCACAAACACCTCCTGGCATTAAAGATCTCCGGCATGAAGACTTGCTTAGCATTCGTGGTAATGGAAAAGGCAAGAGAAAGCCTTATGATAGAATTTATGATTATGCTACTTATAATGATTTAGGTAATCCTGATAAGGATGAAGATCTTGCTAGGCCGGTTGTCGGTGGTAGTAAAGATTTGCCTTATCCTCGGCGTTGTAGAACTGGCAGGCCTCCAACCAAGACTGGTATAGAAGTCTTTAAAGAATTTGAATGTTTATAATCATGACATTTTGCTTGTACTAATTCCAATTTGGTATGTATTAATTTCTTTAGATCCACTTTCTGAAAGTAGGATTGAGAAGCCACGTCCAGTGTATGTTCCTCGAGATGAAACTTTCGAGGAAATCAAGCAGAGTACTTTCTCTGCTGGAAGATTGAAGGCTTTGCTACACAATCTCATTCCTTCTATTGCTGCTGCATTGTCAAGTTCAGATGTTCCCTTCACTTGCTTCTCTGATATTGATAAGCTATATAATGATGGTCTTCTCTTAAAAGCAGAAGAGCATAAATTAGTCCATCCTGCCGTGGGCAAGGTTATGAAACAGGTTCTCAGTGTTGGTGAAAGGCTATTGAAATATGAAATCCCAGCTATAATAAAACGTATGTATTCTTATCCTGACCTTTCTTTTTTTTTTTTTTTTTTTTTTTCTTCTCCTTTCTTTTTTTTTTTTTTTTTTTTCCCTTCGTTCAATAATTTTTGCAACCCAGATAGTTTCTGGACTAATAAGGCGTGCCATTCGCTTATCCTTAACTGGACAATTAAGTTTCTTATCTTTTATTGATCATATGGTTGCTACAGGGGATAGATTATGCTTGGTGCGTGGACAACGGTTTGCACGCCCAGGCCTTTGGCTGGGGGGTCAAAATCAGTGGAACATTGAGCTTCTGAAGGTATTAAATTATGGCACCTGTTATTCTGTTTCTTGTTTTAAAGGGTTGCACGTTTTAAGCCCAATTTTATTTTGTGAAATCACTTAGCTTGTGGCTTCTGATTCCACAGGGAATTTCCTAAATTCGCAGTAAACCTGAGACCGGCTTCTATATATGGTCCTCAATTCCGATCAGCACGTGACAAAGGGATTTAGTAAGAGCCATGGAACCGTGGAGAGTGGGAAATTGAATTGTAAGAAAAGGTACGTGATTGCTCTGCAAGATTGCTTACATATTAAGCATTTTCGTAACAGAACCAGTATTACATCGTCCTTTCTTTGCCCCTTATTTCTTTTTCCATTATTTGCTTTTCTGGATCAAATGCATATGTTAAATCCTGTTCGCCAAACATCCCCATGTTGTTTCAGCACAACTAATGTGTTGTAAAGTTGGTGATTGATGTTGTGTCTAATAGTATTAGAACTGTAATATAGTTTGGCGCTATGCAACTTCTATAGTTATGGTTGGCTGTGATTTGGCCTGGCAATTTAGTGATTATGAAGAGGGCAATTGGACTTGCAGGGTTAAAATTGGGGCAAATGCATTTCTTTTTATTAAACAAAATAGACTTTCTGCTTTTGTATGGTACGATTCTGCTGGTTTACATTATCTCTAGATCCTTATGATAATTGGAGTGGATTCCTATGGGAAAGAAAATTTATACTATATTAGAAAGATGAACAGTGGATTAGGCTCCTGATATGAAGAATTGTAACTTATCTAAGTCCTTGACGTTGATAACTCCTGATTACAGGCAATTGAGGGAGAGGCTATTTAATACTTGGATTACCATGAACCCATACTTTTTAGCCGCATTTTATCGGGGGACCGCGCGAAGATGAACTCCTTACCAGGGAGATGAAGAGCTTATGGCCCCGTCATAGGGAGCAATGCATCTTTTTCCATATAATTCATCTAAGTAATGGCCTGAGGGCCTAGTAGCTATTGAGCCTGTCACTATCCTCCAACACGCTTTCCGTGACTCCAGCAATAAACGTGTTTTTTCGACTCAGTGCGGCAGTTTTTTTTTTTTTTTTTTTTTTTTCCTTCGTTCATAATTTTTCAACCAGATAGTTTCTGACTCTAAAGCTGCATTCGCTTATCCTTACTGACAATAAGTTCTATCTTTTATGATATATGTTCTCAGGGGATAGATTTGCTTGGTTGCGTGACAACGAGTTTGCACGCCAGGCTTTGGCTGGGGTCAATCCAGTGAACATTGAGCTTCTGAAGGTATTATTTGGCACTGTATTCTGTTCTTGATTTTTAAAGGTTGCACTTTTAGCCAATTTTATTTTGTGAATCCTTAGCTTGTGCTCTATTCCACAGGAATTTCCAATTCGCAGTAAACTAGACCCTTCTATATATGGTCCTCCCGAATCAGCACTGACAAAGGATTTAGTAGAGCATGAACTCAATGGAATGATTGTAGAAAAGGTACGTGATCTCTGCAGATTCTTACATATTACATCTACAGAACAGTATTACATCTCCTTCTTTGCCCCTTTTTCTTTTCCATTATTTGCTTTTCTGGTCAAAATGTTAAATCTGTTCCACATCCCATGTTGTTTCACACACTAATGTGTTGTAAATTGGTGATTGATTTAAAGTATTAGACCTTAATAATTTGCCTCACTTCTAAGTATTTGCTGATTTGCCTACATTTTTATAAAGCAAATTGGACTTGCAGTAAAATGGCAATCTTTCTTTTATTAAACAAAAGTACTTTTGCTTTGTATGACATCTGCTGGTTCCATTATCTCTAGATCCTTATATAATTGGATGATTCCTATGGGAAAAATTTATACATTAGAAAATGAACATGGATTAGCTCCTGATGAAGAATTGTACTTATCTAAGTCTGCGTTGATACTTGATACAGGCAATTGAGGAGAAGAGGCTATTTATACTTGATTACCATGACATATTTTTACCATTTATCGACAAGATGAACTCCTTACCAGGGAGAAAAGCTTATGCCTCAAGGACAATTCTTTTCTATAATCGATCTAGTATGCTGAGGCCTATAGCTATTGAGCTGTCACTTCCTCCAACACCTTCCTCACCCAGCAATAAACGTGTTTTCACTCATGGGCATGATGCTACAACACACTGGATTTGGAAACTAGCCAAAGCTCATGTCTGCTCCAATGATGCTGGGGTCCATCAGCTAGTAAATCACTGGTAAGGGGACGGTTTCAACCGGGCAATATTTTAAATGAATATTGCAATATTCACTACATTTCTGACATAATTTTTGGGCTTGATTTTCCTTAAAATTGGAAATGATGATGAAACTGATTAAATGGAGGAAACTTGCTGTCATATATTTCAATGCAAGCTTCATAAGAATTAATGTGGGTGCACTTATAATATGGGTAATTTTTGAATTCTCAGGTTAAGGACTCATGCTTGCATGGAGCCTTATATAATTGCAACTCACAGACAGCTTAGTGCAATGCACCCAATTTTCATGTTGCTTCATCCTCATATGCGGTATACACTAGAAATTAATGCACTCGCACGGCAAAGTTTAATAAATGGAGGAGGAGTAATTGAGGCTTCTTTTAGTCCGGGAAAGTATGCCATGGAGATTAGCTCTGCAGCATATAAGAGTATGTGGCGGTTTGACATGGAAGCATTGCCTGCAGACCTTATTCGCAGGTAAATTATGCATTTTTCAATGCCTTACAGCTCAATTACCACTTATATATGGCCTGCCTTAGATTTAATATCATTCTTGACCTTCTTGTATAACAAACGCTTGGTAAACCATGATGAATTTTCAGGGGCATGGCAGTGGAGGATCCTTCAATGCCTTGTGGTATCCGACTCGTGATCGAAGATTACCCTTATGCTTCAGATGGACTCCTCATCTGGTCAGCCATCAAAGAATGGGTAGAATCTTATGTCAATCACTTCTACTCTGAACATAAATCGGTGACATCCGACGTCGAGCTTCAGGTCTGGTGGGATGAGATCAGGAACAAAGGTCACTATGACAAGCGGAATGAACCGTGGTGGCCTGAACTCAACACTAAAGAAGACTTATCTGGAATACTAACTACAATGATCTGGATTGCATCTGGTCAACACGCAGCTATAAACTTCGGGCAGTATCCCTTTGGAGGGTATGTTCCTAATCGTCCTACCCTAATGAGAAAACTCATTCCTCAAGAGGACGACCCTGATTATGAGAAATTTATCCTAAACCCTCAACATACTTTCCTATCATCTTTGCCAACTCAACTTCAAGCCACCAAAGTGATGGCTGTCCAAGACACATTGTCAACTCACTCCCCAGATGAAGAGTACTTGGGTCAGGTGAATCAGCTACACAGCCATTGGATAAATGATCATGAAATACTCCAAATGTTCAACAAATTCTCTTCTCGGTTGGAGGAGATAGAGCAGATAATAAATAACAGAAATAAAGATCCCCGTCTTAAAAACAGAAATGGTGCTGGCATTCCCCCTTATGAATTGCTTCTTCCCACTTCAGGTCCAGGGGTAACAGGCCGTGGAATCCCCAACAGCATCTCTATCTGATGGGTTAAACTGGTTTGATGTTAGTATGTAGGTCTGGGCTAATACAAACTGGTTTGAAGTTGTTTTGTAATAGTTAGTATATTGTATCAACTGCTTGATGTTTTGTAATAGTATAGACGTAGAATCATAAATAGGGTAATCTAAACTGGGTGTGATTCATTCTTCTGGAAAAATTCAAACTATCTTCGTAGCTAATAATATCTGAATACTGAATTTTGATTGCATATCAACCACGGTTGGCCAAAATAAAAATAGATAGATCCATTGGCTGAAATAATTTATAGCCTGAAAATATATTTCCCCAAAACTTTCATATTAAGTAAGAAAATTTTATAATTGAACCTTGTCCACTACATCTCTCATGTAGTTATAAGCATCAAGTCTGTATTCAAATCTACACTATATTCTAATAGATTTGAAGATCTATTGAAATATAGGAGGAATTTACAACTTTGAGTTAGCACTTGATAGTGCAAGTTTGATTAACTCTTTCCTGAGTACCTTACCAGGAGCATTCTTTGGTAATGAATCAACGAAGATTACTCTTCGTATTCTCTTGTATGGTGCAACCTACAGCCAAAATTTTCAAAGCTGATTGAGAAAAAGTAGCAGGTCCAAACTTCTAATCTACCAATTGGAGGAACTGAAAAAAGTAAGTACCTGTTGAGCAATAAAATCCTTAATTTGTGATTCATTAATCCTTCTTCCATGTTGTCGTACCACAAAGGCCACAGGAACCTGGCCTGCTTCCTCATTAGGATACCTGTTCATTTATATATTTCTGGTGAGATTTATCTGTGCTCGATTCAACAGCAAATCTGGCAATAGAATGGCTTTTAAGCAACCATAATGAAACAAATATATTAAAAAGCAGATTCTGAAGTCATCGAAAAGAAATTACATACGGAATTACCGATGCCTCCGCAATATCTGGATGGGATTGAAGCAGGTGCTCGAGTTCTGCTGGAGCAACCTGCATATTGCAAGTAGAAAATCATGGACCTTACTGCAAATGATAAATTAAGCAAAAAAAAATTAAAAAGAAAAAACAACGACATAGTTATCCAACCTGATAGCCTTTGTACTTAATTAATTCCTTAATACGATCCACAAAAAAAAGGAAGCCTTCATTGTCAATATAACAAAGATCTCCAGTTCTCAACCATCCTTCAGAATCCAAAGTTGCCGCAGTTGCTTCTTCATCACCAACATAACCTACACTACAGTGGAAACATTCTTAAATTAAATATAGAATCACAAAAATTAGTAAGAGATCCTATATAGATTAAGACAAATTAATGTCAAGAACAAAGAGAAACATAAATATAACCTTTCATAATGGTTGGTCCTCTAAGCCAGAGCTCACCAGAAGAGCCAGGAGGCAGAGAAATGCCAGTATCAGGATCAACAATCTTTGCTTGACAATTAGGCATAAGCTTTCCTGTTGCTCCTATCACTTGTCCTTCTTCAGGGCCTACTGTTCCAAACACTCGAGCTGTTGATTCAGTTAACCCATATGCCTTCATGTTGATGGCCATTAATTAACTAATTAGCACAATCTCATCACTAAAGCTATAAAATTTTCCCCTTGTTTGATGCAAATGAATCTTGAATTAAAGAATTCATTTATAAATGATAGAATTTAGTTTAATTGAAATCATATGAGTTAAATTGAGCATTTCCATGCATATACTTGAAATGAATTCTACAAAATTTTTGTGAAAATTAATTTATACCAGACAAGGTCTAACTAGAATATGTGTAGAAATTAACAGAACAGTAAGCAAATACTTTTAACTTTTCACTTGAAAGTTCAACTAACCTGGCCGAGAATCACGTTCGGAAACCGTTGTCTGAAAAGCTCAACGACGCTCTTCCTAAGCGGAGCTCCGCCGCAGCCTACAACTTCAAGAGAGCTCAAATCATAGCCGTCTACCACTTCTCGGTCCTTAACCATTGCCACAACTATCGGGGGAGCCAGCGCCATGTGAGTGATCCTAAAGTCCTGTATTGCTGTCAACATTGTCTTCATAGCAAACCTTCTCATTGACACCACCGTTTCGCCCATTGCCAATGCTCTCGTGAAGTACGATAAGCCATACGCATGAAAATATGGCACCGCACAAAAGCTAACTGCAGGTGTTTTTCTCACCGTGCGAACTGCGTGACCTGCAGCTACCACAGATGTGAAATTCCGATGAGTCAACATCACTCCTTTGACTCTCCCTGTAGTGCCGGAAGAGTAAAGAATCGCTGCAGTATCCGATTGATAAACCTTAACTCCTTCAAATTCTCTAGTATCGTGACTTGAACTCTCCATTAGAGAGTCAAACTCGGGCGAGTCAATGATGATTGTTTTGATATTGGGGATTTTATGAGCAGAATCTGAAGTGGCAAACGCGATTACAGGTTTCGAGAGTTGAATTTGGTGGAGAATCTCCGACTTCGAGCTGGCCGGATTTCCAGTAGAAACTATAACGCCGAGAGAAAAGAGAGAGAAGCAGAGGATCGGAATGTCGACCGAGTTAGGAGAGAGAATAAAAACGACATCTCCTTTATTAAGTCTATGACTATGGTGGAGAGATGAAGATAAAGTTTTAGTACTAAGGACGAACTCAGAGAAGGAAATGCGGCGGCGTGTGATAGCATCGATAAGAGCAGGTGAGGTTGGTGACGGAGGAAAAGAGTGGAGGAGAGAGAAAGCGAATTGAGTGACGGAAATGGAGGCGGTTAGTGGAGGAAGCGGGACTTCAGGTCTGAGGCTATGGAAGATTTTGGTTTTTGGACAGAAGCCACTTCTGGAATCGACTGAGTCTTTGTCTATGTAGTTCTGCTCTGCCATTTTTGGAGCTTCAAGTATTTGGTCTTTTTGTGTTGTTTGGCCTGGCTTGGCTTTGGCTTTGGCTTCTTTCACAGTTTCACTTGTGGTGGAGGCGGGAGAGAGGATTCTGTTTTGGCGGGTAGTTGTGGCGAAGTACACGAGGAAGTGAAATAGTATTGGTCGTTAAGATTTCACCACGTGTTAGCTAACTAGGCAGCCAACAATCTACAACGGGCCCTGTTGGGCTCCAGCTGGTTTCTCTCTCTTTGCTGGCCTTTTGGGCTCACCCTATTGCCACTGGCCCACTCCTAATTAGCATAGAAGCAACGCAAACACTTGAAGGGCCCACTGATTATTTACATAAATATAAATAATAATATTCCTATACAAACTAGTATATCATAATCTGTAGGTCAGTCATAATTGATGCTGTGAGCTTACGACAAGAATATTGGCCATCTCTAAAATAAAAGAGTAGAATCCAAGTAATTTGTACTTTACTCACCTCAAATTAATATTTCCATAATATAAAAATGAAAATGGGTAAAAGAATATTTGAATTGTTAAAAAATACCCAATTAAATTTATAAATTAATAAAAATATTTTTAAGATTTTTAATTTATTGATCGAGAAAATAAAGGTAATATTTAATTTGATTGATTATGTTAGTTTTCTATTTAAATATAAATTCTATGGATTCTAGATAAAATAAAAAAATTTGATAATATATTAAGAAAATTACTTTAATTCAAATTTATTGAATAATATATCATGTATCTAATGATGTTCATATTAATATAAATTTAAAATTTAATTAAGAAATTTATATTTAAATTTTAAATTTATTATTAAAAATATTAAATTGCGAGTATTAAATATTAGCCAATACTTAAATATTAATCATTTTTAAAAATTCCAATAATTTATTTATTTTAAATCCATTTCCTTAAAAATCCTATGATTATATTGTCATTATTTGCAAGTGGTACTTTGCCATTGTGGATGGCCAACTCCCACTTTACAGGTTTATTATAGTGCATACATATAGAAAAAAAATAAATTTATCAAAATAAACACCATAATCACATATACTCAGATCAATCCCACGATATGCTCTTCACCTAATTGTGGGCATTGATCTCCTCATCAGCAACTGATCAACGTCTTAAATTAACCCAAGTAAGCAAACACAGTAACCATTCAATGCTCTCGGTTGCACGGTATTCATCGCGCTTGGCATTATTAATAGTTGATTTTTCATTTACACGTCACGAGAAAAATTAGATGCAGCAAGTAATCAACTTTTTGACCGGCAAATCTAAACATCCGCCACCACCAGCACCGCCGCCGTTGCCGCCACCGCCTACACCATAAAAATTTCTTCTTATATTAACAAAAAAAAAAATTAGTTTCACACTGTAAATCGTTCATGGCAGATCCTCACATACAAATAGATCAACCACCTCTGGTTCCCGCTCAAACCCCACTTCTTCCTCCAACTCAAAATAACATCCAGCACCACCTCAACCACCGGAGGTCGACGAATCAAGAAACTGATGTTGATAAGTTTCTTGGAGGACTAGAAGCCTTTCTTACGATTCTGGGTTTCAACCAGTTTTCTGTTTTAAGCTTTGTTATTTCTTGGACTGCTTTTATATTGATAGGTGTGGTGGTTCCTGTTCTAATACTGGAGCTTTCAAAATGTGGCGGGGACTGTAACCAGTACCAAATTAAGGATTTTGAGCTAGAAATCGTGGCATCTCAGGCTTGTTTGGCAGCTGTTTCTTTGGGTTGCGTTTCTCATAATCTTAGCAAATACGGGTTAAGAAAGTTACTTTTTGTTGACCGCTGTAATGTCCATACTATGGCTCGCTTTAGCCTCTTATATATTCGACAACTCAAGGTCAGTTTTGCTACCCTGTGTTTTTTTTTTTTTTTCTTTTCCCAATAGCCAAACTGATTCATATTTGCTTAATTTTGTATATACATGTTTTTGGATTTGTATACTATAGTAAATTTACGTAGAAGTTTCAAGTTTAATGGAATTTGAGTTATATGTTGTTAAATTACTGGTTAATTTTGCTAGATCATTATATTTGCAAATTGTCTGCTTACTGTAAAAGCAATTTTGGTTAAATCATTTAACCAAGCTAAGATACAATGTATAAATTATTTCAGTTCAACCCTTTTTCCCATTTTCATTTCCTTCTCTAATTTTAATCTCTCAGCTTCTGAACTTACCTCACTTGCAGCCTAGTACTTTCTCTTTATATCAGCTTGATATTTTCTTACTAGTACCCTTACAAGTTCTATGCTGCTGCCGTGTTATAACTTTAAATATCAGCCTAGTACTTTCTCTTTGTATCAGCTTCTGAACTCTTTATCTTCTTGAAACTTTCTTTTAGAGATTTCAATGATTATAATTCACTGAATACTGCTAAGGGACTTAATATGAATGATCTTTTTCCCCACAGGATTCTTTAGGCTTGCTGGTCTTTTGGGCATTGACATGTTGCGTTCTGAAAGTTGTGCGAGAAGTGATTCGTGTGTTATATGAACAACAAGAATCATGGTGGTTGTCTGCTGCTATTTTATTTGGTTTGGTTCTATCATGGAGTTATGTTACTACAATATCTTTATCTGCCAGCATTCTGTTTCATCTTGTATGCAATTTACAAGTTATTCACTTTGATGACTATGCAAGGCTCTTGGAAAGAGATAATGATGTTTTGGTATTTATTGAGGAGCATATTCATCTGCGCTATCACCTTTCCAAGATAAGCCATAGGTTCCGAATTTTTCTACTTTTGGAGCTTTTTGTTGTCATAGCCAGCCAAGTCGTGACACTTTTCCAAACCACTGGATATGATGGAATAATTACATTAATAAATGGAGGCGATTTTGTTGTAAGTCCTGCATTGCTAATTTCTTCTTCTATGTTGTCTAAATGAACTACTTAGATTCCATGGTTTAAGGTCCATTGCTTACATTTACCTGTAAAACTATCTTCCAAATTTTTTAAATCTGCAACATTCTCTTAGTTCCATATTTTCATTTGATGTTGCTTCTTACATCTGAACTTCAATGTGGTTAACAGTACAACAACTGTCCAAAATTTTCAGGTTTCTTCAGTTGTCCAAGTAGTTGGTGTAATTCTTTGTTTACATGCTGCAACAAAAATATCCCATAGAGCCCAAGGTATTGCCTCTGTAGCAAGCAGATGGCATGCGTTGGCAACATGTGGTTCAATTGATACATCTCAACTGAGAGTTTCAAATAGTTTGGGGAACTTGGAAGCTGCAAATGGACCAAACTTGCTACATACGACTTATTCTGAAAGTGATTTGGAGTCAATGGACTATATTGCAATGCCTACAAATTCACAACTGGTATCCTACATGGCCACATATCAGAAAAGGCAAGCCTTTGGTATGGACTAAACTCATCTTATTTCTATATTTAATTATTTATTCTTCTTAGTTGAGCATCAAGAAATTGCATCAGTTTAATTAGATGTCACATTAGATGTTATACTTCCTTATCAATTCATTTCTCCAAGTTCAGCAAAAAACTTTAAACAATAGATCTCAAACCAAGGAATAAATCAGTTAATGAATGAGACTTCTCAGTATTGGTTTTTTCTGCTAGGTACATTGTTTAACCAGATTGAACATCACAAAACAATAAATAACTCGTTTGATGAATGAGACATTTCAGTATTTTTGTCACTTTTGGTTGAATATAGTTTGGTGTGACTTGCATTGGCTTGTTTAGAAGTTATACCTGGATCTCATTAGAATTTCATAAACTAGTACAAGGAGGAGAAAACTTTGGCAGGTTTTGGTCTAGGCAACTCGTAAGGCAAAAATATTAAAATGTTCTGATCTCATGTTTGCTTTTTAAACATTTAGTTTATGCTGATTTTATTTGCCTGTGCAGTGATGTATTTGCAAAACAATCCAGGAGGAATCACTATTTTTGGTTGGATAGTTGATCGTTCCTTGGTCAACACGATCTTCTTCATCGAACTTACTTTGGTAACCTTTGTGCTTGGAAAGACTCTAGTACTGGGATCTGACTGATAGTTTGAGTTTCCACGGCAAAAATACTTCGAAAATTGCATTAGCCATTGTATCATTGTCATCACTGATAAAGCAAGTGATATCTATAAACACAAAAGGTTCCCATTTCGGGCTATTAATTGATTCCTGTAATTGTTGAAATGGTGAACGATAAGAATCCCATGCCAACATGATACAGTCGAGCCAGGAAGAGTGAAAGTTGGACAACTCTGAAAGCATACCCATACGGATCCATGGTGTTTTGGTTCAAAGTAGTCCGTCCCTTTCCTGTACCCACGCATGGCGGAAGCTTCAGCATCCGGCTGCTGCTTTTTGTTGTTGTTGTTGTAACTTGTAAATAAGCCGTATAATCTTGTTACGTTTCACTACAGGAATACATCCTTGTAAGTTCTGAATGTTTCATTTATTTACACTTGTTTCTCTGAACAAGGAATTTCATGAAGGAAGAGAAGAAACAAGGTTATTTGCCAGCAGAAAATACAGCAACAATGCCTATTCTAGCATGCTTGCCAGATAATCAAGTCCTGGTCAACCTGTCACTTGGTGGTGAACATCCCCAAGCCAACTGCCAAACGTGAAGTACTCGTATGCCCATCGTTTTCTTTTTTACCTTAAATCAGATGATATATTTCCTATAACTAGATTTAGCCACAACTAATGTATTGGGTTCTTTATAGAATTTAACATCCAACTCCTTAAGTTTCATCCCAACAAAATCGGTGATTTATGTTTTGAATTTTTGACTAAGGTAAAATGGACTCCATAACTTGCAAAAACAAAAACAAACCCATCACATTTTGCAAGTGAAGTAAGCAAAGCAACAGTCAAAGTGTTTCTTTAAGAGCAGGAAGGCCAAAAACTTCAATTAGCCATGAACTATGCAACGCAAAGCTATCAAATGCTAGAAGGCCCTGGATAAGTTTTAAGAGTTTCTCAAGTAAATATAACTTGAACATACACAAATTGCATCACCTGATTCTATTGCAAGTAACAATGCAATGAGATTTAGTTAGATTCACCAGGAAAAGTATCAAATGCTATATTATAGTCTTTTAATTCAGCTGAAGCATCAAGGTGTCGTGGTGTAGTTGGTTATCACGTCAGTCTAACACACTGAAGGTCTCCGGTTCAAGTCCGGGCGACGCCAATCTCTTTCATTTTTATCATTTTAGAACCAGCTCTTGCCTTTTTCAGCAAAACATATGATGCCACATTTTTCCTGCAACAAAGTATATTTTATATATATATTTGGCATTAGTTGAGACAACAAGTTATATATTAATGTATTTATTATTGGAGAGATTGGATCACTATTCATGCTTCCCCATTTTCAATTATTTTGCCGTTGAAGATTACATCATAGATTCTCACATTTCCATAATTATGCTTGCTAATGCCAATTAATTGTTGATGCACAGATCCTTTTCATTTAAAAAAAAAAGTATATATTGGTGTTGACTTTCTTATTTATAGAAAGTACAAAAATAAAATACTCTTTACATCCTGAAAAGATACTCTACTATTTATTTCAACATAGATTAAGAAATAAGCAATTATTATAATTAAATGACAATTTTATTCATATAATTTTTTTATTATGTTCATCTTAAATAACATATGAGTAATTATTATATTTGAATAATAAGTAAGAATTAATAATAGTTATTGAAAATAAGATAAAATTTAATAAAGGTGTCTCCGTTCAAGTCCGGGCCGAACGCCAAATCTCTTCCATTTTATCATTTTAGAAACCAGCCCTCTTGCCTTTTTTCCAGAAAACCATATGATGCCCACATTTTTCTGGCAACAAAAGTATATTTTATATATAGTATTTTGGCATTAGTTGAGACACAAGTATATATTAATGTATTTTATATATTGGAGATGATTTGGATCTAGCCTAATTTCATGCTTCCCCAATTTTCAAATTATTTTGGGCCGTTGAGAGGAATTTACATCATAGATTCTCACATTTCATAATTATGCCTTGGCTAATGCCAATTAATTGTTGATGCACAGATCTTTTCAAATTTAAAAAAAAAAGTATATATTGTGTTGGACTTTCTTAATTTATAGAAAGTACAAAAAAATAAAATACCTCTTTAACATCCTGAAAAAAGATAACTGACGTACTATTTATTTCAACATAGATTTAAGAAAAATAAGCAATTTTTATAAAAAAAAATTAAATTAAAAAAATGGACAATGTTTATTCATTAGATTTTTTTTATTATGTTCAATCTTAAATACATACTGAGTAATTATTAATACTTTGGAATACATAAGGTAAGATTAATAATAGTTATTGGCTTAAATAACATATGAGTAATTATTATATTTGAATAATAAGTAAGAATTAATAATAGTTATTGAAAATAAGATAAAATTTAATAAAGGTATAATAGACAATATTAGGATTAACTATAATGCAAAAAAGGAAAATGACTTATATTTTGAGACAAATAAAAAATGAAAGACGAATTATCTTTTTAGGATGGAGGAATAATAATAATAATTAACAATAATTTAATTTTGTAATAATTCAATGCTTCAATTAATTGTTGGCAACATGATCTCAGATTAAGCATGATCAATTGATATAAGTGATGTCAAACATCACGCTAAAACAAAGTCAAAACAATAATAAAATTGTGCTTAGCATTTTTTTTTAGTATCAAAATTGAGAGAATCTCATTTTTGATTTGTATTCAAATTGCATCACCGTCAAAAAAATAACCCTGTGTTATATAAAATGAGTAACATTTCCATTATTTATTAAATTAATGAAAATTTTTATAATTAAGAGAATTCAAAATAAAAAATTTTCATTTTCGAAATTACTCAAGTTTGATTTATTGTTAGGTATTATTGGAAAAAGAAGAAAAGAGGAATTCAAATTTCTACTAATCAAACGCAACTTTCTTGAATTTGTACAAGCATATAGGAATAAGACGAAAAATGAGAGAGAGGATCAATCTCGTCAAACAAAATACTATTCGAACACAAATTTAGTTTGTCCCATGGAACGTGGTGTCTTGAAACTGACTTTTCGTTGCAGGCATAAAACCATCTGGAAACTGTAAAATCTTTTAACTCGCTGCGGTCAAAAAAAAATTCTTGTGCAATTGGTCCACGTGTTAGCAACTACCACCTACAGGCCCACCAAACTAGAGCCCACAGGAATAATCACTCTGCTAACTCCGAATATTCCCTTTCCAGAACAATCAAATCCCTACTCCCAACATGGCAGGTGTATCGCACTTCCTTTACTTAACCAGTGAAATGCAAACTCAGATGCCATAATAGCGCGTCCAATTACTTTTTTATAAACCCACGGTAAAGATCAGCGGCCGATACAAGTTTTCTTGAGCTCCAATCAGCGGCTCAAAAGCTGCCTTTCTTTTTTCCCAAGAAAATTCAAAACCAAAAGGGAAAATAAAAAAGAAAACACAGCTCACGTGACCAGCGCAATCTCCGTGTTATATATAAATCCCTCGATTAGCATTTTTCTCTTCACTGTAATCTCTCTGTATAAGCTCTAATCACTAAACTAAATCTAAGCTTCTAATTTTCATTCTTTCTATTAGCAATGGGTAATGCCTGTTAGCCTCTGATTTGATTTTGTTTTTGGATTCTTGATTTGATTTTAATTGGTGGTTTTAAATGTTTAAACTTTTTTTTTTTTTTTTTTTTTTTTTTTTTGTTAAACTTTTTTTTTTTTTTTATTTTTTTTTATTATTTTAATTTTTTTTTTTTTTTTTTTTTTTTTTTTACAGCCGGTGACAAGAAGATTAAGATCGGAATCAACGGTAATTTTCTCTAATCTATTTTTTTGGGTTTATTGGATAGGTTAACGAGATTTGATTTTGATTGAGAAAATGTGTTTATGGAATTTTTTTTCAGGCTTTGGAAGGATTGGTCGTTTGGTTGCTAGAGTTGCACTTCAAAGGAATGATATTGAACTTGTAGCTGTTAATGATCCTTTCATTTCTACTGAGTACATGGTATTTTTTTTTCTTTACTTTTTTTTCGCAAATTATTTTTTTATTACTATATTTTTTAAGGATGTTTGTGCTAATGGTGTACTGTTTTATTATGTAGACCTATATGTTCAAGTATGACACCGTTCATGGTCACTGGAAGCATACAGATATTAAAGTCAAGGATGAGAAAACACTTCTCTTTGGTGAGAAACCAGTTTCTGTTTTTGGAGTCAGGTAATAAAAATATGAGCTTTACTGAGTTTGGATTATGATATATGGGCTTTTGGAGTTTGGACTTGATTTGGATTTGTCATTGTTATTAGAAACCCAGAGGAGATTCCATGGGGTCAAACTGGTGCTGAGTTTGTTGTTGAATCTACTGGTGTTTTCACTGACAAGGAAAAGGCTGCAGCTCACTTGAAGGTCTGCTTATTGGTTTCTTAAAAGTTTATGGGTTTATTACCTGCTTTGTGTGTGAAATTTAGGGGGCTTATTGAATATGTAATGTAGAATGAGAAATTCTTGGATCTAAGTTTATATTTTTAGGGTTCATCTCTTTTTATTGTTTGGTTGTTGATGTTGTATCTAAATTTATATAATAGTTGATATAGAGGTTTGATTTTACCTTGGGTTTTTATTGTTCAGGGTGGTGCTAAGAAGGTTGTTATCTCTGCTCCTAGCAAAGATGCACCTATGTTTGTTGTGGGTGTTAATGAGAATGAATATAAGCCAGAGCTTGACATTGTTTCCAATGCTAGCTGCACTACTAACTGTCTTGCCCCCTTGGCCAAGGTAGTCTCAATATCCATTGATTTAACAATTTTATTGGAAATACAAGTGAGATGTTTCTAGGTTGTTTATTGATTTCATTTTATTCCCTCTTTTAGGTTATAAATGATAGGTTTGGGATTGTTGAGGGTCTAATGACCACTGTTCACTCCATCACCGGTAAGCTTTTGATATTAAATTATTGGTCTTTCCCACGTGTGATATTTGAAATTAGACAACTAATGTTTGTTGTTTTCTTTTGTGATTTAGCCACTCAGAAGACTGTTGATGGGCCATCAATGAAGGACTGGAGAGGTGGAAGAGCTGCCTCCTTCAACATCATTCCTAGCAGCACTGGAGCTGCTAAGGTAAAAAAAAAATCCCTTTCTCTCGTTTGTTTATTGAATTGATGCATTGGAGTGAACTATTTTGGCTTATTGTCTGCTTTGACTAATTTTTGCACTCTTTTATTGCAATAACTTAGGCTGTTGGAAAGGTTCTTCCTGCACTTAATGGCAAATTGACTGGAATGTCATTCCGTGTTCCAACTGTGGATGTTTCTGTTGTTGACCTTACTGTCAGGCTTGAAAAGAAGGCAACATATGAGGACATCAAAGCTGCAATCAAGTATTCAATAATTCTTTCTTTAATTTGCATGTTATTTTGTAGCCAACTGCATTCACTGATTCACCTGTTCACACTGGATATGCAGGGAGGAGTCTGAGGGCAAGCTTAAGGGAATCTTGGGCTATACTGAAGATGATGTAGTGTCTTCTGACTTTGTGGGCGATAGCAGGTATAATGATGCTCTGTATTGCATTAGTATGATAATTGTGCTTTCATATATAAACATTTTGATGTCTTACTTGATTATTTGTTGTGCTGCTTGTGCAGATCAAGTATTTTTGATGCCAAGGCAGGAATTGCTTTGAATGACAACTTTGTGAAACTTGTCTCTTGGTATGACAACGAATGGGGCTACAGGTACTTTTCTATTTTTTTTTCTCTTTTCTTGCATTATCTTTTTGCTAGTGCTTTTGGAAAAAAAGCTCTTATGTTGCTGGTTTGAGATGTGCAATTGAGACATGATTTTGTTTTTGCAGTTCACGTGTGCTAGACTTGATTGCTCACATTGCCTCCACCCTCCACTGAAGACATTGATGGTGATTTTTGACTGCTGTGTATTGAGTCAAATGTTTAGATGCAGGCTTCCCTTTGTTTAATAAAACTTGTGTCCGCTCTTTTGTAATTTTTGATTTTGGTTGGTCAAAGATGGGGTTTTTAAAGGATGTTGTTGGAGAAAGAATTTCATCAGTTCAATACAAACATTAGATGGTTTTTACAGTAGTTTGCTTCAATCTGTTTTTATGATTATCTTTGGCTCCTAAGCCTTCTGTTTATGAAATGAAATGAAATGAAAATGGTTCAATGGACAAATTGGCAAATTGCTCGGGCAGGCAATTGTAATATTTTACACTTTAAAATCCAACATTAAGTCCATTGAATCCAAGCACAATATAAAAATCCAATAATAAGATAATACTCTGCCATTTGCTTATAGTAGCCTCTTTTCCCTTTGATAAGCTACACGACTCTTCATTAATAAATTAAAGTTCACTGATAAGCTCAAGACTACTCTTCATTAAATCAAAGATTCAAAGTTATTGCTAAGCTGAAACTGATGTTGGTTGTTGCACTTTAGGCTTAAAATGCATGTGATCAAGTGAATTGGAAGGCTCATTGCCAATTATCTGCAAATGTGGCAGGGAGTTGATCCCATTTTGAGCCAAACAACAATTGCCACGTATGCAAAATTCACTTGCAAATTTTCATTCGTTGGATGTTCAATTGTGAATATTTTCCGTTCAAGTACTTCAAATATCAAAATAATTGAACTTCAAATATCGAAATAGAAAATATGAAAAGCTTATACATTAATAATATAATTACCCTTTTTATTTTCTTTTATCAATCACATTAGCACGTAGATATTCATAAATTTAAATTTAATAATGTAATTTATGAAAAAAAATAAGTATTAAGTTAAAGTACATGTGGAGTTGATATTTGAATACCATGAAATTTAATAAAATAACTTGTTTTTTTTCCAAATAGGTTGTAGAATGGACTTGGACTTCCACATTTGTGTAAGTTCAAAAAGGGCTAGGCCTGAAGGCCTTTTTTTTTTTTTTTTTTTTATAAAATAACTTGGTTTTTTTTTCCAAAATAGGTTGTAGAATGGACTTGGACTTCCACATTTGTGTAAGTTCAAAAAGGGCTAGGCCTGAAGGCCTTTTTTTTTTTTTTTTTTATTCGAAGCGACATAACCGTTTAATCGGCGAAAAGATGGATTCTTTCTTCTTCGTGTCTCCAAACAGAGGTTTTAGCTCCAAAGGGCAAAAACAACACTTTCTTTTTTTTTTTTTTTTTTTATTCGAAGCGACACCGTTTAATCGGCGAAGATGGATTCTTCTTCTTCGTGTCTCCAAACAGAGGTTTTAGCTCCAAAGGGCAAAACAACACTTTCGTTTCTTTCCGGGCTCAAATCGATCAGGTACAGTTTCAAATACCCTTCCTATTTATAATTAAGTTCATGTTATTGCTTCTCGGAAAGTGGTTTGCTTTTTCGATTCTTCACTATAATTTTATCAAAGTTCATTGCTTTGTTTAATTCAAACAATGAAATTAGAAATAGTTTAGTAAAGAAACAACCAATTGAACATTAATCATGCTCTAATATATTTGCAGGTCTATATTTGCTCTTATTCTTCATGGTATCACTCATCAGGAACTGTTCTAGAACCACCCAGGTCATTCTTAAGCGATCATTTTCTTGTGCCCTTTACCATGCTTCCTTTGATCATTGTTCTGCTTCTCTTTCTTCGTCGTTCAGTTCTTGCCCAGTAGAAGCAGTAGAAAGTTCCCATTTTTTGAAACCTAAAGTTGATAATCAAGAACAATGCCTGGACTTAAGAAAACAATCTGACATAGACATACTTGTAGCCAAAATTCGAGTTGGGAATAGTCATTATGAGATCCTTCAATCTCTCGTGCTCGATCAAGTGTCTAATAGTATACAAATTTCTCATGACCTTGTTGATAGATTGTTGTTTAGGTTTAAGGATGATTGGAAATCTGCATTGGGTGTCTTTAGATGGGTTGAGTTGCGCGGTTATAAGCATACACCAGAAGCTTATGATACAATGGTGGATATATTGGGGAAAAGTAAACAAATGAGTCAAATGAAGGCATTGTTAGAGGAAATGCGGGAAGGTAGTCTTGTTACACTTAAGACAGTGGGTAAGGCTATGAGAAGGTTTTCTGGGGCAGGGCAATGGGAAAATGCTGTAAGGATGTTTGACAACTTAGGAACTTATGGGTTGGAGAAAAACACGGAGTCTATGAACTTGTTGCTTGACACACTTTGCAAAGAAGGCAAGGTGGAGCGTGCCCGTGAGATCTTCTGCGAGCTCAGGTCGCACATCCCTCCAAACGTTAACACATTTAACATTTTCATTCATGGTTGGTGCAAAGCTAATCGGGTTGATGAAGCACAGTGGACTCTTCAGGAAATGAAAGGGCATGGTTGTCTTCCCTGTGTCATAAGCTACTCCACCATCATCCAATTCTATTGCCGCAGAGGTGAATTTACTAAGGTCTATGCGCTTCTTGATGAAATGGAAGCTCAAGGCTCCATACCAAATATCATTACTTATACCTCAGTGATGAGTGCACTAGCCAAGTCAGAGGAGTATGAAGAAGCTTTACAAATATACCAAAGGATGAAGTTAATTGGATGTAAACCTGATACACAATTTTGCAATTCTCTGATCCATACACTTGGAAGAGCTGGCAGGCCAGAAGAGGCTATTCATGTTTTTGAGGTAGAAATGCCAAAAATTGGTGTCCCCCGAAATACATCTACCTACAATTGCATGATCGCTATGTTATGCCATCAAGCTCAAGAGTTGAAGGCTTTGAATCTCCTTAAAGAGATGGAAACTTCGATGATTTGCAGGCCTGATGTTCAATCTTACTACCCATTGCTTAAGTCATCTCTTAGAAGTGGTAAGATAGATAGTTTGTTGAGGCAGTTATTGGATGACATGGTTAAAAAGCATCATCTCAGTCTTGATATCTCAGCCTACACACTTTTAATTCATGGGCTTTGTAGAGCAAACAAATGTAAGTGGGCTTACTGCCTGTTTGAGGAAATGATTGGTAAAGATATAACACCAAGATATCAGACATGTTGCTTGCTTTTGGATGAAGTCAAACTAAATCATATGTATGATGCTGCTGATAAAATTGAAACTGTCATGCGGAGATTATAAACTAAGTGGTATTCATCAAATATGGGTGTGTCTTCGTTCTATTAATTGGTGTTGCTAGAAACCACTGAAGGAATATTCTACTTCTCTTTACTGGTTAGAATGAATGTTGGGAAAAATAGACAACATTCTCGTATTTGAATTTTTCTCGGTTCCTATTATTCTTCAAGAATGTATGCAGTATTCTACACGACACTTTGCAATTAGTTGTTTCTCAGCTGCCGAGGATTGTCTGTTTATTCTACTTTGCTTGAAGTTTTTTTGTGTTGCAAATGTTCATGTTCTTAGGTGGTTAGGATGGTTTTAGTCCGACTTCTTGCATGAAAATGTGTAAAGACTACAGATTTGACAGTCTTGATATTGATGTCCACTACTGCTCTCTGCATGTTGGGGCATCGCCTATCTCTACTGCTTCGAGATTTGAAGTGGATTCTTGCATACCAAGGAGATGATGCGCATGGAAAGGCAGTAAGAAACCATTTGAAAGGTAAACTTCAGAAAATGTGGAATATTTAGAACACTAAGGACTTGACCTGTTAGTTGCCCTATTTTGAAATCTCTTGATTGTAATTCAATTCTTGAACATTCATTTTGAAAATTGAAGGCCAAAATTTTCTTCAAACAGGACATAAGGCAACTGATGATTTTTCCAGGCATGGTGTAAGAGTGAAAAATATCTCAAACCTAGCAAGTTTTAAGCAATTAGATTTTATTACCGTTGTGATTTGGTGTGCTATTTTTGTTTCTTTTTTCTTGACTCTTCATTTTTGGCTTTATACACTAAGATGATTGAGATTGACTCACTTACTGTTCTGTGTGAACAACTACCATAATATATTTGTCGGTGATAATGCACTATGACCCATCTTGAAGGGAAGTGGTGTGGGGCTTATGCAGTTGAAAGATAGCAGATGACAAGAACAAGAGCTTGTCTCTTTGTCTTTGGGACTAGTAGATTTGGAATCATTTGTTAAGTTATAAACAAAGGTCTTTGCTTTTTCTAGCATCTGTATTCTTGATTTATCTATTTGGTCACTTTTGACTATTTGGTGTACATTGGAGATGTAGCTTCACATGCTCTCGTCTGTGTGACCTGATTATCATAAAGAATTGATCTCGTGATCCAATGTTTCTGATAAGCCATGAAAGCTGAAGTAAAACCAAATGCTGCTATATCAATATGACCCAATCTCCAAACTCGAGGCTCGAGGTCTACAAGGAGGCCCCTAGTTCTAGATTTTTGGCCATGAACCCAATCACATGTGAGGTGGGTCAGTTTTTTTTTTTTTTTTTTAACTGTTTTGCCAAAAATTCTGTAATCTTTGTTCTTAGATTGCGTTTCTTAAGCTTCACATTACATTTCTAAACATATTACATTTAATTTCATTTTAGAGTAGATTACTATATTTTACATTTTCTTTACAAATCCACAGGGCCTGCAAATTGTTGGGAGACTGAGCTTCACAAAAAGATAGATTGCTATACATGGAGCCGGCTTTACTTGGGGAGTGACCGAGGCTATTAACCAGTAACAGGATTAGGCAGGCATTTACTTTGTTGAGATAATAACAATGATGATTGTATTAACTGTGTTGCTGATTATACCTTTTCCTTTTATATCTCATTCTCAAAGTAGAGACAACAAGTAGTGCTGTTTTTTTTTTTTTTTTTTTACTCAGTAAAACAGGAATTAGGCAGGCATTTTACTTTGGTTTGAGATAATAACAATGATGATTGTATTAACTGTGTTTTGCTGAATTATACACTTTTTCCTTTTATATCTCATTCTCAAAAGTAGAGACAACAAGTAAGTGCTTGTTTTTTTTTTTTTTTTTTGATTAAAAGTCCCAAACGTCGGTCTCTTTTTCATGCTTTGGTAAGAAACTTTCCCAAACTCCCTCAACTTGGACTGTTGGACACATGCTAAGCCTTTTTTTTTTTTTTTTTTTGATTAAAAGTCCCAAACGTCGTCTCTTTTCATGCTTTGGTAGAAACTTTCAACTCCTCACTTGGACTGTTGGACACATGCTAGCCCCATTTTAGATTCCATTTTATTCGCACATCTAAAAATATAATTTTTTTTTTTTATCACTGAAAATTCATGTATCAGATCTATATTAGATGCATACATTATATTATAAGACAGATACTCGATTAAATGTACGTATTAGCACTCGATGGCAATCTGATAAATCTTTATCGGTAACCACTAAGCTTTTGATCCATAGTATAAACCTTCGGAGAACATCTTTGGTACAATATATCAGACTTAAAAATTTTTTTAGCAGTTTAGCTATTGTATGTCACACTAAGATGTAATTGTAAATGTCTACAACTTGTCTAGTTACAACTTGTTCTATTTAGCAAAAGTCATAACTTCAAAGAAAATATCATTAGCTTAGCAGACAAATTTACCAACCCTGATTGGTCTTGGAAGTGATGATCATGATCATTGAACGGTATAAAATTTAGGATGCTTGCATCAGCCAACCAGTAGTAGCCAACTGGCTACCCATAAATAAATATATTATTAGTACTATAATTAGAGTAATTGGGTTGGGTAGCCACGTGCTTCTGATTCCCCTGGTCTTTCACCATTAGTTGAAGAAGAGGATCTCCATTCTGTAGTGTTCCTTAGCTACTTAACTCTCCATTTATCCACTCAAGTAGCAATAAGTTTCATATTAGCTGTTAATTAACCTTGACAATGTAATTTAGACAAATAACATTTTCTTAAATCTTTGGTCCAATCCTCTTTTTTTAAGAAAAAAAAGCAATAGAAATTTCAAGAATCTATGACTACTTGGTGGTTTATTTGGTAGTTGTAGAAATAGTTCGGCTAGTGCAGGCAGGCAGGCAGGCAGGCCAGCCAGCCTAACAATCTAATGTGCTTGTATCTTCTATGGCAGATTTATGAGATTAATGGGTCTTTGTCCTTATTGTTGATGAACCAGGCAACCAGCTTTAAAATTGAATTGATAAAAAAAATATTGACTTAGCAAATTTCATATTTACCCCTCATTATTTAATTAAATTACAAAAATATCCTTCATGCAACAAACTATTAATGTTGCTAGTTGTGACACCTGACAGCACAGTTTGGTTATTAGACTATTCATATCAATATTGTATTTTATTTATTTATTTAGAACTAAATCATCTTTCATCGGAAGTGAGAATATTCTTGCTCTAACTAGTGAAATTTTGCATAGGCCACTAATAGTTGATAAGGGATTTCTTTAATACAAAATGCCAAAAAAGATATCAACAATGTGCGTATGTGTAGACCCAAACACTATCAACAGTCTCCTTCTTCTCATTTTCCTGAAATAAAGAAACAAACACAGAGAATCCTTTCATGTCAGCCATCAGTCATCGTTTCATAATTTATCTCTCTCTTTCTTTCTATGTCTGTGTGTGAGCGTGTAACTTTCGCTAGCGAAAGGAATCTAAATCTTTTTATGCTCATTTTTAACTTTTTTTTTTTTCTCCACCATAGGAAACTAATCTAACAAGAAATCCACAACCAAGTGGTCCTTCTCATTTTATTATCATCTGCAACTGCAAATACACTGTTCAAAGGTTGGTTTCTTTCTTCTTCCGTGACCAATCTTCCCTTCCTCTTCTGTCTTCTCATTCAATATTCACCTTTAAGCCTTATTTCAACAAGATTCATTAATTATTCTTGAAACATGTAAAAAGAACTTTTTTTTTTCCTATGTAACTCTCACTTTTAAAGCTTTAATTACCTTATCATAAAAGTATAATCGCCTTTTAACTAGCATATTTTGCTCTCATTTTCACAATTTCTCTTGAATCCTTGAATTCTTGATTCTTGAACTATCAATTCTTGAATTGTGTCTTTTGATGCTTAATTTCTTGAACTCTTAATTCTTGAATTGTGTCTGTTTTTGATTAAAACCTGATGTGGGTTGTAATAAAACTTTCCTGAGAGCTGGTTTTTAGATTTTATTGGTAATTTCTTCTTTAAAAATGCCACCTTCTTATTTCCCTCTTAGATGGGAAAGTACGGGAGACCAATGGTGGTATGCATCACCAATTGATTTTGCAGCCGCAAATGGTCACTATGACTTGGTTAGGGAGCTTCTGCACCTTGACACAAATCTCCTTATTAAACTCACCTCCCTCCGCCGCATTCGCCGCCTTGAAACTGTCTGGGATGATGAGGAACAGTTTAATGATGTTGCAAATTGTCGTTCTTTAGTGGCCAAGAAACTACTCTTAGCATGTGAAACAAAGAAAGGCCACAATACCCTTATCAGAGCTGGCTATGGTGGTTGGCTCTTGTACACTGCTGCTTCAGCTGGTGATGTAAGCTTTGTTAAAGAATTGTTAGAAAGAGACCCCCTTCTTGTTTTTGGAGAAGGAGAATATGGTGTTACTGATATACTATATGCTGCAGCCAGGAGCAAGAATTCTGAGGTTTTTAGGCTTCTGCTTGATTTCACTATTTCGCGCCGATGTGGGCTTAACTCTGCAGTGGAGTTGGAAGAGCAGTTGAGTGAGATTTACTTAGAGTTCAGGCAAGAAATGATGAATAGAGCTGTTCATGCTGCTGCTAGAGGTGGGAATTTGGAGATATTGAAGGAGCTTGTTGGTGATTGTTATGATGTTTTGGCTTATAAAGATGCTCAGGGTTCTACTCTCTTGCATACTGCTTCAGGCAGAGGACAGGTTGAGGTAAACAATCCAAATTTGCTTTAAGTATTATCCTCTGAAAATTGAAACTGGTTGCAGTATTCCATTGAAATTCTTTACGTTTAAACCTAAGAATTAGCAGCAAATAAATTTCTGTTTTGAAATTAAAGAAATAGCTTCTTCTATTCATAGCCAAAATCTTTCTCATGCAGGTAGTTAAGGATCTAATATCATCAGCCTTTGACTTGATTAACTCTATTGATTATCAAGGAAACACAGCATTACATGTAGCTGCATACAGGGGATACTTATCTGTAGCAGAAATTCTAATTTGTGCATCACCCTCATTAATCTCCATAGCAAACAACTACGGAGATACATTTCTCCATATGGCAGTGTCAGGTTTTAGGACTCCTGGTTTTCGCAGAGTGGATAGGCAAATTGAGCTAATGAAGCAATTAGTGAGTGGCAAGATAGTAAATATCCAAGAAATCATCAATGTCAAGAACAATGGTGGAAGAACAGCCCTTCATGTCGCTGTAATTGAGAATATTCAATCTAATTTGGTTGAACTTCTAATGTCAGTGCCATTAATTGATTTAAATATTCGCGATGTTAATGGCATGACTCCGTTAGATCTCCTTAAGCAACATCCAAGAACTGCATCTTCTGAGATTTTAATAAAACAGTTGATTTCAGCTGGAGGGATCTCTAATTGTCAAGATGATATGGCAAGAAGTGCTATTGCTTCACATTTAAGAGGGCAAGGTATAGGAATTAGTCCTGGAACTTCTTTCCGAATTCCTGATGCAGAGATATTTTTGTATACTGGTATTGAAAATGCTACCGATGATAGTTGTGAGATTACGAGTGTAGATTACAGTACTTGCTTAAGTGAAGTAAGTGAATGTGACACTGTTAATTCAATGGATAAGAAGAAGTCAGCTTCTGTTAAGAACGCTGCAAGGCGCTTAAAGTCTCTCCTTCAATGGCCTAGGAAGAAAGATAAAAAAGCTGCTAATTCTGAGTTGACAGATAATGATTCTTTGGAGTCATTTAGTTTATCTACAAGTTTCGAGGACCAGCCAATTCCACTTAGGCAGAGATATTCAAATCTGTCGTCTTTTTCGACGAACAAAAGGGTATTTTCTTTCAGAGGCAGCCTTCCAAGTCCATTAACTAGAAGGAAATTTGCTGCAGGTTTAACACATGGTGTTATTCAAGCAATGCCACATTTAACTGTTCCAGTTGAATCTCCTTCAAGTCCACTTTCAGTATCACCAATGGCTTCACCTGCTTCATTGGATAAAGAAAACGGTATTCGATCTTTGAAGCATAAACAACCATCCTTCAATAAGAAAATGATGAACCATTATTTTTGTTTTGGTGCGCAAGGTTTGGCTGTGGAAAATTCTAGGATACAGCAAAATCAGAGGTACAAGCATGCTGCTTCTATGATGGCCTGAATTCATTGTACAAAAAAGTTGGGAGTTCTGGCAAGAACCACAGAAAGATCAGTATTTTGGTGAGCAAGCAAAAGTATTTTTTTTCAATTTTCCTGTTCAGAAGTTTCTTTGGAAGTATTTCTTGTTTGACTGTGTATGTGTATTTCCTTTTTTACCAATTGTAATATTTTGTTCAAGGAATGTAAAAAGAATTTTATGAATAAGATCAGAACTTTGAAAGTTCTCAGAAGTTAACAGTTACTATTGATTCAATATCCTTTTCTTTATCTTAGAAAACAAACTAGAAATTTTGTATTTTGGAGCATACAATCCTTGACAAAAAGGGTAACAGCCTAACAGGCATGAGAATCATCCATTAATGGAGGTTAGCTGACCTCTATGCTTATTCATCACAGTTGTTATCCTCTTGTTACCAAATCTATAATCTACCTAGAGGCCAGTATTGTACTTAACGCAGAAGAAAGACTCTGGCTTTTGCTTTTGTTGCCAATTTATGAAGGACATGTCTAATTCGGCTTATGTTCATATTTTTCTCAGGTCTGCATTGTACTTGGTATTTCGTTAAGAGTTTTAGCACCCATTGATGGCCTAAGACAGATTATTGTTTCAGCCAAGGCTTACAGATTCTTTTCATGAAAAATCTACTGATAATGCAGAATTGGTTAAATTTGAAGTTCGAATTGGAAAGGAGACAATGGTTGTGTTGTTCAAGTTATTCTGACTTATATAGGACCTTCCTACATACTAAAATCAATTAAATTGGGAACATTTGTACAAGTTGATAACTAATAACTAGTGAAATAACTGAAAGAACTAATTTTGTCTAATGTCTAGGTAGTTACTATCCGTTTCCTTTTTACCTCAATTGAGGAGACTTGAACCATAAATGTTTATACATTACTAGACCAGTTATTCAATTTTTAGATTGGTGAATCCTAATTATAATATTTTCATGGCCACTCTGCAGTTATAATAGGACAACTGCTCTATCCAACAAGGGAAAAGTTTCCCCCATAATAAGGAAGCAGAGGAAAATGTTTCCCTTTCATTATGCGTTACGTTGTCAAAAGGGCGATTGCACTGGGTACGACGTCGTTGAAGTGTTACTCGTTAACTGTTGAGGGCATTTCTGTTATAATGGCAAAGGAGTTAGGGTATATAATAGACGAACAAAAATACCCGCGAATTACATAATTTAGTCACTCAGAAGCAACAAGTTTCGCGCCATTTTTCTCATTTGCCCCAAATCCTCTGCAAGTGAAGAAAAGAACCCTAGGGACAGTGTGAGAGAGAGCGCGAGAACAACATGGAAGAGGACATTAAATCAGAATTCAACAAAAGCGGATTCACGCTAGACGACGAAGAAGAAATTCTCAAGAAATGTAAAGTTCTTTCCTCTTTTTTCCCTGATTTACCTGTACATATTTACTTGTATTTGCTGTCGCTAATGCTTTAGCTTCCCAATTTGATTCTATTGTTAGGTCTTACTTTCTGCATAAATTACAATCTCAAGCCATCAGATCTTGTTTCAAGCTGGGAGGTTTATTATCTTAATAGGTAAGAATCAAATTCTCCCTCATGTCTTTTTTTTTTTTTTGGTCTAATTGTTAATTTCTTGTTGGATGTTGGAAATGGTGATTTAATTTGCTTAACTTTGAATTATTGGTTTTATATTGATGGAGAAAGTTTATAAATTTTATTTTTATAATGGTCTCTGTGCGTGTTTGCTGTGGGACAGGCAATTAGATGAATCAACAGTACAAAATGCAGAAATGGATGGATTTTTAATGCATCTACAGAATGAACAGCAAGAAGCAGTTATCAAAGAGGAACCTAATCTGCACATCTATTCGAGCAAAGATGTGGACATGTAAGTAGTTTATAGAGTTACTATTTCCTCAACTTGTTAACTTATTTTGTTAGTTTCACCATGCATGGGAAGTTTTGCCCATAACTCAAGTGAATTGGTAGACTGGAAGATTGTACTGAAGTCTATTTTCTTAACCAAAATTTTCCTGTTGTGAGCAGTATGTTTAGTTTACAGAATTTAATTTACATAATTTTGGACGTTCAAGAATTCAAATGAATAAAAGAATACATTTTCCCAGGATTTTGAATGGAGAGGAAGAAGATTTAAAAGAAGTTCCTAGTACTCCAACAGATAAATCTCTACAACTCCATTCAGAACCGTTTGACTCAGCAATGAAATCAAATGGAAATGGCTATTCCTCTGTGAAACAACCAAAACATGTTACACCATTTGGGCGACGAACAGATAAGTTTGTAGTGAAATTCGACATCAATAATCTGCCTGATACAGGGAATAGTGACAATGACCATGTTCATGAGAATCTTGAGGATGATTTTATTAAGAGACCGCAACCTCACAAGAAGTGTTCCTTGGTAGTCCAGAGATCTGGGCCGGAGCCAGGTTTCAGGTTCATGTATGACAGGATCGAAGACAGGGTATCTAATGCTATTTTTTATTATAAAGTGGTTCTTCCTGTCCTCCAGTTTATATGTTGCACTAACATTACCTTTTTGGTCGCTTAGTTTAATGCACTTGACAACCGCATCAGGAAGCATGCCTCTGCACTTGTTGCTTCGGGACTCTATGAGGAACCAACAGACCCTACAGTTGCCTCACAGGTATTTGGCTGCGTCATTCGTCTTTGTTCATACAAACACTCTGGGTTATGTGGTAATTTCAACATAAAATGCCATATCTTTCTCTTTGCAACGTTTCATCGATTTGTACTAGATTAATTTATAACATCAAGGAAAGTAATGTTAGTTTAGTTCCTTTATACTGTTCTTTTTATTTTCTTGTCCTTTTCCATTTTACTTATTTTGTGCTTCCTTTTACTGAATATCAAATCCCTCAACATTTTCCAGTCTGCTTTATGTTAAGAACTTATGTCATGATAAAGGTAAACATCTATGCATCTAATAGAAGCTGTCATTTCAGAGAAATGTGTTCGCTGTTGGAATGGTCTGTTGTGATGGAGAAGGCCATTTGAATGACAAGTCCATCCTGTTACAGACCAGGTAAGAAAATCCTGTAATATAATATATCTAATATATATAATCAGGTTCTTCGTTGTTGTCACTAGGAATGGAGAATTGCTAGGATGGGGCTGTCAAAATGCATTCCTTATGATATTTGTGTTGCATGTATTTACCTTCTGCTGTTAAATATGGCCTTTCTAATCTTTCAAATTTTAACAATAGTGTTGAGCATTCTGGGGGGCAGCGCGTTCGTTTAGACCTACATAATCTAAGCCAGTTCTCCATCTTCCCTGGACAGGTAAGAAGATAAATTATAAAGTTTTAGATCTTGATAATTCAAGCTTATCCAAGAAGGATTCTATTTCTGCAGATTGTTGGTGTTGATGGCCACAATCCCAGTGGACATTGTTTAATAGCATCAAAAGTAGTAGATTCTATTCCATTATCTGCTACTTCTGGTGAGGATTTGCATCCTGCTAAGAAGCAAGCTCTGGATCAGGACACTCAATCAACTGATTTATCCTATCCACCAAAAGAGATATCAATGGTATGAATTCTTGTCTGCAGAATCACTTTGAAACCTGAAAAGATGCAAATAACATTTTTCAGTGTGTCCAACCATACACCGTAGGTACCTTGTATCATAAAGACCATTGATGTGGCTAGGATGGATGAGTTGGGGATAATGTCACCAAGGATATACAATTTTCATTCTCTAAGTCTTGCAAATATTTGCAAGAGCAGAGAGTTTTAGTTGCTGCTCAAAGTCATGAAAAACAAACTTGGAACTTCACTAGTACTGACACCAATTCACTGTTTAATATGATATTTAACATATAATATACATGGTGGCTTGTTTCTAGAATCTAATGGCAATCTCTTCAAAACTAATAGGTAACTTAATTTTTTTTCCTGACAGCTTATTGCCTCAGGTCCTTTTACCACAACAGACAACTTATTGTTCGAGCCTCTGACCGAACTGCTGGCATATGCAAGAAGAAAGCTTACACAGCTACTTATACTGGTACAAAACCACTATCTTTAAAGTTCATCTCATATCCGCAGTATTTACTAGCCAGGGAAGTATCATATTTGAATTGTTGGCATTTTTCTCAGTTAGGACCATTTGTTGATTCGGAACATCCAGAGATTAAGAAAGGAACTGTAGACAGGAGCTTCGATGATATATTTCTTCTGGAGATTCTCAGAAGGGTATCTACTTAAATAGTAGTGTTATTTATTTCTGGAAGTGTCTTGCAATATCATAATATTTTTTTCCTGTTGACTGTTTCAGTTGCAAGACTATGTGGAATACATGGGTCCTGATGCACGTGTGCTCATTGTTCCATCTACACGGGATGCTAACCATGATTTTGTTTTCCCACAGGTGATAATAATGTTAAACCGAGTAATAAATATATATATATATATATATTTTTTTTTTTTTGCATGTAAGGTTTATTTTAGTTTTAAGTGCAAGCATATATAAATATGTCCATTTATTTTGGGTGCTATACCTGAGATTTATAATTGTGAATTTTGGCTGTGCAGTCTCCTTTTGAAATTCATCCACCCACTCTTAAACATCAGGTAAATGATCTGCAAATTGTAAATTCTTCTTTTGCAACTAGACTGTGTCTCCCAACTGTTTACCAGGCCACACATTTTAAATAACTTTATGTACTTGTACCAGATAATTAGTGTCACAAATCCAAGCATCTTTGAAGCAAATCAGGTAAAATAGTGGCAACCAATTTCCGATGTTTCAAGTGGAAAATCTCTAGCATGCCATTTATATTCTTGAATATTCAATATTGTTTGAAAAGTCTGTTTGACATTTCTGAAAAACAAATTTTAATATTTTTATTCCAAATAGCTACTCTGCTGGCCTATGCTTCATGAATTCAATAGAATAGGTAACCTAGAATTTTGTGTATTTGATTAACAAAGTAGATGAGCATTTTGTACTTCAAAATCTTCATAGGTACTGTATGTTATTTTGTCAATAAAATTGCATGTGCATCAAAGAATGAGAGGCGTATATTCTGCTAAGAGTCCTATTTCAGGTCAGAGTAGGTTGCTGCACAGTGGATATCCTAAAACAACTCAGCGGAGAGGAAATGTCACGAAATCCATCAGATGGAATACCCAGTGATCGAATGAGTAGGCTTGCATACCATATCCTTAGCCAGCGCAGGCATGCCCCCAAAGCTATCCGTTCCAAAAAACTCGACTTTGTTGGTTCACAAAGTAATAGCTTTGGAGTGTCTTAACACTATTTTTTCTATCATTGAAACAGCTTTTATCCACTATATCCACCAGCAGAAGATGTCCCACTGGATTTTTCACTTGCTACAGAAGCTCTTCATATTACCTCAATTCCTGATATCCTCCTCTTGCCTTCAGATATGAAATACTTTGTAAAGGTAGATGCATGTGCCAAGCACTTCCATTTTAGTTCCACTCAATTTCAAAGCTGCAGTAGATTTTTTTTTTTTAAAAAAAAAAAAAAAGAAAATAACTAAAGAAAAAACATACTTAACATGCAAGTGGTATTCTGATCGAAATCTGAGTTTCAACTTTCCATATCCCTTAAATGCCTATGCTTGCACAGGTACTGTCCCTTGGTGGAAGAGGTGAAGGAGAAGAGCAAATAAAGTGCGTTTGTATAAATCCAGGAAGGTTGGCCAAAGGAGAAGGAGGGGGCACCTTCGTAGAGCTTCACTATCATGGAAGCACTGACAAGATGAATGCTTCAGTTATAGGCATATGAATCCTGGATTGACACTATTCAAGGCATATTGTTTGGCAGCTGGCTCACAGCAGACCTATACTTCAACTCCTCAGATAAATCAGTGAGTTCAGAAAACTCCATCCTCTGCAGTAGATTGCATTAGTGTGGCAATTAATTAACTCTCCTGTTTCTTCATTTTGTTTATTGCCATTTGCCATGGCACATTAGTAATTAGTAATACTAATTAGCCATAAGTGGAATAATTGTATAAATTTCATTCTTTTATATCAACTTTTATATTTAAAGGAAACGGAGTCTATAGCACCTTTAAAGGAAATGTAGAGAAGCTAGTGCTTCATTAGGTATATAGTCAATGATTTCATTTACAAGTAAATATTCTTTCACTATGCAGTGGTTAATACAATTACAAGGGAATTTACTAAAATCCACAAACTCAAATTCTACCTCACCTTCTTCTGACGATTTCTTTCTCTCAACAAGTCTGTCCAATGACTTGAAACCCATAATATACTAACCAAAATTGCAGTAATAATTACAACCATCCAAGAAATCCATGCCCATCTAGGAATCATACCATTAGCTTCTCCACTCAGATAAAAGCTCCCCATCTTAAACGTAAACAGAGGACCTAGAATACCTCTAACAACAGAGTAGAAAGCTAGGAAAAGAGGAGACAAGACTTCATGTAATCTTTTAGCAATAGGAACATCAGCTTTTCGAAAACCGACAATGCTCCAAACATTCTGGAAACCGCTAGTAACTTCAGCTAGTATAAGCAGCACAAGAATCTCGTAGGCCCCATGATTAACCACGTATCGACAAGTTACAATAACATACAAAGTAGCTAGATGGTGAAGTATGAAAAGAAGGTTAGTTGGGAAGAAGACCATGTAGTGTATCAGGTCCATTAAGAAGTAAGCCATACTGAACTCAAGGACTCTGTTATGGAGAGTAGAGTTTGGAGAAGCAAAGTTATATGAGGATTGGGTGTGTAGTAGTGCAGATAAAGCAAGGAAAACAGCAGGAGTGCCATGAGTTAGGGACATGAAAGAACTTGAAGCTTCTTTTCTGTATCGACCCCAGTTTCTGAAAATTACAAAATAAGCATGGAGGTAAATGGAGAAAAACATAAAGAAAGATAAAGGTAAGGTTTGGGTATAAAGAATTGCAGAATCCATGTCAAAGAAAGAGAGAGTTTTGAATGATTTGAATAAAAAAAGAGGCGTTTTTGGAGCTAAAGAAGGTGAAGATCCAAGATTAAGATAAACATGAGAGGTATAGGTTCTGTACAAGAGAATATGCCCAAAGCTTGTCCTGATGATTTTCTGTTTGTTGTCCCTGTCATTGGTGGACTTAATATCGTTTATATAATTAACAATAGAAGCGTATTAATAACCAAGATGGACAAGTAGACCGTTTCCAATCAAATTTTATTAGTAGGAGGAAAAGAAAAGAAACACAGGATTTGGATACCAAGATTGAAGCCTGAAACCTGAATTATAAAAAGGTAGCGTTACTTAACTACACATGGTTATGAAGTACCATTTACGTTCTGACAGATATTCGGATATACTTTTCAGTACTTTTTTTTTATTGATATTATGAGAAAATTAATTTTAAAATTTTTATTGAGGAATTATTAAATAATATTATTAATTTCACTAATTATTTAGAAAAAAATTGTAAATTTTTACTATTTGAAATAATGGTAGTGATATGATTAATTTTTTAATTAATTATTAAAAAAATGAAGAAAATATTTAATGTTATTAATGATATTAAAATATCAATAATAAATCAATTAATGTTTAAATTAAAAAATAACAAAAAAAAAACTTATTTTTCTTGCCACATCAGCACTTTAGTGTTTTGTATTATCACTCGTAAGAGAATGGACTTCGTGTTTATATATTTATATGTAAATATATTAATGGTGTTATTAATTAATTACTTAATTTTTAAAAAAACTGATGAGCATTTAATATTATAAAATTAAAAAAACAAACTGAAAATTTTTATTATTTTGAAATAATGTTAATGATATTATTAATTTATTTAGTAAATTATTAAAAAAAATATTTATTAATGGTATATATCAATATTAAATCAATTAATATTTAAATTAAAATAAAAATGATCTAAAAATTAGTTTTCTTGTCAATTCAACGGTTCAAAAATTATTTCTTGTCATCTAGCATTTCAATATTTTGATTTTATAACACGGAAGCGAAAGTGTTTCTGTTTTAATATGTTTATATAAATATTTCGCTTTTCTGTTTTAATATGTTTATATAAATAAATAGATATCGCCACTTTTAATGGTTTTAATGGTAGAATTAACTTATCTAGACTGCGTCTGTACATCTACACATGAACTAAATTAATAAAAAATAAATTTTTATTAAAATAAAAGTATTGCTTCACCAAAAGAAAAAATAGAATAAAGTTGAAATAATATTTAAAAAACTTATATTAATTAGTTTAATAAACTCCGTTAGGGGTGTAGTTAAGTCAAATCCGTGAAGGATACTTATTTGCTGCACAAGTCTTGTATTTTGTCTTGCTTGTGAGTTTTAACGAAGAAACGGGCCCATTAATTTCGGGTAAAGATTACAGCAAACTTGCAAGGCTAAACTAACTTGAAAAATCATCCTCTTAAATTAGGGTAGACCAATACCCTCCCCAGAGCTCATGACATGATCTCAACTCAGCCTCAATACTTTACGTACAAGGTAAATTAAATGCATGAATATCAATACATCACTTGCACAGTATCTGTCACCTTTTCATACTAAAATATAATAAAATAGGAAGAATTGCGTAGTAGGGAAGGTGGGTCGAGTTCCAATTACACAGATTTAGAATAAATTTTAATATCACCACTTTACCAAACCATACTGGTGAAAATTACTCAAAAAATATATTGCCATTTGTCAAAGTGTAAAAAAATTCAAGTAGTTTATTACAGGGGTATAAAGTTAAAAACTGCCTCAACACAAGCTGGTCATAGCTGCTTGAAAGAAACCTGCCTATCCGAATGCTAGAGAGCTTATACACTTTCGGGAGAGATAACTTACATAACCATTCCTCCGTCAATAGTGAACACCTGCAAAAACAGCAATGCGTGGTTTTTCAACCATGAAAATGAAATAAGGACTCGGCTTTTCACCACTCTGCCCGTCGCTAGGCATAACTAAATACCTAAGACATTGTCATTTGTGGCCAACAGAAGGTGAGGTCAACTGTGTGAAAAGCCGAAAAAAAAAAAAAAAAAAAAAAAAAAAAAAAGCAATGCGTTGGTTTTCAACCAATGAAAAAAGTGAAAATAAGGACTCGGCTTTTCACACTCTGCACGTCGCTAAGGCATAACTAAATACCTAAGAACATGTCCATTGTGGCCAACAGAAGGTGAAGGTCAAACTGTGTGAAAAGCCCGAAAAAAAAAAAAAAAAAAAAAAAAAAAAAAAAAAAAAAAAAAAAAAGAAAGCAGCATAGATGGATCTTGCAATAGACAACAAACGAAATTGATTAAAATAACGTGTCCGTGAAAGCTCAGTGGTCCATGACCACGGCATAGCAAACCGAAGCATTGCCATAGAAAGCCATGTCATGATAAGACAATTGGAAACTATGGCATCTCTTGATCAAGAGGTTAAGTTTGAGTTACTTCTCTTTAGACATCAATTATAACCACAAATATAAATCTTAGTGGGAATTGATGAAGCCTACCATGCCTTGCTTTGTCCTGACCATGGCGTCTTTTATGCAAGGTCAAGCCAAAAGCTCAGCATGTTGTGGCAAGACAGTGCAAGGAAAGGTTGAACCAATGCCAGGGCCGTTATGACCAAGCTTGGCAATGGTCAAAGTAACTGAAAAAAGAATCAAATGAAGTAACTTTGGGCCATAACTCTGCTGGCCAAAACTTTCTAACGAAAGGAATGAAAATGAAGAAGATTCTAAACCTGTCCAGTAATGTAGCTGGCAGCAGGACTAACAGCCAGGAATTCCACCAATCCTGCAACCTCTTCCGGTTGGCCATACCTTCCTGAACCCATAGCAAAGATTATCAGTATCACTTTGAGCATCATTTTTTTTTTTTTTTTTTTTTTTTTTTTTTTTTTGAAGTATTTCAGTTTTTTTTTTTTTTTTTTTTTTTTTGAAGTATTTCATTTTCAACTTACCAAAATCCTATTTGGAAGAATGCATGTGAATTTCAAACAAATATTTCTGAAGGAAGCAAAAGACATTTCAAGAATAATAATACTGGAGTTAATTTCACGCACTATTACTGAAATTGTGTCATTAAATTTCATTCTCTCTTAAAAATCACTAAATCATAATTGTAGTAAAAATAAGTCTGGAGTTTGACATGATAATCATTTGGAATTTTTTAGATATACTATAAATGCTAAATGGATCACCTACGACATTTTTCTCTCCTATTATCTTTGCAGGGTAAGTGATGGATAATAAGAAACATCATGTCTTTTAACCACAAAGAACGAAGGGAAGAGAGAATATCTTCTATTTCCAACTAAGCACACAGAACATGTTAAAAAGTCTTAAATTGCTTGCCATAACATACATTGGGTCTGAAATTGGCCGACTTTTCACTATAGTTCTATGATTACAAATTCCAAGTTTTAGTATTTTTCAAGAGGCAGGTCAAATTTGTTGCCTTTAGTGAGATCTGGTGAGTACTTCAATGCCTGAGTAACTTAGGTCTAGGAAAATTTGATGTTATGATTTTGTGTCTCACCTAAGGGGATTGTGCCCAAAATTTTCTTCTCAATGTCCTCCCCAAGTTTGGCAGTCATGTCAGACGCAATGAATCCAGGGGCAACTGCATTAACCTAGAAAATATAACTTCATTATAGCTAATCTTCATATATTAGCACAATAGTACCAGCTAATGTGTCAAATTACAGAAATAAAAAGATAAAAACTCTTGAAACTCACATTAATATTTCTGCTTGCATATTCCTTTGCAACAGTCTTTGTGAATCCAATAACTCCTGCCTTCGCAGCACTGTAGTTGGCTTGCCCAGCATTGCCAACCAAACCCACAACTGATGCTATGTTAATGATCCTTCCCTAAGAAACCCAAATATATTTTGTAAACAGAAAACTAGAAAGAAAACAAAAGCCAGCTAGCTTAGGTGACAAGAAACATCCCTCATTACCTCTTTTTCTCATTTCATTTAATGATTGCAAATTATTAAGAGAATTTACCATTGAATCTTGAAGAAGAGTATTGCATGCACAATGAAAGAAACCCTTGAAAGCAGTATGGAGATATATTTCAAAGTTTATAAGCTTCTTTGAGATAGAATTCAAACCTATGAATCTAGTTCATACAATACCATTTTCTGGGGTTTTAGACAGTCCTAGCCAACTGGCCCAAGAATAAAAAAAAATGTGAACTTAAGATAGACAGCTGATGTTACCTTTTTCTTCTTCATCATAATTTTGGCAGCTGCCTGCAAGGAGTACACTACTTCAGTTTGAAGAAAACAACTCATGCATGTAATACAGCAACTAGTTGAGTCTCAATGCAAATACCTGTGTGCAAAGGAATACGCCTGTGAGATTTAGATCAATAACCTCCTGCCACTGAGATTTCTTCATTCTCATTAACAATGTATCTCGTGTGATTCCTGAAGCCATAGTAAAGAAAATATTACAGGGAAGAGGCATAAAAAAAGAACAACTATTGAGAAAGAATGTGACTTGTTTTTTACCTGCATTATTTACCAGAATATCAACTGTTCCCCATGCATCAACAGCCTGCAGACGCGATAATGTGACAAATCATGAAGCATGCCATAACTAAAGAATGTCACTAAATTAAACCAACAAAAGGAAAAATTGCTCACTGTTTTTATCATTGCTTCCACATCATCTTCTTTTGAAACATCACCCCCAAAAGTGAGAGCCTGACCACCATAAGCCTGAATCTGCAAGTAAGACTCACAGAAGTTCCATTACCATTTCATTCATGCAGTGTGAATAAGTAACATTGTCATTGTCCACTGATGAAAAAAGTAACATTGCCATTGTCCAGTGAATAATAGAAACATAGCATATGCAGGAAGCAAAATGACAATTTATTTTTGGTGGGAAGCAAGACGATGAGTTTCAATTACTGTCTATGCCAATTAATCTAGAATGAACGAGTACTAATGTTTATTTTACTTACTCTTCAATTTCCAAGATCAGTTCATGGCACAGATCAGACAGGAAGATAGGACATGAGGTGGAACAACTGGATGATTAAATTATTTACTGAACACAGATGGCTGCAGGGGAGCTAAGTGACAGTTTGAGCTCTTTATATGCTATGTGAAACACCTCTTTTGGACATGGTTAATTTTTTTTATTGGACAATCAGGAGCACAATTAGTATGACAAGCTACTACTAACAATTGATACAACCCAGAAAACAGTATAAAAGAATGAAACTTGCATTCAAATTGTACTTGAAAACATGGAACATGGTGGTACTAGAATTAAAAATGAAGATTGCTTTCATATTGTTGGACATATGAATAACCAAGATTATAACCAATCATATACGAGTAATCAAATAGGCTTCAAAAGAAGCGTCATTCACCTCTTTGGAGACTTCCTCAGCCTCACCTGATGACCTGGCATAATTTACCAAGACCTGAAATAGCAGAAAGATTACTAATGAATCTCGCGATATAAACAAAGTGAAGAATACAACTACTATTTTCAATATTCAAAATACAATTAAGAAAGCAAATAGGCATGCAAGCCTTTAGGACACCTTTCAGCATATAAGAAAACCGAGTTAAATGGTCTCCCCAGAGTTTCACTTAATGAAGTAAAGCAACATTTACCATTACCCTGAACAAGAAATGACTAGGAACCAATTTCAAGAAATCAGAGAACCCATAGTAACAACCATGATCCCATCATTAGCAAATAATTTGTCTCCATGGAAATTAAAAGCATTCAACATTCGAAAAATTATAATATGGCTTTAAAGTACGAAGAATGTAAGAAGTTTGAAATAAGGGGATTTAACTAACCTTACAACCTGCTTTTCCCAAAGACAAGGCAATTGCTCTACCAATACCTCTAGAAGCTCCAGTCACTACAACAACCGGCGCTTCGACATTCTGAGCTACCTCAGCGCCTGCTTGTTCAGCAGTAGCAACCTGAGCTTTTATACCTGTATGCGCCCAATGAATCAACTAGATTTCTAAAAAATTGTCAAATTATTTACAAATAGAACAAAATTCAAATTAATATCGATACCACAGTAAAACTATCAAAAAATTGTTATAAAAGTCCCTAAAATCATGGTAGGGGAGATTCCTTAATCTATTAAACCATACCAGAAGAAGCAAATGACCTCGTCGATCTGAAATGGAGACCAAAGCGAGGTTGGAGCTGCCCGACCCCCCTAGTAATAGGAGACCATTGCTGAAACTGACTAAATCTTCGAACACCAGAAGTTCCGAAATTCGCTGAGATTCCGGCTGATTTGAAAGCAACGACATTGGATCCGGCAATAGAAGCAGCCATGGCGAGAGGAGGTCTCAAATGTCTCCAAAGAATGGAAGAGGAAGGCGTGACGAAGAGAAAGGGAGTAGTAGCAGTAGCCAGAGAAGCAAAATTACTTATAAAGCGAAGAAAGGAATGTGTCTGTGTTTTCAATTTGCTGTAAGTTCTGCTTTCTCGCTTTGGAAGCTCCGGAAAGTAGTTACAGTGGCGATGGAAACGATGTCCGCATGACTCTTTTTCATTTGGTTGATTAATGGATCTGGTTTTTTAATTATTTACCATGCAACCACCCATTCATCAGGCGGCAATTGCCGTTTGATGGCAAAGTAGTAGTATATTTTGGTAACAAGGTTAGCTTATGGAATTCAAGATAAGTTAATGGGAAGGAAAGAAAATTAGGTTAGTCCGCCCAGCCAACCCACTATGGTCTAAACGACTTAAACAGCGTCGTTTAACAACGAATTTCATAAGGAAAATGCAAATATAAAAAAAAAAAAACAAATATATGTGCCTTAACTAAATTTCAAAGGATAATTACAAAAAAAAATAAAATTTAAAAAAAAAAAAAAAAAAAAAAAAAAAAAAAAAAAAAAACCTAAGGAAAAAAAAAAAAAAAAAAAAAAAACCTAAGGCATATATTTATGGTTCTTAACATATTAAGAAACCGAGTTGCCAAAAATAAAAACCTAAAGCGTATATCTACCAGTTCTTAACATATTAAGAAACCGAGTTGCTTCACGACGCCATAAACAGGAATCACATAAAGAACTGTCATCTTCAAAATAATCAGAATCCATTGTCCATCTTGATCCCGCAACAGTGAAAGAACAGACTGCCTTCTTCTTGCTATTACAACTGCAGCTTTTTATACTAATCCTGCATTCTTCCTCTTCTTCCGGTCCAAATCCGAAAATATTGTCATCCACCCAAATATTCTTAACTAAGTCTCTAACTTTCTTTCTACAATCGGTAATAACCAAACTTAAATTTGATCTTTCAAATTTAGAAAGTAGTTTTAAACCCTCTTTTCTCAATTCCCCACCGTAGCACACGAGAATTATACCACATACATAATTAGCTTCCATGTGTCCTTTTTTAGCAGCTTCTTTCAACAGCTCAAGACCAGAAGCTTTTTCCAAGAAATCAAGCCCAGACTCGCGTTGTTTGGGTTTGCTAAAATAATCAACCATGCCTCGTCTAAACAATGCTTCCGGGTTTCCACTTCTCTTGCACTCAAACAAAAAAGACGAGACAGCATGGTTGATCCTCCAGGAGATTATTGGGATAGGATTGAGAGAGACATGCTCGAAGAAGTAATCTTCTGTTGCTACTTGTAGAAATTCTTCGCAACTTGCTTTTGCATTGCAAAGATCAGTGAACGATGAAGAGGCTACTCGGAAAAGAATTTCAGTTAGTAATTCTTTTGGAGTATGCTTGAACTTGTTAACATGAAGCTTTCTACAGTGCTTCGTTACAATTTTCTTTGGCTTTAAAGAATCCATTGATCTAGAAGAATTAGAGGATATAGGGAAGAAGAGGAATGTTTGAATGTCTTTCAATTCTGTGAATATATATGGAGTGGAGGTAGTTATGTTCTTTTCCATATCCGGAAAGGATTTGTTTTTACGTAATCCTTTTCTTGCAAGGATTTATAGTTTTTTTTTTTCCTTTTTTTTTAAATAGAAATTAATTAATTGCATACTTCTTGCGGACTTGTTATTTTATTTTTAACTTATACATAAAATTTTTGTTTTTTTTTTTAATAAATAATGATAATATGTTTATTGGCTAGCTATTTTTATCATAGTACGTGTGCCTTTTAGAAGCTTCCACTGCCTGATTTTGTCCAGCAACATTTAAAATATATTCTTAGCAGTGTTTCACTTTATATATCTTTATATATTTATTATATATATATATATTATATATATATATATATATATATATATATTATATATATAAAATCATTTGTAGAAAAAACCTTAAAATTTTTAAATATGTTATGTTTTGTAAATTAAATTCTTGAACTTTATGGTTCCTATATTGCTCTCTTAATTTTTTTTTTTTCGCAAAAGTAAATTTAATGTTAAAGATTTTGTACTCCAACATCTTTTCAATCTATTTTGAACGTTTAAATTAAGTTTTAATTATTAAGCAAATTTTTTAAAATAATTTATAAACTATTTATCACGTATTTCTCATAAATTTTATTTTCATTATTAAACAACCCATTGGAGTGAACAGGAATTAAAAAAAAAATATTGTTGAACAATAAAAATTTAAGAGTTTCTTAAATGATTTTTTTTTTTTTTTTTTTTTTTTTTATTGCTGCACAGAAAGTAATAGAAGAAAAAGATTTTTTTTTTTTTTTTTATGCTCACAAAAGTAATAGAAGAAAAAGGATAAACATGCTAATAGTCATTTAACAAGTTCATATTTAAAGAACAAAAACTAAATGGATAACTTGTAAATAATTTACTAAAACATTATAATTATGCACCCACAAAGTAAATTTAGTTATCTATTTAGTGTAAGTTTATAGTATTATATTTAGGTCCCTCTTATATAAATAAATAAATAAAAAAAGGAAAAATTCTTAATTAGGGCACACAGATGTCCTTGTGACCAAAAAGAACCAAAATAGGCTACTGACATAAGAATATAACAACAATACCACTGACTATGAAAGAAATATGACAAAACAACAATGTACACATCACATGTAATGAAGTAAACAACTTCATAATGCGAAAACAAACAAGGCATCATATAAAATCCAGTTGATCATGTTATTAATCTTGAGGCTTAGGCACGGCTTTTTACTGGTCTTTTAGAATTATTCTTGGGACGAATCTTCACAAAAGCTTTTTCTAGGTCCTGAATAGCATTGAAAAATAAAATACGGGATGTTAGTTGGAGTCCTTTGCCAAGCAACTCAAAGCAGAGATCAAGTTAGAGCCCAGCATTATGCACCAACTGCAAAATAATTGACACAAAATAGAAGAAGAAAATGACAAGCCCACACCCGCAGCCACACTCCCCAAAGAAAACTACAATCAGAAAAAGTTCTATACTTATGCTAGTTAATAAATTATTAGACACGAATGAGGACGAGCAGAATTTGTAAAATTAAAATGTTCAAAAGCTCTTTTAAACAAGTAGGAAGTTTTATGAACAAGGATTTAGATTGAGATCTTACCAAGGCAACAGCAACACCAACCCACCTCAAAACCCATATTCGCATATTCCCATCTCAAAACCCAGACATTCGCAATATGTATAAATAAATTATAGGCAATATCATTACTGGTCTCTACTCCAGTTTGTAATCTGAGAATATTCTGCATGCCCTAACCAGAAATAATCGCAAATGCTTTCTTTCCACCCTAATGAAAGGGCCATATTAGACAAGAATATAAAGTTCAATAGTAAGATTATTTTCCAAATTCCATACATATTTTGAACAAAATACACATCATTAACACATCTTACATTATGCATTTGAAACTTAATTACCCAAATTATGTTTGATTTCTATTTAAGCAAAATGCTTATCTGTGCATGTTAGAAAGGTGCTATTGCTTAAGGATTATAACCTCAACACCTAGGGATTCAAGTAACGCAAGCTACTATTGTGGTAACTAATATGCCATAAGAGGATATACTCTCTTCTCCGTCCTCTTGTTTACAGTCTTTTCGTATCACAGATTATGGAATAATAACAAAACAATTCTGGTTCAAGGAGGGAAAATAATATCAGTATTTTAAGGCCGAAGTTTTCCCTTGAAGGCTATCAGAGATCAAGTCCTGCCAAATTGGCAAGAACCATCATACTACAAGCAATAATAATACTGCATAAGTAATACATACATTGAAAAACACGTGATCAGTAGAAGACAGGGGAGATAAAGGGGAGAAGTCATCTGTCTACAAATTCTTAACATTTGACATTTCCCTCTCTTGAAAATCCATTAGCGTCCCCCACCTCTACAGGAAAATTTAACTACAGATTCCATCAGACATTTACATTCTCTCTCTTGATTATTTAAAAATTAAAACCAAATACAGCTAAAGTGTGTATCATGTACATGGCTGTATGCAAAGTTCCAATGTAGTGGATCAAATAAAGATTGTAGAGCTTTAAAAGTTTCACTGACTACAGATATATCATTACCTGAACTGGCTCATTTCGAGACGTGCCACAAGTCCAAAGGTTTTCCAAATTGTAATAAGCTCTGGCCTTCTCATCAAGAGCATGAATAATCACCTTGCCTTAAGAAATAAAGAAACCAAAAGGATAAATTAAAGTAACAATAATGAACATAGGCACCGTACACTTTCATCAGAATATATAAGGATGAGTTAGAGTTGATGAATCGGTCATTTAAGGTTACAATCAGCAAACAATACAAGAACACAACTCCACAACTTGAGTAATCGGTAAAATTTTGATAAGAACATGAGATTATGCAAAATTAACTTAGAAATCGTTTCTAGTTGCGACCAATGAATCTTAATCAACTTAACTTTTTCATAACAATAAACATTTCCGGCTAATAATTTGATCAAAATTCTTTCCAAATAGAAGTGAGCCTCTGTATTGACTAAACCAGCAAATCTAACATTATGCAGAGTACAGAACAGACCAGAGTCAATGACGATCCACTTTCCACTCTCTTGCCCTTCCACGCTTGGAAGCATCATCCGCTCAGCTCCTTTCTGCTTTTGCTTAGCCTATGCTTAGAAATAATTTAAAGAAATAAATATTCAGTTGAGGCATAATTTGTTCTTCAGCAACCATGAAATAACAAAGAAATGTAGGATGAATAATTCAGCCACAATTTCATAAAAAGCAAACAGAAAATTAAGGTTTGAAAAGGAAATTTCAAAATTTAAGAGCAAACGAACCTGCCTTGTAAATAAGAGCTTGAGCGATGTTCTTGACGTGCCAGGTAGACCTACCGGTGGCGATCACCATATAATCTGCCCAATCACAGTGTTTTTCGACCGGTATCACTTTCACGTCGTCTGCTTTCACGTCGGTAAGAACCTTCTCAACCTCGTTTAGGTCAAGCAAGCCTTTGTTGTAGCTGCTACTGCTTCTGCTTGATTCGACAGTCGATGAAGAGAAAACGTGGCTGGAACCTGACAAGCCTAGCTTCCATGATCGATGGAGGAGGGAAGGCTGTGGTGAGCAGAAATGGATAGACCGAGTTCGCAGCGCCGCCAACATTGGATCGCAACGCTCGAAAGTTGAAACTGTAGAGTCCAGAGGAAGCTCGAACAAATGATAACCGAAGATAGTTATCACGGCTTGTAAACGATGACGTTTCCATTGATAAATTTGGGTTCGAAAATTTATTTGTTAAACCAAAAAACATAAAATATTAAATGAATGAAAAAAAAAAATCTGATATTTTTGCTTGGTAATTCAACTTTAACCTATTATTTTAATTTCATTAATCTGCACATAAAATATTAGTGTTGATTAAATTTTTAAATAATTAGCTAAATAAAATTTATATCCTTTTCTTAAAATAAAAAAAAAAAAAACAACTCAATAAGTACTACTAGATTAATCAAATCACAATCCAAACTAAATGTAATGCAAACTTCAAATAATTTGCAATTTACAATAACATAAGGTTAAACAAACGAGAATCAAATGCATTGAAATTGCTACTAAACTCGATGATTTTAGTACAATGCCACTACAATTATATATTCTTAGAAATTGCACTAAAATCATCGATTTGACTGAGAATTGAAATTGAAATTGTATTGATCGGCTATTTACTTAAAAACAAGCATTGCGTCAGTTTAGTTCAAACTAAATTAAATTAAATAAAATTGAATCAATTAGGTGATTTTGGTCGATTTTATAGCTATATTTAATGGTCTTAAACTTATTTATTGAGCTTCGAGGAAATCAAATTAAAAAAAAATTGATTTTATACATAAAAACCAAAATATGCTCAAATCTAATTTAACTGCAATTCCATTTCATGTTGCTTAATAAAAAAAGGTCATTGGATTAAAGGTTTAAATTTATTATACCTTCAAGCTGTCGTGACACTGGATTGCATTGAAATCGTCGGTTTAACTAATTATATGTTTAAAACATCTGAGTTCTTTTCGCACAAAATAAATTTTATTGATTATATTTTTTTTTTTGTCACACAAATTTGCCTTTGGTGTCAATTCTCAACCATACTCTCCCCATTTTTTTTCCTCTTCAATAAAATCCTATATGTTATCAAAATTCAAAATAAATAAACAAATCACATGAATAAACATGGTTTTATTTAAATTAAAATTAAATTATAATTAAAAAGAAAATGGTGGATGAATTTGGCAAATATTGTTACCTTTTTTTTTTTTTTTTTTTGGCATGCATTTGGGCAATATTGTTTTACCGTCCGCTTTGTTATTTTTTTTTTTTTTGGTTTTTAAACTCTCCAAGTCGTCAATCAATCAAAGTTCTTAATTTAGGAAGAGTTTCTTAAAAATGGCCATCATGTAAATTTCGTTAATTGGTGCATTGCTTTCAATCAACGACAGAAGTACAAAAGTGAGTTGAAAATAGTCCAACCAACCTATATTGGAGAGTAATTAGCATCATTAGGTTAATTAATGATCATTCTTAAACTTCCCGCATAAATGATCATTTAATAGTTTTCCTTAGAAAAAACTTCACGCTAATTACATTAAAGTTAAATTTTAATTCCATATTAAGTAAACCACCTTATTAGGGGCCATTCGGGTGAATTTGGATAATTATCTTCTCTCTGCCACCTCTTGTAATTAAAGCTATTTTTTGACTTTTGTCGTTCGACAAATACAATTAATTAAATTATCTAAATTTAAGTAATTTTCTTTGTCTCGACACAGCCCAGTTTCAGCTGTTGACGGGTAAGACTCTGTGAAGTTGTTTCACTACTCCGTGTTATTAAAGAGTTTTAAGGGACATCCTCCTTCTTTGGAAATGTTCAAAAAAAACCAACTCGTTCAAGGCCGTTTGGGGATTAATCAGATTTGACGCAAAATGAACACGAGCCACAGGGTGCTTTAAGGCCTACAATAATTAGACATACCCTAGCGATCCCTAGTCCCTCATGATTTTGAAATGAAATTGTAGCTTGACTTTGCTTTCTTTTTTTTTTTTTTTTTTTGGTTTAAACTTCCAATCGTCAATCATAAATTCTTAATAAAGAGTTCTTAAAATTGCATCATTAAATAGTTAATTGGTCATTGCTTGCAATCACCATCAATCAAAGGTTGAAAATAGTCACCAACTATATTGGCAAGTAATAGCATCATTAGTTATTAATGATCATCTTAAACTTCCCATAATGATCATTTAATAGTTTTCCTTAGAAAAACCTTCACCTAATTACATTAAATTAAAATTTTAATTCCATATTAGTAAACCACTTAATTAGGGGCCATTCGGGTGATTTGGATAATTATCTCTCTCTCCACCTCTCTAATTAAGTTTTGACTTTTGCGTTACAAATACAATTAATTAATATATCTAATTTAGTAATTTTCTTTGGTCTCGCACACCCAGTAGCTGTTTGACCGGTAAGATCTGTGAAGTTGTCAACTACTCGTGTTATTAAGAGTTTAAGACATCCTCTTCTTGGAAATGTTAAAAAAAAATGTTCAACCGTTGGATTAATCAGATTTGAGCAATGAACAAGCCACGTGTCTTTAAGGACACATAATTAGACATACCTCTACGATCCACTAGTCTTCATGATTTGATGAATTGTAGCTGACTTGCTTTTGTCATTATTGACCTGAACGGAAACCTATAGAGCACGGGCCTCACGTGTCATTCCCCAAAAGTTGAAATTTTTGAGGTCAAAGTCCAAAACTGCGTCGTGTTTCACTACTCTTGGTTGCCAACTACTCATTTTGTTTTCCTTTTCCGCTGTTTTTATAAATTAATTTTTTATTTTATCATTTTTTAGTTAAATAGACTTTACTTTTTTTAAATTGTGGTGAAAAATGAAATATCGAATTGTATCTTTAATGAAATTAAAATTGATGTGTGTTATCACTATATCTCTAATATGCTCTATTTAATATGACTCGTCAAAGTCCAAAATTGCATTGTGTTTCAGTAACATGTAATCAAATAAAATAATATATTATCTCTATATATTTTAAAAAATATATTAATATTGCAATTATTTTTAGCAAACTCTTGAGCTTCATATTAATTTTACCCTTTTCAATAAATTAAATAAGTAATTAAATTAAAACTACATTTTAAATCAAAGTTAAAAATAAGTAATTAAATTAAATAAAATATTAATACATTTCACATAAGGCATGTATGTCTTTCCATGGAACACCACATACATAGCATTTCCCTAACCCCTATTCCCCTAATATAATATAAATATATAATAAAACTATATTCTTACCTTAATATTGACGATAAACAACTAGATGATGGGTCTCAATGCAGAAAAAGAACGAAAAGCAAGCTTATCATGGGCCAATGAAATCTCGACATTGACTCATAACCAAAGCTTCATCTTCATTTGTTAACAAATCACAATATTAAACTAATTAATCTCAATCAAACAGTACCACCCTAAGCATAATTATGGATCGATCTTCGGTCACTTTCCTATGCCAATAGACGTTGTGAGCATGATAATTTTTTAATATAACTAGAAAGAATAATATTTTCTGAGCTACAGAGCATACAGATTTTTATAGTAAATTACGCTTTCTTTTATGAGAATTGAGGTTACTTATTAATCAGCGTTACCCCCGATAACGAACTGCATTTACAGCACATTTAAAATTCTTATTATTTATATTTAATAAAATTTATAAGTTATTATCTTATTTTAATTTGCTTTTTTTTTTTTTTTATTGGTTTGTAGGTGCAAGTTTTGTTGGAATCAAAACCTTAATAGTAAAGAGGTGTTATGATTATGTTTGATGTTTGAAGGCTTTTAAGTTTTCTCTATCACCTACCAATTAAAAAGACATCATTCTATATCTTTCTATTAGTAGACATGGCAAATGATAACTCCCTAGTTGTGTTTTGGCTTTTATACACTAATTATTAATTATTAATTATGCAATCCTTGATTGTTATCCACTAATCTATATTTAAAATCAAAATTAAGATGTTTAAATATGTACTTTGTTTTCATTTTCTTGCTAACTTTAGCATAATTTTGGTGAGATGAAATCTTGCCCAAAGGAATGATGAGTTGCTAATTAATGTGTCAATTAAATGTTGTCCCATTTCATAGTTATTATTGTAAAAAATAAATAAATTAATATTATTAAAAAAAATTATAACCCAACCCTTTTTAAAATATCTTTTATAAAATAAGAATTATTGTATATTTTTCTTAAAAATCCTAAAAAAGTAATTGTTGTACAATTTCTCAAAAATTATAATTATTCCTATTTAAAAAAATTATTGTCTTAAAAAAATAATGAACGAAAAAAGGCAAAAAAAGAAACATCACAGGGCAAAGAGAAAGCGAGCTACTGAGAAAGAAAAAAAAAAAAAACATGAAAGCTTGCTAAGGAGGAAAGAAGCAAATCTGAGCAGCAACAGAAAAGAAAAAGAAAAAGAAAAAGAAACGATAGAGAGGTTAGTTACCCCCAAATTTTCTTGCAGACTTTCTCTCATTTTCTTGGAGGAGAGAGAAAGCTAGAAACTTTCTAACCGATCCTCTTCGATCTGCACACTCTTTATCAATAAACAACGAGGGCAATAAATGCCTTAGATCCGAGTTTACTAACAAACATTCTTTACATTGTAATGTGCCTTTAAAGTTCTTCTCTGTCTTCCAATTCGAGATCTTATTTGCATTCAACGAGTTTTCAACTCTCTTTCAAGAATTTTGACTTTCGAGTTATTTGGGTAGTCAAGTCAAGTGCTTTCACTGAGCTTGAAACGGTGAGTTGTTATTTCTTTTTTTGCAATTTGCGCTTCCGTGGAAGGTGATAAAGACTGATACAAGTCCAATTTGAGTATGAATTGGGGAGGTGGGGGGTGAATGTGATGGTTTGGTACCATGGGATCATTCGGCTGATGGGAATTTAGGGTTTTTAGATATTGTATTGCAAGTTGAAGGATTCGATTTGGTTCTTATTGGATATGTTGCTAAGCTTCCACATTTTGAATGGTACAGTTGATTCAGTTATTTGTGAATTATATGTGTATAAGTTTTGGGTTGCTTGAAGTGGGTTTAAGTTAATGGAGCATGTGAAGAAGGCAATTTGAATTCAAGGATAAAATATTTTAATTTTATGCAAGTAATGGGCAATTGGATTTGGGAAAGGCATTGTTTTGGTTGTGGTTTAAAGCGCAGGTTGAAGTAATCATTTTGGAATTTTAGTTTGTAGCGGAAATGCCTCCTTCTCCGGCATTGAGATATTCTCCCAGGAGGGAGCCAAGAGGTGAGAATCATAAGCGAGGTCGCAGTCTTGAAGGGGGATTGGTCTTCAAGGAGAAGGATGACGATCTTGCTTTGTTCAATGAAATGCAGTCCAAAGAAAGAGAAAATTTTTTGCTCCAGTCCTCTGATGACTTTGAAGACACGTTTTGTAATTTTCTGTACCGACCTCTATACTGTAATTCGGTTTATGTTAGGTTTTCTGACGGAAGTATTTGTCTATTTCTTCTGGTTAATGATGTTGCTTTATTTCCTTTTGTCGATTGTTTATGCAGCTACAAAGTTGAAACACTTTTCAGATTTGAAGCTTGGGATTTCTATTCCTGTTCGAGGAGAGAGTAGTGAACTGCTTAATGCAGATGGGGAGAAGAATGACTATGATTGGTGGGTTATGACTTTCTATTTTAATACCCTGTGGTTATACTAAGCTTTCTCAATTTTCAATTGTTAATTCACAGCTTTTATGACAACTTGCATATTTTTTGGTTCACAAATGACCAGAAAAAGAATTTGATTTCTATATATATGAAAAACTTTTCCGCGGATATCTGAAGTATTGGATTTGTCATGGATGATAATTTAAGTTTCTTGCTTTAAATGCTACTAATTCTAATTTTTTGTTTTTAATTTGTTCAATTGATTCACAAACTCAAGCTGAATGATCATTATCATGATTTTGAAAGAATTATGTTGCTTTAACTCTTTTGCGTCAAGGTTTTCAGTCAGTATAAGTGCTTTTCAAAGTTCTTGGTGATGATGGATTATCTGGTGTTATTGTGGTTTAAGGTTATTAACTCCTCCCGACACTCCTCTCTTTCCTTCATTGGACGATGAGCCGCAGCCAGTTAATGTTACATCCAGGGGCAGGCCTCGGAGTCAGCCTATTACTATATCAAGGTCATCCACGGTAGGGCATTGATAATTTCTATAGAATGGACAGATTGTGTTTAATTTTATTCCTCTAAAGGTTAAATTTTTTGCCAAAAAAAAATGTAATAATTTATTTTTCCTGCAAATAATCTTTATGCAGATGGAGAAGAGTTACAGAAGCAGCAGGGGCAGTGCAAGTCCAAATCGCTTAAGCCCATCACCTCGGTCTGGTAGCAGTTCATATCAATCCAGGGGAAGGCCATCATCAGCACCTCTTTCTAGCCCCACTCATAGCCAACGACCTGCCACTCCATCACGCAGACCTTCTCCTCCTCCAACTAAAGCTTCAGCTCCTGGTCCAAGATCTTCAACTCCAACTCCAACGAGAACAAACACAGGGTCAGGAGGAAGGGGAGTTTCCCCTATAAGAACAAGTCGAGGAAACTCTGCTTCACCAAAAATAAGCGCATGGCAGACAAATATCCCTGGTTTTTCTTCTGAGGCACCACCCAATCTCCGCACTTCATTGGAAGATCGACCAGCATCTTATGTAAGGGGCTCTTCACCAGCATCCAGGAATGGTAGGGACTCGGGCTCAAAATTTGGCCGGCAATCAATGTCTCCAACTGCTTCTAGAAGTGTTAGTTCATCGCATAGTCAAGACCGAGACCGGATTAGCTCACATAGTAGAGGTTCTGTAGCATCATCTGGCGATGATGATGTGGATTCTTTGCAATCCATTCATGTGGGTAGCTTAGATCGCTTAGCGTCAAAGAGGACTGGCACTTTTCCAAATAATAGAGCTGTGGCATTTTCTAAGAAATCAACTAGAATACTGTCCCCAAGTTCTGCTCCAAAGAGATCGTTCGACTCTGCTCTTCGTCAAATGGTATTTTGTTGTCTATTTCATTTGAATTGCATCCTTTATGATGAAAGTTTTACAAGTGAGCATTCTTTTTTTTTTTTTTTTTTTTTTTTTTTAGTTCATCCGGCATAGTCCCAAGACCGAGACGCGATGTAAGCTCACATAGTAGGAGGTCGGTGTAGGGCATCAAATCTGGCGATGATGATGTGGATTCTGTTGCAATCCATTTCATGTGGGTAGCTTAGATCGGCTTAAGGGGCGTCAAAAAGAGGGACGCTGGCTACTTTTTCTCCAAATAATAGGAGCTGTGGCATTTTCGCTAGAAATCGAAGCCTAGAATTAACTGTCCCCATGCTGCCAAAGCGAAGGATCGGTTCGATCCTGCTCGACTGCTCTTCGTACAAATTGGTTAAATTTTGTGTTGTCTATTTCATTTGAATTGCATCCTTTAAATGTACGATGAAAGTTTTACAGTGAAGGCATTCTTTTTTTTTTTTTTTTTTTTTTTTTTTTTCCTGCTAAATATAGAAAAACCAATAGGTGGTTGAATATGGCTTGGGCTTTTGGCAGTTTAACTGCAATTTGGTGTCATTTTCTTAGCGAATTCTAGGAAAGCCTAAGTAGTCGGAATTTGCCTTTGTTTATGACAATTTGCTCCCTTATTACTGGGTTACGAGAACTATATACAATCCCAGTATTTCTAGGAAAAAATAACACTTCAGGTTTTCTCTAACAATAGTGAATACGCACAGATTGCTGCTGTGATCAACTTCTCAAGGGGAACCCCTCCCCCAATTTGTAAGTTTTGTTTTAGCAGAAGGGCGGACTTCAAATCCAATTTGTTTTTCACAATAGTTTTTTCATTCCCTTCTCAATCCAGGACACTAAAGGCCTCAAACCAAGCTTTCTTATAAAATCTATCACAAATTTTGCCGATACAATGCCTCATTCTATTTACCATTACACCTGGAAGCCTAAATGTCTAAAGGCAATTATGCTGAACCGTTAGCGAAGCCTTACTATTGCAATGTCCATTAACCCATTCTCGACACCTTTGGGTGACAGGGAAGATCTTTTTTTTTTTTTTTTTTTTTTTTTCTGCAAATATAAAAAACAATAGGTGGTTATATGCTTGCTTTTGGCAGTTAACTGCAATTGTGTCATTTTCTTAGCAAATTCTAGAAAGCCTAAGTAGTCGATTTGCTTGTTTATACAATGCTCCTTATTACTGTTACAGAATTATACACCATATTTCTAGGGAAAATAACACTTAGTTTCTCTAACAATAGTGAATACGCACAGATTCTGCTTGTACTTCTAAGGGGACCTCCCAATTGTAAGTTGTTTAGCAGACAGCTTCAATAATTTGTTTTCACAATAGTTTCTTCACTTCTCATCCAGGACACTAAACTCAAAAAGCTTCTTATAAATCTATCCAAATTTGCCATAAATGCTATTCCTATTACCTACACTGAAGCCTAAATGTCTAAGGCAATTATCTGCCGTTAGCAACCTTTACTATCAAGCATTAAACCATTTCTCACACCTTTGGGTGACAGGAAATCAGCTGTAATAGCTGGAAGTATGGGGGAAGCCTTTCTAAGTGAACCCATCCTGTCTGAGCTCAGTCTGAATTTGAATTTACAACATCTCTCAAAAAAAAAAGGTCAAAGCTCGTTTTTTTTTCCCTCATAAGTAATATTGAACAAATCAGGATAATAATAGTAAAAAATGGAAATTTGTTAACTATACTAGTTCAAGAACCAAAAAGAGTAAGCTATCCTAAATTTTTATCAGTATTGTGAAGTGGTTTATTGAGCCTATCAAGGTTTCTGTCATTTTTTCCTTCTCAGGGAACTTAAGCAGTACATAGTTGTTTGGCACAAATGAATAAGTCAATCAATAAGGATTATTGTCTTGTACTTTCTTCACGTCCCAACTCATACTTTTAGAAGTGTTACTGCATAGATTCTTTATCCTGGTCAATATTTTTGTGTAGGATCGGAAGAGCCCTCAGAACATGTTCAGACCACTCTTATCCAGTGTGCCCAGTTCTACCTTTTATGTTGGAAAAACAAATTCTGCACACCGTCCTTTGATATCTAGGAATTCTTCAGTTACGACTAGCAGTAATGCAAGTTCTGATCAAGGTAACAGTGGTGCACCTGATACTGAAGGAAGTGACCCCCACCAGGAAGATATGGTATTTGAAAGTGGAAATACAACACACCCTGATGTGCAGGAAGAAATATTTGCGTTTGATAAGGTGGATAAATTAAATAAGGATGTTGAACATGAAATGGGTGATGGTTTGCTTCGGTTTCAGGTTGGTGATTTGGAAAGAAACCTTTCCACTGAATGTGAGCCTAATAATTCTGAAGAATTCCGCCACCAGGAGATTGATATGGAAATCAGTTCTGCTTCAGACACATTATGTGCCAGAGCTGATTTTTCGGAAGTTGGTAGTCTAGAAAACACAAAAGTTTGTTCTAAATGTGGTTGTAGGTATCATGCCATTGAAATGGTAGAAAAGCACATAAATCTTTGTCCAGATTGCAGCAGACAAGACAATCTTGTGGCTGCCACCAGTCTGGATACAAGCATAGTTGCTCTTGAGAACTCTCCAATGTTGTCTATGAATGTTTCTGAAGAATACGTGCCTTTTGATGAGCCTGAGACGCAAGTGGCTGTACCTGAGTCACAGTCACAAGGTCTTGATGGGGTGGAGGCAAGGGTCATTCAGCAAGCAGACAATGTCAAGCATGGCCGAACTTCATACTATGAGCAAATTACTTGCTCCCAAGAAGCTGGGTTGCTGGTAGGAGATGATCAGAGGATCGTTAACCAGCATGGAGCTGGACAACCAGCTGGCAGTCTCAAAGCATCTGATAGTGGCTCCGGAGTTCAGGAATCACTGCCTTCTAATGATTATGAAAGTTTGAAGATGGATGGTTCAGAAGGTGCTGGCATTTCTGTCCTCCTTAAGAGGTCAAGCAGCAGCAAGGGGCCTGTTGTTCAAGCCAGGACTTTTGTTGCCTCTACCATTTCTTATGATAATTTCTCTTACAGTAGAGACAGTGCAAACAGTTTGAGAAACTCCACTGGATATGGCAGTACGTCTGCTTCATCCTCTGTTGATTTTAGCTCAGCTAGGCAAGTAGAAACTCGTGTTCAACGGCAGTTAAGTGGCAGGAAATCTGATATGGAGAACCACAGATATGACATAAGCACTAGACCCCAAAGCAGCGCATCGTCTTTGTCTGGAACGTCAAACCACAATTACCTTGGTCTTGCAACAAGCACCCATGAAGAGAATAGGGAGTGTTTTCTTGGTGATCTGAAACAAGATGGAATAGAAGGAGCAACTGCAACTGCAACTTTGCAAGTGTTGACATCAGAAAACAAAGAAAATGTTGCTTCTAATGCATCTTTGACTGATGCAGTAGTTCCCGAGGTCGTCTCTTTTGAGCAGAATGAGAATAATAGACTAATAGATGCTTCCTCATGCCATTCAGTTGGCACTCCTTTAGAGGAGAATTCAGCAGCATCATTTCCAAATTGTGAAGACTACCATTCAAATCAAAATGAAGATGATAACCAGAACAATGCAAGCACTGTCTCGGATTTAGACACATCAGTTATTCCTCCAGATCCCCCTGCTGGAATGGAAGATACCATGTCGAGTACTAGTCTCGATAGGAAAAATGATGCTGTGGTTCCCACCCATAGTTCTTTGGCGTCAATATCAGAAATTGAAGCTGAGAATTTTTGTCACAGTAACCCTGACTCAGAGAATGATGATGCCCCCAGAAATTCAAAGAGCCCCACAAATGAATTTCCATCTGATAAGGATATGTCTACTTCTGTTCTGGAGCATGGCAACTCGGATCATTTACATGGCATATTGGGTACGCTATCGTTGCATTATTATTATTTTGTTGTGTCAAAGTTTTTGTTTTTGTGGCTTAACTATAATTAACTTGAAACATGTCTCTCATCGATGAAAGGTGTATCTTTTTTCTTGATTTGCATGCAGTATGCTAGTTTAGTATTTTCTTTTGAACGAGTTATGATCCAAATAAATATATTGGCTTTTTATTTTTTATTTCCCAATAGTTGTGAAGCTACCATATCATGCTTGTCTACTTCACTGGATTTATAAACAATGCCTTGTGGTTTCCATGTGCTTAAATCTTTTATGCTAATTTAAGCTTTGGCAGGGGACCAGTAAAATATAACTAGATTCTCTGACAAATTCTTTGCTTGTGGCAGAAGATTCTACTGTAATGGTTCGGGAAGGAAGTAAGGCAAGAAGCCTAACCCTTGAAGAAGCAACTGATACAATACTTTTCTGTAGTTCCATTGTCCACGATCTGGCCTACCAGGCTGCAGCAATAGCCATTGAAAAAGAAGATTCAGTCCCTTTGGAAGGTTCTTGGCCAACTGTTACAATTGTGGGAAAATCTACTGCAGATAGAAAGGATTCACGCAACAGGACTACTGGGAAACGTACATCAAAGTCCCAGAAAGCTAGACAAAATAAAAAGACAGAATTAGATGTAAAATCGCCTTCTAGAAAGACCGAGAATGATGAAAATGCCAACGAATCTATGGTACGCAATGTTGGCGTTCCTAATAACACGGACAGTGCAAAGCCTCCGAAGCTGGAATCGAAATGCAATTGCACAATAATGTGAAAGTCTTTCATTCACACAGCGCAGTCAGTGCCATGCACTGCATAACTCTGCTACTTCCTTCAGCCATTTGGAGAAGTTGCTGAGTGCTTGTATGTTAATGGTCTTTTTTTCTGTGTTTGAGGGGCTGTTTAGATTATTTTGCCAAATCGGTTTCTGTTGGTTCCAATTTATTTGTAAGAAACACCACGATGTGCTGGTGACATAATTGTAAAGTTTTTATTTGTTATTAGGTTGATATTAGTTAAGGCATTGGAGATTTGTGTTTGCTCTGCTCCATTTGCCAGATTCTTGTTAGTTACTCCCACTTGATTCAAGTCCTTGGTTAGAGAGAAGTGTGAACTAAAACCCCAACCATTCATATTTGATTGTTACAAAGTATAGCTTTGATTTTGCAACATTTGCTTCTCCAGTGTCTCTGGCAAGCCAAGCTCAGCCAAAAGGATTGACAGAGTGTTTTACCCATCAAAGAAAAAAGACTCCAAATATTATTCCTATCCCTTTTGGTAGCTTTTTTGCTTTGCCATTATTGATCTTTTATGCCTTTCAAAATTATGGCCTAAGCTTGACTTCAGTATGCTTCTGCACAAACACTTGGGCAAATTATTCCATATGTAGATTGCTTTTATGCCATACCATATATAAATATAATGTTCCACGTGTGAATGTTAGATAATATATTCTTTTATGCACATAATTATATTGTGTATAATATTATAAAAAATTGCACATAAAGTTATGTGAGGTCGGGCCCATTGGAACTATCTTGGATATGACTTTATGTTAATCCAATTCGAACAGGCTAGACTCAGGCCCACTATAAATAATAATATAATAAAAATCCAGATTAGTTTATCGGAATGATTTTGAAGGGTATTTCAGATATTTCACAAGAGGCACAAAAACGTTTGGCGGGAAAATCTGGAGCATAAATTGTAGGCCGTCTAATGTTCCTTCCTTTAACCTTAACTACTCATTCCTCCGCAAATGGAATCCGATTCAGACTCCGATGGCTCCCACATCTCTGCCACTCCTCCAAGAAGCCCGAGACCACCACCGCCACTATCTCTTCCGTCGCCGCAGCAGGCACCACCTCCACCGAAACTACTCTCCTCTCACAAGTCCAGAACCAACGTTAAATCCACTAAAAAACGGCAACAACAAACAAACAAACCACCTCCAAAACCCCCTCAAGATGAATCACAGCCAAACGTCTCTCCTCTCTGCAGTCATCCTTTCCAGATCCGCCATTCCTTCATTCAAGACCGTCAAATGCCGATTTCCCTTTCAATGGATATCCTACCGGCCGGCTACTTCTCAAAATCAGCGTCGTTTTCAAAAATTCATAGACCTTCTATCAATTTCGAGTCCGTTGAAAACAATCCTAGCCCTCCAATTTCTGCTGATAGTGTTACACAGGGGAGTAAACCAAATGTCTCCAAGAAGCATCCTAATTTGATCGGAGCAAATGTGCCTTTGCCTCCAGTAAAGTTGCGGAAAGGCAGTGGCAGTGAAGGTAATTTTGTTAAGCTAAATATGAATCGATATAACCGCAAGTTCAAGAACCGAAAATCGAGCGGTTACAAACCTTATAGAAGAAGCAAGAGAAAATGGAACTCCGAAAAGGAAAGTGTCCAGGACGAGGATATTTTAGTTCCTGAGATTAAAGAACAGAAACCGAAGCAAGGTAAGAGTGGCAAGGCGATTGAGGCGGCTGTTTTGGCGGCTCAAAGTGAGGCGTCCGATGAGAACTTGTTGAGGCTGTTGAAAATAATGTATGGGTACGACAAGTTTAGAGATGGTCAAATGGAAGCGATCAAGATGGTGCTCGATAGTAAGTCAACCATGCTGGTTTTGCCAACTGGTGCTGGTAAATCACTTTGCTATCAGATGCCTGCGGTGCTTTTACCAGGGATTACACTGGTTGTCAGTCCATTGGTGGCATTAATGATTGATCAGTTGAAGCATTTGCCTCCCATGGTACAGGGTGGTCTTTTGTGTAGCAGTCAGGTAATTCTACTTTTGTGTTTTCTGCTCTAAATGTATATTTAATTTGGTGTGTCGTTTTTTTTTTTTTTTTTTTTTTTTTTTTTTTTTTTTTTAGTTCCTGAGAGATTAAAGAACAGAAACCGGGGAAAGGCCCCAAGGGGTTAAGAGTTGGCAAGGCGATTGCCGGCGGGCTGTTTTTGGGCACGGCTCCCAAAGTGGAGGGCGTCCGCTTGAAGAAACTTTGTTTGGAGGCTGTTGACAAATAATGTAGTGGGGGTACGTACAGTTTAGAGATTGGTCCAGGGAAGGCGATTCAGATTGGTGCTCGATAGTTAAGTCAAACCATGCTGGTTTTGCCAACTGGTGCTGGGGTAAGGTCGTGTTTGCTATCAGAATGCACTGCCGGTGCTTTTTAACGCTAGGGGATTACACTGGGTTGTCCAGTCCATTGGTGTGGCATTAGATTGATTGATTCAGTTGAAAGGCATTTTTGCCTCCTCATGGTTTACAAGGGTGGCTGCTTTTTGTGGTAGCAGTCCGGTAATGTCTACTATTTGTGTTTTTCTGCTCTAATATTTGTATAGCTTTGTTTAATTTGGGTGGTGGTATGTTTCTTTTTTTTTTTTTTTTTTTTTTTTTTTTTTTTTTGTTTTTAATTGGATTTTCTAAAGAAAAACGTGCGCTCTAGACAGCCGGCCAAGAGGGCTGCCTTAATACAGCTCAGGGCTAGGTTGAAGAAGGGACTTATCAAGGTCAGTTTTAACTGACAATTAATGTAGGGCTAGTTGGGAGCAAAGGTTGGCCATCTCTCGGGCTGTTTCCCGTTTACTCTCATGCAGTATTGCTAAGGTTAAGGTTTTTAATGGTCTTATATCAGGCTTCTTTGTTTCACCAGAGAGGTTTTTGAAATGGCCCAATTTTCTTTGTCGATTTTTTCTTGGCGCGCACTTGCATAGTGCAACTTCTTTGTGGTCGATGAAGCTCAACTGTTATTTCTGAATTTGGTTTGAGTTTTTGCTAATGTTTTGGGTTAGCTACTCCTTGCCTTCTAGGCTATTAGGATGCGCCTGTCTCCATTTTTGCAATGTGTGAAAGCAACAATGAATACTTATTTGCACAATGTTCACTCTCAGTCAATGAGGGTTTTTTTTTTTTTTTTTTTTTTTTTTTTTTTTTGTTTAATTGGATTTCTAAAAACTGCTCTAGACACCCCAAGAGGCTGCTAATACACTCAGGCTAGTTGAAGAAGGGACTATAAAGGTCAGTTTACTGACATTATGTAGGCTATTGACAATTGCATCTCTCGGGCTGTTTCTTACCTCCTGCAGTATTGCTAAGGTTAAGGTTTTATGGTCTTATATCAGGTGCTTTTTGTTTCACCAGAGAGGTTTTTAAATGCCCAATTCTTGTCGATTTTTTCTGCCACTTGCATATCACTTCTTGTGGTCGATGAAGCTCACTGTATTTCTGAATGGTGAGTTGCTATGTTTTGTTAGCTACTCCTTGCCTTCTAGGCTTTAGGATGCTTCTCATTTCCAATGTGTGACACAAAAACTTATTCACATGTTCACCTCGTCAATAGGTCCCATAATTTCCGGCCCTCGTACATGAGACTCAGGGCACCTTTACTTCGTGCTAGACTCAATATTGGATGCTTTCTAGCAATGACTGCAACTGTCACTGCCACAACTTTGAATTCTGTTATGTCTGCTTTGGAGATTCCTTCCACTAATCTCATTCAACGAGCCCAGTTGAGGAACAATCTGCAATTGTCGGTGTCCTTGAGTGGAAATAGGCGAGTTCCTAACTCCTTCGGTTTTTCTTCTTTTAAGTGATTTAGTTAAACTTATTATGCTAATTGATCAATGCCTGGAACTTAATAGACTGAAAGAATTGCTGATGTTAATAAAGTCTTCTCCCTTCATGGAAGTCCAAAGCATCATTATATACTGCAAATTCCAGGTAATCATGGTATCATATGTTTAAAACGTTTATTTCTTGGTTCATTTCTAATGATTTGTTAAAATGCTTCTGCAAGTCATACTGCTGTCTGCCTAAAGATGAACTTTTGCCTTAGTGCAAAATTGTTAAGGTTGCTATAGAAGTAGTGTTGGTAATCTGTTAACACCGTCCTAATTTGTGTATTGAATTCCGCATTATGCTAATACTACTAAGTATGCTAAATTTGCACTAGTAATTGACGAAGTTAACTGTTGCATTGCACTGTGATTTTTTGCAGTCTGAAACTGATATACTGAGCAGATACTTATGTGATAACAATATTTCGGCAAAGGTTAGTGCCTTGATTATCAATTGCATGTTTCATAATCGCCTCATTGTTGCTGAATCTGACAATTTGACTTTGATCTCACATCTAGAGCTACCATAGTGCTATCCCTTCTAAGGAGCGGAACCGCATACAGGAATTATTTTGTTCAAACAAGATTAGAATTGTGAGAACAGTCTCTCTTCCTATATATTTATATTAACACATTGTAAACTACAGTCAGCAGCAGAGTGAGTAAATGTATTAACTTGAAATTTGTAAATGGAAGGTTGTTGCAACAGTGGCATTTGGCATGGGGCTTGACAAAAGCGATGTTGGAGCTGTAAGAACAAAAACTGTATCTGTTTTATGGTATCTCTGCATTCATGCTAGCTGCCGAACTTTTACCAATATGTATTGTCCATAATATACTGCCAAAGCTTTTTGCTATGCTTCTGCCCACTCTACTCACACAGTGAAATTGATTAACCATTCTATATTTAAACCCACCTTTGGTTTGAGGGAGTCAAAGGAACAGTTCTTTGAGCTAGAGGTTGTGCCTAACTGTTGTAGTCTTACTGTTGCTTTTTCAGAGATTAACCAAGTAACTTATAAGATGTAATGACATTTTTAGCTGAGCCAATTTAGTACATCCCAACAAGCATTCAAAACTATACATGTTTAGTTTCCCTTTGACATCTGCTGCCATCACCATATGCCAGCATTCTATAGGGTACTGTCATATAGGAATAAATTCTGGAACTCTTTAATGGCAACTGTTTCAGGTGATTCATTATAGTTTGCCAGAAAGCTTGGAAGAGTATGTTCAGGTAGAAATCTGCTCCTTAGCACTGTTTTTAGACGAGATATTCCATATGGCAGTTTGCTGAATGAACGAGTTTAATTGCTCTATTAGGAGATTGGGCGTGCTGGACGGGATGGAAGGTTGTCATACTGCCATCTCTTTTTTGATGATACCACTTATTGCAAGCTTCGAAGTCTTTTGCACAGGTGATTATATTTTCATCTATATAATTCGAAGATATGGAGTTGATTTCTTCTATATAATTCGAAGATATGGAATTGATTTATGACATCATATCCTTAGTGAAGGGATAGATGAATATACCGTAAGCAAGTTCTTCTGTCAAGTCTTTACCAAAAATGCGCATGGGAAAATTTGTTCAATAATCAAAGAAGCTGCATCTCGTGATTTTGATATGAAAGAAGAGGTTCTTCCTTTGTACTTTTGCTGAATCAATTTTCAGGAATTTCATATTTTTCATGTTGGGAATCATTGATGTAGATCAATTATTATCAAGTCTTACAGTTCGTCATAAATATAAACATGAACTCGGTGCTCAAAAACTATGAATACGAATAAAGTTGCTCCTTTTGAATTTCCAGGTGATGCTTACACTTTTAACACAATTGGAGTTGGGTGAGGTGCAATACTTGCGTCTACTTCCAGAGCAAAATGTAACTTGCACTTTGAATTTCTATAAGGTTAGTGGAAATTTAAGTTAGTTCCATTTGTTTATCTTGAACTTCTATTTGCTTCCACGAAGGTTTTAATAGGTTATGCTTGGTAGATCACTGAAGCCATTGTTATGCTTTGACAGCATAATTTTTAGCTTGAAGCTCCATAAAGTACACAGGCCATTTGACTCTGCTGTCGTCAACTTCAAAAAATTTGAACCCCATGATATATGGGGTTTATCAAAGTATTAAATAGCTCTGATTATTTTAGTGACAAATAATTTCTGTCTCATATAAATTAATTTGTTCCAAAATCTTTAGATAGTAAACTATAGTTTCAAACGATACTTATGGGAACTTATCTGCTCATTATCGTTTTGTGATACTTATCTCCTGATGCTTGAGATGTGTAAATGCAGACTGCCCCTGTGCTGCTGGCTGACAAGGATTTATTAGTTTCAGCGATTCTTAAGAAGTGAGCGTAATTGTGATTTCTGACTTTGAAATTGTATCTTACACAGCTTTTAGTGTGTAAAATTTTGGTGCACTGAATTTTGGTTAATCATGTTTCAGGTCTGAAACAAGACAAGGGCAATATGTGTTTGACATACCTACTGTTGCAAATAGCACTGGGATTACAACTTTTGATCTATTAACTCACTTGCAAAATCTAAAGGTTCGTATTTTGAAAGCAAACCATGTTTTCGTTTCCTGTTAGTCACTCAGGGTTATTCTTACTGCTGTTGCCAGAAATTGAAATTCAACATCGTTGTATTTATATGAAAGTAAGGAGCTTCAGAACACCTGAGGAAGAGAAAAAGCAATTATAACGTGTCAATATATTGCAAGAGTAGAGAGATCAGGTTTTATATTGGAAAATACAGGATAAATAATTGTGCAACTCTGATAATCACCACTTGTAATAAACCGGCATCTTGTTTATCAACCCCAATGATGAAAGCTTAATAGCAGCCATAATGGACAAGAAACTCAAGTGCAAGACAATATTTCGACTTTTGTCATTGAAATGGAGTTTTGTTCCTTGCAATGTCGCTCTACAGAATTTGCATTTCCGTTCCTTAAGTTGGAATTATCGTATTTTGAGACATAATGGATCATTGACCTTTATGTGCTACTTTTTTTAGGTTTCTTGTACATAGAAGTTGGAATGCTTGCTTACTGACAAATGAGCTTTATAAATTGCATTCAAAACTTAGCATGTTAGCTTTTCCAACATGTCAAAAAAAAAAAAAAAAAAAAGGTTTAGGGTTTTCTTGTACATAGATAGTTGGAAATGGCTTGCTTACTGACAAATGAGCTTTATAAATTGCATTCAAAACTTAGCATGTTAGCTTTTCCGAGATGTCAAAAAAAAAAAAAAAAAAATAGGCTAAGCTCTTCTTTTGTAGTTAGCCTCAATGAAATTTGTCGTTTGTATAGTGTGATAAGTTGGTAAGAGTATAACTTTAACGTTGTCTTTGTTCTTTGGGTTATTTTCAGTTGAAAGGGACGCAATAAAACTAATATGGATGTTAAGGTAATCCAGCCTACGCTGTTATTCGATTGACGAAGTTCCCTACGGATTTTTGCTCCTCTCAGCCTCAGCTTTACAAGATGGTTATCTGAGATTTGAATCTTTTTATAAGGTGAGTGCTCTTATCCTTTTGGTTTACAAAATATAATTGTTCAATTTAAAATCTACTCACTTAAGCCTAAGTGTTAGAAAATAAATTCGGGCTCAGTAATAAATAACCAGATGGCACGGAGTAAATTTGACTTTTGGATCCATTGAAAGCCAAGGCAAATCCGTTCGGGTCGCAATAAGCAGTCATGAAAACAATTTACTGTGTTGGATTTTCTTGGCATTTCGTCGCCTTAGCTATTATGTTTAGTCTGTTTCCTACAAATTGATACATGGCAGTTCATTGTTCTGAGAAATTTAAGGTGCTGAAATTGGATGACCAATGTTGTTAAATGCGGGCAAGCCTTTGCTGTGGAACGACTGGTGGAGAAGTATGCAAGGTTGCAATGATGGCTACACCACAAGACGTCACGCCTTTGCTTACAACGAAAGATTATGGATTATTGTCAAAGGAGGATGGTAACAGCAATGAATCTAAATAAGACTAAAAAAAAAAAAAAAAAAAAAAGGCTAAGCCTATTCTTTTGTAGCTCAAATGAATTTGTCGTTTGTATAGTGTGATAAGTGGTAGATAACTTTACGTTGTCTTGTTCTTGGGGTTATTTCAGTTGAAGGGAGAAATAACATATGATGTTAAGGATCCAGCCTACTGTTATTCGATTGACGAAGTCCCTAAGGATTTTTGCTCTCTCTCAGCTCAGCTTACAAGATGGTTATCTGAGATTGAATCTTATAAGGTGAGTGGCTCTTATCCTTTTGGTTTACAATATATTGTTCAATTAAAATCTATATTCCAGCCTAAGGTAGAAAAAAATTACGGGCTCAGTATAATAACCAGATGCACGAGTAAATTGACTTTTGGATCATTGAACCAAGCATCCTTGTCCATGTCAATGAACCAATTACTTGGATTTTCTTGCATTCTCCCTTAGCTTTATGTTTAGTCTGTTTCTACAAATGATATGCAGTTCATTTCTGAAATTAGGTGCGAAAATTGGATGCAATGTTTAATGCGGCAGCCTTTGCTGTGAACGACTGTGAGAAGATGCAAGGTTGCAATGATGCTCACCACACGCCTTGCTTACAACGAAAGATTATGGATTATTTCAAGGAGGATGGTACACATGACATCTTAAATAAGATGTGTCAAAGCAGGTTGGTTAAGATTCTTGCCTTCAATAGGGTGAACTGATGGAAAATAGAGAAAAATGAAAGTTTTTAAGTAAACACTGAAATCACACTATCAGCCCCACTAATCCTTATACTTGTTTTTTATTTTTTTCTTATCATCGAGTACTTTGTAGATATTACACTAATAAATTTGTCACTCTATTTGCAGCCCGTTTTTGCGAGCAGATGTAAAGGTGAGAATTTGAGCTGATTTTTCATATTTCTACTCCAGGCATCTAATGGTTAGCAGTGGTAAGCTATCTACCCCCTTTTTGCATACAGGTTTTTCTGCAGAGTAACTCACATGCCAAATTTACACCCCGGGCTATTGCAAGGATAATGCATGGCATTCCCAGCCCAGCCTACCCCTCTACAACTTGGTCCAAATCACATTTCTGGTATAACTTCATTTTTTTCTGCTTGCAACAATTATATTAATTATTTATTTAGCCTATAAGATTTGATAATCATTCCACATTGGAACACATTGTTAAAAACTGGTCACTGCTCAGAAGATACAATGTAAATATATAGGGCATTGCAATACTGTGAGATTTGATTTCTTTTTATTTATGGGATAGCGTGCCTAAACAGAACAAAATTTGCATTTTTTTTCCACCAAGCAGAATTGTCAACATAATATGAAAATAACATAAAATTTGTTTTCACTTGCTATGTTGGCAAACAACAGACTATTTCATGTAAGAGGTTATTACGTGTCTTCAATAACAGCTCTATCCTTCCCTTCTCTTCCATTTGTCGTGAATCATAATTTATTTTTATGCAATGACTTCTCTAGTTAAATATATAATGTAAAAAAATTTATATTCATCTTGTGGTAATTAAAAAAGTTCACGAAAAAGAGATTCAAGTCAAGAGAGGTGGTGCCATATGAGGGCACATTCCAGCACTTCTGGTCCCCTGAAAATTGGAAAAGCATTGAATTTGAATCGTGAATCACTTTCTGCTCAGCCACTAATCCTTCTGGTCGTAAAAATAATTATCTTAGTGAGTGATAATTATCTCACCAAGGCCAGCTCTGAACTATTTGCTAATTTCTAATTGCAGGGGAAGGTATACTCATATAGACTTCCCAGTGGTTATGGAAGCTGCAAGGACAGAATTAATGAACTTTGTTGGGAAAGAAGCAACCTAGCTTTTCAATATCAAACATGTCGTTCTTCTGAAGAGTGAAAGGCATATGAAATTAGAACTATCATTAGTTTATTAGATGGCCTGCTCTTCCTGAGACCAATCTTGTTAGTTAATGAGAAGCAGAACTTATGTTATGGACTGGGATTTGAATCAAAAAAAGGAGATACACCATTGAATCAGTTTATTTCAAAACAGTCAAATGAAGGCCTTCAAAATTATTTCAGGTATTACTGCTGAAACTTGCACTGTACGTCTACTTTCTGTTTATAAACTATTTTTTCTTTACATCAAATTATTTGGGAGAGACACTTTAAGGTGAACGCAAATTTTGATTTTAATGTCAGCAATTTCCTTGTTTGTTATTTTGGATTACCAGGCAGTGCCTGTCGGTCAATGCAAAGCCAAAGCTCCACTTAGCGTCAATTGGGGAAAGCTCCGGTGAGTTACGCTGTGGGCCACTGGCATTATTATCTGCAGATTTGGCCTGGAAAAAGTTGAACAGAGAAAAGCAATGGCAAGTTATTTGATTTCACTTATGTCTATATACGTACTAACTTTTATTTTAATTACCTAATTACAATGGCTTGAACTATGAAAGTTGGGTATGTTGATAATGATGTTTCAGCACATAGGTGCAAGCTAAAAGAATCTGGATTATGCCATAATTTTTTTTAAAACATTAATTATCAAATTGGATAATTTATATTAAAGATGAATCAAGTAAGCCAATAACCCATAAAAGGTATATTAAAGTGTTATGCACGGAAGAGCAAGTTGTGGAGATGGAGAAATTTTACAAGCTAATAAACTAAAATAGAAGAAAGGTAAAAGCAAAACATAAAACTTGCCTGACGGGCAATTCTTTCTTTCTAATTACAAGTTTATATTTCAGATTTCAATACCAAGGGTGAAATTCGGCTATTCAAACTCAAACCTCTGTTTTGCTTTATCTAGAAGTCTTTGCTTCGTTCTCTTGAGTGTAATTTCAATTTGTAGCTTTTGGAAAAAATCAAGATTTAGGATCGAAGGTTCACGCAAGACTTCTTGGACTTTTTTTATTTTTTATTCTTTTGTAAAATTGGAAGAAGAATGTTAGTTTAGTTTAAAGCTGGCGATAGTCAAATCAAATGCGATGGCTATTGGCTACAACTAATTGAGTTTGGCAAATATCTTGCTGATGGCTTATCCGTTTTTAATAGATAACTTTTTTTTAATTATTAATATGCCGAAAAGATGGGGTTAATTTTTCCTTTTTGAATAATTTTCATTAAATTTACGGTGAAAAGGAAAATGAGAATATACGTAATTTATTATTAATATTAATATTTATATTATATTCATATTATTAATTTTTACACTTTTTAGCTTTTCATAAAAATAGAAAAACTATTGAATCACTTCAATTAAGAGAGATAAAATTTGATGAAGATTCATAATTAATATTGATTTTTTTTTAAGAATTATTTTTTTATGAGGAAAAAAAAAATTGTCAAAATTAATAGAAAGGAGTTAGTAACTAATTTTTAATTAATAGTGTTACTGGTTTAATTTTCAGTTCTAAAAAACTAATAGCACGCAATCTAATCATTTCCTTCCTTTTATTATACGTCATTATTTTTTTTATCATTTGACCGAGAAAAAAAAACTGGTGTACGATGGATAGAACTTAGAAGGATCTAAACAGTGCGTTAGGGGTATATTCGAGACATAATTTGAAAGGAGGCATATTCAGTTGAGGGAAACTGGGAGGGAGAAGGAGAGAAAGAGAGTAGCAAAGACCGTTAGTTAACACATACAAGAAATAAAGAACCCAAACAGAAAACAAACAAAGATGCCACCCAGAACCTGCCTTATAACTCCTATAACCTGAAGAACCCACCTCACCCTCCTTTCTTCTTCTTCTTCTTCCAATCAATCAAACTCCTCGCCTCCTATAACGCTTTAAGCTCTCATTACAATAATAAAAACCGAAAAAGAAACATTCTTTTGCAATCCATTGTTCATCTTATTAATATTCAATACCCATCAATCTTTATTTTCCTCAGTAACGCAGAATTCTTGAATTCTCGAAAGGAATTTAGTTTTGATTTAGAGATGGAGGAGATGGCGGGTGCTGAATCTGGTTTATCTGTCAATAACTCGGTTTCTTCATCTGGGTCATCTATTTACAAAAATTATCCTCTCATTGCTGCCCTTGTTGCCTTCGCTATTGCCCAATTTATCAAGTTCTTCACTTCCTGGTAATACTTGTATTTTCCCATTTTTCATTATTTTGTTTTTAAGATAATATTTTGGGATCGGGGTGTCGTGTTTCTCGATTCTTGGCTTCTGAATTGTCACTCAATATGACAATGGAGGTTATTTCTTTTTCTTTTTTTTTTTTTTTTAATCTTTAGCTGGATCTTGAAATGAATGTGACTTAGTTTATAAACCATTCTTTAAAGTCAATTCAAAATAAGCCTTAATTACTATTTTCTTTATTAGGTATCTACTGCTTCAATATATTTGTTATATATATATATATATATATATATACACACACATACTATATTCATTTGCTTTAGGAACCAGAAATGAAAATACATTTATAAATTTATCTTTCGCAGCAATCAACTAGGTTAATTAAGTATTACCAGGCCATCCAGATAGCGTTCCTTTATATCCAAGGTTCAAGTTCCATTAGGATGGACTGGAGAGTGATGAGAGTATTATGAAATGGAGAGGGAGTGCTACACAATGGGCCCACTTGATTTCCTGATTAATCAGACAGATAAAATACTATGGGAAATAACATACTGATTGTGGATAATTAGGGTGTCTTGACCAGTTGGTGGATCTTCTTGACTTGTGAGTTTGATAATGAAATGAGATACTGCAGGAGTTTAATATTGAGTTGACTCTTGGCCAAATCACCTAACAATCTAAACTTTTAAAATGTTTGTGGCAGACTGTCTGTTTTAACCCTGCTTTTAATTATGTCAATTGTATCTTAACTTTGAGGGATGCTTTGTGTTAACCTTTCTTTGAATGCTTTGTTATTTGCACATGATATAACATGTAGATTGTAGACATTCTAATGACTCTAGCTAGATGCTACATTTGCACGTATCAAAATATACATGCTACATTACTTACAAGTGAAACCAGTTTTTGCACAAATGAGATATGATTCTCTTAACACCCCAAAGCTAGTGATATAATTGCACAATTGAAAGGGGAGCTAGTATTGAATACACTAAAGTTTTGGACTTCTGGGACATTTGGCCTTTTAACTCTTCAGTAATCTAGTCAATCTTTTCCTTATGAACTGAATCAAAACTTAGAATTTCAGCAGAGGGAACCATGAGACACTTCTCATTTGCCTTTTTTTTTTTTTTTTTTTTTTTTTTTTTTTACCCCAAGCGTAGTGATATAATTGCTGAACAATTGGAAGAAGGGGAGGCTAGTATGTGAAATACGACTAAAAGTTATTGGACTTCTGGGAGCATTTGGCCTTTTAACTCTTCAGGTAATCTAAGTCATCTTTTGCCTTATGAACTGAATCAAAAAGACTTAGAATTTCGAGGCATGAGGGAACCATGAGACACTTCTCCATTTGCCGTTGTTTTTTTTTTTTTTTTTTTTTTTCTTTTTCTTTTTTGTGTGTGTATTTGTTTTATGCAAAAGTGTTTATAGTAATTGGCGGAATTTTTTTTTTTTTTTTTTTTTTTTTCTTTTTTGTGTGTGTATTTGTGTTTATGCATGTTTATAGTATTGGCGGGAAATTGTTGCCAAATTTTCTAATTATTCGTTAGTTTAGCCTAAGAGTCTTAAGCTTTCCTAGATTTGTAGGTATAAGGAAAGGCGATGGGATCTCAAGCAACTCATTGGATCTGGTGGAATGCCATCTTCTCATTCTGCCACTGTTATGGCTCTTTCCATGGCCATCGGGTTCCAGGAAGGCTTTGGAGGACCATTGTTTGCTACTGCATTGATCTTAGCATGTGTTGTAAGATTTTTCCATCTAATGTGATTCTTCTCTGTTCATACAGTTTTTCCACATTAACAAATATTTCCCAAAATATAATATTTTACATTGGAATTTTGGTGCCAGGTGATGTATGATGCAACTGGTGTAAGACTGCAGGCTGGACGGCAAGCTGAGGTTTCACCTGCTCTTTTTCTTGTGTTCTCCAATTATTGCTAATTTCATTATTTGAGTGTTTGCGGTGAGTTATATTTTTATGCCATTTGCATATGCACGGGGTTTCATGTATTTAACTGGCCGTTCTTCAGGTCTTGAATCAAATTGTATATGAGCTTCCTGCTGAGCACCCCCTGGCTGAAAGCAGACCTCTGCGCGAACTTCTTGGTCACACTCCTCCTCAGGTTTGTATACTATTAAATAGGAAATTGTTATAATTATAGAGAAAGTTTATCACTGTTGATCAACCCTCTTGTATAAACAATTGCTACCACTTAAATGATGGTGCTCCAAATTGTTCTTTACCAGAAATAGGAAGTAATTTCATTTAGCTTTCAAAAGTGAAACTGGGAAACTTGTAAATAATGAAAATGCTTATTTTACCTACTAGTTTTCTCTTACAATGTCAATGCAGGCAACTTGATATTGTAGGTCGGAAAATCTACCTATCAAACTCATTTCCCAACCTTAGGGACAATCCCATAACAATCTGTGCATTAGAGCATAAGTTGTAGATTAGATTCTATATTTTTCATTATGCACATAATTTTGGAAATGTTAGATTACTTGTTCTCATTGTTCGATAATGTTCTTCAATGATAGGTTATTGCTGGTAGTTTGCTTGGGATTGTGACAGCAGTTATAGGCCATTTTATTACAATGACAAACAATCAAAGCTGATGCACAAGGAAAATTGCAGCCATCTGATCAACTATATGACAGAATCACAATTTGGAGACCTGTGAACAAAATTGGTTCCCTAAATGAATTTGCCCCATCCCTAACTGAGAATCTTCTTCCACTAAAATTTACCCTATGTTCATTCTTATGGTAGCATTTCAAGATATAATTTGATTGATTGCAGTAAATGCTGCTGTAGTGGTCATATCTGTTACTCTACTAAGCTTGAACGTAAATTGCAAATTGCAATGAGAAATACAGGAATTTAGGCAATTATATCTGTGTAAATATGGTAGCACTGTTGAACATTATATTGGCAATCACAATTTGATAATACATCAGTGACTGTTTCCTGTGAGTAACAGTTTTGTCACAATTCTTCCAAAATTATCTTATTTCACGAGAGAGGAGATCTAATTGTCAAATCTGAAAAACAAATAAAGACAACAAAAGAATTAATTAATCAATTATATGTAGCATCCATGAAATTACTGCCCTCAGAGAAGATTGATCCTTCAAATGCACGAGCTAAGTCTTATAAGTGAGGTTTTCTTATATTGATTATTTCATCCCCATTACAGCAGAAAAAACCCTTCTCATCTCTGCAACATGATCCTTGTCAAAAACTGACTTCACGCGCCAAGCAACATGCTCGTCAGGCCTAACTAAAATTGCTCCTTTGTCGGTCATTTGGCACATGCTCCACCATGATAATTGATTTGAAGATTTCTTAACTACCACAACATCTACATAATTCTTCCAAGGTGCCAATGCATTCTTGCTCCTTGTTTGGGATTCATCAACAGAGTCAGCAGGCCATAATACACAAACCTTAGCAGAAACTTTGAATTCCTCAGCCGACTTAAACACGGCATGAGCAAGTTGGTAGGACTCCTCAAGTGGTGCTACAATGAGAAGGAACTCAACTTTATCCCCAGACAAAAGATCGAGTGTAGAAATAGTCACCTAGAAAACATTTTTAGCCTATTTAGATTCAGATAAACATAAAAAGACACCAAATCTACTCATGAATATGTAAACTGAAACTTGGCATCCTATCAAAAACAACTACACACCTCACTTGATAGGTTTGATAATATCCGGACATCCATATGGGGCAGCCTTGATCCTGGATTTACTGAAGGTATATATTCCCTTCGACGGCCAGTGGGTTGTTCCATAACACCCTCTGTGTTACCATTATCGGGAATAAGTGCTCCTTCAAGGTACCTAAAATAAGATAAACATATAAAATTCCTTAAATTGGCCAAATTCCCTATTTCTCCTGAAAATGGAAAAAGATAACGTCAAGATTTAGAGTTCATAGTTGCTTGTAAATCTTCTCTTTATGTGAATGTCTCATGATCAATATTTAAAGAATAAATATCATAACAAAAAAAAGTCCAAGTACTAAATTTGAGGATACTTAAAAAACACTAGAAATTTCATACAGAGCTAGAAGCTATTAGAAAACATTTTTAAGCTAAAAAACATTTTTGAGAGTGATTTAGCTGCAGCATATGGAGTTGAAAGTACAGTTATAACACAATTATTGATGTGTCATACCTGAAACCAAGATCCTCAGCAGGAAACTGGAGCTGAAGGCTTTTTCCATCTTCAAATATCTGCCTAACTTTAGCAAGCCTTGAGGACCCTAGTGGATTTTTTTCATTTAGTAGAGATTCTGAGACCTGTGCACGACCTATGGTGAAAATTCCATCCAAAATTGCCCGCTGCAGTGCAGACGGTAAAATGGAACCAAGACCATCAGTAATAACTTGATGCACTGAAAAGCCAGATAAGATGAAAAAGGCAACGTCACTAATAATCCTTCTGTTTTCATTTTGCTAAAACGAGGGGGCTAGAAAAGAAAACAAAACTACTGGTATCATGTGGAAAATAAATAATCTATTTTTATTTTTCATCAACAATCAAAGAAGGGATTGAACACAATTACTTATAAAAACCATGTAAGATGCGAAGCAACAGCAGTATTAGTTACCTGAATTTGCAATAGATGGATCAAGACCAAGAGCAGCAGGAACTGCCATAGCTGCTTTGAAGTTTTGGACACTAAGTGCTGTATTAAATATTGCAATCTGGAAAAGATGCTGGAGGTCAAGGATCCATATTACTTCAAAATAAATATGCACAAAGAATGATATTTCAAAGATGAAATAAATACCGGCCTACGTTCCATTTCATAAGTATGAATTAACGATGATGGTGCAATACCATACATGACAGAAGCTATCTTCCAGGCAAGATTATGAGCATCCTGAATGCCAGTATTCATTCCTGTAATAAAGGGTGTATCCTGAGTTTGTTGGATTATTATAGTGGGGAATATTCACCAAAATGTAGTTCATAGACCACAGCTAGTGACTCCTAATCTTCCTTAGCAGAACATGCAACACTGAAATTAATACAACTGTTGCAAGGATCAGGAAAGAGGTAAAAGAAAAATCTGCGGAGAAGGCTTGATCATTCTCCGCCTGCATATATATCTTAGTCTGCAAAGTGCTGAATGGCACAAATATGCACAAGCTGCAGGGATAAAAACGAGGTAGATCTTTTATTAACTGCACATGATATGGTATCTCACCAAAACCACCAGCTGGAGGGAATCGATGTGCGGCATCTCCAGCAAGTATTATTCGATTGTCACAGCTCACAAACTTCTCAGAAACTTCGGCATGCATCACCCATGGCTTTATTTCAATGACATTAATGTCTGACAGCTCTCTACCAACCAATTTGAAAATTAATTTCTCGCATATCTACAAGAAATTGAGCCTTCAAAGAAACAGTTAGTTAATTGGATCAGACATCCTTTTTGACATACTTCTTTTTTTTGGTACATCAGAAAGTAAATCTTATAATTGCAAATGTTAATTTGCCATCATCTTTTCAGCAAAAAGCACTATGAAGCCTTTATTATCAACCAAAAAAAAGTACTTCATTCCTTCATGCTTGATCACATTAAGGAAACTATTGAGGATGTCATCAAAAATAGGAAATTCCTGAAGAGGTCAATGAAATTATTCCAATCCGGAAAGCCTATCTATGGTGAAAGAAAAGTACCTTTGGGCTGAAATCACCAACTTTCTGCTGAGGAGGATAGAAGGGCACCTGTGAAAAAATAAACAATTAGAAAAGCAAGAAAAAAATGTTAGTACCCCCTCTTCAGTGCACATCAAAGTATATAAATGTATTATGCGCTTCTCAAAAACTGTATACCTGCAATATGAATTCTCCTTGCTCAAGATCATGAGCAACAAGAACCCCAATAGCTTCAGTGTTGAAAATAAAGAACAGCATTCCAGGCCTCTGGTTGAGCAAGTATTGTCCAAGGTCTGTGCTAAAAAAATGAATGCTGACAAGCTTTTGCAGGTCTTTTTCCCCTTTTAGTTCTATCCCTGCAAGCTCCCGTACTGTACTTCCAGCACCATCTGTACCAACAAGAATACTGCAATGGATGTTCCTCTCCATATACTTTCCTTCCACAATATGAGAAGCAGTTACAGCAACAGATTGATCAGTGGCACTGAGCGAAATACACTTATGTCCCATTAACAATTCTCCTCCCCTGAGTAGGCCATTATCCATGATTTCCAGGTTTCCTGGTCTATAAACGTTGAAGTTCAGATCTTCTAACTTCTTAAGCAATAACCTAGTTAATTTATACTGAGAGTAGTGTGCAACTGATATTGGGCTCACAACCTTTTCAAAATCTGGTCATTGACAACAGAAATGAATTTCTTTTCAATTAAAAGAAAAAAGATCATGAATGGCATAAAAGAATATTAACTATCTTCAGTAGTATACTCCTGTAACTTGGGGAAATTCCAAACATTAGCATAGATAGTGACAAAGGCAATGAATATGTCCTGTGATTTAGATTACACAGCCTGCGACCAAGATCAAGCTGCGTTTTACATGGCAATATTGTATATTCTAAAATTCAATCAAACCTTGAGTTTCCATGTGGTCCACTGACCCCAAAATTGGACCAGTTAAAGTAGTACAATATATGAACTTCCTCCATAACTCTACTGGTGGTTGAGACCTTTGGATCTCCTCTGCAAGGCCGTCCAACTTGCGAAATATCTGCCAGCCAAAACATTGCAATGGATCTTTAATCCTTCTTAGCAACCCACTGCATTGTACATCAATAGCAGATAAGAAAACCAACCTCCATAGACCTGTTGTTGATAAAGTGTGCTTGTGGGTGGTTCGAAAATGCCTTGTTCTTCTCCAAAATGGCACATTTGACCCCTGTTCAAGGCCATCAAGCACATTTTATATTTTATAAATTGATTCCAAGTGCACTGAAAGGTGTGAATGCACGGTTCGATAAAATTCAAATCACAAAAGTTAAATTGTAGAAGAATAGGGGAAAAAGAGAAAAATCAAAGCAATACTAAGTTCATTCTTTGGCAGTAAAACTAGACGAAGATCCTGGGGTCATTTCTTTCCTTGTGAAAGCTGTTTAGAAATTCATAAGCAAATAAGCAAAAATTAAACTTGTTCTTTGATACCACACGTCAAACACCTATTACTAAAACTGCACGCAGATCATGAAGAATAAGTCCTACCAAATGATATACCATAAAAACAAAATTTGTTATCTAAGTTCTACCAAATGATTAGCATAAAAACAAAATTTGTTATTCTATGCGTGCACAACTTTGAAAGTAACAACAACATAACAATCTAAAGCATTCCTTTTGAAGACTTTCACAGTAACCACTAACCAGAAGAAGTATCAAGAAATGATAAAAATAAATAAATAAATGAGGATTAAACAAGAGATTAGATGATATAAATACCTAATTTAGTGAGAAGTAGAGAGAGAACGAGACCGACGGGTCCTGCGCCAACAATCAAAACTGGAAGTATTGAATCGTCGGTATTAAAATTTTGGAAGTGCGATAAGGCTCTGCATTGAATGCTATAGGGAAAAGGGTATGGTTTGGTTCTGGATTTATTTCTGTAGATGCTGCTAAACCCTTTGATAAGCCCTGAAACACCCATGAACCCAGACAAGGAAAAGTTCCTAACTTTCATGAAAACATAACGATTCGATGAACTAGTGAGCTACAAAAGAAGGTAAAAGAAAAGACACCCAGCATTTGTTGAAATGGATTCTCTTTTTCTAGAGTTAAATGGGCCTTCCAATAATGATGATGGATTGATCGAATTGGGCCTAGTTATTGGACTGGATTTTCTATATTTTGAGAAATTATTTTATGGAGAATTACTATTTAATCTTTTGAGGTTTTACTTTAATTATTACTTGTCTCTTCTTTTTTACCTTTTACTTAGTAAATATAATTTGTTCCTAACGGTATGGGTTATACAACTCTAGTAGATCTCTCGTTGACTCACCAAATTAGTAAAAATAATTATAATCGAGAGGACTCAAATTTTTATTATCCGTACCACTTATTACTCATATAATTGTACATTTCTAATTATAAGTAATATTATTACTATAATTATCTTAGAAAAAAAGTCGATATTTAGTCCTGGATTAATATCGGAAGCAAAGAAAAAAAAAAAAAAAAAAAAAAAACAAAATTTGTTATATCTCGTACCACTTTATTAACTCAATAATTGCTCACTATTCCTAATTATAAGTAATATCTATTACTGATAAATCTATCTTAGAAAAAAGTCGATATCTTAGTCCTGGATAAATATCGGAAGCCAAAGAAAAAAAAAAAAGAAAAAAAAAAAAAAAACTTAAGCCAAATAAGGCTGGATTTCCTTCTTATGTATAAGCCAAAAATGCTACGCAACGTTTCTGGAAAAGATCGTTAAGATGATATATTCTAAAAAAAAAAAAAAAAAAAAAAAAAAACTTAAGCCAAATAAGGTGGATTCCTTTTATGTATAAGCCAAAATGCTACGCAACGTTTCTTGAAAAGATGTAAATGATTATATTTATGGTAGATGATAAAGACTAATTATGCAAAGCAAGATGTTGATTAATTATTAATTAACATCACATGTAGCTAATGACCACAACTCCCAAAGATTTGACCCACTGTGTATGGCCAGTTAGCACAGGTTTGATTTGAATAAGAACCAAATTGGAATCGGTTTACATTTTGATCGATTATGTTCAAGAAAAGGGGAAAAAAAAACCAAAATCAATAAAAACTAACTAATTTTGATTGCAAAATCAAATATGAAAGACAAATTCAATTTAATTATCCAATTTTGAATTATTAAATCAAATATGGAAAGGAAATTGTGATCGAATATTCAATTTACATATATATTTACAAAATGGAAACCGAAGTTGAAATCGGATTAAAGGTTTGTTCACTCTATTTTTCTTTAACTATTAAGATTAGTTAACCGAAAGAAACCGGCTACTGCTCATCCTTGTGGTAGGCCCCAAGACATCCCATGTGGTCCCTTTCAGCATACTGAGACTGGTCCCCACCGTTATTGCCACCTCACCCACTCATTTATATTTTTACGGAGAAGTTATGATATAATCCTTGTAGTTTGTGAAATACAACCGGTACATATTTTTATTTTTATTTTTTAAATATATTAATTTATCTATATAGTTTATTTTTATTATATTATTAGATCATTATATTCAATTTTTGTATATTTTCCATTAAGTCAACACGAAAACACTAAGGTCAAATGAGATATACTAAAATATTACATAAAAAAATTACAAAGCAATTCCTATGGTTTTAAAAATACAACTAATCTATTCCCGTGTTTTTAAAAATAAAAAGAGTATTTTCATCATTTCATCAGATACTTAATAGAAAAGATGAAAAAATTAAACGAAATGACTTCATAGTCTGATACAAGTAAACTATAATGATGTTTTAATCCATGTTTTACATGACAGAAATAAACTAATTGTATTTTTCAAACCACATAAATCGTACCGTAATTTTTTTTTATTTTTATTGTATTAAACTTATTTACGAAAACTAAAGCATAATTTAATAATAAGTATATATATGAAAAAAAAGTTACCTAAGCCCGGTTTATAAATCTATTTGTAAATTAAATTAATGAAATTAAAAATTTTAAAAATAAATATTATTCTCATTTTATTTTTCTTGTGCTAAATAATTACAAATATCTTCATTTAAAAAATAATTATTCTATTAATTTAATTCATGGAGAGATTCATATAGTGGGGTGTAAGCAAGTGAATCCTTTTTTTTATATATATAATACACATTTTTATAGTTGTAGATTGATAGATCATATTCATATCATAATTTCCTAAACTGGTCAAATTGGCATCCCACATTTTTTACAGTAACCAGTGAATTTATTATACTTAACCCAAGATTGTACCCTACAGAGCCCATCATAGTCACGTGAAAAGGTCAGAGACCCTTCCTATCACCTGACACTCTTGTTCCATCTGTACCGTCCACGTGTTACACGTCTCAGTTACCGTTAAAGAGGCAACCGTATTTTAAAAATTAACAGATTCATCCTTTTGTGGTTTAATAAAGAAAGGAAAAAAAGGAAAAAAGAAGGGTGCAATATACAGAGTGTACGCAAGTTTCAACGTAAAAATGTATACTTTTGTGTATACTTTTTTTTTTTTTTACTGGAATACATGTTGGCTGGTTATTTGTTTAGTTTTAGCTTTTTTTTCTTAATGCTCAATGGATCTGAACTGTGAACTTTCCCATCTATGGTTTTTTGCATCCAGCATTTGTCTCCAAAATTCATGGTTTAAGGTATTATTATCTCTGTAGGTGAACTTTTTCTCCTGCAAAACCTTTGTCTCTTGTTTTACTGTTTCTTTTTTTTTTCTTTTTTTTTTTTTCTGTCCCTTTTGGAATCATAATAGATTCTTTCTCTCTGTTCTCTAATTAGTCTATTAATTAGACAATCATGAAGCCCTTGACGGGTTCTCTGCTTTAATTTAATGCCATTTGTATGGTTTCAGCTTTTTGGCTTTTATAAGCATTATTTTTTTTTTGTCCTCTATTTCCCCTGTTTTCTCTTTCTTTCTCCTCTTTAATGCGTGGGTCATTCTGGGTTTATGCAAGAAAATTAGTTACCCATTTGCGTGTAGTACTGCACATGGGTCCCTAGCTACTGTGAAGTAGTAAATTTGAGATATTATGAGAGTTCCTGTTGGGTATTATTGCTTTTTTTTTTTTTGAATACAAGTAATAAGATGTGTTTTTATCAGTTGTAAAACAAGACTTTATATTGCTTTACAAAGAGAGTGGGATAGATATTTAACGAGTACTATGTGTTTGATAAATGTACTCACTTGAGAAGATTGAACTGGGATAGCGATCTTTTTGATTAGGTTTTAACCAAATAAATGTGATTTTTGTTTGTTACAGTTCAAGTTAAGAGCTGAAAGTGATTTTCCAAGGGAATGAATAGTGGCCCATTTTCTTTGTCTCTAGATCTTTTATTTATTGCTATACATAATATAGAAATATATAGTCGTTAGCTATATATATAGGTTTAGATTTCAAGATTGTAGGATCTAGGCCATTTTGCTTTACTCGGGATCTGCTCTGTACAGTTATGAATTTGAGACTCTTCATCAACTACTGACGTAGAAAGCTAAGTGGGGTTCTGCATTGCAGTCACACACAGTCCTGTGAATTATTAACAGGTAATTAAGAAGCTTGGTTTTGTTTGAGAATGAGATCCATAGAGGATAAAGGGTGCTACAATCACGGACCAATTCAGGAGATTTCAACTGCCAATGGAATAAGTTTTGAGTTTCATAAAGGTAATGGAGGAGCTAACCGCACTTCTCATCATAGGACAGCTTTAGGCAAGCCAACTCCATCCAAATGGGATGATGCACAAAAATGGTTAGTGGGTTTGTCAAGAGGAGGTGGAGATAAAAGCCAATCCAAGCCAAGAAACTCAAATGCTGATGATAGAAGACTTATAGCTCCAGTTCCACAGCAAGAACAAGAGTATTCAAGTGGAGAAGATGAAGTTGTAGGAGAACAAACAAATGGGTCAACAGAAAATCCTTATGAAGTAGAAACCAAGAAAGTTGATTGCGATGAGTCCATTTGGAGAATCAATAAGCCAGTGCAGAATTCTTCTGCATCTGCTGTTAGATCAATATGTGTTAGGGATATGGGGACTGAGATGACCCCTATTGCTAGCCAAGAGCCTTCAAGAACAGCTACTCCTATTAGAGCTGGAACTCCAGTAGCAAGGAGCCCTATATCTTCAGGATCCTCTACCCCAATAAGGAATCAGCATGGGCAGCAAGGCAGTGATCAGGGCTATCCAACGGGGTTAGCATCGACTGAAAGCAGAGTTGATCCAAGTTCTGTTGCCAGAGGACGCCATGGAGAAGAACTCAGTGGATCTAAGATACCTGAAAATAAGGATTTAGATGAAGGAAGAAATCTGAATCCCTTAGAAACAAGAGCTATGGCGTGGGACGAGGCAGAGCGAGCCAAATATACAGCTAGGTGATCTACTAACTATTTGCTAACATGGCATTCATTTTGCAACTGCATTATGACCTGTTTATGTTTATGTGTTAAGGTTGGCTATTCTTTGTTTTCGTAGGTATAAGCGTGAAGAGGTGAAGATACAAGCCTGGGAAAATCATGAGAGGAGGAAAGCAGAGATGGAAATGAGGAAAATGGAGGTAATCTTTATATTCAAGATTGAAGATTGATCAATGACACTTTGCTTTTGTTTAGTTTGGATCTGTTGCTTTTTATCAAATGCTTTATTTGCAATGTCACAATATGTAGGGTTCAGAAATGTTTCAATACAATGCTTGAAGACCAACATATCATTAGAATTGTCGACATTTTTAAAAATATCATCATTTCTATCTCCAAAATTCAAGAAATTAACTTATGTTACTATACTTCTGAGCCACTCCAAATGCAAATTCATCAAACCAGTATTAGGAGAATTATACACATGCCTTAATCTGAAATTTTGCTTTTACTTGTATCAATAATTATATGCACACATCCTTTCTTGTTTCCTTGGACTCATATTACCATGTATTGCTAATAATTGATGCATGATAATGTCTTTGACCGCTTAGGCTTGCTAGGTTCAGTAAGTAGTCTGTCCCTATAATCCTGGCAATTGAACTTGAAAAATAAAACTGTAGTATCTAAACTGAAAATGATCCTGTGCTTGTACCGGTTGTTGAGCAATTTTTAATGAAAAACAGTGTTAATAGCCACAATGTTTTGCCATATTGAGTCAAATACTAGTCCAAAAGCATTGGTACTTAGTCTGCAGATAAAATTTGACCTCATTGGTATCTTTTTCATAGGTGAAGGCCGAGAGAATGAAAGCTCGCGCACAAGAAAGGTTAGCAAGCAAACTTGCCACAACAAAAAGAGTAGCTGAAGAGAAGCGTGCAAATGCAGAGGCCAAAATGAATGAAAAAGCTGTAAAAACTGCTGAAAGAGCGGATTATATAAGGAGGACCGGTCACTTGCCCTCTTCCTTCTCCTTCTCCTTTAAGTTGCCTTCCGTTTGCTGGTAGCGGCACTGCCTCATGTCTCCATATAACATATCTTCTAATAACCATTTTTCTGTCAGTTTCTTTTTCCCTTTTCTGATATATCTCTGAACTTGTGGATCCATTAATTTGTAAGTTAAATTCTGATACTGCATTCCTCTAATAAATTTTTGACTCTCCACTTCACAAAAGGAAATTAAAAGGGCTTCAATGAGTTGCATAATTTGCAATACCAGAAAACAAGTTCATTGTAGTACTATGAAATGTGGTCATTAAACATATTATCTTCCATAATTACTCTTTTCTTCGTACAATAATCTTCTGAGACAACGAAAAAGCTTTTCTTTTTTTCTGAAAAAAAAAAAAAAAAACATCAAAGAGATTAAAAAAAACAAACAAAAGGAAAGACTAAGCTCTAACATACCCAACTTTGGCTGTATCAGCCTGCAAAAGAGGCAAAGAGCTAACACCGTAGAGGGAGGTTCATACCAAATATGCTATTCTGAAACGACGGGTTGTTTAGTTTTGTTATATATTGAATAGGGGCTTGCCGTTTATGCTGAGAATTGTTTTTATGTGTAGGGTGCTTCAAACGACAATGTGAAAACGAAATAGAATGCCCATGAGAAGAATGTTTGATCTCCTGTGGGGTATAATTGATATCAATGTCAAGCTGAACGTAAGTACAGAGCCCTTTAAATTTGGAACTCGGTCTAAAAAGGCATACCCTTCAACGAGAGAATTACCGGAGCTTCATTGGATTTCGAGTTAAAACTCTCTTCGTATTCTTATTTTATGTCAATTTAAATTAGTAGAATTAGCGGACATTATTGGATATTGAGTTTTTTTTTTAAATTACCATTAAATGTAGAATTATGGTGTGCTATAGTAATAAATAATTATCATGGTGTGAACAGAAATTTTGAAATTGAATTTTTTTTGAATTTTTTTTGTGTAAACCATTGAACTTCGTTGTTAGGGGATAGATTCGGTTTTTGGCTTTGAAATTGGAATTTGATGCGATTCAATAATAGAACAATCTTCTGTGGGGGTATAAAGGTAATATCAACTATCGTCAAGCGACGAATCGTTTAGAATAAATTTAATAAAAAAAAGCAATGATTTGGAGATAGCACGCGACCTTAAACGCTAGTTTTCGGTGACAGTCTCGACTCTCTTTCTCTCTCTTGGATCGAGGGGTCGAGTTGAATATCTATCTATCGCTCTCTTATCTCTCTCTCTCTCTCGAACCGCCGTCGCCGCCTTTTCTCTTTCTCATCGGTAAGCCTTAATCTACCATTATAAACGCCATCGAGAGATTTCTCTCTCTGTTAATTCAATTTATAGGGTTTTTTAAAAAAATTTTTGTTTACCTTTTCTGTTTGTTGCTTCAATTTCTAGGGTTCCCCTCGCTGTATCTTTTAAATCACTAATCGTTCGAGGGAGTTTCGAGCTGAGTACTTCAATAATCGAGGGTCTGAAATTGATTGTGTTGCTACTTTGTTGCTTCCTTTGGTTTTTGCTGCTAGATCTGACGTTTGTTTCGAATTGAATTTTGGGTTTTGTTTTTTTATAAAAAATTGAAAAGAATTGGCTGGTTTAGGGTGTAATAAAGAGGTGAATAGGGATTTGAATTGGGATTAGGATTTTATATTGTGAAGCTTGCTTCCTTTGTTGTAATATATGGCGGCTGGGAGACATGGAGGTTATCGCGATAACGAATTTCGGGGACGTGAGTCTGATGTTGAATATTCAAGAAAGGAGTTTGCTTATTCTAAAGAGGAGTATGATAGGATTGGGAATGGTAATCGTCAAAATGAACGAGGTAGAGTTCGTGATATGAGAGATAGGGGTAGGCTTAGACAAAAAGATATTAAGGAGAGAGAAGTGGCAAATGGTGGGTATCGTTCCTCTTCTAGTAGGAGCGATTCGGGTAGTAGTGGTGGCACTGGTGGTGCTCACGGACCCCGGAGATGTGGGTTTACTGCTAGAACCATGGATAGGGAGCCTGGTGAATTGTCTAGTGAGAGTGGATCAGATGATGTAATAGAGTCCGAATCACAGGTTAACAAAGATGGTGAGGTTTCAAAGGGAATTGAAAATGGGATTCAGACTCCTGTGGAGAAGAAGAGGAAGTTTTCTCCTATAGTTTGGGATAGGGATGATAAACAACTGACTAATTCTTCAAAAAGTAGGATTTCTACAGCAATGACAACTCTCCCTCCACCACCCCCCCTCCCTAGGGCATATCGTCAGTCACCTAATGTTATTCCAGATGGAGGTGTAGAGATATCTCCATCTAAGAGTAGTAAAAGCCAGCAATTCCATTCATCTTCTCCAGTCAACAGTTCAGTGGCTAAAGGGTCAGGTAGATCTTCTGAGTCTGTGTCTCCAGTAGAATTGGCTTCTTTACCTTTAGAGGAGCATCGATTGGTTAGTGACCATGATAATGAAGCTGAGCTGATAGATGATGAGGATTATGTGCCAACGCGGAATATATCGTCTTCTAGATGGGCTGCTGGAAATAATTCTCCAGTCGATGAAGGTGAAATTGTAGAGGATCAGGAAATGCCTAAAAGAAGAAGAAAGATGCCTTATTTGGAGGCACTGGATTTCAGAGCACGCAATAGGTCAATTACTCCTGACTTTGGAGACTTTAAGAGAGAAGGTTCAGATGGAGTTAGAGGGAGGTCTGTTGACTCTGATGAGCGAGACACTCATGCTAGGTCATCGAGTAGGGATGCTAACTCTGGTAATGGTACTGATAAGGATGACTACATGGAGATCGATGATAGACATGATGAAAATGACGGTAGCAATAGCCATTCTGATGCAGATTCTGAGAATGATAATGGTTCTCATGAAACACCAGAATCTGCTGGTCCTCCTCAAAGAAGTATAAACATGCTTCAAGGCTGCAGAAGTGTAGATGAGTTTGAGAGACTAAATAAGATAGATGAAGGCACTTATGGAGTTGTATATAGAGCTAAAGACAAGAAAACTGGGGAAATTGTAGCATTGAAGAAGGTGAAAATGGAGAAAGAACGAGAAGGTTTTCCGTTAACATCTTTGAGGGAAATAAACATTCTTCTTTCTTTTCATCACCCTTCAATTGTTGATGTAAAAGAAGTTGTGGTAGGCAGCAATCTTGATAGCATTTTTATGGTGATGGAATATATGGAGCATGATCTTAGGGGTCTCATGGAATCGATGAAGCAGCCATTTAGTCAAAGTGAAGTTAAATGCTTAATGCTCCAGTTGTTGGCTGGTGTCAAGTATCTCCACGATAATTGGGTCCTTCATCGAGATTTAAAGACATCAAATTTGCTTTTAAATAATCGGGGTGAGTTAAAGATATGTGACTTTGGGTTGGCTCGTCAATATGGGAGTCCATTGAAACCATATACTCATTTGGTGGTCACTCTTTGGTACAGGTGAGCTGCATTGCAGATATACTACTATATTTTTTGGCATATTCAGTATCTTGAACCTTTTGCAATTTGTTTGATGTTGCCTGGATTTGTCACTTTTCATTTAAATGAAGTTTGTCTCTTTCTCTTGTTGAGGTAACCAATGATTCCAAATTATTTCTTATTTATTATTGGGTTAGAGAATCTTGGTTAGTTAATCATCATTTAATGATTATACAAGTAGTACTGAATTTCTGACTCTGTGAAGCTATGCATTCATAGAACCATTCATTTTTTTTTGGGTTTCCCATGCATGTGTCAGATAATTTTAGGAATTGTCGAACTTCAATGTTAGGATCCTCTTCTCTGCTTGTTATTATATAGGGATTTGTTTTTTATTTATTTATTTATTTATTCATTTAGTCTTTAGTATGCCTGATGTTTTATGATATATTTAAGCGATCAACTTGCCTTGTTTAGTTTTTTTTATGTTCTCAATATATTTTTTCAGGGCGCCTGAACTTCTTTTGGGAGCCAAACAATATTCAACTGCAATTGATATGTGGTCGTTAGGTTGTATTATGGCTGAACTATTATCAAAGGAACCGCTTTTCAATGGGAAAACAGAATTTGATCAACTTGACAAGGTAAATATATTGCCAAAGAAAGTTTAGGTATACTTTGCAAAACTAGTTTCTGCTTGAACTTCAGCCATCTATTGGAGTTCTTGGGGTGCTCAACATCCTGATTGCTCCTCTGTAGGTCATGGGTCATATTTTCTTCCCTTTTTTGGATTGCAGATTTTCCGAACTCTTGGTACACCAAATGAGTCAATCTGGCCTGGGTTCTCCAAGTTGCCTGGTGTTAAGGTCAACTTTGTTAAGCATCAGTAAGTATCAATTTGTAATAGAATTACTTTCCAAATATTCTCCACTCCAATTGTTCTTATTATTGCCACTGTTTTCCCAGGCTTCCAGCTGGGTGATTCTGGTCTGGGTATCTGGCCTCATTGGCGACGCAGTTTCGAAATTCATTTTTTCTTTGTACTAAATGGCTGACCTGTTCCTTTCAGGTATAACCTACTGCGTAAGAAATTCCCGGCAACATCTTTCACTGGATCACCAGTTCTTTCAGATTCTGGATTTGATTTGTTGAACAAACTACTAACCTATGACCCTGAGAAGGTAGATAATATGCACTATACATGATGTTGTCTTTGGTTTTTAGACTGTTGTGCAAACTTAATACAGCCCATGGTATTTTCTTACAGAGAATTACTGCCGAAGATGCTCTAAACCATGAGTGGTTTCGTGAAGTTCCTCTTCCCAAATCCAAAGATTTTATGCCTACTTTTCCTGCTCAGCATGCTCAAGACAGGTATCTTGTCCTTGTAAAGAGGAATTAGCTTGAAGTAATTATTCTTTAATTCATATTGAAGTTTATTCATTAAAGTTCTTTAAAATTGCCAAAATTAGGCGTTTGCGAAGAATATTGAAGAGCCCAGATCCTCTAGAAGAGCAGCGCAGAAAGGAGCTGCAACAAGGGGAGCTAGGTACCGGCGGTTTGTTTGGTTAACAGGCCTTGGCTGTTAATCTCTGTACTCTAGTTGCCACATGACTGACACAGGATGAAGTTGAGGTGAGGGATATCCATTGGAAGGAAGTTGCGAAAATTGTTTCTCAGACGATCATTCATACTTTTTTTAGCAGGACTTTGTGGTGATTTGGGTGGAGAAATTATTTGTCTCCTGCCACCCAGCTAATTTGCAGGTTAACTTTGTCCTCCAGCTTTCATCAACATATAGAAATGCATCTGTGACACTGATTGCATTGCAAGGTGTGGCATAATGGCCTTTCATCTTAAAATATCAGTTTCAGCTGGAACTTTTGTATGTAACATATTTCATTGGTACATTGTAAACAATTCTATTAAATTTGGTTTTGAAGTTTAGAACTCTATGGATTTACACTCCACTATCAGTTTTTCAATTTTTTTAATATTCACATTGTGTTTGCAAGAGAGAAGGTTGGTGTGAAGTGGAGGAGACGTTCTTAGCTTTTCATTGATGAAGAAATAGACAGTAACCATAGAATGCTGAAGGTAATTTACTTATTTGATATCTGTGGTTGTTATCCCAGATCAGGATTATTGTTTCCATTCCTTATGGGCTATGCCTATGTTGACATTTTGGTGTTAGATTGCTGATTAGATGTTCATCTGTCTTTTGGTACCCTAGCTTTTATACAATTCAAATATTAGTAAAAAGAAGTGGAAAATGCAAAAAAGAATCTCTACACCGGTTTCTGGAAAGTGTATGATGATCTCATAGATGTGCTTACAGTTTGAAGTTCTAGTCTGCTAGTGATACTATTGCCCAATGGCTGGCAGTATGCCATCTTTTCAACTTCTATTTGTTTGTGCACTTTTTTTGTATGCGCTTAAGATAATCTTGTAATAATAATGATTCCTCACCAAATTAAATTATTTAATAATATTATCTTAATGACTTTAGGTTTAACCTCATAGTCTAAGTATGTATCGCTATTTGTAGTTGTAGTGGAATTGGTTATTACTGTGAAATTTTTGCTGGATTAATTAAAGCTTCACTTACCTCTTGTTTGATGCCGACCTTATCCGCCTGCGTTCCTCTCTCTCTTTCCTCTTTTTTTCTTTTTTTGAAATCCAATAATTTGAATTTATACTATCAATAATTTGGTCCTTTTATTATCTAGAAAAAAAGGGGCAAAAAAAAGTCATTTTAACTAAAAAGAACTTGATCTTGATTATGAAAGGACTGATATACTGAATTTCACAAAAGTCAAGTTCCAAGTGTTGGATCCTTCAATGGTGAGGTCGAAAATGCAAAAACTTGAATATAATTGTACATCTTGAACATCTACTGGATAAACTCGAAAAGAGAAGGGCAGCCATCAGTATTATGAGTTGATGATTATGCAGCAGCTTTTACTTTATTATATAAGCATAGGCTAATTTTATTGGAAATTTTTAGTAGAATTGTGGAGTCCTACATCTTTTTCTTGGCTTGTTTGAGTAGTTTTAATTCTTATTGCTGCTTCAACAATTTCTACACTAGGAAAGTGATATCACTATTGAAGGGTCTCATGAATTTTATATTTTGTGCTTTTAATATGGATTATAATGCCGATCCTTATTTAATCATTCCTTTTTTTTTTTTTTTTTTATTTTATATTTTGTGCCCTTTTCAATATGGAATTATAATGCACGTCCTTATTTAATCATTCCTTTTTTTTTTTTTTTTTGGTTAGGGGGAGTTGGAACAGCATTATCACAAAAGTTTTTTTTTTTTTTTTTGTGGGGGGAGTTGGAACAGCATTATCACAAAAGGAGTTAGGGTAATATATGTTGTTTGGTTTCTATGGATGGCGTGAAATGATGTGTTGAAGAACTGAATTACTTTGATGAAAGATGAAATTGTTATTTTTGCCTTCAAGATTTATAATTTTTATATGGTGAACTTCGACTCGCGATTTTATTCTGGTCAGTGACCTGTTATGTGGAATTGAATTCATTGATTGTGTTGATGATTAACATGCTGGACAAAAAGTAATGTTTAGTTCTGCCTTTTTCCACATCTGTTTTTTCCCCCTCTTTATTTATATGTTGCGAAATTGAGACTTTAACCACCCAGAACCTTTTTATGATATTTTCTGTGGATGTCACTGCAGTATCAAAGCAAGCAGGTTCAGGAGGTTACCTGCATACTGGATTTTATAGAACTTTCAATTAGTTGTCTTCAGGCTCAATAGAGGTACTATACATACCTTGGTTTGTTCTGATGCGTGTTTATTTAATTGATTTCCCTGTGCTTAACTTTTAGTGCTGGGATCTTGAGCTTGAGCTTTCTTATATACTGTTGTGGCATATGTTCGTAACTTTGAAAATGAATTGGATAGTTCTCATGCTTTGTTGGGTGCTTTTCAAGGTATCCTGGGAATTTAGTGTTGATATGCTAAATTCTTCAACCCTTTATTTGTTTACTATCTCTAGATAGCTTTACTTTATACATGGATCCAGATAGGATGAATCATTTTTTATAGTGAGGGTAGGGGATGTGGCTGGTTAAGACATTTTATTATTAATTATATTGGATCGTATTATTTGTGATCCGCGGGCAGAACTCTGATGCCTTGAAGCAATTAATTGAAAGAAAGTTCAGATGTGGTTAATGAGTGTAAGATGCGGATGCAAACAAATGATCATGCAAATATTTTTCCCACTATCATTTTTGAAGAGATGCTTTTGATTTTGAATTAGTAATAAATTGACAGTTCAACGGGAAATCCTTTAGTAGCTGAAATAAACAGGGTTTGGCCAGCTTGCTCTGAAAAATTGATGTATATGCACTGAGCATAAATCTTGACTCTTGGAAATTGGTCAACATACTAAAGGCTTGAAGCTGTTGTTGGATGTATTTATAACTTGAATGTTTCAACCTGTTGAAAAGGACATGGCCTGATTGTCATCGTTGGAGGTAATGCTCTGATTTTATAAGACCAAACAACATCCATAGCTTGCCACCAAATTTGTGCAGTTTGTCAGCATTTTGCAATTGCATATAGATATATTTTGGCTGTGTGTTATCTGTAATTTTTATCATGGCCATTCAAGCTCCATATCCAGGACATGGATCGTAAAGATTTTTTTTTTTTTGGTTGGGTTATATCATGTTAGTAACTTATGTTTGTACTTTTAATTTATTTGAGCTCTGTTTTGATGATGAGAAATATGAGTGCAAAAAGCCTGAAGTTATTGGAGACTATTCATGAAATTAAGCTTCCAAAGTTCATTAATGGTTGCGGGGAAATTATAGTGGAGTTGTCACCTTTTTTCAGAAGGTGCAATTGTCTAAATGTAGCTGGCAAAGGATGCATCGATGCTCTTTTTACGATATTAAATAATAATGCCATTTCCATAGTTGCTGTTGAATGAATCAACATCTACAATGTATTCTCTTCCTAGCCTTGCAATATATTCTTATTTATAGTTACAATCTCTGTCTAAGGCAGTAGAGATTTTGGCTATTGCATTTTGTTTTTGATTGCTTCTATTTTTTTTTTTTTTTTCCAAAGAAAGGCTGCTTTTGGGTATGTAATTGAAGTCGCGGCCAAGATTTTGGGATTTTGAAAAAGGTTGCAGAAGTTGTAGTTGGGAATCATAAAATAGTTATAATAAATAAATAATTAGAAGAAAAAAACTGAATGTTGCTTAATTTATTCTGAATATGAATAATCAGTTGAAAGTATTGCTGCTCTTTTTCTTTCCTTCACGATGCCATAATGTGGAATTTCATAATAAAGAATCGGTAAGATTGGCATTTTGAATCCCCATTTTGTAAGAAATAAATCCAAAAGATACCGTAACCCTATTTCATCTAGGATTAGGGTTGCAAGGGAAACAAGTCTTCTCCAACTTAATTAAGACCTGAACCAAACCCAAACCAATCCTACTCTAACTCCAACACTAATCACGTTATTATAATTAATTAATGGGAAAATGATTAGCTTGGTTAACCAAACTAATTAAGTCATCCTTGTAGTTTGGTAATATCAATTAATGGTTCGCGAAGTCATTTCTACAGTTTGGCAATATTAATCAATGGTCTGTGAAGTTTACCTTTATTAAATCACTTACGATGCTTAAAAAGAGAAAATAATCAATTCATCTAGTTTTGATTAAACTAATTAAATCATCCCTGCAGTTTAACAATATTAATTAATGATCTGAAGGTTTATTTTTGTCAAATCATTTAGTCATTCCATCTATTTTCTCTATATTTTTTCATTAAAACCTTCATAAAAAAAAAAAAAAAGAAAAGACTAAACTAAACCTATGTTAGAATTTTCATTTGTTGTTGAGGGAAAATAAAGAGTCAGAGTATATATTGATTATTTGATAGTCACCTAAAAAAAAGAATGATCAACATAATGTGTCACTTTACTGACTTGAGCTACCTGAAAAAAGATGAAAAAGAAAAAATACATTGAGTTAACTTTAATAAAAATAATAGAGATTGAATTTTAGGTATTAACATTCAAGAGGACAAGTTATTTATATATTCCATTACAAACTACAATTAATGAAATGTAGGACCACAGTAACAGTAAGAATATTTATGAAAAAAAATCCACCGTTTTTGCAGTATTTCAATTATAAATTTGTTAAAATTTAACTGTCATTCCGTTATAAAGTAAATAACCTAAACTTATAAATTTGTTAAAATTTAACTGTCATTCCGTTATAAAGTAAATAACCTAAACTTATAAAGTAAATAACCTAAAACTTATAAATTTGTTAAAATTTAACTTGCAATTCCTTTATAAAGTAAATAACCAAACTAGTTTTAGCTTTCTTCTTATGTGTAGTATACTTTAGTCTTTTTTTTTTTTTTTTTTTAAGCGTTTCCAATGGAAAATGAGGACGAAAAACGAATCAAATGCGTTTTGACGAAGGTAAACTTCAGATATCATTAATTAATATTATCAAAACTGCTGGGATGACTTAATAATTAACCATACGACAGAATGAATTAATTAACTTAATGCTTATAATAAACAAGAATGCTTTGATCTTCTGTTTTGTTTTTTTTTTTTTTTTTTAAGGTTTCAATGGAAAAATGAGGAGAAAACGAATCAAATGGTTTGACGAAGGTAAACTTCAGATATCATTAATTAATATTATCAAACTGCTGGGATGACTTAATTAATTTAACCATACGACAGAATGAATTAATTAACTTAATGCTTATATATAAAAAGAATGCTATGATCTTCTGTTTGATTGATTATTCGGGCATGGAAGATCAAGGAGCTACTTTTCCCCTTCTAACAGCCACGCGTGATGAAATTGATCGCCATGGCCGTCAATACTGTAAAACACCACCAGACAATGCAATCACAACAGAAGAATATTGTATTGTTTTTAAGTATATGTTTTTGTTTCTTTATTTTTTGGTGGGTTTTATCTTTTTACTCGTTTGCCCAATAGGTGCTCTACAAGGAACACCCTGTATTTCCATACCAATCGCCGAAATTCCAAGTTGATTCAGTCACTGTTTACCCGTTCTTCCTCTCTTCTTCTCCTATAACTGCCAATTGGATCATTGATGTTGATCAAAGATCATAACCATATGTTTCTGGTGGATAATTTATATTATGAGAATCTGCAAGCTTCAGTTATTTTCGAGAACAAAAATATCTCTACCACATCGATTGGATCTTTCTTTCAAGATATACATTACATAAAATCGGTGCAGGTTAATGTGCTTGTTTCCTCAGGAAGCATAAGCTCTAAGGTAGCAGAAGCTATTATTGCTGAAAGATGGAAAGCAGGGACTGTCAAATCTAAATATGAACCCAAGTAGGATCGCGCTTGTTTTGAGATTTTTCACTTTTGGACAATCTAAATATAAACCTAAAAGCAAGCTTAAAGCTTTAATGATGGACTCGAAGCTTAATATAAACAACTTGTATTCTAGAAAGTTGAACTGTTGGATGGGCTTCAAGTAGACCCAGACACCTTCAATTATTTAGACATTATTTTTTAAGAAAAGAAATTGAAAAAACCGGAAAAAGGAAAATTAGAGAATCGAGTTCCGCAAAAGAAAAAAAAGTAGACCACAAGGTTGGCGGGCGGCGGTAGCTGGTCATGGCTGACCGGTTTATTTTCTTTTTACGCGCTTTATTATTTTTATTATTATTCCTCTTTTATTTTTCTTTTTGTTATAGTCCTTAAGACTTTGTATCGAAATCAAATCCCTCATAATCAGCCACACTTTCCGTGTTACCATCACTCATTCAACCTTTCCTTTTTTACTTTTCCCTTTTCTTGTTTCAGAGTTTTCTTGAGGAACAAGAAGAGAAGTTTTCTTATTTTCTTTGTTTTGTTTCTTCTCCGATAATGGCTGCTTCAAGATGGATCAGGCCTGAGGTACACTTTCTTTCTTTCGTTTGTTTCTTGAGAAATTCTCTCAACATTCTGTCTTCTTCATTTTTTTTTTTTGGGTTCTATCGAGATTTGATTTTTTTTTTTTGTTGTTGTTTTATTAATATTTGATTGAATCACATTGATCTTTTGATTTGTGATTTTTTTTTTTTGACGATGGATGGATGGATGTAGTTTTTAATTTTATGAATCTAAGAAGATTGAATTTTGTTTTGATTTAATTTGTGGCGTTGATTTGGTAGGAAAGTCTTTTTTTTTTTTTTTTTCCTTTTTCTAAATGAATTTGTTCTTTATTGTATAGGTATTTCCTCTTTTTGCTGCTGTTGGTGTAGCTGTTGGCATTTGTGGGATGCAACTTGTTAGGAATATATGCATCAATCCCGACGTCAGGTAATTTTCCGTTAGTTTTTGTTTTTTCAATCAATTGGTATTGCAGAAATTGAAAATAATGAGTTTGTGTTTCATTTGGTGTATAGGGTGACTAAAGAGAAGAGAGCTGCAGGAGTTCTTGATAACTTTGCAGAGGGTGAGAAATATGCAGAACATGGCTTGAGGAAGTTTGTTCGCAAGAAGCAGCCTCAGATAATGCCATCCATCAATGGCTTCTTCTCCGATCCTGATCTTCCAAGTTCCAAATAGAAAGTTCATTTTATAAGTTTAACATTGAAATCAGGCTTTCATATTTCAAGCTTTTGATCCAGAGGAAATAGGATTAAACAGTATTTTTCATTTTTTCCCCATTCAAAGAGCATTAAGCAATTGCATGTTGCATGTTGTTGGAGTTTTTTTTTTTTTTTTGTTTGATATATACATTCTTGAATAATAAAATTTCATTTTATTTTATCTCTATTATCATTGTTTTTCTTATTTTCTTTATGTCTAACACTTATCCTCATTATGTAGTTTTTATATTGCAAATTTGTTTGCTAATGTTTACTAATTGGATAGAACGGCTCATTGAAATCAATGATAATGTGCAATTAGGAAATTCTTTTCAAAAGTAAACTCTAAATCAAATCAATTGACTCAAATGACAAGAAGATTGCTGAAAATTAGTATAGCAGACTGCTTTCACAAATATAGTAGGATCTCACATGTCACAACCAGCTAATCTGCAATTTCTTCATTGCATTATGAACACATAAGTCTATATGCTGTTTCTTGAAATTGTAAGTCAGCAATTTACATTAAAGCGTAAAAACTTAAGTACTAATTAAGTCACATCTATTAAAATATTTTCCTTGCTCCCTAATCTGTACACGGTGTTTGTTTGTTTGTTTGTTTTCTTTCTGCTGATTAGTTTTTGACTACTATATTAGATCAACTGCATTTTCAATCAAACTACACTAATTAAAATGATTAAATATTGAAGCTGGAGCCTAGTATGTCCTGTATCAACAACGATGTCAGTTCCTGTTTGATGATCTCCTCAAGAACTCAGTGACCAACTTTGAAAATGCAGATGCATTGTCCTTGAGCAACTGTGCTGGGGAGTCATACTCTACCACTTTGCCTGCATTAATTAAAATGATTACATTAATAAATTAATATTATTCAGAAAATGCAGCATGCAGTTGGAGCATAAGTTATAAACTCATTTATGTTCTTTGGTCTTATATCAATGTCTTAATTTATATGTATAGATTTTAATTATCACCCTGAAAATATCTGATGTTCTCTATATTGCTTCTGTTGGCAGAACCAACAAAGAAAAATACTCGCAATGCATATATTTCTTAACCATTACACTGGCTTATCAGACTTTGAAAGTTTTAGCCTATAGACACAAAATCTACGGTAGTGTGGTTTATATTTATGAAGCAAAAATATTCATCTTTATAGGATAGCATCAACTTACCTTCATCAAGAACCAAAACCAAGTCATTATCAATGACTGTAGGTATTCGATGGGCTACAGTAATGACTGTGCATCTAGTTGTTTCTTCTTTTATTGTTCCTTGAATGATATTGTCTGTCGCTGTATCAATAGAAGCTGTAGCCTCATCTAATACCAAAATTCTCCTCTTCTTTAGAAGCACTCTAGCCAGACAAACAAGCTGCCTTTGTCCAACGCTCCAGTTTTCTCCATCTTCAACAACTGCTTTGTCCCCGGGAATTTAGAATAAGGAGTAATAAAAGGCAACATTCTAAAGACAGAAAAAATCTGGCTTGAGAATATTTAAGTAATAAATATCTACCTGGTGCTTCAAGAAGCCTTTGATCCTGCCTTACTATATCAGCAAGACGACACTTGTTGAGAACCTGAAAAGCATATTGGTTCAGTAGGCATAATTTCAGATCATTCTGTACAGGGAATAGGGTTCTGGTTCTTACCTCCCAGATTTCTTGATCTGAGTGTTGTTGGAAGGGATCTAGGTTGCTTCTTACAGTTCCTTGAAATAATGTGGGATCTTGTGGTATTATACCTAGCTTAGACCTCAAATCTTGCAAACCTATCTTGGAAATATCCAGTCCATCAATAAGAATCTGGCCTTCTGAGGGCTCAATCACTCTAAACAGAGCTTGAATCAAAGTAGACTTTCCACTTCCTGTTCTGCCCACAACACCAATTTTCTTCCCTCCTGGGAAAGTACATGTTATTGACTTGAGAACCATTGGAAGTGTAGGACTATATTGGACACACAGGCTTACTAGATCAATTCTTCCATCCATTGGCCATTCAGGATGTGGCCTACAATCTTCAATCTCCAAAGGAGCTTCACTGGGTATGTTAGTAAATTGAAGGATCCTTTCAACTGATATCATTTTGTTCTCAACATTGCATAAGTTCCATATAACCCAAGCCTGAAGAACATTCAGGTTCAGACCATAGGTAGCTGCCATCCCTGCCAAGGCTGATATCCAGTGTAGCTGTCATTAGTAATATTTACATTTAAGGGAGCCCTTGCATATCATAGAAGGCCGTACATGAAATTACAATTTACAAATGAAAAGATGGATACAAGGGGCAAAAGAGCTTACTGGGATCAATAGCAGACCTAGGAAGGCTCACCAAGATAATCAGAACAAGGAAGAAAACAAGGTTGAAAAGAAAATTGATTCGAACGCAAAGCCATTCCATTGTGCCTGTGTTGTGGAAGACTATGCGAGAATAGTCATCAATCAGGCTCTGATTTCTCCTTATGAAGCGATCATCCTGATTGAAACAGTGAATAGTTGCTGCCCCTGTAATAGATTCTGAAAAGTGATGCAAGATAGGAGCCTTTCTAATTCCAACCATCCTGGCTAATTCTCTAGCAGTTGTGATGTAATAGGCCTGTACATGTGTTGATTAAGAACCAATCTCTTAAAAATGATTTGAATGGAATTGACAAAAAAAGCCAAATGCAACTGTTCTTACCTGATACCAGATGGAGATTCCAAGGATGACAAGAAAGAGAAAGAAGACCTGCCAAGCAACCTGAGACATTAGGATAACTATGCTCAACAGCTGAATTAGTGCAAATGCCAATCCTGCTAATCTGTAGGGAATATCTGTGTCTACTGTGCTTTGATCTGTAGATGACTGTAAGGGCAAAAAAAAAAGAGTATTATTTCTCGTGGATATGTATTCATAAAAGAGAAATGAAAATTATTGAAAATGCAAATAAATAAAAGTGCTTACCCTGTTGAGAATTCTACTTGAAGGCGTTGAATCAAAAAACGAAATAGGTGCTCGAAAAACTGATCTGATCATCCCAAGGAAGAGCCTCTGAGCAGTCTCAACAGCAATAGTTGCCAGCAAAACTGCTCTCCCTAATATAAAGATGGAGCTTCCACCAGACAACATAATGAATATCCCAATCAATCTCTCTCTGGTGATTTTGTGTCTGTCCTCTGATGCCCAAGCAATCCAATAATTGCTGCACATCTGCAGTCCCTGGAAAAGGACTTGGCAAAGAAGGATGACGGGAACAAGGCCTCCTTTATAAGCCGAAGTAACAAAAGTTGAGTAAACACTCCATTTCACTCTACCAGTTTCAGATTCTTCTTCTTGATTTATGTCTGAAAATCTATTGTAACTAATGAGCTCTTCAACCTTTTCTTCTGTGACCTCATTTTGATTGAAGTGACAGGGTCTGATTAAGGCATTATCTTCTGAGTTTGGGTTAACTTGGTTCAGTGACTTTTTATGGGCAGCCATTTGTCTAACAAGTTCACTGGCAGGATCTGCAATTAAATCCTCATATTTTCCTGACTGAACAATTATACCGTCTTTCATCACCTGTAAGGATGCACTTGTGAGTGAAAAATGAGACACTTGATAGAAAAAATCTGATAATTCATGAATATTTGAAAGAAGACTCTGATTGCTTACAAGAATAAGATCTGCAGCATCTAAAAATTCCAGTTGATGTGTAGCATATATGACAGTCTTCTGAGACAAGAGTTGCTTGAGGCATTTCTGCAGAGAAAACGAGCTCAACTTTCAAAGAAATTACAGGACAAGAATTTGGTTGTAGTCTTATAGAAGCAAAGTTGATAGATTAACAATGGAAAAGCTCAAATAATAACAGGGACGTCCTCGGTGCTTACCTTGAATAAATGCGTTCCAGTATGTGCATCAACAGCACTGAAAGGGTCATCAAGAATATAAATATCCGAATCACTATACACAGCTCTTGCAAGCTGAATTCTCTGCTTTTGTCCACCACTCAAGTTAATCCCTCTCTCCCCAATCACAGTCAAATCTCCATGAACCCAAATCCTAATATCCTGGTTCAGAGCACATCCTTCCAGAACGTCCTCATAGAAGGCCTGATTCATATCCTTGCCAAACAACACATTTTCTTTCACTGTTCCTGTTTGAATCCAAGCGCTTTGGGGAACATAAGCTTTCTTTCCATAAACCTTAGTTGCTTCTCCAGAAGTTCTGGGGATTTCACCAAGTATGCTGCACAGTAGGCTTGATTTACCAGACCCTACTGATCCACAAACTGCAACTTTATAACCCTTCATTATTTTCATTCTCTGTGTAATTTTAATAGTAGGTTTTCTTGAGTTCTGATCACTTGTTTCCCAAGCATACTCTCCGGTCTCAATTTCGATTGCAACATCAGATGCTTGTGGAATGTGATAAGGTATCTGCTTTCTTTGACCTTCTTCTCTGATAAACTCTTGAACGCGATCAATTGATACCTTAGTTTGAGCAATCATGGACATAAGCTCAGGCAGGTTATAGATTGGTTCTTGCAAAATTCGGAAAGTGGCTAACGCTGAGAGGACTCTACCTGTTGTTAATGGTGTTTCTATTAAAATGCATACTCCAAAGGAAATAACAGAAACTAGAGTTGGAGAAGCCCAAAAGAGAAAGGCTATTGCTGAACTTGTATAGAGATATCCTCGCAAATGATTTCTTTCAGTCTCTCTAAGTTGAAGAAGCCTCTCTAAAAATTTAGATTCCCATGAGTAAAGTTTCAAGACTCTCATGCTTTTGAGAGTTTCTGAAGTTGCTTTAATTCTTGAATCCTTGGCTTCCATAATCCTGGAGTGCAGCTTTTCTTGCCTATTGGCCAATGGTGTGTTGCTCACCATAACCAATATTGTAGAAGAAACAGCAGCAATTGAGGGGACAGCTCCCAAAGTCCTATACAAAATTACAAGGGCTAAGAAGACCTGAAGTGGTAGCAACCATACTCCATGAATATTGAAACAGAAGTCTCCAATTCTTTCAACATCCACATTTATCATATTTATGATTTTACCATTTCTTGGACCAGAACATCTTACTGACAGAGATTTCTTGTATATTAGTGCCATAAGAGCTGCTCTTACTCGTATGCCAATACGCTGAGCACCAAAATACCATTGTCGTTGAGTTAGTGATTCGACTGTCTTTGAGAAAAAGAATATACATGCAAGAATAAAGCCATTAATGTAGCTTGAATCCTCTTTTTCTGATAAAAAATTCACAAAGCTTGTGATCAAAAGGGGACCCACATAGGAGGCAATTGTATTAACTCCTGCAGAGGAAAAAAAATGAAGAGAAGCTGAAAAAAAAGGAAAAAATAAGGAAAGAAAAACGGAATAAAAGACAAGTGTTAAGCCAAATCCAAAAAAATACCTGCAAAAACCCCATTCATCGTCAGGGATTTCCATATTGCAAAAGCTATGGCCTTAGGCAAGTTAGTTGTTTCATTTTTTCTTTTCAAAAATGATTCTTCAAGCAATGAAGAAGCAGACTTTGCTGTTTCTGATTTTGGAACTGATGGTACATGAGATAACTTTATTTTTTGTTTTCTTCCTTGACTAAATAATGGATTTAGCCATTGGAAGGTGACATGGCTCCAAATTCCAGCATTAGAAAAACTGGTTGATTCTTTTGATTCACTATTGTGTTCAGTATTACTAGAAGTGAATGTTGAAGCATTGAAACAAAGCAGTATGGACAATGGTAAGGAAATGAAATCAACAATGCTAGTTTCAGGCAAAGAGATAAACGGTTCTATTTCTATGGAAGTGAAATTGTTAATCAAGTAAATGGAGACAGAAAGTGTATAGAAAATGGAAGAAAAGATCCACCAAAAAATTAGAACTATGGGCCATCTGTTGCCTTCTCTAATAGTAGTGCTTTTAGAATAGAATGCAACTATTGAAGCTAAAATCCAAGTCATAGAACAGAAGATGGATTTAGAGTTAAAATTTCTTCTATCATACCAGAATTCATAAAACCCAAAATAAAGATTCAGGGTAGCAATTAAGACATTACAAAGAAAAGTTATTGCAGTAAACAAGGTAGAAATTTCTACCCTGCCTAAATCACTACCCTCTCTCCTTCTTTTCAAGATTTGTATCAAAAACCATCCCAATAATAATGTGGAAAAAGCTACATTGACAGTATCTATGAAGATATCTACACTAAGTCCTGAAAACAAATCCCATATCCTCTTTTTATTCACCAAACCAAGAAAATTGAAGCCAAAGCCTGAAACTTCACACCAGAAACAACCAGAAAGAGTATTATCTGCCATGTTTAAAGACCTGCGGGGGGAAAAAGGGACAAAAAAAATCCTTCAATGGCTTAGAAAACGAAAATGAGGAAAACCCATTTGAGAAATCATTATAAAAAAAGAAATGGAAGGAACAAGCAAACAAATTGAAACTCGTATGTGAGTGAAATTGTTTCAGAAAGACAAACCTGCAAATACAAATAGTGCGAAAGGCAGCACGTGGGGATAAAAAGGTTAGTGAGGTGTGAAGGATTTATATAGATGAATATAACATAATAAAATATTTAAATACTATAATAAAAAACAATCACCATCTCCATTAAATTCTTTGTTTCTACTTGCCTTGCAGTAGGTCACCTCCATTTCCGCCCTAAAAGGCTAAAACGTTGTGTGATTAGCATTTATTTGAATGATAACAAAATGGGACCAAAATCTAAACAGCTTTAGCATATCTTTATATATATTCATCTCTATGACTCTTCAAGTCTTACTGGTCAATTTAACCATATTCTAAGGACATATCCTTTCAATTATGTCGTCATTTTAATTATATGGATCTTGTACAATTTTTTTTTTTTTTTTTTTTTTTTGATAACAAAAATGGGACCAAAATCTAAACAGCTTTAGCATATTCTTTATATATATTCATCTCTATTGACTCTTCAAGTTTTACTGGTACCCAATTTAACCATATTCTAAGGACATATCCGTTTCAATTATGTCGTCATTTTAAATTTATATGGATCTTGTACAATTTTTTTTTTTTTTTTGTTTTATAAGCCACCGAAATTTTTTTTTTTTTTTTTTTTTGTTTTATAAGCACCGAATGTTCAAAAGTACATGCACTTTGATTACGTCGAACTCAATATTTATTTACTCTTTTTTTTTTCTCGGATATTAAAATATGCGTTTCCACAATTATACAATTTAGTCAATTATATTACATTTTATCCTTATTTGATGGCTACATATCTTTTATGTTATATATAAAATCAAATTTTATTTCATATAGGAAATTTTTTAATTTATTCTCAATAACGCTTTTGTCATTTAGTCTATAGCGTCCCATAAAAGCATGTTTGATAAATACATATAACTTTCCAATAAAGTATTCAAATGAAAAGATCCATTAATTTTATATATACACTATAAAAATATTAACTCGCGCATTGTGTGTTTTCTAGTTAACTAACAAAAATAATTTAAATTGAAGAAAGATCTTATTTCTTTTTGGAAATAAAAATTTCTCTTATTTTTCTTCCCCTGAATTCCCAATAAATAGCATAGAAAACAACCATTTAGACTGAAGGACAAAAAAAAAAAAAATAATAATATACATTGCAAATGGGTCCTCAATTTCATATCTTGTTTCTTGAAGTTGTGTGTATGCTAAATGAACAACAACTATGTATTGCTTATTTTATATGTTCTAGTTATGCTAAATGGAACCCATGTGCTTCAATCACATCATAATAAATTATATTTGCATATGTCAAATGCATCAAATTCTATATTATGATTTTCCTAATGCAATTTTTCAACTTCTCTTCTCTGAGTTATGGATAAAAAGTACAACGTCTCTAAAAAAAATAGAAGATATTTTATTATTTTTATATTGTTATGAACCGTATCAGCGTTAAATTTAAAATTATGATTATTTTGATTTTTTAAGTCTAATGAATGCTAAATTTATTTTCATATAACATTGAGTTTAAGATAGGTATAAAGTTTTAAACTTTATGAGTGGAACAAAATATAATTATCCATTAGTGTATGGGAGTTTTTTTTTTTAATTAATTATTATGCAAATGAATAACTTTTTATAAAGCAGGACAAAATTTGTTGGACAACAGATTGATGGAACATGGCTTGTTTCATATCAAGAATATTTACACCTTGAGTTCCACATTTCCACTAGCATATGATATGGCTGCCTACTCCATTAATTGAGCCAACCCTGGTCCTAGGGTGAGTTCCCAATAAACTGTGGGCACCTAATTCACATGTCTGTCAGTTTTAAACAAGTAATAGGGAAGATCCAACCTTCAGGAGCTGTCCAGCAGCTTCTTCTACCTGTCCAACACTTGCTTCAAAAGAAATGGGTGTGCAAAGTTGACTGTGTTTATAAGTAGAGATATGCAAAACCACCGATCAAACCGAACCATTTCAATTCGGTTCAGTCATCCATTCGATAGAGGTTCAGTTTATTTGTTTTGAACCGTATTTATTATTTAGTTCAAATTAGTTTCATGAAAATTGATCGGTTGGGTTTAAAACTGAATTGACATGGCAAAAAACGACTAAAATGTTGTATCGATGGTTCAGGTCAATTCGATTTATATGCCATTTCGGTTCGATTTGTATTTTTTTGCAATCAAACTGAACCAACTGTTTACTTACCTATTTGTGTGGATTACTGTCTAAACAAATTGGCAAGTAACACATCTGTCATCCATATCTTCATAGATCTCCTTCCAGATATGTCTTCATGGATTGCATGATATTACTGGTTTAACTTATTGTAGATTGTGAATATGCTTTTACACTTTTGTTCTCTTCTTTTACCCAAAAAAAAGATGGAAAGGAGAGAAGAACAAATGAAATAAAGTTAAATTTTAAATAATGAAAAAATGAATTTATATGTTTCTAGAATTAGAAATAAAATTTATAAAAGGGAAAAAAATATAATTTTGAAAAGTTTGAAGATGATAATCTCAAAGCTAACACAGGGTTTAGATATAACAACACATTATAAAGATGATATAACCCAATGAATAAAAAAAAAATTATAAATTCATAAAGTCAAAAAAATTATGAATTTATGAGATCCAAAAGGGAATCTTCGATGTGCTTTGCCATTATCCTATGGTGGTGAGAATATTTTACTTTTCTGAGAGGATGCATGCGGCTGAAGGCTTGTGGACCCATCTAATAAAGTGGTGATGATCAAAGATTGAAAGTCAATTTCGGGCCACTGATTTTGATTTTGACTTTGATCAATTCAGAGACAATATCAATTTATTGTCTTCTTAATCTTACATTTCTCCATCTAATTAAAACACGTGGTGGCCACGCAATGAACTTGTGGAAAGTGAAAGCAAGCCCCGAGTATATATGTGCTCATGTCGTGACTCAATATCGTTAGTGATGATTGGACATGTATATTTTAAGACACATAGGAATTGAAACGTCTTTAAGAAATTAATGACATTATTAATTTTATTAATGATGTTCAACTCCCTCAAAATCTATTAATCAATGATATTAAAATATAATTTCATTTAAAATAAAAAAACTCTACCTATTAAAATAATATTTAAATTTAAAATCGTATTGGGTGTATTTAAACTCTATTCAATTCGTTTGACTTAATTAAAATAATTTTATTACTATTATACACATTTCTCTCAATCATAGTAAGTAATATAAATTCACAGTCATTTATTAAATGAAAATTTTTTTAATTTAATAAAAATAATGCTATTATTAGGAGAATTTTATCATAATATTACATTTAATTCAAAATGAAGCAAATAGAAAAATAAAATTCATAAATATGTCTCATAGTCATCTTGACGTACATTGTACCTGTCAAAATGGAAATCTGATCAATTTGAATTTTCTATTGATGGTAATATACCTAATTTATTTCTGATTCCGACCATATAGATATCGATATAGAAATTGCTACATTAATTGAGAATTATAATATTTTTTTATTTTAATTTTTTTCTTCAGTGTTTTGGACTTATTAGCTGCCTACCAAAATGGTACAAACCTCAATTTTGCAATGACTAACTTGTTGGTCTATATTTTATAGCCAAAAAGAAAAAGGTTAGTGCCTTGCGGTGGCACCATGTTTTTTTTTTTCCCCTTTGAATTCGTATTAATTTTTTTTATATTTTTTCACAAAGTTCCAAAAAAATTATAAATTTTTATTTATTGTTAAATGCGTACTCATCCAAATTCCAAGTTGACCTGATCACGAGTTCAATGTATCCAGGTTGGCAACTTCAGTGTTATATATCATATAAGTTCCAAAAAAAATTATTAAATTTTTATTTTATTTGTTTAAATGCGTACTCATCCAAAATTCCAAGTTGACTCTGACTCCACGTAGTTCAATGTAATTCCAGGTTGGCAATCTTCAGGTTCTATCATTATATATATATATATATATATATATATATTTATAATTGAACTATAACACGTAAAAATAGTTATCTTACTTGAGTTTAACGAGTTAACTACTTTTCATTTTGAAATTATTTCGTGATTATTCGTCTATATTGAACTATAACACGTAAAAATAGTTATCTACTGAGTTTAACGATTAACTATTTTCATTTTGAAATATTCGTGATTATTCGTCTTCATAGATGCGTTTTTTATGAATAGATAATCACAACGTTTTATTATTAAGGAGAAATTTATAAAATTTATAAAGTTAACATCTAAATTATATATAAAAAAAAATCATATATTTTTAGCAACAATTATCAAGATGTAGTCATCGCTGACGAATTATTTATTTCTTTATAAAAGACAAAACATGATATAATTTTCAAAATAAATGGACTCTAGCATTCTGATTCCATGAATCAAAACCCTAGGAGTTTCATTATCAAAGGATCATTTTCAAAATTAATGGAGTAATTTAGTATTAGGTGATGAGCAAGAAGTTTGATTTTGGAAACAGTAAAGTGTTAACAAAATGAGGAAACTAATGAACACATAATGACGACACTCAGAACAACACTATGAAGAAAGAGAAAGAAAGAAAGATAGAAATGCTTGGAACTTTCATCCCTGTAGAAGATGAAACCTTTCAATATAGGTAGAAAGGACCACAACGAGGATCAAATTCACCACCATGCACTACCTTTTCATTATTAAGTCATGTTTGTTTACATCAAAGTTCTGTTCCTTTTGGATCAAAACTAAAAAAATTTTTATTCCAAGCACGAAGCACAGATATTTATATATTACTACTAAATATTATTTATGAAATTAGGATAAAATAGACCCACTTGTGCTTGACAGTAATAACCCAACAATGAAACAAATCCTGAACACAGAATACAAACTCAGGAAAAGATTGCAAGAAGGGTTCATCACTTGGGAAACTGTTATTCAAAGCCTTAGCAGAAGGACCACTTAGCCAGAAACCATTTTTCTTGTTGTATGCTTTTTTGTTTTTTAATCTTTTATGTGGTGATTTGGACAAATCCACAAAGGAAAGACTGAAAACGCAGACCTCAATGTGTCTTTTGCCATGTGAGTGTTGATCTCAAAAATATATCCTCCACTCTAGCTGGATGGATAACCCCAAATTTTTATTTTCTTTTTCTAAAACTTCTTTCAACCTTTTATCTCATCTTGCATTCAAATATGAGATTTCTCCATCAAAATTTAAGGCCTTAATGAATATTTTTTACCTTAATGAGACACAAAGGTGGCTAAATATTTGGTGGGACACAGAGAAAAGGGCTTCCAACATCATAAAAAGAAAATTATTTTTCAGTTCCCACTTTACAGGAAAACTAGAATAATCTTTGTCCTTAGCCTTACAAGAACAGTTGTCTTATTCATACCACTTGGCTTGAATTATTTTCAGATATTTGATACGTTTAGAGTAGGATATGAGTTTAGGTTGATTGATACTTATCACTTATAAATACTCTATCTTGTATCAGTAAATATGGTAATATTTTAAAATTTATGAACAATTTATTCACTTCAAGAAAATAATTATTTAAACAGGTTTGAAATTTAAAATTTTAAAAGTATTTCAAGCACGGTTAATATCAACGTGTCTAAGAATTACATGAGAATCAAATGCCCTAAAAATATTTTTTTAAAAGATATTGAAAATTTTACATATTGGATTCCCATGGGAACCCTGTCCCTACCAGCAAGGAAGGAATTTTCCTGATTACGATGGAGAGAGGGAACGGAGAAATTGCCCTTTGCTTTGCCATCCTAAATGGAGTGAGTAGTTAGTTGCAGTTGAAACGACATTGACTTTAGGCGGCTCAGTATTCAATTTCTGAGCCGCCATCACCTTTTACTTTTTATTTTTTATTTTTTTTATTTGGCGGAGTGAGAGAAAATAGTAAGTAAATTGCAATTGCTTGGCAGGAAGCCCACATAAGGAAGAGTTGGGTATTTGTGAACTTGGAGGGTTCAGGATTGTTATGGCTCGAGTAGTTTGCCATTGGGCTACATAGCCCAATCCAATACTATTAATCAATTTCAAAAGTATTATAAGACTTTTAAATCAAATTTAATATTATTAATATATATAGAAAATAGATTTTTTTTTTAACCATAAGTTATTCAAAATTCACTGTTCGACTAATTTGAATTCGAGTCGGACATACCCACAAAAAGAGGCAAAGCGTTCTCTCCTTAGTGTTTAAAGAAACACTATACCTAGAGTTGAACTCAAAAACTATAATTAAGGGAGAAAAGAAAATAAATATATATTTTTCATAATTTTTTTAAATAATATAATTTTGTTCATATATTTTGTATAAAATACAGGCTAAAATCTATTTATAAAAAAAAAAGAAAAAACACATAAATATACACATTACTTATCCGCCAATTATTGTTAGTCATCATGGATCGACAATAAGCACTGCAATTTGCAGATTATTTTTTCCATAATTAAAAATAAATTTAAAAAGAATATAAAACTTTTCTTGAAATAAAAAACTTCTATAATTTTAAATATTTTGTAGTTGTAAAAGTTAAAAATAATAAAATTTTAAATTAATTTTTAATAGCGGAAACAAATAATAAAAATTTTAAAAAAATTATTTTTGAAATCAAACTCAGCTTATTTCGGTACATGGATGCTTATTTTGCCAGGTTTGGACTGTTATGTTAGCGCCTTGGTAAAACGACATCGTGGGCTTGAACGGAGTTCAAAATCAGCAAAGCCCAAGGGAGCCTATCTAATCACTAATCCCTATTTTCTAACCGTTAAAGGCGCAATTTAAAATGTTACCGTTGCCCTCGAGACGAAACCAGAAAACTAGCCGTTGCCTCCTTTGCCTTCCTCGACTTCATTTACTCAATACCAATCTTAATATCCTTCAAACTCCATCAAATATCCTCCTAATATAATCGAACCAATACTCTGTTTCTACCGAAAAGAACTCGTTTTGCTTTTTACCTTCTTCCGATCCCCCATCAAAACTAACCAATATTTTAATCGAGAAAACCAGTAATGGCATCCAAAACGGTTGCTAAGGACATAATCACTCTACGCGGTTCTGCAGCGATTGTTAGCGAGTTCTTTGGTATGTCAAAATCCATAATTTTCCCTTTTCTAGTTGAAATTAAAATCTTGATTTTCGTTACTTGATTCTACAGAAAGGGCTGATCTTTTTTGTTTCTCTTTAATCCCTTTTCAGGTTATGCAGCAAACAGGTAAAAGTTCATTAAGTCTTGATGTTTAGACTCTTTTTGTGCATTTTTTTTGGGTTAATTTTTGTATTTTATTTTTTTCTTTCTGGGTCTTGAAGATCACTGATGATTAAGTTGTTGTGTAGTATACTATACAATAGAGGGGTTTATCCAGAAGAGAGTTTTGCGAAGGTGAAGAAATATGGACTCCCAATGTTACTCACTCAGGATGAAGGTGTCAAAACCTTTATCGCCAACCTAACCGCTCAGTTATCAGGTAAAATCCTTGTATTTTTATAATTTTTGCCTTTTTTTTTTTTTTTTTTTTTTTTTTGATGATTTAAGTTGTTGTGTAGTATACTATACCATAGAGGTGTTATCCAGAAGAGAGGTTTTGCGAAGGTGAAGAAATATGGACTCCCAATGTTACTCACCTTCAGGATGAAGGTTGTTCAAAAACCTTTATCGCCAACCCCTAACCGCCTCCAGTTATCAGGTGAAAATCCCTTGTATTTTATAATTTTGCCTTTTTTTTTTTTTTTTTTTTTTTTGTTTGGTTGGTAAGAAAATGTTGGAAAATGAAATGAATCATTTTTATTTCTTTTTTTTTTTTTTTCTCTTTCATTGTTGAAGCTGAAAATCATATGAGAATTAGTTAAAATTGTCAATAACTGAAACATTTATCAATGTTTGGTTGCTAAGAAAATGAATGAAACCCAAATTTTGATTCTTCTGATAATACGAGATATAGTTACCACTGTTGATAATTGATATATTTGATTCTTGAATTTTGCAAAAGAATGGCTAGAAGCTGGAAAGTTGCAAAGGATTGTTCTTGTGATAATGAGCAAGGTCACCAACGAGGTCCTAGAGAGATGGAATTTTAGTATTGAAACTGATAGTGAGGTGGTCGAAAAAGGGTAAGCTTTGCAGTTTAGAATTCTTAAACCCTTTCTTCATATTTCTTTCTTCTGTATCCTTTTTTCCCATTTCTTGATTTGTTCTATGATAATGGTTTCAGGGTATCAAGGGAAAAGAGTGATAAAGAAATAATGAGGGAGATACAAGCAATCATGCGTCAGATTGCTTCGAGTATTACTTACTTGCCATGCCTTGATGAAGCTTGTAAGAGCTGAATCAGCTGATTTATTGACCAAGAATAATAAAATTGCTGAATCTATTACTATTTGCTTATTTCTTGAATTGGATGTTATAGGTGTATTTGATGTGCTAGCCTACACCGATAAAGATGTTGCAGTCCCTTTTACCTGGATTGAAAGTGATCCAAAATTGATTGCCAATCCACAAATGGTGAAATTGCATTCTTTTGATACCAAGGTAAACTATACAAAAAACAAGCAAAAACTTTGTTTTGAGAATCTGAGAGAGAAAAATAATTCACTGTTGGACTTCTTTTTTGTTGGTTTTGTGCAGATACACAAGGTTGACACTCTGGTTTCATACAAGAATGACGAATGGGATGAGCAGTAGAGAGAGGCTTGCTCTGCCTATGGTCTCAAAAGAAAAGAATTGTTTGAACGAGTTGTGGTCACTGTGAATCTTTTATTCACATTTTCTTGTAGTATGGATATCAAGGAGACAAAATTGATGTTATTGAGTTGTTTTGAAGTGTACTCGTTTGATAAAAACTGGAATGGAAAAAACTCTAAATGGTGTAATTCTTCATATATCAGTGAACATATACAAAGATTTTTAAGTAGCATAGATATGCTTGCTTATTTTTAGTTTAGCCAAACCCAGTCAGCATGTCTGAATAGAACTTGGAAAGGGAACATTTTACCCCATTCTTGGACTTGCCTAGTACAAATCCAGATTAGTTGAGCCAATGAATTTCGGACACGGGATAATTTCCACCCTAAAAAAAAAAAAAAAAAAAAAAAAATAGTTGAGCCAATGAACCTTTCGGACACGGGATAATTTCCACAACCCTTTTTTTTTAAAAAAAAAAAAAAAAAAAAGAAAAAAGAAAAAAAAAGACCAGATGCTTGCTTTCTCTTATACAAAAATTCAGTGGGATAACTAACTTCAATCAAGGGAAAATGAGAAAAGGAACCGCTTATGGGAGTTTCTGCTAGCTGGCAAAATCTACAGTAATCGGAACAAGACAAAGAATTTCCAGAACATTGCTAATTCCAAGAAACCGAAAATCATCAGTAAAAAATCTCGCTGGATTTTCCAATCATCAGTAAAATCTCGTCTCCGGATTTACCTGGATTGAAATGATCCAAAATTGATTGCCAATTCCACAAATTTTGGTGAAAATTGCCATTTCTTTTGATACCAAGGTAAACTATACAAAAACAAGCAACACTTTGTTTTGAGGAATCTGAGAAAGAGAAAATAATTCACTGTGGACTTCTTTTTTGTTTGGTTTGTCGTGCAGATACACCAAGGGTTGGACACTTCTGGTTCATACAAGGGATGCACGAATTGGGCCATGAGCAGCTAGGAGAGAGGCTTGCTGCTATGGTCTCCAACAAGAAAAGATTGTTGAAACGAGTTTGTGGTCCATGTGAATCTTTTATTCACATTTTCTTGTAGTATGGATATCAAGGAGACAAAATTGATTTTATTGATTGTTTTGAAAGTGTACTCGTTTGATTAAAAACTGGAATGGAAAACTCTGAAATGGTTTTTGTAATTCTTCCATATATCCAGTCGAACATATAACAAAGAATTTTTAATAGCATAGGATATGATTGCTTATTTTAGTTTAGCCAACCCAGTCAGCATGTCTTGAATAGAAACTTGGAAATGGGAACATTTTACCCCCATTCTGGGATTGCCTGGTACAAATCCCAGATTAGTTGGAGCCGAATGATCGCAGTTAAGTTGGAGCGAAATGAATTTCGGGACACGGGATAAAATTTTCCACCCTTACAAAAAAAAAAAAAAAAAAGAGAAAAAAGAAAAAAAAAAACACATGCTTTGCCTTTCTCTTATTCCCAAATGCTTGCTTTCTCTTATACAAAATTCAGTGGATAAATAACTTCAATCAAGGGAAAATGAGAAAGAAACCGCTATGGGGAGTTTCTGCTAGCTGCAAAATCTACAGTAATCCCGGAACAAGACAAGAATTCCAGAACAAAGCTATTTAAGAACCGAAAATCATCAGTAAAATCTCGTCTGGATTTCCAAAATGCTGAATCAGTCACCTAAAATAAAGTTCAGTCTCTATCGTGTGTAAAAGAAGTGAATGAAAAACTGATGCCAAATCTGGAATTGCTTTGTTGTCGATAGAAATACATATTTACAAGCACTGATCGAGTGAGAAACTCCATCCATTTCTACAATTCAACGTATTACAGAATTCTATATACACAATTGCACGTGATACAGTTCCACACTGGTGTGGCATTTATGAAAAGATGACGCCTAAATAGCATAGCAGTCGGTCACTTCAAAGATCTCCAAGCAATAAAAACAGATCTATAGTGCACGCCTTCTCTCAAGTCACACCACGGTAGAGAGCACCGGGTCGAAGGTCATCCATGTTATCAACATTTCTATACCCATCAAACTCCCTTAGGCATGTCCAGCCACGGCGAGTCAAAAAATCACGGTAGTCATCTTCAGTGTAGAAAACTTTTTCCTCCGTATGTACTGGCATGTGGTCTGATTCATCATATAGACACACTTTGACGGCTAATCCTGAAAATTTAAAAAGATTAGATTAGCGGTTAATAATTGAGAAAATTTTCTTCGAGTAAAGCTCCATTGCTTCAGGTAATAAATTCTCATACCACAGTGGCTATTATTCATTAAATTTGACAAGTAACGACAAAAATAAAGGTTCCATTCAAATTAGAAAAGATTAGTAGCATATTCCTTTACAAGCTAAAAGCTATTTGATTTAGAAATCTCACAAACCCACAGCTACAGAGGATCTTTTTGGCTTTAATACAATATAGAGGACTCCTTAATCACAAAAAACTTCAGCACCTTAAGGTATTTCTGCATGTTTTTAAGGTATACATGCATTAATTACCTTCATCAAGGTGAAGTGTGTAATTCCCCACTGGCATGTCTCTGTCAAGACTACGAATTATCTGGTCTTCATCCTCCAACCAAAATGCACGTTTGGTCCTTAATCTGAAAGCTGACTTGATTGCCTCCTTGATGGCATCTGTGGTGCCATCAACACCTACCCTTCTTGTATAGTCCAAATACTTGACAGTTATCACTCTCCCACCAAATGACTGATTCTCAGGACCTACCAAATGGGGAAAATGAGGAGAATAATAAAATATGGTCATAAAAAATCTACTGGCAGTAAATGCGATCTCTTTTAAAAGAGTTGAAAACCAGTGACTCGAGATTGTAAGGGAAGCCTTCAAACATTTGCCTTTGGGAGTTGTTACCACAGAAAATTTTACATCCAAGTAACAAATAGATTCTAAATTAAAAGGTTACTTACCATTTCCAGGAGTCTCCCTCCAATTCCATGGAGGAACTCCACTTGCTGCAACTGCATCAGGTGCTGTGATGGCAAGAGGATGTCCGTCATGATCCAGACGTCTTTCAAGGTTGAGAGATGGCCTGCCACTAGCTGCACACCAAGGAACTTCAACGAGGGAAATGCATCTCTTTAACATAAAAGTAATAGGACAAGGTGCATGAAGAATGTAAGCAGAACTACAAGGTGGTCAACTGATTTCAAAACGCACAAAGAGAACATCTAAAACCTTTCTTCCAACAAATAATATCCACTTGAAACTCAATGATAGTGGGTGAGATTGAGATTGCAAATTAGGAAGTGTAATAATTCACAGACAAATGGGGGTTGGAGGGAATACACAGAATAATTCATGAATAGTCTAGGGTTGATCCACACAGCTCTGGTGAATTTTTACCGGTAGAAATCAAATAGAAGTTTACATTGGAAAATGGCACTACAACTCCAAGGATTGAAGGCACACCCGATACAGAAAAAAATCTATGCAATTAAACATTGTATTGGATTCTTCTTCACCAGGCTGTTATTTACATCAACATCGGTGGAGCTTAAGCGCCATCTCCCATGCCAAATCTAGAAGAGGAAAAAGACTACATATAGATTGAAAACAGTTGCATGTGCAACATATTGCAAGGGACACAAGCCCAGAGGACAGACCTTCTAACAAAATATTCTTCACTTATCAATTATCAGCAGCAATGACCAGTCAGTAAACAAGAAGTCTACCCTGAGTAAAAAATTACTCAAGTAAAATGTAGACATAGTTTATTTCCTCAATCACTGATTTTAAATATTGACATGAAACATCCTATTCTTTTTGTCATTTTGCAAACTGTTGAAAGATCCTTTTAATTGTTAACTACATGCCTCAGAATGAATATTTATATTCAAACAATACTTTCAATGTTCTGCAACTATATTTTTGTGGCATGAACTCTCATTGATAAAATAATAAGCATGTGATTGCACAAAATAGAAATTGAAGACAATAGTTGAAGTGTACACATAATGAAAGATTATTGGCATGCATGAAAAATATTTTGATGCCTTATTTAAGATGGAAAAAGAACTAAGGGAATTGTTGGTTCACTCTAAAAAGTATAAACGGAATGCTTTTTCTGTTTGAGCATCCAAAGACCCCAATAGTTTGTGACTTTGCTTAAAATTAGATGAAAATGAAATGCAAAGCACAGCTTTCAAAATTACCATTAAATTACATTTATTTAATATCTCAATAATGAAAATGAACTGAATTTTGGAATAAAATATTTGGATGATATACATTTTCAAAACATGCCTATAGTTCTTTAAGGCTGTTGCCCACATAAAAATAGACAACATACTTACTACTGTATGACTGTTAGGATCTCTCTCTCTCTCTCTCTCTCACATTTGGGATAAAATTGTGGAAGGATCTAAGGAAACCTTAAACTCACATATAGAATAAGTCAAGAAGGAATAAATGGCACATAGCTGATGCCATTTCTGAGGAACCTGTTGAGGTCTGCATGTTGGTATAAGGCAGGACCTCAAACAATGTGATCTCGATTTTTACTAGCAATTAAAGTATTATACCAACTGTCCGTAGCAAACAATAGAACAGCAATTCCTCAGCTTCAGTCCTCTCGCCGTTTTAATGAAGAATTCAGCATTACAAGGCATAATGAACTCATACAGCTGGATAGGCCAAGATCTGCCACCAGGTAAAGAAATAAACAAAGCTCCAGTCTTTTACAAGAAGAATAGCCAATTGGTACAGGAATCTGTCTTTTGAATAATACAAAATCTATATAAACAATGTTAGATTTAATGGATATGTTCTTGATTGATCAACTTATTCTTATTTTAGTCACCAGTTGTTATAAGATCAATGGGATAAAGGCTATCCAATGGCAAACATAATGCACGCACATACACACAAGAAAAAAAGAAGACAGTGAAGAATCAGAGAAGAAGGTCTATACCCCCTACAAGCATTTAAATGAGCAACAAAGAAACTCCAAATGTAAGTCTGTAACAGTTACGTACCTTCTACAGGTCCAAAACATATACTTGTATCGTCAAAGCCTGGGACAGTCAGACAGACATTGCAAAATATTAATGCAAGGGTGATAGAACCAAATGCTTCATATATGTTGGAACAGTGCAATCAGGTACCTTAATGGCAGTAAAACCAGAAATGTTGGCGGAATTGAAATCATCAGAAGTGAATGGCTAGGGTAACAAAGTACATATACTTGTAAAGTAATATGCAAACAACAAATACAAGTTCCACCATGTTCAATAACTGACTGTGGCAGCTTGATTCATTCAAGCAACATGACTCAAGGACATCAAAAACATAAAAGAATGTTATTATAGGTTTAATGATCAAAGCAACTTAGAAGAGTTAGACATACAATTTTGCTCCTGAATACCAAGTACCAACTGACGTAAACAAATACCGTATGCACATGTATCTGTGTATGCATACATGTATAAGTATGAACTGTGTATATATTGGAGTCACTAGACCTGAAAAAGTTGAGAACTGGTCACACCCCTCAGAAATAAACACAGCAGTCTCATTTTTTTCCTTAGTTGTTATATTGCAAGCCAACAATTAACTTTTCCTAATTTCCTAAACCTTTTCTGCCACCAAATGACCAATAATTGTGAGCATTATTTCTGCCAGACTTCCAGCATCAGCCAAATACATCTTACCAAGCTCTATTCAAGTTGTACACCACTGTTCCATTCCATTCCACTGTAAACTTCCAACCAGAAAACTTTATGATGATAATCTACCGCGTTAGCTTAGTACTAAGACACCATTTCCTCTAATGTTGCTAGTGCAGTCCTAGATTACATCGGCCGCAGCTTATCACAGACTCTTCACATGTCTATCTTAATTCCAGAACCCAGGAAGCAACCAAGCGCACCACTTCTTAAGTTAGGACAAAATAACAATTCTGAAGCAAAATAAATAAATAAATAAATATAATAATAATTGCATCCAAAACGCAGAGTGCTAGAATCAACACAAAAATAGTTAATTTTCTTCCTTTATCCCTAGAAATACATAATCAATCAGTCAAATCCGCATCTAAAAAGACATATTTAAACAACCCATCTCCAGTTCCACTGAGATTAGTTACAAGCAAATCTTAAAACCAGCCAACACAAATACAAAATCTATAATTACCTTTATCAGCAAATTGCATGTAGGAATCCACTTTAGAAGTAGGTGTAGGACTTTTATACTGAGCATTCTTGCACCTCTCCCTTAAAATCTCATCAATCTCTTTATAATAAGACATTTTCGCCGACCCACTTCCTCTATCTTGATGCTTAGCCTTCTTAAACTCTTTCAACAAATTCCTCCACTTGTCCGTGCACATTGTAGGAGATCGATCGAATCCCTTTTCCCTCATCTTTGCTGATATTTGTTCCCACAAGTGCTTGTTTGACTTAGAAGTATTAAATAAGCCATCCATTTCTCGCCGAAGAGCAATTAAGCTACGGGTTTCGTCTTGAACCCATGTCTCAGCTCGTTTTTTAGGCGCTTTCACTTCGTGGTTGTCCTCACCGCTACTGTCACCGAGAATCATTTGTTGTTGTGGTTGTTGCTGCTGCTGCTGCTGCGGCGGTGGGTTATGTGGATTGTGTAGATGATGCTGATGAGGAGGCAAATCTCCATTAGTTGAGACAACTTCAATAATCATATTGTCTCTGTTAGCGGGCGCTACTTCTTCTTTGTAGAAATCGATTGGGCGAGGCTTATCAGACAAGTACATGGTTCAAAAAGATCGATTATTCTCTGTTCTGGGGAATTTCGGGTGATGGGTTCTTGTTTTACCTAGATGGGATTGAAGAAAATAAGGGATTTTACGAGAAGAAGGAGAATAAGAGAACCCATTGTTGTTGGCGGATAGCGATAAAGGAGTGGATGTTCAAATGCAAATTTTGTTGGGTTTTGGTCTTTCACCCTTTGGAGACGGTAAGTTTGGATGCTCAGTGGGTTTTTTTTAGCGCAGAGAAAACCAAAAGAGAGAGGGTGCGTGAAGTAAAAGCATGGTGGATGATTAGCGAAGAAAAGAGGAAGTAAGCAAGACCGATCTCTCTATCTCACAGTATCAGCTCAGCAATTTATTTATTTTGTTAAGTTTCCGAGATAGACTATCAAATAATAAATATCTCCTTCAATTTTCTATTTATAGTCTCTATTTTTTAGCAATTTAAAATCGAGATAAAAAAAATAAAAACAAATATAAATAGAGTTACGTTTGTTTTAAAAAAATGATTTATTTAAAAAATATTTTTGAAATTTTTCTCGTAAAATTATTCAATATTCAATTTCACTTATCCAATTAATTAGAATTTCGGTATATTAAATCTAAGAAAAAAAATAAAACACTCTTATCAAATTTAAAAGATACTCTCCGCCTAAAGCTTCAAATCAAAACATTTGATTAATTAATTTTTTTTAATCTTTTAATGTGAGTGCTCAACAAAATTAAATTAATAGAACTAAAGAGAAAATCAATTTAATTTAAAGAAAAATGACTCTTTTTTTAAAAAAAATTGTTTTTTAAATGTTCAAAATTTTATTATAAGCTTCTAAATGTAACTTTATATTAATTTATTAATTATCATAATCAACAAATCTAATCCCCACCGGTCTATGCCTAAAAATAATTAAAAAGTTAGAAGGAAAATAATCTTTTACCTTTCCTAAAAATATAGGTGACCCGGGTCTAAATTAGCTTGGAGCAAAATAGTGCATTTGGAGTCTGATGTGATACACCAACGACATCGTTTTCGCCTGGAGACATTCTTCCACTGAACAGATAAAATTGTTTGTCTCATTGTTTCATTGCCTGAGCCGCTGAGCGCCTCTCTCTCGACTCTCCGCAACTCTCCGCATCTTCCTAGTTGCGGTCTTTGTTATGGTAACAAACCCTAAATGCTACTGTTATCCACGAGTCCTTTTCTAGAGAAAAGCAAGATTAAAAGTTGCAATCTTTTACTGGGTTTGGGGGGCAAGTTCTCTATGGAAAAGGCAGTGATTTTAATGAGATGAAGCCTTTTCAAGTCTCTCCCATTCAATCTAGAGCTTCTTTTGTTCTTGTCAAAGTTAGACCCTTTTCTAATATTTCAGTTTCAGCACACGGCACAAGGTCTCTTTCAGGTATTTTATCAAACACATTCATTGTTCTTCAGCTTGGCTTTGTTAGGGGTCTCAGAAAATTGATTTTCCTCTATTGGTCGGGGTTATCAATCACTTAGTTGTAAAAGTTATAAACTGGGTTAGATTACCTGGAAAAGAAAGTTGAATTCTTGGTTTGTGTACGAGTCAACGATTTGGTATTTTTCGCTGTTATTGATGGTCAAGAATCTTTTTTGTGGTTAATGTTGGTGCTGGATACGTTTCTGCACTTATGCATTTTCACATAAAGCGGTCTATTTGCTTCGAGCTCTTGCCATTACAGTAGCCAGTGGTATTGGCAAAAAGCTGATTTTAATGATGCAAGATAAAATCACCAACTTTTCATCTTTTTGAGCAAATCTTCTGAGCTGTTGAGTCCTTTACTGTAGATTCGTAGTTTAGCAATATCCTATAATAATTTTATACATATGTTGAATGAAGTAAATTGTGTTAGTTTTATGGATTTATTTGCCATGCTTGTGCTATTTTTCATGGTAGATATTATATGAAATGACGGAATTTTTTTTTCTAATGTGTTTTTTTTTTTTTTTTTTTTTTTTACATATGTTGAAGAAGTAAATTGTTTGTAGTTTTATGGGATTATTTGCCAGCTTTTGTGCGCCTATTTTTTCACTCCGGCTCTTACGATATTATATGACTCGACCTCTCCCCTCAAACGGTAATTTTTTTTCTAATGTGTTTTTTTTTTTTTTTTTTGGTTATACTTTTTAGGATCTAATCTTTCTGCCTGGTTTTTTTTTTTTTTTTTTTTTTTTTGGCTATACTTTTTAGACTAATCTTTCTGCCTGTGTTTGGCCTTTTTATGATTTCTCAAATTAAGTCACTATCAACAACCTCATTTTCTTGGCAATGACCAACACCTGCAACAGAAGATTGCACAGCATTCACCATCAAGCAGCAAGGCGATTGTCTCTTGGGAGAAGATATGGAGTTGGATCTATCAGGACCTTCTCCACATTATCTGCACCGTTGATCTCTGCAATTGGATCTCTTGTTGTCCGGAATCCCTCATCACTAGTGTTGACCTCATGTATTACCCAGTCTGATGTACCCCAACGCTCAGATGAATGGTTTGCCCTCAGGAGGGACAAATTGACAACTAGCACCTTTAGTACTGCCTTGGGTATTTGGAAGGGAAACCGTCGCTTTGAGCTTTGGCATGAGAAGGTATTTGAACCAGAGATACAGATCATTGAATCCTCCAAGAGAAGAGCTATGGAATGGGGTGTTCTCAATGAAGCAGTAGCTATAGACAGTTATAAAAGCATCACAGGTCGTGAAGTTAGTCATTTAGGATTTGCTATCCATTCAGCAGAGCAATTTGATTGGCTTGGTGCTTCCCCAGATGGTCTTCTTGGTTGCTTTCATGGAGGAGGCATTCTGGAAGTTAAGTGTCCGTACAACAAGGGGAAGCCAGAGACGGCTCTACCCTGGTCAACTATGCCTTTCTATTACATGCCTCAAGTGCAGGGGCAATTGGAAATAATGAATAGAGAATGGGCAGATTTATTTTGCTGGACACCAAATGGAAGCACAATATTTCGTGTGCATAGGGACCGTGATTATTGGGAGCTAATACATGGGATATTACGAGAATTTTGGTGGGAGAATGTGATTCCTGCCAGGGAAGCTTTGTTGCTTGGGAGGGAAGAGGAGGCAAAATCGTATAAACCGACATCCACTCACAGACAGACGGGACTTGTCATATTTAAGAGTTCAAAGTTAGCTAGTGAATCCAAGATATTGTGTAGGGAGATTGCTGGTCATGTTGAATTTTATAGATAATGAAGTCTAAACTGGTGTTTTGCAATCTCTCACTCCTAGAGTAGGCTGCAAGATGTGCTAGGAGCTGCAGAATCAAATACGTGGAATCCCTTGAAGCGAAAGGAGATCAGGTTAATGCACAGAAAGAATTAAGAGAGAAGATTGAAAATATTGTCAAACAGCTTGCTGATCAAAAGTGATGGAGCAGAAAATATCATCTAGATTATGTAATTTGTTGAGTGACTACTGAGCTTCCTTAGTTCGTACTCCATTTATAATTTTATCTATTTGTTATCGATTGGAGTTTATCATGTATTTATAATCTTCCTGAACCAGATTGATTTACTTTCAAATCATTTTAAATTAAAAATCATGGTTTCAACTTTTTATTGTTTGTTTTATGGTGTAACAGAGTAATGAAAGAGAAGAACAATTGTAAGAAATAACATGAAATGGACATTTGAAACTGCACACATGCCACAACCAAGGTCACGAACCAGTTGCAGTCAATTTAATATCAGAGCTGGTTCTCTAAGTGCGTGTTTTGGCATGGATATGTTTGTTGTGTATGGGGTAAAGGACTAAAGGATCCTCCCCACAAGTCAAGCTCAAACTTGTTACAGGCTCGAAGCTTGACGAGCTTGAAAATTTTAGACTTGAACTCAATTTGAGGCTCAAGTTTAACTCTCAGAAAATTTTAAGCTCGAAATTCGATGCTCGGATAAGTTTAAAATAAATTTTATATATTTATATATAAAAAGCTCGATGGGCTTTCAATTTGAATATCATTAGACTCGAGCTCGATCCAAGCCAAATTTTTTTAAACTTTTTTCGGAGTCGAGCTCGAACAACTCATGGACAGCTCGGCTAATTTACACTCTATATCCCAATGAGGTCAAAATTTGATTCATGGACAGCTTGTTTCCCAAAATAATAGACTTTTTGCAGCCATCCCTTCTGTCAAAGTATCAGGGGCAGCAAGGTGTGGCCTACTTGAAAGAATACGCAGGTTAATTATAGCAACCTTCAGCTATAATAAGCAAAAGATAGGTGGACAACATTCTGAAACTGTTCAACCAAAATAACTAATTTTAGGCCTGTCTGATCTGATCCTATCAAAGTAAAAAATGAAATCAAAATAGTCTAAAATAGGCAAATGCATACCTAAGATAACCAAATTTACCAAACAATTACTTTTCACTGAATGATGAAAAGGAAAGAACAGAGTAACATTCATTATATCCAAGAATTGATACAGAAGAGATAAAGGGGGACAAAAAAAGATAGAGAAATTAAGAGATGGATTCAGGGCCATCCTGGGCTGATCAATGGGACAATGACACTCCTGACACTCCACCACAAAAAGAATCAGAGAAGGAAGACAAGAAGGAGAAGAAGAATGAAAGCAAGAGCAAGTTTGGGAAGAAACTTCTGATTTTAAAATGGATGAAAGATTTGCGCAAGAAGCCTGAAAAATAAACATGACCACTGTCACCAGTACGAGTCTTCTGCTCATGTAGACAAAATCCATTTCTATTGCACTTCTCTTTCATCCTTGATGCAAATAACATAGTTTGTCTTTACCTTCTTTTGAAATTTCCTAACCCTTTTTTTTGTTCATGTTTTTATTTGTTGTATCCTCAAGCTTTACATGCACATTTGTGTCAATGTATGCATTGCAAATGTGAACTCAAGTATTATGTATTGATGATTTTATGGAATTCTCTCTTTTGCTTTTCTTTCAAAAATTCGAACACAAGCCATTCTATTGGTTCTGTGTATGTTCATAATTTAGATACATGGAAATTATGCATGTGGAATGCTAATCAAATCTTAACAACCTCTACCATGCAAATGACAATTTACCACCGTAACCATGAAATGCAATCAACTCAAACTCACAGCATCGTAAAAACCAGAGGAACAGTTTATCAAATAAAGCATGAATGAGTCCCTGTTTTAGGAACAGTTTATCCTCAAACTATTAATTTAGAAAGCAAGATTTTTCAGTTCATTTCATTTTTCTTTTGTCTTCTTGGATTTCATCAACACAACATATCATACTATCAGGGCATTGATGTCAACAATTTTCCACCTCAAGCAAAACTTAAACAAGGGTCAGAAGAAAAGGATTATTGGAGAAGGAAAAAAGTCCATTTATTAGCAAAAGCAAAAGCTGCTCTCTCTCTCTCTCTCTCTCTCGCTGACCATTTTGTATGGAGGAGTTCTCCTTTTCTGGCTTTTGTTTTAAGTTTCGATCTTAATTCTCCATGTTTTTTCACCTAGCATTTCTAGTCCTGGGTAGGTTGTATGGAAGAGACTTGTTCATCGAGTTTAGATAGACTGTATATGATATAAAGTTTTTTTTTTTTTTTTCTTGGCTTTCTTTTTATAATATATTGCTAATGTCATTTGATAAAAATAAAAAATTAAAAAAAAATTAAAAAAAAAAACGGTCTAGAAAATTGAAAGAGACTTATGGTAGAAAAGTTAGTATAATGACAATAATTTTGAAAATTACTGACGTAGAAGGAGTAATTTAAACACACGGTAATTTTAGTGTTATCAAGCCAATCACATTGATTTGAATTTAAAAAGGATATAGTTAAATTTATAATTCAAAAAACTTTTAAATTTTGAATGAAAGTAATGGAATTTAAATAAAGAAAATTTTTATACATTGAAATTTTCTTAAGAGAAATCTATGTTAAAGTTGAAATTTTTATGTTTGTCACGGTTATAAGAACTCTTTTATCTTGAAAAGGAAAAATTAAATTTTTTACAGTTTACCTAGGTAAAAATATTGATTGAAAGTTATGAAATTCATAACCATTTTTTTTTTAAAATAAATCCTACAAATATTCACATAACATATTTGGAGAAAGAGTTCAGAGACAACAAAGGACTATTCAAGAAGTAATAATAATGATAATAAATATTTCCCATAGAGGCTCAAGAAGAAATATTTGTAGCTTTTTGGCAAATAATAATTAAGCATTCAATCCAACGAGCAACAGCAGACATTGAACAAATTCCTATTTTATTTTTTATTTTTATTTTTTCCATTATCCAACACAAGTATACAGTCTGGCACCCAAACTGGCTCATCAAATCATCCTGGTGGGATAGAAGAAGCAGAATACAAGCGCCATACCATTTAATGGATAATCCAGTGCACTGAGTTTAGGCAGGTAAAAACACAGATGGTTCTAAATTTATAAAAGCAAGAGCCAGAAATGAGATCAATCATAGATGAAACCAGCGATCAAACCCGAAAGCTCTGCGCAGTCAATGGAGCAGCTCCGAGCACTCTGGCACAGTAAATGGTCTGAGAAGAGCCTGCATCACACAATCTGATGGGCAGTGGGGAAACTAATCACTCCACTTCTCAAGCAATGGACAGGTACTATACATTATGATCAGAGTTAGAATAAATCAGTTCTTGCTTCACTGGGGAACCATACAAGCTCATTTTACAACATTTACACCAGACCAGTTGCTTTCCACCATTGACTCTATATAACTCTTCTCAGAGCTGAATAAATCTGACCCCACGTTGGTGCAGATTCACATGACGGACAGTTCCGAACATTAGATGCAAATAAATGCATTTTTCACCAGACTTTATTAAGCCACATGCCAAATATAGAAAAACCAGAACATAGTATCCTTCAGTGAACAATATTTGAAGTACCTGGAAACCATTGCCTTCTTGCTTTCTGTTTATTTTTTCTATCTGTTATCTCTCTCTCTCTCTCTCTCTCTATTTTTACCTTTTACACAAAAAATAAACTTCGGCCACAAACGGTCCAATCTATACCGAGACAACTCAAAGTCCATCATCAGTAGCTGCACCTGAGACAGTCAGCACACTCAGAATGTAAAAACAACACAGAGAGGAACCATAATCCTAGACGACTGCCTCACATTTTTTTTATCTTAGATTCTAAATAACCAATTGTGCACACATCTCAATCATAATATGAAACCAGAAGAAATTAAACTGAATCCGTCTTTATCCATAAAGACGAAAACTGCAGCTAGATTCACACACAGCAGGAGCCTTGGGTGGACTAATCTTACCATCCTCCTCCTCCTGGCAATTGACTTGCTTCCAACAATCTGAACAAAGCAACTCAAGGCAGAATGTCTCCTCATATTCACTGTCATTAATACACCGCCCACACTGAACACATCTAGCTATACAAAGAGTGCAAGCCCTGCATGGCTGAGTGGAATGTTCTTTCTGCTGACAACCCTCTGCAGGGCAATCATACACTAACCTCAGGTTCTGGCATCTTGGGCACATTTCAATGTCAATAGCACGATCATCCTCACATGACAAATAAAAGTTCCCTCTGTGATAATAATGTGGCTTGTAGGTATTCTGCTGCATATGGTTATCTGAGCCCAACAAGAACTTCAGTTCTTCAAAGTGCTTCTGTGTCACTCCATAGAGGCCACCAATCCTTAAATGCTTCACCCCTTGTGTACCCATACTCCTAAAAGCCTTTAAGCTAGTTACGATGCCCTCAATGCTGAGTCTTGTACATCCAGGCACACTCAGCTGCATAAAGGAAGAAATATTAGCATCCAATTATGTCAGAAAAGCAATAACTACATATACTCAATTCACCAAAAAAAAAATTACATGCACAAAATGATTGATGCTCATAAAAGCTGACCATAATTACACAATAAGGAAAATGAGAAACTTGGACTTCAAGTTAATCCCAATACCCAATCAGTGGTGACAAGAAGCACAACAGCACAAAAGGGTGAACTTGAAAATTTAGCAAACAAGCATAGGTTTTTAAAATGTTAAAGGTTCCAATCCTTTGTTCGCTGTTTTTATTATACATAATATTAACTGGAACTAAGGAAGAGAGGACTATTTGATCATTTAATAGTTTCATATCCACTTCACACACCATAGAGTAATGTGGTCATTGAATTAAAAAAAAAAAAAAGAGTCGATCAACATGAACGAAGGAACATGTACCATTAAATGCTTAGTCATAACAGAATTCACTCCATATCTTTCTAAGAGAAAAAGAGGAGGGAGGGAGGGAGGGAGAGCGAAGCAAGATATTTTTTTATCAACTAGCTAAACCTAAGCAATATAAGATAATTGAGTTAACAAATTAGCATATCTTCAAATGTGCCAATGAACAATAAATAGGATTCAGAAGCCGATGCAAGAAAGAATGTTAGGAAAGTAACACCCACCTTGGTTAGCCTCGGATTATTTTCAAGGACATGTTTCAACCCATCATCAGTAATCCTTGGACACTCAATCAGGCTCAAACATTGCAAGTTACCTTGAGCCCGATTAGTCAATTGCAAAAGAATATCATCGGTGATCTTCTCATTCAATGGTTGATCAATGTGAATACTCCTCCATAAAAGTGGGTCACTCCGAACTGTAGAGCGCAATGACCTGCACACTGTTTCAACAACAAGAAGATCCCGCACCCCGAGATAACCAAGGGCAAAACCAAAAGCTCCATGAGGAGCTCCACCATCTCCGTCGGAACAAACCCCACTACTCTCATGAAACTCCACACATCTCTCATCCACAGCACCTGTATCTCCATTACCCATTATTTCATTACCCAAACTCAAAATGTCGTCCACATTACAAACCAATCCAAGAGCACAATGACTAGATGCATCTCCTACTTCTTTCTCCTCAAGACACCCAGCATCATGGGCAGATGCATTCCCTAATTCTCTAAATGCATTCATGCTATTATCAAATCCCATGTTCCCAGGGAAAGTTTGGAACCTCATTGCATTGTTCCAAATAAAATTCAACCCAGCAAACAACTGATAATTCCCACCACTAGTGGCAACCTGATCTCTACCATACCCACCATAGTCCACCTCCAAATCTTCGAGCCACCCTGTAATTGCAGTAAAAGTAGTACTTATGTCCATGCCAAAAGGATCTGATGGCAAAAGATCAAGAATGTCCTTATGCACGGAGTCCTGTGAGCCGCACCTATCGCCCCTATCCCTTCCATAATCAAAGCAATTATCAACCTTGTCTGGTATACCCTCAACAAGGTACCCATTTGCAATCCTCATTGGAGAAACCAAATTATCTTCAGGGAGAATACCCGGAAAGAGGGGTCGATGAGAAAAATTCAAGGCCATTCTATATACAAACCTAACCCAAATTTTTCTTTAAATGATATTGCGAGCAAACGCATCCAAACCCGAGTAGGAAAAAGTTAATCAGAGATAAAAACAAAGATAGGGAATTTAGGTCAGAAAATGAAAAGGGGAAAAGGGAAAACCCATAAAGAAAAGGAGATAAAGAGATCTAATCTAACAAGAAAACCCTCAATTTCGGATAGCAGACTAAAACAACGCAACCAAAAATTTCACGGAGTTTCCTGTTCAAAGAAACCTAAAATCAGCTGGAATGAAATTGAAAAAGGGTAGGGTTAATACAATTTCTACTCTTTTTATCTATACAATAGAAAGAAGGAAAAATTAACCAATCAACAAATGCTTCTTTTCTTTTTTTTTTTTTTTCCTTTCTTTTTAAGGGTTTGGAATAAATGGGTTATACTATAAGAACAACCAAAATAAACGAAGATAGATCGAATTAGGAAAAGAATCCGGTACAATTCGTTAATCAAATCAAGTCAGAAATGATTACCACAAATTGGAACAAGAAAACCCTAATTCAGTTCCCAGAAACACAACCGCAATCGACAGATAACACCAGCCGAAGTCCCTTGGTATCGAATCCTCGAAGAAGAAGAAGAAAAGTTTTTGAAAGAGAGGAATTATAAGGCAAAAAGTGAAATAAAAATCTGGGTTGTCTTTTTTTTTTTCTCTTTTTAGCAATTTCTTTTTCTTTTTTTTTTTTGGGTTAAGGATATTTTTCTGGTGGGGAATTCGATCCAAGAAGAGAAGGAGTCTGTCGACCGAGTTGGGAGAGAGAGAGCCGAGAAAACGCGAGAAAATAGAAACAAGAAGGAACCAAAGGAAAGGAAATCAAATCGATAGTGGGGTAAAGAGTAACGGTGAATTTGTCCATCCATCCCAATCTTAGAAGAGAGAGAATGATTTCTTACTGTGTAGACACGTGTCAGTTGAAATTTATATTTTTTTGTATTTTCATAATTTTTTTTTTTTTTTTTTTTTTTTTTGTGTAGACACGTGTCCAGTTTGAAAATTTATATTTTTTTTTGTATTTTCAAATAAATTTTTTTTTTTTTTTTTTTTTTTTTTTTTTTTTTTTTTGAGTTTGACTAGTGTATTAGATGCTGATTTTTAGGTAAAGGTGGACAAATATTGAGAATAATCTTTTAATTTTTCCCAAATAATAAAGCTTAATTATTAATTAAAGTAGATATTTAAGTATTAAATACTGCACTTGTTCCATAATACCTCTCACGTCTCTCGTGAAAATTATTAAATTTATTTAAATTATAATAAATTATTAGGTAAATTAACTATATTACTCTTAATTTAATATTAATTCTTCAAAAAAATCATTAAATTAAAGTAATAAATATTGATTATATAAAAAAAATAAATATGAAAAAAAAATGCTACTCTTTGAAATCACAAATTTAACAAATATTTTGAAATAAATTATTTTTTTAAATGTGATAAATTTCATAGAACGAAAATAGTATGACTCTATCTCGATGATCATATTATAAAGACCAATTTTCTTTTTGGAACAAAATGATTAATCTATATGAGCCATATACGTTACTAAATTAATAATAATAATAACTTCAATAATAATAATAATAATAATAATAATATGGGTTTCTTTCTATTTTTTGACATATTAAAAAAACTAATTAATATAATTTGAAGTTTCAAGAGTCAATTTTACTTTAAATGAACGGAAAAAATTGTTAATAATAAGGCATATTGAATATTGAATAAAACTTATTTTTATTAGATAAATAGTGATAATTTTTTGAATCACAATCAATTATTAATTGTGTGTGAATGTCAAAAAAAATTATTAATTGTGTGTGTGAGAAATAAATACCAAGTATTTTTTATATTTTTTGGATTATTTTTTAGTCTAAGATTAAGTGTTCAATTCATAGTAAATTCTAAAAAATTTAAGATTCTACGATGAAAAGATGATATGAAAAATATTTAAAAATGAAAAATAAACATTTCTTATGTATTAATGGAAAAGCTCTCTTCTAGCTAATAGTTTTACTATTAATTTTAGTAGTTTAATCTTGGAATTTTAAAATTAAGATTTTAGATTATTAATTAAGACTTCTATAAAAAAATTATTAATTAAAAATTATAATATTTTAATCTCAAAATGAATTTGAAATTTTGACACTTCCTTTTTTCTTTTCTTAGTTGCTGACACAACAGCATACGTAGTCTGGAGGTAAGGTTTTATGAACCATCTAAGATAATTAATTAATAAGTTAATGACGCTTTTGGTCGTTTGTTAATCTTTTTTAGATTTGGTAAGCTAAAAATATTTGAAAGATGCAAAATGAAAATTCTGTCTTCATAAGGAAGCAAACTCATCGCCAAGGCGTTGGCTTTGTTGACAGCTCCTCTCCTTGTACGCCATGTCGAGAGCATCGTCTTGTCACCATTTCACTAGGGTAAAATGTCATTCTTGGTTCTTACCTTAAGTAATTTTTTACCGTTTTAAGTTGTAATTTTATCTATGTATTTCATTGTCATCACTTGAGTCAAAAGTCGATGTTACCTTAATATAATATTTGACGGGATATACTTGCTGGCTAAGCCGCATCCATGATTTTACTCATGAAACAGACTAATAAATTTATATAACTTTTTATTTAAATGAGATATTTTTAATCATGCATTTTAAAAAATAATAAGGTATTTTAAATAAAATTGTGCTTTCATTTGTTTGATTTATAAATGGGATCATAAATCTGGTTTAGGCAAGTATTTTTCATATTGAATTATCGATTTATTATTTTTTATCTGACATATTCTTATATTGCATGTTGCCTAATAATTTTCATCAATTTAATCAGTTAAAGAAATGGCTACCCCTTAACGCGTAACTCATTCTATTATTTCAACCATCTAGACATCTTAATGAATTTGTTTGTTCATATCTCTCTTTTTTTTTCTTTTTTTTTTTTTTTTTTTTTTTTTTTACCCATCTAGAACATCTTAATGATGAATTTGTTTGTCATATCTCCTTTTTTTTTCTTTTTTTTTTTTTTTTTTTTTTTTTTTTTGACCTTTAAATGCAGCAAAGGGATAATTTGCATTACGAATCCCCTAAAAAAAATTTTTTTTTTTTTTTTTTTTTTTTTTTTTTTTTTTGACCTTTAAATGCACAAAGGGATAATTGCATTACGAATCCCCTAAAAAAAACACATTAAATTGCAAAAAGGGATAACTAATACTTATCTGATGGGTTATTGACCCATTTGACGAAACGGAAACTGGACAAGAGGGAGACGTATTGGAATAGAAATCCATAGAATTACTTCAATAGCCATGACAAGGAATTCCTGTCTTTTCAACTGCGTGTGACAACAAGAATACTTCATAACGAAGTTCAGAAATACCTCATTTTCTTAGAAAGTATTTCAAATTCTGAAGCTGAAAGCTACAAACATATAAGACAAAACTACCAGGGCCAGAGGCCCTTGTGAACTCCCCATGTCATTTCCTCTTATTCAATAATGCGACCAAATTGTCAAATTTAAGAAGCTTAGGATGCAACCAAAATCTATTCTTGGTCAGAAGAGGATTTATAAGAACAACAGGCCAATGCTAGTGTGTTCAAGACGTGCAGGTGCAGCAAAGTTGTGGCTGTAATTGAATATATACAATGTCAATATCCAGAGTGAATTTTCCGGGACTAATTGGAATCAACCATATGAATCTGCAATACACACCTTTACCGGCGATGCAAACTTTATCCTCACAAAACCACATGCCATAGCAGAAGCAAAAATGGAAAACAAGCATTAATGCTAGAGCAACTTCTCATAAAAGATACTGATCCTTGGGCATGAAAAAGAAATAGAACACCTAAGTATTCCAATTTATCAAATTAAACCTGACACGTCAATAGTAAACCACCAAAATCTCAGCTTGAACATCAAAGCTAAATAAACGATGACAAACAATTTGAAAACTTTTTTATCAAAAACTACAGGATTTCCTTAATCTATCTCTCTCTGTTTTTGGATTTGCTTTTTTCCATTACTTTGTTTTCGGGGGTGAGAACATTGGGTTTGGTTTAGAGAGTGCTGAAAGTGGAGGTCTACTAGTTAATTCCTGGACTTCTTCCTTGATGACTTGGATGAAGGCTTTGATTGTTCCGTAGTTCCCTTGGAAGTTGTAGCTTGGCTTGCTTTTGAATTTGAGGTGCTGGAATTGGTAGCAGTAGCACCAGCATCATGCTTCTCTCTAACTACAGCACCCTGAGATCCTCTTACCTGTGCTGCTCTCTTATCCTTTCTCTTAGGCCTGTAACTGGATCTTTCTCTCTTTGGAAGCCACCTCTCTGGATCTGGCGGAGGACCTGGATTTGCTGGGTCAAATCCTTTAGGGTACCTTGGTTTTCTCTTTCTCTTTTTCTTTGGTTTTTCTTTCTTGCCCTCTTCATGTACTTCAGCAGCCAACACATGAGAACCTTCAACATGCTTTGCCCCAGACGTCTTCTCCAAACTATCCACATCAATCCCTTTGAGACCTGGTAAAGGCTTCAGTTGCTTCTCATAAGCTTCTGCCTTGTCAACATTCACACGAGCAACTGTTCTTACCAGCCCAGCCAATGCCTCTATGCTACCATGGCTTTTAACAAGTTGCTCATACAGGTGGGCAGCATCTTCCTCTCGCCCATGCCTGATCTTGAAGGAAGCAGCTTCTTGCATTATAAGATACAGCTTGTTATCCTCAACCATGGCATTTGACCACCATTTGATAGCAGAATCAAGGACTGAAGATGCACCATCAATATCTCCAGCCCGCTCTTTAAGAGCCACAATGGTGGCAACTGTGGCAGGCATGTGCTGGATATCAGGTATCTTAGCCAGGGAGTCAGCTGCAACTTGAGGATGGCCGGCAGCAGCTGCAACTTGTGCCCTTGCAAGAAGAACAAGCTTGGATTTATCAGGGAACTTTTCAGCAAATTGTGCCAGTATTTCTTCAGCTCTAGCAGCCTTATTCTCCTTGATCAAGACTGCAGATTGAAGCAGCACAGGTATCACACTGTCAGCAAACATGTCTGTCAATGCAGCAACAATTTCCCGTGCCTGTTAAACAATTCCCAATAAATAGAAGTCATTAATAAAGTGCAGAATCCCAGTCCATTATTTTTTATAATGTTATAGAGGAGACAAATGGCTTGCAAGTTAAAAAAAGCAAAAAGATAAATGGAATACCTGGTCCATCTTATTCGCATGGAGAAGTAAAAGCACCCGATTAGCATATATAGTTTCTCTTTGTTTTGGAGAAAGCTTCTCCAGTCCACGAGCAAGCTGGAAACCCTGTGCATCTTTTTCTTTAAGCCGATCAAGCTTCCTCAGGTTATCAGAAACATCTCTCGTTCCTTTCAGAGAAACAAGATTGTTGATCGCCACAGCAAAAGATGATTCATCTGCCAGATTCCGGTTAATAATGTCTGTATAAGCTTCCATTGCCTCTTGTGAGCGTCCCAACAGCTGATAAAATAAGCTATTGCATCATTGGCTATTTGACAAATCCCAAATCACAACAGTAAGCCATTCGCATTATTTCATTGTTTTACCTGCTGAACATATGCCAATTGGACAGCTATAGGAGCCAATTCAATCTCTATATCATCCTCAGCCAAGTTGTCATCCATCAATGTTTCCTGACCAATCCTGACAGAAATATGGAAAGAAGCATATTAGTCTTTGAAAAAAATTATAGGTCAAAGAATAATTTATGCTAAAAAGTTTGATTTAAGAGGAAAATTGTGCAAACATTGCTGAGATGTGTCCATTGCAAAAAATGAACAAAGACATTTCATCAACCGGGGAGAAAATTATAAAATTAATGCTTCTTTTACCATTCCTCCTATGCCATATTCAATCATGAAAGCCAGCGGACAAAGAGGCAAGGGCTAGTCATACCATTCTCTAACAAAGAGAAAAAGGTTTCAAAAAATTCATCTATTTGATTGATGAGTCATAAAAAAATTCATGTTCGTACGGTTATTAAGACTATAAGAAGGAATAACCGAATTGACTAGCTAATTCACTCGTAATATTCAGCACAGAATAATGCTTTATTTGTTATGTTCTAGAAAACTGATTATTCACTAGCACTAACTAATGCCAAAGAAAAATAATATGAGAATCACATGAGAAGCACTTTGTGTTCAGTGATAAAAAGGTAGTATGCGCATCACCTTCGGGCTGTCAGCAATAGTTGTTCTGCATCTTTATACTTATTTCTTTCGATCAAAGAACAAGCAGTGTTGTATGCCAACTCAAAGCTGCTAGATGCTTTAATTCTCTGTGCTTCCATCAACCCTTGCACTTCAGAAGATCTCCCACCCAAAATCAAACCAGCAACCAGGTTAATTTCTAAGGAATCAATCTTGGATTTTTGAAGCTTTTGATAGATATCAACACAAGCATCCATTTTTCCCATGCGAAAGAGAATCTGAGATTCTAACAGCATGGTTTCAGTATTTCTCTCTTGGCCTTTCAAGGACTCCAAAGCTTCATTCAACTTGTTCTGTCTGTACAAACAGTATGCCTGTTCAGAGGAAAACGAAAGCCATATAGTTTAAATTAGAAACTTTGACAGCCACATAATATTGCTGTCTGGTCCCATCTAACATGAATCTTGAAATAAGCGTTTCCCCTATTTTTGCAGAGAGGCAGTTGCCACGGATCAAATATAAGACCTCCAGGTCACAAGTCGAATACCACCAAAGCTACCCTCTCAATCTGAGTCTTGATATCACAGCACAGAATTCAAACTAAGCAAGCACCAACATGAAATGACAAGACAAAAAGACTTCATTCCATTACAAACACCTATAAAGAAGCAAACTAAAAGAACTAAAAGAAACCATACAGATCATGCACCAAAGAACTAAAAAATAAATGATTTCTGCTGTCCTTCGGTCTTTCTTCTTTTACATCTTCCAATGAATTATTATTCTACCGGTTATGCATACTTAAACTATAATTAACATTTGCCAAATAGTAAATGCAATATAAGCAGCCAAAAGTTCCTAAAAGTAAGTAAAAATTCTCCTTTCCATTATTAATAAATATCTGGCCAAAATTATATAAACCAATACGCGTTACTAACCAGAAAAAACAAACTACATTTAAGTTTAGAACATATGGAGAAGCTCAATTTGGCCTACCTTGACAAAACTGAAGTCAATAGGAACTCTCTGAGCTGCCTGAATCGTTGAAAGTGCATCGTCAATGCTATCAGCCTTTATCAATGCCACAACTTTGCATCGAATTGCGTCCTCATCGGCAGGAGATATACTAAGAACTGTATAGTAACAACTGATACTTTAATATTCAAAGACCAAACTATACAATGTAACAGTTTAAAAAAAAAAAAAAAGGAATGTTGGAATCTATAAATGGACCTTGATCTGAGACTTTGACGGCTTGCTCGTAATCGGATCGCTGGATATGTTTGTTCAGGGTAGTGAAAAGATCTTCGATTGCAGGCGGAGGCTGCGACGGCGACGGTAAGGGTTTTCCTTTGTCTTTGGGCTTAGGAGCCATGGTAATTTTCTCGGAAAACAAACAGGAAACCGGGAGAGAAAACGGAAGTAGCAGATGAGAAAATGGAGATTAGAGTAAAAAGCAAATGGGGTTCTTTTGTTGTCTCCAACTCCGCCCGACTCGTAATTTGGCTTGATAAATTCTGGGCCGTTGATGTAAATGGGCCACATTAAAAGGTTTGGGCTCTATAAATGTAGTGGTTTAGGGCCTTTGGGCTGCTTACCTCTTCATTTGCAGTTTGAAAAGCAGCTCCTAATATATCATAAAAAAATATTGGGAAAAAAAAGAAAGATATGGACTTCTTAATAAAAAAATAAAGTAAATCTAACACATGTATGTCATGATTCGTCTCATTAAGGGCTCCAAATGAATTGAGCCAAGCTCTGTGACCTCGAGTATGGGCTGGCTCGTAAGTTGTATTCAAATTTGATCAAATTTAAAAAAATAAATTCAAGTTTGCCTCATTTACAATTTTAAAATTAAAAAAAAATATTATTTATAAATTTAAAATTTATACTCTAATTCGAATTTAGCTAGTAATTGATTAAACTTATTAATAATTTTGAACACACATGGAAAAGAATTTGAATTTAAATTCTCCATTTTTTTATAAAAGGAAATAAAATATATAAAAAAAATAAATAATAGGTCAATATGTTATTTTCTTTCCAATTTAAAAAGAACGTGAGAAAAAAATAACTGAAACTATTATTTCACCCTTATTTATTATATATATATATATATATATATATTTTTTAAATGAGGTTAATTAATAATTTTATTATTTAATAAATTAGTTTTTCCTTCCCACTTTCCTATTAACCCTATCCAAAGCAAACATAAAGGCTCTATTAGACAAATACAATTTTTATTAATTTTATTTATATTATAATAATTAACTAAACATTAATATATCCAAACTATATCAATAAGAATAAGGAAATAAAATATTTTATTTTCTATTTTTTCTTTCTATAATTTATCTCCTCCCCTAAATTTTTATCCCCAACAAGTTCCGTTTTTATTATTTATAAATTAGTTTTCCTTCCCCACTTTCCTATAACCTATCCAAACAAACATAAAGGCTCTATTAGACAATAACAATTTTATTAAATTTATTTATATTATAATAATTACTAAAACAATTAATATATCCAACTATATCAATAAGAATAAGGAAAATAAAAATATTTTATTTTCTATTTTCTTTCTATAATTTATCTCCTCCCTAAATTTTTATCCCAACAAGTCCGTAAGGAATTATGGGCTAGCGCGTAGAGACCTAGGCCATGGGCCTTCTCAGTCATAACAATCAATCAGCAACCATGAAGCATTAATCGATATGGCCGGCCCTGTAAATCGTATGCCTGAAGCTCTCTGATCATTATTTTGAATTTTAGCAATTTTTTTTTATCATGCCATTATAAAAGCTTGGCGTCAATTTTCATTAATTTTCCGCCCAGAGCTTCCCTGAAACCAAAAAATTTCCCTCCCAATTGCCGTTGGTGAAGAAATGATGGAAGGTCAAGGAAACTGCGAGAAAACGACAAACAAACAGAAACAGCGAAACCAGAATCTACTCGCCTTCACCGGCGCTGCCGCTTTACTAGCTCTCACTGTTAGCTTCGCTATCTCCGCCTTCAATTCCCATCGCAAAAAGTCAAAGAAGAAAGGTCATTGCCTTGCCTCTCTTTCGACTTCTATTATCTTTCTCAATTTCCTCTGAAAGTAGAAACACAAGTTTGAATATGATTCTGACTTTATTTGCTCTGAGTCTGAGCATTTATTGGTTTTAAATAGATCTTCCAGGTTCAACAGTTCACATCAATCTTTCTGCGTCTGAGATTTTGAAATTAGCTAATCGAATAATTTCCAAGTCAAAAGAGGTTCACGACGCAGTTGCTTCTATACCTCTTGACAAGGTAAATTCACTGTACATTTATTAATTTTGACTTATATTAATTGTTCTGTTATTGTTGCTGTCTGTTTTCTGTACTTGCTCAGCTACTGTGTTGACATATGCAGGTCACTTATGCTAATGTTATCGCACCGCTAGCAGATTTGGATGCACAGCATTTTCCACTGATTCAGTCTTGTGTGTTCCCTAAGTTGGTATCTCCTTTGGAAGATGTGCGCAAAGCAAGTGCCGAAGCTGAGCGGAGAATAGATGAGCACATTTCTACATGCAGGTTTCATTTACTTATTCCAATCATTGTTTACTACATTTCCATCCATAGTTTTGTTGAAACACGTTAAGTAATATATATCAGCTATATTGTCGTTAGGTGCTTGTGACAGACTGGAATTGGTACATGGCAATAATACCAAAAGGTTGAGTGGTGATTTTTTTTTTTTCTTAGTCATTTTTTTAAGAGAAAGGGAGATGTGGGAAATGTTGTAATCGTGTTAAATAAGATGTTTTCTTGATGGCATTAGTGAGAGAGATCACCACTTGATAGCATATTGAGCTCTTGCTTGGAACTCTAAATCCTAAAAAAGAGTCAACGCTTGGTAAAGCCATAATTAGAGGCTACTAGAAAAGCTGTGGATGTGTTTAATATGGGGTAAGCTTTCCATACTTTAATATAAGATAACTACGAATATGCTTGCTAATAAAGCAAGCATGTAATCAATGGTTCAAGCCAGATTTGGTTAAATATTAAGTTGGTGCAAGGCTTTTATGTTGATATTATTCAATTGTTTAGGAGTAAAAGTCTACCTTTTACACTAAATGCAATCAACATTATCATCAGCCTTATCTGTGGTGCAATCAAACTGGTTAGATAGGCATTTACTAAAGAGCATTAGATGAAACATTATGGCTTCATCACGCACGAAATTAACACTGTCCTGTTTCATGCAAGTGATCAGTAAACGTGAAGATGTATATCGTGTTGTGAAGGCTTTTGCTGTGAAAGGGGAATGGATGAGTCCTGAAGCAAAACATTATGTTAAGTGCCTGGTAAGGAGTTTAACATTTTATTTTCATGCTTGGAACATTATTTACTATGATATACTTTATGAACTGGCTTGAACCTGCAGATCAGTTGGCATTTTTATTTAGAACTTTAACATCTTGTAGTCCTCGAAAATTTCATTCAGTTGAACAAATTGTTCAATTCAAATATTAATTTTTTTCCTGATTGTGACAGGTTACTGACTTTGAACGGAATGGTCTGAACCTTACTGTTACTAAGAGAGAGGAAGCTCAACGCCTGAGAGCTCAAATTGATGAGTTAAGCTTACGATATGTCCGAAATTTGAATGATGATAGCACTTATCTTCTTTTCAGTGAGACTGAGCTGGTTGGATTACCAATAGAGTACCTGAAGGTTATTTCTTGTTAATTCATTCTTTCTCCCTGTCTCTCTGTGGTACGAGGGATGAGCATGGTTGTGGGAAGGCTCACTCTTTCTAAATGGCTCAGCTTTAATTCGATCCTGATTCATAAATTATTTAGGGAACTGATGGGCTCTTTTTTCCCCTTCGTTCTAATATGCTCAATACTCAAACATATAAATTCACCAGGTTTATTTTTTTAGCTGTTTGCTTAGGTGGTTGACTCATAAAATGTGTGCATGTGCTAATAGTAGAGGTGGTTGCCTGATAATTTGAGCCCCTAAAGTTTAATTTTTGAAAGATATTGCACAAGTTGATCTGGGCATTTAGTTGACTAATGGTGGATAATTTAATTAAGTGGATGCTCCAGATGTGGATCTTAATGCATAGAACATACTAAGTATGTTTTGGAACTCGCCTTCTTCAGACGAGCTTCTATAACAGATCCATAGTTGTAATGTTTATGCTTTCTTTTAGGAAAACCTTTTTTTTAAAAACCTTAAATAGAGATTCATTATTTCAAAAGGAAATGCCAAAGAAGCTACTGATGTTTATGGAGAAATTCTATGCTGCTTATCTATGATAATTGAACTGAATTTTCATTAACAATGTTGTCTTTCAATGGCATGGATTTTTCTCCTTTGCAGAGCTTGGACAACAATGAAAATGGTAAATATAAGGTTACAATGAAAAGTCATCATGTTGTAGCGCTGCTGGAGCTTTGCAAGGTATGATATATTATTATGGTTCCTTATTTTGTGCCTCACACCCTTAGTTGGGCTTGAATTCTTGATTACTTGCTGTAAGTCGTGTTGCACTTTACACAACTTTTCTTATTAGGACAATATTTTATTGTGAAAATAATTGAAAATTGAGGACTCATGCATCGATCAAATGTGTTGGGAACAATTTGACTTATATAAAATATAGAACAGAGATTGTTGATGTTCTTTGTACAACCTTGCTAACTCCTTACATTCTGATTTTGGACAAGTGAGGTCCATTCTTCTGTTCAGAATTCAAACAGCAGAGAGAATTGTGTGGTGGGGTGGATGACAATTGTGAGGCACTTCAACAGCAGAGAGATAAGGGGAGGAGGGTGAGGAATAGGAGGTATAGAACTGCAAAATAACTAGCAATAGAAATTATATTGAAGGGTATTCTGGCAGGAAAGTAAAATTCAACTTGATCAAAATTAACCTTTTGAAATATTTTATGGGTAAGGAATATGATAAGAATTAAAGAATTGCTCTTGCCAATATTATCACACAGAATAATGCTACATCCAATTCGCAATGATCAAATATTCAGTAGACAGCACCGGATACATAAAGTTCCACTTTGTTTCATTGTGGCCATTGACCTTAGAAGTGTCTTTAAAATTCAATTTTTGAGCTTATTGTTTTTTCTTTCTTGTAATCTGATTTGGTTACCTTTATGATATTTATTTTAAAATTGTGAAGGTAGGAACAACGAGGAGGATTGTTGCTACAACATATGGGAAGAGGTGTGGAGAAGTCAATCTCTCTGTCTTAGAACGTTTGGTAAATGTAGTTTCTTTTGTTATTTATAAACATCATAAATGTTTATATTACCAATACAATTGACATTTTGCCACTGTTACAATCATTTGTATCTTTAATTTTAAGTTCATTTGTGATGAAAACTTATTATAATTTTTTTTCATAGCCAAAACTGTACTTAGAACTTGAAATCTTGAAATCTCTAAGAAGTCTACTTGCATTTGAAATGGCAATAGCCTTCGTATCAGAATCGTCCGCTTATGCTTATTTATTTAAGTTGTTTTATAAGTCTTTTATAATGTGTTTTAACTACAAGCACATAAAACAAGTCAGCCTATGGTATTTAGGTTGAATTGCGCCACAAGTACGCAAGGCTATTTGGCTATTCAAACTATGCAGATTACGCTGTTGACCTTAGAATGGCAAAGACATCCTCAAAGGTTTGCACAATGTTTTTAATTTTCTTAAAGCATATCTTTAATTTTTTTTTTTTTTTTTTTTCCCATTGAAGTAAGAATAAAGTTAAAGAAGTGATTTTATGGATTCTGATTTATCTCTCGGTTTTCTCTGTAATGAATCAGGATGGTTGATTGTTTTAGCTATACCATCTTATTGTTTGTCCTATTTCCTGATATTTTATTCTCGACCCTTATCTTCAAATCAGGTTTTTGAATTCTTAGAGGATATCTCTGCCAGTTTAACTGACATGGCAACCAGAGAACTCAACGTGTTGAAAGATTTAAAGGTAAGAATACGTTTGACCCATTATTTCCTGTGCAAAGTTTATCTATTCCAACTTATTCTTTTTATGTTTTCATTTTTCTGGTGTCATGATGCATCAGAAGAAAGAGGAAGGCGAGATTCCATTTGGAATTGAGGATCTATTATACTATGTGAAGAGGGTTGAAGAAAAACAGTTTGATCTGGACTTTGGAGTACTCAGGAAATTCTTTCCTGTCAATTTGGTTCTATCTGGGATATTCAAAATAGTGCAAGACCTTTTTGGTAATCATATCTAGCTTTTAGAGTGTTCTCCTAATTTATTATTGGTGCATACTTAATGAAGTCAGGTTAAATGTTCATCTTATATGATAAATATTTATAATCACTTCCCTATCTTTGTATCCTACAGGATTAAGATTTCAAGAAATGTCAGACCCTGAGGTTTGGCATAGTGATGTTAGTGTCTTTTCAGTATTGGACTTAGGTTCTGGTGAACTCTTGGGCTTTTTCTACCTTGATTTATACAAAAGGTAAGCTCATTATTTTGACTTCTCAATGTATTCTTTGAGTTTACTTCTGTTGTTGAGAGAAATAGGATTGCTTTATATAACAGGGAAGGAAAATATGGTCATACTTGTGTGGTGGCTCTGCAAAATGGTGCATTACTATCTAATGAAGCACGGAAGGTGATATTTTTGGATTCCTACTCTGTGAAAATTTAAACGTTGAAACTTTCTAGTTTCTAAACACTAATTTATTCTGCTTTGGATTGTGTATTCAAATCCAACAGCTCACTTCACGATTTATGGGATAAATTCTATTGTCCTAAAGGAGCCGTTTTTTGTGGTTTTTTCAAGCATTTATACTCGTTCTCATTGCATTGACCAACTTTCTAATTGCTGTTTAGTATCAGTCCCTTTGAGTTGAACAAAACACTTGTTATAGGACCATTGGTTTGGGAAACAATGGTATTCTGGATTTCACTGGGCTTCACTTTAGTAGCATTCACAGGCTTGCAATCTCCTGCTTTGAAATGGAAGGATTTACAATGCTTCCCTCTCTACCTTCCTTTTCCATGGATACATCTTCGATATTGCTTTTTAATTGACTCGGCTTTGCATGATAAACTTGCTTAAGTAGTTAGTTATCTACTGGATCACATACAGAAAAATGAAGATCTTTTTAATGTCTTTTTTTTTTTTTGGTTTCCATATCATATTTTTGATATATCTTCTATGATTCAAAGTATTGCTTCCTTCTTTGTTTAGGTTTGCATATTTCATGAATTATAAGTATCAAAAAATGCTTTGTTTTTATAAGTTAAGCTCATTAATGCTTGGTTTGATGTAAGTAGATTCCAGTAGCATTATTTATATCTCAACTGCTTAAGGATAGTGGTGGTCATCCCAGTTTATTGAGATTCTCTGAAGTGGTTAGCCTTTTCCATGAGTTTGGCCATGTGGTAAGTTGATTCTGTTTCATGCCATTTCTTTTTGGACATGTGATAACTTCTGTTGCAGTAGTAACTGAGATAAAATCAGGATATATTCCTTGAATTTTATTGATAATGCAGGTCCAACACGTTTGCAATCGTGCATCATTTGCCAGATTCTCAGGGTTGCGTGTTGATCCCGACTTTGTGGAGATCCCTTCTCTGGTGTTAGAAAACTGGTAAGTAGTTTTATCATATTTGACCATATTCTGAATGGGCAGAACACAACTTACTTTCCTGTGCTTATTTAATGTTCTAGGTGTTATGAGAGCTTCTCTTTAAAGTTGATATCAGGTTTCCATCAGGTAATGATTCATTTTGTGAATCTCTTATTGTGAAATCCTTGACAGATAATATACTCTTCCTCCTTACCAACTTTATGAGAAAAATGGGGACAGAGGCATGGTCATCTTCCCTTTCTCTCATTATGGTGTCCCTCTGTATCCACATGAGAGAGAGAGTGTGTGTCTTTTTGTGGGTCTGTATGTTTGTATGTAAATATACGTTTAGACACAAAGCTGAAAAGCGTTCCAAATGAACCTTCCAGATACGCTTTTGTCAATTTTGGTTGTATTTGATATTCCGCTATTCGTGATCTATAGGATATTACAAGGCCCATTAATGATGAAATATGCAAATTGCTTAAAAGATGGCGATATTTCTTTTCTGCACTTAAATTGAAGCAGGAAATCCTTTATTGTAAGTCTACTGTATCTTTTTTTTCCCCTAACTGGTGTTTTATTGAATTGCTTGAGACATCATCCTTGAAACTTGTGCAGGAACATCTAATAGGTTTCAGATGTTAGTTTGAGATGTTCACATAATTGTCTGGTTACTCTTTATAGTATAATCTTCTGAAGTTTTCAAGGTGAAGGTAAATTGGAATTGTTCATAGATACTTAGTAAATGATTTGCTGGGCATCCAGCTGAGCTGATGCCTGTGTTTGTTGGGAAGCAGTGGAGTGCATTGTTAGGACTGTCCTGGCATCCACAATTGCCTCCACACTTAGGAATATACCCATAGCAGCTCTCTATTCATGGAAGGAAAAAAAAGATTATTTTGGTGGATATTCTGGGTGGCTGGGATAATGATACTTTTGCCATAAAAAAGATTCAAGGGGGATAACTTGGATCTTGGTGCCTAGTAATTTATGTTAGAAATCATGGAAACAATAAATGGCTAGTAAATATGAAGTCTTTTTTTGTGAAAACTGGTGCTAAACCTTCCTCATTTGTTTATCCAACTTTTACCTGCGCGTATAATTGTCACATGCATCCATGCATTCCACATGAAATAGTTCATGCGGTATCTGGATATAATATGATGACTTTCTCCATCATACAGCATTATTTTGGCAAAAGAAATATTAAATTGAACACTGAAGACATATACTGATTTTATGTTGAAGGATCGGTTATGAATGGTAACAGTTATGCCAGATTGTTCCTTCCTACTATTAGTGACTCAAAAGTATATGTATTATGACATCTTTGTCAAATTATGAATTGCCCCATCCTATAATCTAGCATGACTCTTATGTGTGTGTTGTCCAGGTCTTTTTGATCAAATTATACATTCTGCTGACAATGTTGACATTGTCGAGTTATTCAAGCATCTTCACCCTAAGGTAAAAGGACTATACATGATTATGCTGTAAAGTTCGTCTATAACTTGGATATTCCTACCGGTGTCCCCACCAAATGCGATCTAATAAGAATCTGTTTGACTTTGATTGTCCAGGTTATGTTAGGTCTGCCAATGTTGACTGGGGCCAACCCAGCTTCATGTTTCCCACGCAGTGCTATTGGTTATGAAGCTGCTTGTTACAGTCAGATTTGGAGTGAGGTTTAGAACACTTTTATAAATTTTCAAATGCATATCTAAAGACTATGTTAACACTTTTTACGGCTTGCCACATTGCTTCATTTTGTGACTCTGTTATGGAGGCGTCATTTCCCCATCAAAATTATTACTGATTCCTTAAATGCCTTTCAGGTCTTTGCAGCTGACATATTTACCTCAAAATTTCATGAAGATCTTTTGAACCACAATGTTGGCATGCAGTTTAGAGACAAGGTAATTTTGTTAGCGTGCAATTTTATTTGTTATTATTTTAAAAAAGCTGAGTCTTAAGTTCTCATTTTGTTTCTTTGAAGGCTTATGTACCACTTACAGGAGTATGTGGATCTCCATGTGCTTCTTTGTGAATGAACCTGTTAAACTTTGATGGTCTACTTTTGTTCTTTTCGACCTTTATCTTATTCAATTTCATGGCAGGTACTGGCCCCAGGAGGAGCAAAAGAACCAATTGAAATTTTATCAGATTTCCTTGGAAGAGAACCATCCATTCAAGCTTTTATTGATAGCAGGGCCGAATATTTATGATGTCAATGTCAAATATTTAATGAAAATTAGCAAGGTTTGCAATCGAAATTGTCTCATGGCATCTGTTGGTTTTGGTTTTCTGCAGAAGTAACCTTTGCTTTATTTATTTAATTTCGGTTTAGGTATGTTTCTATATTTCTGTATATAATAAAGTTTTGATGCATCCATAGAATCCCTTCAGAAAAGTTTCGAGTTTCAAGCTTTAGATGCTAGGTTGCATTTGTTTGCTGCAGGTAGATCAAAAGAACTTAGGACTCTTTCCTATTTTCACTAGTTGATAAGGAAATATTTATTTCTATTAAGCGGATTAATTTCTTTGGATATATTTAATTATAGGTCAAGTTGGTTGCTATCGCCTATTAGTAATTATTTTACAATTTACATTTTATTATAGCTTGTCAAACAGGTACTTAAATTATGCAATTTCGAGGGCTCAAAAGCACATGATACGCAATTTCTCAGTAGGTAAGCAGAGGCTGCTGGTCCGCTATTGTGGACCCACCAAATTGGTCATGGTGAAGGAATCCCCATAGGACTTAAATTAATGTTCACTTGCCAATGGAGGTTATAGATTGACCTTTCTTCAAAAGGGGACCAACTTTGAGCATTTCAAAACTTGGTATGGGGGAAGAATGGTATGTGAAAGTGAGAACAACTATACCTATCTAAAGGTATTTCTGTTCTTGGGATCTCCAAAAAATATGGTAATGCTTTTTCTCAAATATTCCTTGTGGTTTGAAATTATTCTAAGTTTATATAAAACTTTTTTGGTATTGATTTGAAAAAAGGTCATTTTAAATACTGTTGAGGAAAAACAATTTGGAATGTTGTGTGCTTTTGTAACTTTCACAATTAATAAATAATGAAATTCATCTTAATCATTTTTTTAATTAAAATTTTCAATGAAATGTTTTTTTGCAACAACAGCTCAAATAGCAATTTTGAATTCATATGATCAGCCTAAGCTGTAAGCCAGTGTTCTCAAATCGCAGCCATGGAAAATTGAAGGCAGATGAAAATTTCGTAGCTTATTTTGTTCACTTTTGGAAGTGAAAGAAGAGTTAGTGTCAATGGGTGGGACCATTGTGATAGCTAGAAACATTCCTATTAAATTTATGAATTGATAAATATAATTAAAGATTTTAATTTTATCGGTTGAAAAAATAAAAATAATTTAATTTTGATTGGTTATATTAATTTTTTATTTAAATTTGAATTTCATTGATAAGCTAAAAAATTCTATTACATGCTAAATAAAGTATATATAAATATTTTAAATTTTATTGGTTGAAAAAATAAAAATAATTTAATTTTGATTGGTATATATTATATTATATAAGATATAAATATGATAAGAATATGATATATTTAATTATTATTTGATTGGTTATCATGCATGCGACAGGATTCATAAACTTAAAAAAAAAAAAAAAAAATTCGGTTTTAAAATTATTTTGGTACGAGATCGTTCGTTGTTAGTTCCGCGTCTCTTCTTTTAGGCTACTATATATTTTCGTTCTTATTATTCTAGACTATAATATTTTGATGTAAAAATATATTTTCAGTACAGTCATGCATGAACTATAATTTTTTTCAAAAAAAAAAAAAAGAATTTAAAAATTTTAAAACTAAAAAAATATTTATAAATTTCAATGCCACGAGTTTCTAAGGGTTTTGTAATATTATGCCCTTGCTAAGTTACTGTGCCATATAAAAAAGTTTAGATAAAATATCGATCTTATTCAAATAAAATTGAAAGGAATTATTTACTTCCGTCTTACCATAATATAATAATAGACTCACTTTATTTACATTTCAAAAACATTTCACATTGTTTTAGTTTAATCATTTTGTACAATTAATATTAATTAAATATTGAAATAAAAAGTTATTATTATTGCCACTTATATTAATTAATTCCATAACTTTAATTGCCTTCATCATTTTATTAATATTAATTAAAGTGTAAATTAAGAAAAATTAAATAAAATTTGTAATTTAATCATATTAAATACTTCCACCGTTTTATTTTATTTACATGGTTTGATAAAATATACATATTAAAAATTCAGTCAATAAAAATTATTTTATCTTTTTTTATCCATAATAACTTGTTAAAATACTAAAAATTTTTTCAATTATAAAGATTATTATCGAAAAAATAATTATTTATATATTTAAATTTAGAAATGCAAACATCCAGACAAAAAATAACATGAAAGAGAAAATATATTTTTCTAATTTAGTTAATAATATCTTTTATTTTGAGATAAATGGAGCAACTTCTCAACGGGTGAAGTGTTATAATAACGTGTTTATCATTTTTCAATCATTAAATTCAATTTGTATTGAGATCAATAAAATCGTTATTATATATGCATATTGATAAGTAAAACGACGGATTTTAATTAACAAAAATTAAAATTTTATAATTCTAAGTCAAAACTTGGAGGTGTCGAAGTCTTCTTTCCTGGCTTTGAATTTGCAGTCTCTGTTACCTTCGTTTTGACTGAGCTCTCAAAGTTAATTACTGATTAGCACATAAAAGTAGACGAAAACAGAAGAAAACAAATAATACTAGAATAAAATAAAAGGAGTTAACTTTCCCAGTCAACAAACACCAACGAGAAAGTTTGAATTCTGGGTCTGTAAGGACATGCTGCATACCCATCAATCATGAGGAAGGCTTTTCTTAGTTTATTCTATAATCTTTTTCATCTCGGCTTTCTCCTCTCTCTCTTCTCTATACCTCTGTTTTTTTAACTTGCAAGTGCTTTTATTTCCAATTTTTTGATTGTCAGCATTAGCTTATTTAATAGCATTCGCTGATTATGGTAGCCTTTAATTCAGGGAAGCTGGTGGATAAGGGAATGTGGTGAATAAATCGTCTTTAATAAAAGGGTTTCTTTTCTTTTTTTTTTTTCTTTTAAATTTCATTTTAGAAAATTGGTTGCTGATCTGTGCTTAGGGAGACTTGAAATTTTTGGGTTTCCCAATTCTAGTCAAAAAGTAGGGATTTTGGATATTGGGTTTTTTGTGAAGAGGGAGTGAGGGAGAAGGCATAAAGTTGGACAAGGGTTTCTGTTTTGCTTTGAGTGAGACTGTAGAAATCAGGGAGTTCACCTTGATGTGTGGGTCGAGAAGTGAGTTCGCTTTTGACTTTGTGGATGAGAAGGAGAGTTTTGGCCGCTTATTTGCTTGCTGTTCTTGGAAGTACAGATTAAATTAGCTCTTTGGTTGGGTTAAAATCATTAGTTATTTACTTCCATTTCTCTCCAAGTGGGTTTTACTTCAATTTGATGATTATGAGAAATTTGGATTTGGTTTTTGTTTGATGGATTCTCATTAGTATTGGACTGGGTATTGAAGATTTTTGGTATCAGTGTTGTGTTTCTTTCAGAAGGTAGTCTTTTGCTTGTTTATGTAAATTATGTTAAAGCAGATACTCAGTAAGCTTCCACGAAAGTCGTCTAAATCGACTGAACATCGTGATTATGGTGGAAGTCTGGTTGGTGATTCCAATGCTTCCACTGGCTTAAGAAGAAGTGATTTAGGGGCTAGTAAGTCAGTGAAGTTGAACATCACATCTGTGGCACCGAACAGTTCTGCTTCAGATACAGGACAAAACCATGGTAACAAGATTCAGCGAGGTGTAAGTTTGAAGCAGAATGGGAATCTGGGGTTTTCTTCTTATGAAGGATTGCCTGCCTTCAGGGACGTTCCTAATTCTGATAAGCAGAACTTGTTTATAAGAAAGCTCAACCTGTGTTGTATTGTATTTGACTTCACTGATCCCACAAAGAATCTTAAAGAAAAGGAGATCAAGCGACAGAATTTGTTAGAACTAGTAGATTATATAACTTCTGTGAATGGAAAATTCACAGAAACTGTTATGCAAGAAGTTATAAAGATGGTGGCTGCAAATTTGTTTAGGACGCTCACTCCTCAACCACGTGATAACAAAGTTGTAGATGGTGTTGAGTTAGACGAGGAGGAGGCTTCTATGGATCCTGCATGGCCGCATTTGCAGCTTGTGTATGAGCTTTTCTTGAGGTTTGTGGCATCATCTGAGGTGGAGGTAAAACCAGCCAAAAGATACATCGATCAATCCTTCATTGTCAAGATGCTGGATTTATTTGATTCTGAGGATCCTAGGGAAAGGGAATACTTGAAAACCATTCTGCACCGTATTTATGGCAAATTCATGGTGCATCGACCATTTATCAGGAAAGCTATTAATAACATTTTCTTTCAATTTATTTTTGAGACGGAGAAGCATAATGGGATTGCTGAATTTTTAGAGATTTTGGGTAGCATTATTAATGGGTTTGCTCTGCCACTGAAAGAGGAACACAAAATGTTCCTTGTTCATTCTCTAATTCCTCTGCACAAGCCAAGATGCTTGGCAATGTACCATCAGCCATTGTCATACTGCATTAGTCAATTTGTGGAGAAAGACAGCATGCTTGCAGATACTGTAATAAGGGGTTTGTTAAAGTACTGGCCTATCACCAATAGTTCAAAGGAAGTCATGTTTCTGAATGAGCTGGAGGAAATTTTGGAAGCAACCCAGCCATCAGAATTTCAGCGTTGTATGGTGCCCCTGTTTCAGCAAATTTCTCAATGTTTGAATAGTTCACACTTTCAGGTAATATGTCTCCACATGTTTTTGGTTATATTCTGCTTTAATTTTTGTATGAAAAAGGCTTCTCTGCCTTAGTATGTTTAAATTCTTTTGCTTAGTTGCAAAGGTAACTTTTATGAAACATGCTTAAACTCTTTTATCATTCCAACTGCAAAGAGAATTGTGCAGTTAGATTCTGAATGCTTTAATTACGTTTCTCTCAGTTTCATTTATCATGTCTATACTGTTGGGAAATGGTTAGTCAAATATAAATCCAGATTGTTCTCTCTCTTCTTTGTGTTGTTTCCTATGTTGTGATCCTACCTAATCTTAATCTCTTTTTTAATGTATTTATTCCTATGTGGGTTAAGTGAAGGCTCATGTAAATCATGAAAAGTATTAGTGAATAGTGTCAACTACTTGGGATTTGCTAGTTTTTTGCTTTTGGTGTTCATATTTTAATATTTGCATTTCTTGTGTGCGAATTCATGTTCGTTGAGTTCTCTTGGGAGATTCTCACAGAAAAGCTTGAAGTTCATATTTATTTCCTGTTAGAAAAAAGAAAGAGGACAGAACCCGGAGTATTCCACCAAGAAATTTAGATATTATCAATATATTGTGCCATACTGGCATTGAGTTGACTGCTAGTTGACAGCTTGTTTACAGCTTGTTTACCATGTAGGAGGTCAGAATAAGACTTGAAAGTAACAAATTGTTGGAGAGCATTGGATTATTTTAAAGATGAATCTTTCTAATGTCTGAACCTAAATTTTATTGATTATGATCTCAGGCTACAAAGTTTAGGGAAAGTATGCTAAATTAATGAAGCTGGGGTTTTGTTAATAAAGATCAAGCTGGGCAAGACTCAGAGCAGATCCTGTTGGTTTATGAGTTCTGATGTTATATTATGAGAGTCCTGCTTATGAACCTGGTACAACAAACCGTTTTCGGTGCTCATTATACCATGATTTTTCTTACTGGTTGATCCATGTATATGTCCAATATTAGATAGTAGTCTTATGTGATTCTCTACATAATTTGAAAGAAATATGGTGCAAAAAAAACAAAAAAAAAACCCCCCTCTTTTCTTCTATCTTTTTGGGATGTGATTAGTGCTGTTGTAACCAATTGTAAATAGTTGGTGCGTTGCATTCCAAATGTAAAAAATGTCCTATGATAAGCCTGAGATTAAGCTGTATACGCTAATAGAAGGGAGCAGAATTAATTGTGGCCTAATAGAGAAGTTACAGATATCATGTAGATGGATTTGAGTACTTCTGTGCAAGGCTGTAGCTGACAGCCTTAGATTTCTTTGGAATTGCCTAATCTTGTCTTTTGGTATTGACTTGATAAAATGATAGCTTCCTTTCTTCAGCTTCTCAATTTCTGAATCGGCTATTTAAGTAATACTTGCTGTTTTAGGTGGCAGAAAGAGCATTGTTCTTGTGGAACAATGATCCCATTGAGAACTTGATCATACAACACCGAAAGGTTATACTGCCTATTATCTTCCCTGCTCTGGAACAAAATGCTAGAAGTCATTGGAACCAAGCTGTCCGTAGCTTGACTTTGAATGTCCGTAAGATTTTTGACGATCTCGATCCTGAACTGTTCAATGAATGCTTACTTAAGTTTCAAGAAGCAGAAAGGAAGGAAGATGAAATTAAAGCAAGACGTGAAGCCAAATGGAAACGTTTAGAAGAGCTTGCTGCTCAAAAAGCTTCAAGGAACAAGTAGTGCTAATTCCTTGCAAATCAGCCCTACATCTCTTCAGGTCAGTGAAGGGTAAATTATACTAATGGTCACCTAACTTTGGACTTAGATTCATTCAGGTCATATATCTTCAATTTGTCATTTTTTTTGTTACTAAACTTTGATTTTTGTTTCAATGGAAGGTCACCCACTGGAATCTAGTTTTACCTGAATGGTAATGTGACATGAAAATCACATATTTCACCAAAAAAAAAAAAAAAAATAAATGGTGTCACCTGAATCTAAGTTTTACCTGTATGGTAATTGTGACATGATACTCACATAATTCACCAAAAAAAAAAAAAAAAAAAAAAAAAAAAATCATGATTGTGAAAGAATAAAAGAGAGAAAAAAAAAAAAAGCTACAAAATACATATGGTATAGTGAAAAATTGTCTTTTCTTTTTTTTGAACTTTTCATGTAGGTGGCATCATTTGTTAAATAAATTAATAGGCAGTTCCCAAATTAGTTTATTAGGAGAAAATATTTTTTTTAAAATGAATATTTTATTTTTAGTACCATGTTATTACTTTCGATGATTCGATTCCGGTGAGCATCTCCTGTTTAAACAAAAATTAAAGTTTAATAACTAAAAAATAGCAAATTGAAGTTATTTAACCTTAATGAAATTAAGTGCAAAATTAGGTGACCATTAGTATAATTTATCCTGTCAGTGAAAGTAAAGATTTTCATTTCTATAATATGGACGGCCAAATTTTTTGTTGAGATCGGATTCTTAAATTGATATTATCCACAGTTGAATGTTCTTAGGCTTTCAAAAAAAATTTCTTCCTACAATTTGTTTGGTCCTGGTCATTTACCAGATCCAATAAGCATTTTGTAAATTTATCCTTGTGTTGTAATTCTACATAGAGGGAGCATTTTTTCAATTTACAAAGAACATCAAATGTAATCCTCTCTATTAGATAGCTGCATGAAAGGCAAATGATTGCAACAGAAATAAAGAAAAAACATTGAAACAGAGAATCAAATGTTTGTAGAAATTCATTTAATGTTCATTGAATGCTAATGATTTTTCCTTCCTTGTGCTCCAAGAGGATAAGTACACAGAACGGAAAAGCGAGAGACGTATTGGTACCTTCTATGCCCCTGTGCTATAAGTACCAATAATTATGTGCAAACATGACTGGGACACACCAAAACAGCTGTTATGGCAGAGAAGGGTCAGATTTGCAAAATCTTGTTCCTGGCCGATGGCTATTGGCCAGAGACAATCTTTTGTTTGCTGTGTCTCCAGTAATTGTTATGTGCCTTTTGTTTCACTCTCTCAGGTATTAATATTAAGAACACTATTCCTGAAGAAAGGATTAACATAGGCTTATCCAACTAATCCATTATGTTTTAAGTGAAACGTTCAGGTCTCTATTTTGTCAAACCTCTTGAAAATTTGCTTGAATGTGATTTTGTAATTGACTTTTGTGTTTTGGCTCAAAATGCTGCATGCCTAAAAGTGAAAATGAAGGTTGAAACTAACTTCCTCCGGGCTCTAATATTGAGGAGGCTCTATCAGATGGCTTCTTTATGATAAAATTTTAGAACTTTCTTCGTGTATCAGATAAGACTGTCTTATGGTCCTCCTGCACAATATATGTCATGTAATTGAGATAAACTAGAGGGTCGTCCTCTTTATTATTTTTGCTCATATAGAAAGAATTATGGGTCCCGTCCTGAGACTATGGTGGGATCAACTCTTCATTGTTGATCATGAAGTGCCCCTACATGAAATGATATGGATTTTTGCCTCTTTCCTGATCTAGGTGCATGATGTTAGTTATACCATCTAGGATTAGGAGAAAATGATAATGTCTCTTTTGTTGTCTGTTCAAAATTGTGCAATACAAGTGACATATCAAAATGGGTATTCATTCATTTAGAATGATGATATGTTCATACTTTACCATCTTTCGGTACACAAATGTTGTACCAACTGCTTCACTATACCTACCTAGCAAGCATGATATTACTATTAGTTTTTCTGAACATAATTTCTTTATGAACAGAGAACTTTTTTCTCCGAAACCCAGTAGAAATTAGCAGGGACAGTATACTGGAATCTCTTAATTAGTATCATCTTTCCATGTTCGAAAGGCCGAGAATTGCTTTCAGATGTAGCAATTATGTTGATTTTCGAATGGCATCCTCTTCAATTATATTATATAGATGGATCGACAGGCTGATTTTGATATGATCTCTACTGAATGTAGCTGAGAATATGTGTTTGGTTATTGAACACTAAAATGGTGAAATATACAGCTTCGAAAGGGAAGGGAATTTTTGTTCGTGGACAGGGACAAAGGCACAAAGCTATTTTTGTGCAAGAATATAACTAGTTCTCTATTTATGCGTGGAATTTACACTTTCAAATCAAATTATTAACCTACAATTGAAAGAATTTATTTTTTGATGGAAATTTTTCTACTAAAAGTACAAAAAGAATCTTATTCTTGAATTGGTTATCATTTTTCATTTTTTATTTTATTTTATTAGTGTAAGTGATAACTAATGGATTGGTGTGAGTGTCTTTATTTACAGAAATTTTCATTAACAGGTTTTAATTATTAAAAAAAAAGAATTATCTCGGTTATATAATTTATGATATTATTTCAATTTATTTGACATTTAAAATGGACATTTATCTCAATAAAAATGTCTATGTTCTGAGTGCAAGGAATCAGAATTAATAAATAACGAGTTATAAACTACACTAACAATGTATTTATTAAAAATTTAATTACAAATATTTAATTAATTTGTATGCTCTACCAAATATTTAATGAATAATGTATGCTCTACCAAAGAAAAGAAAGAAAGAAAACCTTGAATTTGTATTGAATTATAATATCAGTTTTTATTTTATTATTGTTTTAAATGCTACAATTTGGATATAAGTTCTTTATTAAACCATTTAATACATAAAATTTTAATTAAAATAATTTCAACACTTAATTTTTAATTTTACTAAATTAGGCAAGTACAATAAGATGCCATTCACTCTATTAATTAGGAAAAACAAAAATAATTATTTGATTACCTCATTTGGTAGGATTTTGAATGAAATGTTTTCTTTTATAAGGATTTTAAAATATATTTTTTTATCATTGAGTTATCCTCTGAGATTATGAACCATAATTAATTAATTGATAGATGAAGGCTTTACTGGCAAGAATATTTGAATTTTATAAATTGTATTCTTTAATTATTGAACAAATGAAATATTTCATATTATGCAAGCAAAAATGCACTAATAAATTTAGTCTTTTAGTTGACTTATGAGCTTTTTTTTTTAATTATTAAAATATACTACTAAATATGAATTTTTTAATACTAAATAGTATTTCATATTATACTAATATAAGAAATAATTTTTGTAAACTTAATTAAATTGTTACATTCATTGTCTTTAATTAAAAGAAAGAACAGTAATCTTTATTTTTAAATTTCTTGCAGTGTTCAGTAAAATTTTCCTGTCTGATTCCTTATTTTATCTTTTTAATGAAATATATTTTTCTTTAATCTTCTCGTGGAACTGTGAGTGTTAAAGGGGCTGCTTTGGCCACTTATGTTCTCTCTCTGTCCCGAAGTAGTCGAGAAAAAGGGAAAAGGGGAAAGGAAAGGAAAACTAAAGCCTTTCTTTCTTACTCTACTTCTCTTTCAAGTCTCTTGTGAGTATCAAACATTCTTGTTTCTTCTTTTGTTATCTGGGTTTTCTTCATTTTAGTCGTTTTATTTTTGTTTTTACTGTGATATTTTCTACTTTTAAGTTTTAATTCACTTGGTTTCTACTTTCCCGTATTTTTGGCGTAAAATTTTGTCCAATCATACTATGTTTTTGTCTCTGATAGAACCCAGATCGTATCCTTGTCTGGTTCAGCTCTATTAGCTGCTATATTTGCTAAACAAGACAAGAAAGAAGCTTTCTGGTGTGTGTGGTTTACGTGGAAGTTTGTTATCGTTACTGTTTCGGTTTTTGCATCGGGGTACTTGAATTTAAAGTAAAAGGATCTCAATTCTTATCCTTCAATTTTGTAAAGGTAAAAGAGCTCTTCCCTAGTTCCCCAGGCGATGATACGTCGAAACAGGAACCTTTTCCGTCTTCTGGGTTTTGCTTAATTTGTGTTAGCAATGGGGTTTCTGTATCTGTAATTTTAATTCATGGTATTGGGTTTGTTTTCTCTGGAGCTTGATATGGATTTCTGATTGTGAAAAAGTTGAGTTTCTGTTATTTTCTGTTATTTTAATGGACTAACATCTGCTTCTGAAAAGAGCAAACCCGGGTGTGTAGTCTTTTTATATAATTTTTGAGTTATGATCAAACAAATACTTGGTAAGCTTCCACGGAAGCCATCTAAATCATCTGAGAGTCGTGAATTTGGTGGTCCATCTGCTCCTTCAAATACTTCTACTAGTTCTAGAAGCAATGATCTTGCGAGCAATAAGTCTGCAACTTTAAACAGTACATCTCCTCCACCCTCGGATTCTGCTCCGCATTTAGGTTATGGTCATGGAAGTAAGCTTACGCAGGCTGCAAATTCAAAACTGAATGGCAATTCAGTAATTGCTCCTTATGAGGCATTACCAGCATTTAGGGATGTTCCCAGCTCTGAGAAGCAGAATTTGTTCATTAGAAAGCTGAACTTGTGTTCTGTGGTGTTTGATTTCACTGATCCTACTAAGAATTTGAAAGAAAAGGACATAAAGCGGCAGACATTGGTTGAGCTTGTGGATTATGTTACTTCTGCAAATGGAAAGTTTACAGAAACTGTCATGCAAGAAGTCATAAAGATGGTATCTGTGAATTTGTTTAGGTCGCTTACTACTCAACCACGGGAGAATAAGGTTTTGGAAACCTTTGATTTGGAAGAGGAGGAACCCTTGATGGACCCTGCATGGCCTCACTTACAAATTGTGTATGAATTCTTTCTGAGATTTGTTGCATCTTCTGAGACTGATGCAAAGTTAGCTAAGAGGTACATTGATCACTCTTTTGTTCTCAAGTTGTTAGATCTCTTTGATTCTGAGGATCCAAGGGAGAGGGAGTACTTGAAGACAATTCTACATCGCATATATGGAAAATTTATGGTGCATCGCCCATTTATCAGGAAGGCCATCAACAATATCTTCTTCCGATTTATTTTTGAAACAGAGAAACATAATGGGATTGCAGAGCTATTAGAGGTTTTAGGGAGTATAATCAATGGGTTTGCTTTGCCTCTGAAAGAAGAACATAAATTGTTCCTTGTTCGGGCACTAATCCCTCTTCACAAGCCAAAGTGCTTACCTATGTACCATCAGCAATTATCTTACTGCATTACGCAGTTCGTGGAGAAAGACTGCAAGCTTGCAGATACTGTTATAAGGGGCTTATTGAAGTACTGGCCTATCACTAACAGTTCTAAGGAGGTAATGTTCCTAAGTGAGCTGGAGGAAGTCTTAGAAGCAACCCAGCCAGCAGAATTTCAAAGATGCATGATACCCTTGTTCCGTCAAATAGCTCGTTGCTTGAGCAGTTCACATTTCCAGGTGATAAACCTAAAATCTTTATATTTTCCTGCTTTGCTTGGTATGGAATAAGCATATTGCATTGAAGCATGCATCACCAACATGTTGTCTGTTTACACTTGTTTGGTTATTTTCTGAAATATTTGCAGTTTGGATTTTAAATGCACTTTGCTTTCAAGTGGTATCATATCTTCAGCTAAACCTGAAAAGCTAGCTTCATATTCTGTAGTTATTTGTGTTATCCTTTAGCTTTAGATGCTTGCTTTTTGCACAGAGTTCTTTTGCAATTCATTTGCATCTCCAGTTGATAGAAGAAGGCTGTCAGAAAGTTGTTTAAGATTTCTGTACTTTATCCAATAATGTGTACATGCCTTTTCTGCATTATAGTCAGATTTATTTCCCTTAATATGTCAATTTACGCGTAGGCATATGCATTTTTATGGTTGGAATCATTTTTGTTCTTCTGAAAGATGGATGTAATAGATAAATTAAGTGCAGATGCCTTATGCTTTATGCTGATAATTTTCAATTGTAGACTAAATATGTTGGTTATGTCAATATGTCTGCTGTTTCAGCCAAGACAATGTATAGGTGGGACCTGGACTATAAGCAAGCTGTGCAAAAAGCTACTGTTTTTTTCTGACAAATTCCCATTTTTTTCTTGAGAAAATAGAGAATCTTAGACTGGCACTACATATGAATCTACTGCATCATGTTTTTGTAACCAAATGCTGATTTCTGACTCATGATAGTTCTTAGCTTTGTCAGCCAATAGAAATGGTTGCTAGAATATATCTGCAACTTGTCTGGCTACTGTATACTTTGAAATCTTATTTCCAGTCAGCAAAAAGGAATAATATGTATCATCCTTTTGCCAGCACAGAGATTAGAGGCTATGTAGCACAGCCAGTTTTTCTTTGTGCTCACGTGAGTGGTGCCAAACCTGTTAAAGCTATTTTACATATGATTGTCTCATGTCAAGAGAATATATATGCCAGCTTGGTTAGATAGTGATCTGATAGACTGGGACTATGGGAGGAACTACGACAGATCATGTACGTGTAAGAGCTCTATGATTTTGCATATAATGTAAAGAAAATGTTGTTCCCTTTTAGGATCTATTGGAAGATTAGTTCTTGGGCCTTAAAAATCATAAATGAAATCTCATTAGGCAACTATGTTGGCAATTTAGTTGAATTGTTCTCCTTCTGTAATACTTATTACGAGGACTTAGAATTCAAACATTTGGTTGCTGATGGGATTTATCACTTAAAAAGGTAAGAATGGGCATACTTCATTATGGGTGTAACAGAGTGAGTTACCTTCTTTCCAAAAGAGGGATTGTTCTGAGGACTTTGGCTACTGATTTAGGCGATCAAGTGCATGAAGCATCCCACATTGTATCTGGTCTGATAAGCTATGTAATCAAATTAAATTGATTGAACTGCTTTTATATGCATGATTTTTCTGTTGGTTGATCTTTTTTATGTTTTTCTTTTATTTTATTTTAAAGAAAATGAAATAGAACTTGTAAACCATGAATCTTGAAGTTCTGAAGTGGAGTAACATTTGCTGGTATGCATTTTGGTTGGGATTTCAGTTTTCTCTGTAGATCACTGTGTGGCAGAGACTATGAATTGAGCGAGTGTTGGTGCTGGAATGTTATGAGTGTGAGTGGTAGCAGTAGTTACTACAACAATTTGCTATACGGTGCCACGAAGCTTTCATGATTGATGGCAGGGTTGTGTGCTTGTGGCATTTGCTGTACTTGATTTAATTGTATATGCAATGGAGGTTGCGTTTACATGTTATCTTAATTCTCATATACAACTGTTGTCGCGCCTATCATTGATGTTGGTGAATTGCATTGCTGTTGACAGTGTTAGTTTGAATTTTTAGCGGATGGTTGGGAGAACTCTTCTTTTTCCCTTTACCCAGTTATTGATTAATCATATGGTTTTGTGGTTTGCACTAAATTACCATGGATAAAGTTTGTGTAGATGTAATACTAAACTGATGTGGGGCATCATGCAATTTTGCATGAGGGCCTTTCCTGAAGCAGGATCAGTAAGTGATTAATGTACATATTAATATTAATTTACATGAAAGCAAATCTGTAAATGGTGCCAGAATTTGGACTTGAAAACTGTGGCCTTGTACCCTCTGATTGGACATTAGTGCCACACCTTTCCTAAGTTGAAGTTTTACTAACTGATCTTTTGCTTCAGGTGGCAGAGAGAGCTTTATACTTGTGGAACAATGATCACATTGAGAACTTAATCAGACAGAACCGAAAAGTTATACTGCCCATTATCTTCCCTTCTTTGGAAAAGAATGGATGTAACCACTGGAATCAGGTGGTCCAGAATTTAACTGCTAATGTCCGCAAGATCTTTGCTGATATTGACCCTGAGCTATTTGAAGAGTGCTTAAGGCAGTTTCAAGAAGATGAAGCGAAGGCAGAGGATATCAAGGCGAAGCACGAAGCTACATGGAAACGGTTAGAGGAGATTGCTGCAACACAAGCTGCGAGTAGTGAAGCGGTGCTTGTTCCTCATTCAATACCTACCCTAACATCTTCTGGCTAGAGCTAGAGGGATATCAATGTCTTGTATAAAGTATTCAATTCTATTGTTTGGGCTAGGAGCCAAAAGATGCTATTAAGCTTTAAGAGCTAGAAATATGTCCAATTTCTTTGTTTCTGTACTACAATTTTTTTTTTCTCCGGTTGTCATTGTCCAGACAGTCGGAAGAACAACCTTTATGAAGCAATGAAGTTGACATAACATTTGCTCATGGGGATCATATACAAGGTGAACTCGGAACCGAAGGTGAAAAGCCGCGCTCCCCATACTTATGAAGAGGGAGGAGACATGACCAGTTAGTTTGGCCTTCTTATAGTTGATATTTTTAGTGTCTCAAGAAGCTACAAAATACAGGTACTTTTAATCATTATGTCTTAATTTTAATTGGTTTTGCTGTACTTGCTGAATTTCTTGACCTCAATTGTTATGTATATGTATGATATATATAAAAAACATTTTGTTAAAAGTGAAACTTTTTGTTGGTGTAAGTTCATACTTCTGCAACTAATTGTTTTGTTCTTTTATGAGACTTTCTGATAGATGGATGCATAATTGCTTCTTGTTCTTTTCGCTTGTTGAGAACTATCCAGTTCATGCAAAAAAGGGATCCCATAGCATCATATTCTCCTGCAGATTATCACTAATGGTGAACTTTTGTTCTACAAATTGCACTGCTTCATAAATAAGGATTATGAGTTAGGTGATGCTTACTTAGAATAGCCCCAGGGCGAAGATATTGCACCTGCAGGGAGATCGCGTTTGGACAAGGGGTACACCTTTGGATCTTGGTCTCGGAGGCTCTGGCTTATGCAGAGCCGGGACGATGTGGATGTGATGCCTCCTATAGATTCGAGGAACCCAAGCCAGATGATCCGGTGCATGGGGCTTCAGCATCCATTGAAAACCATCCAAAGTTGTCCGACCCTTCCCCAGATCCCGGGCATAGCGGGAGCTGAGCTTCATGCACCAGGCTGCCTTTTTAATGGAAAGAGAAAATCCATTGAAAAATTCTTCTGGGGAACATGTAAATTTGTGCTACATGAACAACAAAATAACAGAACTGCTGAGATGAGACTATCTAATTCTGTCTCATCCTAATCCTTTTTAGTGTCAGAACACCTTACCTAGTCCAATAATTGGAAGAACTAATATGAGGAATTTGGGTGTTAGCTCCCTTGTAGTTTGGCAAAATAATGTAGCTGAACGACAAACAACTCCTTAGAAATATTCAAGGATAGTTTATCGGTGTCGTATCTGTAAAGATAAGAGGGGTTTGTTGATTCGTGTGATTCAGGTTTCTAAACAATATATACGCGTTTAGGGATTGCCGTCTGCGGCGGTCGCCGTTGTGATATGTCATTTCGTTGTTGATATAAAAATTTGGAAACATATATATCTGCGGGGATAGCTCAGTTGGGAGAGCGTCAGACTGAAGATCTGAAGGTCGCGTGTTCGATCCGCGCTCACCGCATTTTGTTTTTTTAGATTTCTAATTTACAAAATTACACTCTTTTAAGTTTTTAAGTTTCTTAATTAAGGATGACAAATAGAGAAGGTCATGATTATTAGAAACTCATATTATTTCTGCAATTCAAATTGGAATCTACATATCATCCTCAATATTAGTTTCAACTAAAGGACTAGGATTGATAGTGGCAAATGCAAGAAGCTCCTCATTAGACTCGAACAAACCCATTTCATGTTCTTCCAAAGTCACATATGCTTCAATTCCATCTCCTCCTCTTGTATCCATCAAAACAATAACATTCTTCACCTCACAGTTAGCAACAGTTACCCACACTGGCTTTCCCCATCCAAAATCTGCTCCATAGAAAGGGAACCTGCAATAGCTACTGCACAAGTACACATCTTGATTACTACCGTGAGATAATCTCAATCCTGTTGATGCCTCCAAGACCAATGAGCATAATTCTTCTGCACTAATATTTTCTTTCCCACAGGAACTAAAATATTTACTCTTTTCTTTATTTATCTTGTTAGCCAAAAGAGCTACTTCTATGTCACTCTCCTCTGTGGTCGAGACCGGAAATGTCCCGCTTATATTTCCGGCAGTGGATTCTGGCAATGGTGGAAATAACCTAGTACGCAGATTTGCTGCATTATGCATAACAGTAGACTTTAACGAGCCTGATCTTGCTCTAGCTGCAGATATGGCGGTTTTATGTAGAATTGCAGTGACTACTTCAACTCTTGTTGGATTTTTAACTTCTTTAGCCGCAGTAGCCTTGAGTTTGTCTATTTTTGAACCATAAAAAACGATTCGCTTAGAAACACATTTCACTTTCTCTGGTTCATAGACCTCCATCACTGGTAGGTCAATAGGTAGATATAAATAACCTAAATTGAACTCAGGACCCATTTTTTCATCTGGGTTCTTAGCTATGGCAGCCCAGTTGTTAATAAAATAACACATACTCGCAATATCCATGACCTTGTGAGATATACAAATAGCTAAAGCCATTCCTCCACACTCAAACAAGGTGACCTGAACAATCAAGAGACTAGATAAGGTTGGATCTTTATACTGTAAATCATCAGGAAGCAAGATCTTTAGAGTTTCATCTTCAGGATTCTTGAGTATTTCAGACAATTTGCAGTCGATTCGAGCTTCAAGAAAATCGACTCCTTCATCATTACAGTCTACTGAGAAATCGTCTCTTATTCTTCCTGCTAGTGGGTAATAGCGCGACAAGGCTGCGGATAATGATTCTTTGAGAAGAAGAGTGGATTTGGTGTTAGAGACATGTTTGGTGTAGAAGAAAACAAATGGTAGATAGATGTGAGAACTGATTTGATCAAAGAAGGAAAGGTTGTGAATTGTTGGATGCTGATTTTGTTTTGTACAGTATGGTTTAATTGTCTCAGTAGATAATATCTCAGGTTTTCTTGTTGGAATCATTTTTAATACACTTTTAAACTTGATGATGTGATGAAGTATAGATATATATATATATATACGGAAGAAAAACTTCAGATCAAGTATAAACGCACTTGGTACTTAAAAAATTAAGTGATTTAAGGAATTAATTAAGCTATGTGATCGTTAGGTAGGAATCTTAACACTTTGAAACGGAATCATTTCCATTGAAACAGACAAACACCCAGCTGACCAAATACAAATTATACTATATAATTTCCATTGTTATGTGACTGTAACCTTTTGTTTGGAAAGAAGAGAAAGGAAAATACTGAAAAAAAGAAAATAATTAGGAATTTTCAATTTTCTTTCTATAATTAAGAAAATAAAAATAACTTGTTTAGACTAATTTTTTCATATGAATTAAAGTTGTTACTTTCAAGAACTATTGAAACATGTACGTGTGATTTGATACCGAAGAAAAAGTTCATTAAAACAATCCAAAAATTTTTGTACCAGAATCAATAAAACAAAAAGAAAGAGGTTATAATATACAACAGTTGAATCAGCTTAATTTTGTTTTATTTCGAAGGGAATCAAATAGCGAAAGAGAACAAAAAAATGAAGAGCAAGGTATTTGTCTTTAGCCTACAGGGGCGTGAAATAAAAACCTTAACATACAGATTTTACGTTTGCAATATAGTTTTAAACAATAATGTTGTAAGACAAATTACATAATGTTAAGAACATGAAATTTCTTGTCTCATATAGGCTTGTCGGTTCGTTCAGTAAAAAAAAAAAAAATGTTGAGATTCCTTTTTTAACCATTGGACTATTAGTTAATTGTTTTAGAGCTAAATAAATTTTAATGAAAGTTCATGTTTTTTATGAATAAAATTTTATGTCTTTAATTTTATAAAATTATGTTTGTTTGATTAAATTCTATCTTACAAATAAATTATGAATTCAACGAAAATACAATTAAATAATTTTAATAAATTTTTCACTGAGTCTCTTTTTGTTTCCATAAAATAAATTGCAAGAAAATATTCTTCATAATTTTTCATTGTTTGGGGTTTTCAGGAAGATAAGTTAACAGAAAATATTTTTCTGGTCAATAGAATATTAAGTCATTTTTTAAGGAAAATAATTTCTCATTCTTGAAAGAGTAAAACATTTTTCGGATATTGACAAACCTTATAAATCTATATTTTTTAATTTATTAATCATCATAATCACTACTACCAGTCACCATTTACCACCTATCACCATTATCGGCTACCACTACCGGCGGCTTTCATAATTTATATATATATTTTTGCATTCTTTTCATATTTAACATCATATTAACAATAAAATTTTTTCATAATTTATATATATATTTTTGCATTCTTTTCATATTTAACAATAAAATTTTTAAATTATAAAATTTCTATTATTATTAATATTTTTATGGTCCTACGAGATACAGACTTTAATATTTTTAACTAATGTTCAATACAACCAAATAACAGCGAATAAGTCATTTGGAAAATATTTTTCAAGAAAAATGTTTTCCATGAAAGTATTTTTCAACAAGTTATTTTCTTACAAGTTATTTTATAGAAACAAACGGGGCCTGAGTGTCATCTAATCATGAATATGAATTATGAATTATGTTAATAGATTATGAATTTTATAGTTAATCTAATTATGGAAATTCATTTTAGAAATAATTTTTTATTGAAATTTCTTTATAAATAAAATCAATTCCTTATCGATTTATATTAAATATGCTTGAAGAAATTAACATTCAAAAATAATATGTAGTTAATAAAGTATAGTATGATTAATCTTCTCATTTATGCAAAAGACGAGAAATTTCATGTTCGAGTCAAAGTAAAGACTTCCAATGAATTAAAACAAATAAAACATAATTGGATTTTTTTTACTGTAATCGCATAACTGAATTCAATACAACTTTTATACTTTTCAATAATGAGATTATTGAAGAAATCAGAGCTAACATCCCAAGAAATCTATGAAACAGGTACACATTGAAGCACAAAACAACCAAAATAAACCCTAAGATCTTAATTTCTTCATATCACAGTCGTGAGCCCAAAATCTGAGAGTCCGAGACAGTAGGATTAATCTTGGCAAATGCAAGAAGCTCCTTATTACTCTCAAAAACAGCCATCTCATTTTCTTCTAAAGAAACATATGCTTCAATTCCATTTCCTTCCCTTGTATCTATCAACATAATAATATTCCTAGCATCAAGAATTGAATGTGTGACCCAAGTTGGCTTTCCCCATCCAAAATCTGCTACATAAAAAGAAAATCCACACAAGCTGCTACACATGTATATATTTTTATTTTGAGATTCTCTTACCCCTTTAGAACACTCCAAAATAAATGAATAAAATTCTTCAAGCACAAGTTTCTTTTTAGACTCTTCGCGAAATCGAATCTTTCCTTGTCTCGTCTGTCTAACCAACTGAGCTAACTGATGTATTTCGCTCTCATCCATAATTGGGACTGGGAATATTCCAGTTAGACATCCCATAGCATTTTCTGGCACCGGAGGAGATACCCAAGAACGCAAATGTATTGCTTGATGCAGAATTGTAGGTTTTAAGGATCTTGATACTGTTTTAGCTGCAGAAATGGCTGATTTGTATATTAGCGCAGTAACAACTTCAACTCGCGTTGGATCCTGGATTTCTTTTGCTATAATGGATTTGAGGATGGCTATTTTTGGGAAATCAAAAATAATCCTTCTTGAAATACATTTCACTTTCTCAGGAACCTCATAGGACATTACTGGTAGGTCAATTGGCGGATATAAAGACCCTAAATTGAACAAAGGAGAAATGTACTCTTTACCTGAATTTCTAGCAATAGCAGCCCAGTTGTTGATGAAAGAATACAGAGTTGCCATGTCTGCAATCTTGTGAGAGATGCAAACAGTTAACCCCATTCCTCCACAGTCAAAGAAATTGACCTGAACAATCACGAGACTACTTAAGAATGGATCTTTGTATTCTAGATCATTAGGAATCAGAATTTTTATAGTTTCAGCATTAGGGTTCTTGAAAATATAAGATAAATCACAGTTGATTCGAGTTTCAAAAAATTCGATCCCCTCATCGTTGCAGTCTACAGTGACACTGTCTTTGAGCCTTCCTGCTAGTGGGTAATATTTGGAAAGAGTTTCAGATAGGGATCCTTTGAGAAGATAGGATATATGGGATCTATCAGGACAGGTATCCTTGGCATAGAAGAAAACAAAAGGCACGTAAATGGTAGAACTAATCTGCTCAAAGAAGCAGAGAGCGTGGATTTTTTGGTGTTTTGGTGTTGGAGAAGATGGTTTCACCATCTCCCTCGAAATTATCTCAGCTTGCAAGGAAGAATTCATCTTTTCTGCTTTCGTTTCTTTGTGTTCAAGTGCCTGCATGTACCCATTATTAGCATTACTACATGGGGAAAGGGAAAAACTTAAGTAGACCCCACTTAAAAATCAAACTAATAAAATTAATTATTTTAATATAAACGGGACAATTGACCAGTCTAGATAAATATTTTCTACGTGGAAAATATTGGTAATAAGTAATGCATTAAGTAGAAAATTAAAATTTATTGAAACAAAAATATTTCGAACCATATACTTAGAAAAAAAAAAAATCTGAACACTTTAAAAAAATTTTAATTTTATTAATTTAATCTATAATTTGAGTTATAAATCCGATTTAGACAAGTTTTTTCTATAGAAAATTCTTAATAGTTGCTCAAAACTAATGAGAGAGCTCTAAAGTAGGTCCATTCAGGAAGCCAATGGACCAGATTAGGACCAAAAATATATTTGGGCTTGTCCACTTAAAATATTGATAAGCCCAACCCACTTGAGCACTCACATTAATTATTATTTATCCCTCCTTTTCTCAAATACATTGATCATTCTTAAGGATTTGTACCTTTAGATTGCTGAGTCCTTTCTTCCAAAAGTGTCTTTCTTACATTAAGTGTATATGAAAATAGTAAATGCAACCGAATAAAAAGTAACACTATATGAGATGTAAAGGACCAAATAATCAAATATAACAAGATAATTAATAGTAAAAAATAAATTTTTAGGATGAAATGACTAAATAATTTAACGAAATTAAATTTTAAAAATTGAATTATTTACAAAATAATGTGGACAAAGTGATATTTAAAGTAAAGTTTTAGAAATTAACCCATTGTTTGGAACAAAATTAATTCTATAAAATTTTATGAAATTCATTTTGGTATGAAAAAAAAATTAAGAATTAAATTTTATGGATTTGAATATAACTAAATCAAATTTTAAAAATAAAAAAAATTGAAACTTCTAAATAAATTTCACAAACTTAAACCATCGTTCTAATTCAATTTAATGCAAAATTTATTTTTTTCTAAAAAGATTATTATTATATATCCACTTACGTTTACCATAAATAAAATGAATTATGCTATCCTTTTTGGAATTTAAAATGCTAGGCATGCATGTTGAATGTGCAACCGCAGAGTGCTCCTGTTCGTACGGCTGTATATATTGATAATAATTAATTAATATAAATGATGTTGATGTTCGGATTATTAGAGCATCTTTAATGCTAATATAGATTTCTTTTATTTAATTGATATATTAAAAAAATAGAAAGATTTTTTAAAAAATACTCTTTAATAGTAACGTCTATTTGCTATATCAAGCCGATATGTAAAAGTATAAAATAGACATCGTCAACCACATCTTATATTTGTAAAGAGTCTTTTAGACAATATGAGTATTTATTGCTTTATAGTGATTGACGGATTAATATTTTGATAATTTAACTTTGATTGATTATTAATTTTCCTATTTAAATGTAAATTCTTTAGTTAGTATATCTAAATATAAAATTTTATATGCAATTATGTTATTGCAAAATGCGACTAAAGTTTTTTATTTAAATATGAATTCTTTAGTTAGTATATATGCCCCTACTAACTTTATGGGTTGATTCTATTAATTGAAAAAATAAAAATAATTTAATTTTAATTGATTATTAGTTTTCCTATTAAACGCAAACTTGAACTTAGTATGAGGCTCGAAAAGAATTGAATAATAAATTAAATACTTTGGTTTGATAATTATACGAATAATAACAATTAGTCAACATATGATATGAGCTGTGATATGAGCTAGAGATAGCAATTAAAATAATTAATATAGCCATGTGGATTCCAATTTATATTGCAATTGTAGTAAAATTAGTGTTTTGAGCTTGTCTACTTTATAGCTTCAACACAAATGAACAAAAATAAAAACAAAAATAAATCCAAATTAGAAGAAACTGTAACAATATTAACATTATAAAAAATAAAATTAATGGAAACTACGCTGGACAAACTTTCGATGGTTCTGGATTCGATTTTTTGAGCTTATATGTATTGGAGATTTGTCCGGTCCATGTACAAGGGCATTTGCATGGACCTAATATGAAAAATAGAAACTATGTTTATCCATTTGTCAGTACTAATGATTGGACATCACCTTAATATAAAAGAAAATAATAAAACTAAAGAATTTGATGTCAACTTTTATTTTCTTATAGAAAACGTGGGAAGTGGTTTTAAGTCATTGTTATTGAAAGTCAACAAACAACATGTTAGCGCATTTATATTTTAAATAAATTTTTTTTTCTAATTTTAATTAATTAATTCAATAATTTAAAACAAAACGTTTCTTTCTCAACGACTTTTCTTCCTGTTTCTATTTTATTTTTGTAATGTAGAGCTAAATAACGTAAAGTATAAATGAGGTCATCCAAACATAGAATAATAAACTTACGAATCACCAGCAAAGTAATCTAATAAGAAAATGCCACTCTCTACCCTACCCTTTATTCAATATTCTTTTATTTAATTACACTCTTATTCATCTTCTTTTTTTTTTTTTTTTTTTTTTTTTTGTGTTGTTTTTTTTTTTTTTTTTGTTTGACTTTCATTTTTAATTTATTAGGTCTAGTTTATTTTTTAACAAATAAAAAAAATTTTAAGCTGAGAGTTGTATTTTTTGTTTAACAAATTATGTTGTGTTTTTTATTTAAATAAATGGATTAATATGTGCTTATTCCATACATGAAAAATTAATTTCACACTATCCCTCCATCTATATTAAAACATGAATATAATAATTTCCAAGATTACATTTTTTTGAATATATTATTTTATTCCTTTTTTTTGGAATTTTTTGTTTGGAGTTAATGAAATTATTTTTATTTAAAAAATTAATTACCTATATATTAAAAAAAAATTATTTTTCAAGTAACATAAAAAAGCCTTAATTATTTTGCTTAATTATTGTCATTTACATAATAATTATAATAATACTTCTCTCTTGTGTATTTATACCCATGGCTGACCTGCAAAATTCCAAAGCTAACTCCTAATTTGAAGATGGCTATGGCAAAGAAAATTAGAGTGATAAACACAGAAACAATAAGACCATCTTCTCCAACACCATCTGACCTAAAAACTCTCAAGCTTTCTCTTATGGATCAATTCGTTCCTGCCACTTACACATCACTAGTTCTCTTTTACTCATTAAATAATAATACCCATACCAATACCGAGATATTGCAGAAACTAAAAACATCACTATCAGAAACCCTAACTCATCACTTCTTCCCACTTGCAGGCAGAATCAAAGATAATTCTTCTATAGAATGTAACGATGAAGGTGCAGAATTTATCGAAGCGCGAATCAACTGTTCTCTTTCAGACATTCTTGAAAAACCTGACACAGAATTCCTTAAACAATTACTACCTGCAGCTATAGAATCTCCTGAAGCAGCTACAGGCAATCTTTTACTTGTCCAAGCCAATTTCTTCGATTGCGGTGGCTTGGCTTTAGGGGTTTGTGTCTCACACAAAATAGCTGACGCAGCAACATTGACTATATTCATCAACTGCTGGGCTGCCATGGCTAGTAGGTCAAATAAGGTGGTGGATAGTCCTTTTTTCATGGGTGCATCACTTTTTCCACCGATTGATATATCAATTCCAAATGCTTCATTGGAGCTTGTTGCACAACAAAATTGCATAACAAAAAGATTTGTGTTCACCGAATCAAAGATCGCAGCTCTTAAAGCTAAAGTTGCTAGTACAAGAGTGCCTGAGCCAACCCGAGTGGAAGCCGTTTCAGGGCTAATCTGGAAAGCTGTGATAACAACAGTAAGATCAAAATTAGGAGTTTCAAGAAAATCTGTATTGTGTATGGCTGTAAATTTGCGTTCAAGGTTTGTTCCAAAGTTACCAGAAAACTATGCCGGTAACTGCGTAGGGTCTATTGTTCCGCGACTGGACATTGCAAGCAGCGTGATAGATGCAGTAGAATTAGTGGGTAAAATAAGAAAGGAAATGGAAGAATTTGGTGAAAATTATGTAAAAAGGCTTCAAGAAGGGGGATCATTAGCAATCTGTGGGTTTACTAAACAATTTGGAGATATGGCAATGAGTAAAGATATAGACTTTTATGTGTGTTCAAGCTGGTGTAAATATGATCTTTATGGTGCTGATTTTGGATGGGGAAAGCCTATATGGTTATGCACTGCTATTACGACTATAAGAAATGTTGCTGTTTTAGTGGATACAAGAGATGGTCTTGGAATAGAAGTTTGGTTGACTTTGACTGAAGAAGAAATGGCCTTACTTGAATCTAACCAAGAACTTCTTCAGTTTGCTGCTCTAAATCCTAGTGTCCCTCTACTTTAATTTTCTGTTTCTTAGTATTCTAAACAGTTCTTTTCATTTTGTTTTTATTCTGTTATTGGATTAGTTTGATTTCAAACTTATGTTAAACTCGCGACTACACAGTTCTGAAAGTGATTTGATTTTAGATTATTTTATTTCCGACTCTGAAGGCTTTCATTAATTGTATTTGTAATTAAGGAGTTTATGTGCTGTTTGTTATGGAGTATGCACATGCAGCTCCAAATTAAGCTTGTTACAACATAAGTACCATGTGGCAAAAGCTGTATTCTTGTTCTATAGAAAAGGACCGTTATAGTTACGGTCGCCATACACCGGAGCTTCAGTCTCCGGCTATCTTGTCATCAGGTCACCAACTTTCTTGACCTTCCGGTACTGAACAGGCGTCAGTTTCCATACGACTCTTTGAAAACCTATGTTTATGATAAATAGTCGTCCAAACTTGGTAACTGTGATCCTCTCTATATAGAGGCACCCCTCCTTTGCGGAGTTTCCTTAGAATTGTCTCGCGCGCCCCGGATACAACAAGAATCCAGATGGCGCTAGCTTTCTTGTTTTGACTATGTGAATATTAATAATTCTGATGTCTTAATTTGGAAGTTTAATAATTATGAAACTGAATGCTTACACAACTTTGCTGTTGCTGAGTCTGGCTATCTCATGCTTGAGTTGGAAAATTAATTAACTATATTTATTATTTTGGGTTATCCAAATACACGTCATAAATTAGCCATTTTCAATTAATTTTAATTGGGATTGGGTATTATTGGATCAAATTTCTAAGTTGAAGCCCTCATATCGTGTTAAAGGCCCATGCCTGGTAGGCTGGAACCCTTCTTGGAAATTCTAGTGGAGGATCAAAATATGCATCCCGTAAAGGAAAAATGATGTGCAAAAGTTTACTAATTACAGTCAAAGTATGTATATGTTTCTTAAAATTGCAAAATCAAATTGTTTCAACATGTTAAAATCATCAAAATTCTACATTTTAATTATATTTTTTTTTATTAATTTGTTTAGGTTAGAGGGTTTTAACTCGAAAATCAAAACAATTTCATTACTACGAAGCTAAATTTCTCGAATGCAGACATAACATAGTTACTGAACAAATATATTCAATCAATATATATTATTTGTGTGGATATTTTTATAAATTCAGTATTGATAAATATATAAATACTAAGTATATTTATAATTAATATCAATGGGTCAAGTAACCCAATTGGCTATTGAATAGACTTGCCCCTCACGATGGCGTTGACCATGCTTCAATCAAACTAGTTGAATCGAACCTATGATTCACGGACGCGGAAATGGGAGAAAGCGGAAACAGATACTAAGAAACGATATTTTTAAAAAATATAGGAAACGAAAACGTGGACAAAAGCGTAAACATAAAAAATATAGAGGTTTATTTATAAAATTTAAAAATATAGGAAAAATATAAAAATAATTTAGAAAGAGTACATTAAAATTTTTAAAAGACAATCAATACATAAGTTCCATATTCAATAAAGAAAAAATAAAATAAAATATTCAAATGTCAAAATGGAAAAAAATAAATTTGAAAATAGAAAAAAGATAATGAAATTCCGTTAATTTGAAGTTTAAATATTGAAATTAAAAATATGATTATTTGTCATTTCTCAAATAAGATTGTATTTATGGAAACGGACCCGACACGTTTCCGAATTTGGGAGTTTCGTTTTCGAAACACAAAAACATAAAATCTCTCGCGTATCCGTGCATCACAGATTATCGAACAAATTTGAATTTAACACAAACAGCCGTTTCATTTTTCGTAAAGAATAACTAAAATTTCTTTCACTTAAAGTTTGATTTTCATTTTCATAAAACTTAAAATAAATAATTTAAAACCATGAGAAACATGGTCAAAAATCGATTGAAATGATCTAATCAATTCAATTCAATTGAGTTTATATATATTATTTAATTCGATTTGATTTTCATGTCAAAAATTTTTTATTTATTCAGTAACCATATCAATTTGATCAAATTATCATTTCAAATCAAATTGACTAAATGCTCAAAAGGAAAAAGATGAGAAATTTTTATGAACTGAACTAATGAATGCATATAGGAAAAAAATTTTTTTTTTCTTAGAGATAAGACTAAGGAAATTACTCAATTGAATAGCTCAATTTGTAATTGAAGTTCTAGAAATACATGCATGTGCATCTTTAACTCAATGCTCTAGCAAACTCTCACTTAATAATTATATGATCAATCTTATATAAAAAAGGAGAAAAGTTTTATCCTTATCCATAGTGATTTGTCGTTTCAGTACTGTTGTGTTGATAAATGAGGAGTTGGATACCAACAAAAGACCGGGTCAACTGACATCGTCAATTTCTTTATGAGGAAACTTACTTGTCGTTCAAGAAACCATTTGCCTGTCGTTTCCTTTCTTGTTCAACTTTACCTGTACTCGTAGACCGGAGAAATCCAATCTCAACATTTTCCTGTCTCGAGTTGCAGCTATTCTCTGCCATTTGCCAACTTTCCATTCAGTGCTACCACCGGTAATTTTCATACTTCCCTCAATTTGTATATGTCATTGTAGAGAAATTTAAATTGCATTTGCATTTACGAATCTGGTAATACATTATGATTAGTTTACTATGTTTAGCAATTCTGATGTCTCGTTAGTTTCTAATACAAGTCCTTAGTTTGATGTTAGAAATTATAGAATTAGAATGTTATGCCTAGCTATTATAGACTTACAACAAAGACAACGACGTAGAGTTTTACTAAACTGCTTATAGTTTTAGGAACCCTATTTGACTAATAGTATTCTAATTTGGTTAAAACTTCAAATTACTTATTTGAACAGAACTCTGATGAACTTGGACAATAAATCTGCTTTATAAAGAAAACATCTTTGAATGAAACTTCAATCTGCAAATTCTAAGAACCCAAAAACTGACTTTGCTTCATTCTTCAACAAGATCGAATATTTTGTTTGTTTAGAATGAGAAAAACCGGATTTCCATTACAAAATAGAGGGAAACTTTAGTTTCCTTCCTCCGCAGTTTGGAACCAATGCATAGATCAAATTATTTTGCAATTGTTCAGACTCTCTTTCGTAAATTCAAAATTATTAGCTAGAGTTAATTGCTTTGAAGACCATTATTATTATAGAAATGAAACAAGCATCAAGTGATTATAAAACTATTACAAGATTTACATATTTTGATTCTGATATTATTATACCAAATTAATTATATATACATTGACACCTAACTTCAGATAATATAATCTTTAGCACGAAACGAACTGAAGCAATTCTTGGTCCTCTTTGAACTTCTGCATATCTTCTTGGTTGAGATGTATAAGTGCCTCTATTCCATCTCCAGAGGGAGTGTCCATGAAAACGACAAGGTTTTTGAAAGTTAGGCTTGGTGATCCAACCCAAATAGGTTTACGCCACCCAAAATCTGTTTCATATAAAGGAAATCTGCACAGACTTGTAAAGTTTAGACTTACCATTTCGCCTCTCATGAAAAATTGTGCCATCTGTTTGATAAAATCCATGTGTTCATCATTTCCTGCCTCTTGAAGTTTCTTTACATACTCTGTATCAATTTTACTTATTGAATCTCTCATTTGGATGACAATATCATCGTAATTACTTTCTTCTCCATTATTAGTAGGAGATGGAAATGTCATCGCAACTCGATAGAAATTCCCAAAAGAATTTTCTGGCAATGGCGGATTCATTCTTGTACGTAGGTTCACTGCATGAAGCATCATATATATCTTTTCTGCAATAAATAAGTTTTGATTCAGTGATTTCTATTCGTGTAAGTTAACGTTACATATATGATTGTGATTAATTATGTATGTAATATTTTACCTGAAGGTTCTTCTGTTTGTTGCTTGATTGCAGCCATGAAACGGGTCCATATGAAAGCTGATAAAGCCTCGACTCGTGAAGGCGGCCGCTGGCTCTTTAAGCTTGTACTTGCTGCATATTTTGCTCTTAAAGACTCTATTGAAGAGGACTTGAACACAAACCTTTCTGTGAGAACATTTTCTTTAGCAAAACCAATTCTTGGATTAAACCCTGAGAAATCTTTGGGAGGAAAAAGCTTGGCCGACACAAATTCTGGCCTTGTTATTTCTTCTTCTCCACGAGTAATGGCAGCCCAAATTTTTACAAATAGTACAATTGATAATGCATCTCCAATATTATGCGAAAGGCACAAACCAATGCAAATGCCACCACACTCAAAAATATTGAATTGGACTCCTAATGGCAGTTCTTGATCTTGATCTAGTTCAAATGGAAGCAGCTTCTTGATTTCAGTAGGCACCGGACTTTGAACAACATCAGAAAGTTTGCCGGAGACTTTTGCCTGTAAACAAGGAATGCCTTCGTCATTGCAATCAACGAAATGATTGTCTTTAATCCGTCCCGCTAATGGGTAGAAATGGATTAAGGCCTGAGATAAAGATTGCTTAAGTTGATTATATTTTTCGACACTGTTGAATTTGGTCTCACCATCTGTTTCATAAAAGAGCAGCAAAGGGTTATAGACTGGAGGTGATATTTGATCAAGAAATGAGAGTTTGTAGTGGCGGAGATGATCTGGGGTTGGAGAAGATGGTTTTATTATCTCCTTAGAGATTAATTCACATTCCAGCTTCATTTTCACACTCATTAAACTCTGTTCAAAAGATTATGAGCGCAATTTTGTAATTTCAGTTGCTATCAAAATTCACATTATAGAGCAGCAGCTAATTGGGATGGATTAGTGAAGAAAACGTAAGTTTAAATACTTAAATTAAAAATAAATTAACTTAATTAATTATAACGAAGCTTGTGAAATTGAACAAAAATGGAGGTTCCTCTTTGTATCAGTATGACAAGCAAACACGCAACTAAGAAAGACAAGATTAATATTTTTATAACATTTGTTTTTTGACCTTTCCTTCCATTCTTTGATTACACATGATGAGTCTTGCAAGATGAGAAAATTTTGGCTATATATTCTTCTAACAGGGACAGTTACCTACCCTTCAATTTCTTTTTCGATCTTCTTGATCAAATAGTTCCTTTTTTTATTTTAAGACTTTAATTAAATTCTTACAACTAAGACTTTCTTGACTTGGGATTTGCATCAAATATACGAAAGTTTTTGGATTTTTCAATAATTTTGTAATTTATTATATCAAATATTATTTTTTTTGAAAGAGTAGAACTCGTAGACTTTCATTCATTATTATAAATTTCAGATAAACAATGAGACAAACAGTGAGGAATATAATTCCAGATACGTAGATGCGCAAAGCGAATAGAAGCTCGAGCTAGGGTATGAGCCTTTAAGTTCGCTTGCCTACGGATCCATCTACATGAAACCAAAGGGAGTTCTAAAAATAAATTCTTACAATCATAAATAATACTCCCCACATCTGATCTGAATAAAATAGAGGAGCTCAAAGTATAAAATAAAATCTGCGAGTCTATGAAAATAGTACCTCCATGCTCAACATAATTTTACTTGAGAAATAATAAAAAACTATGAAGAGCTAGAGCCTCCGCAATAAAAGGGTCCGTACCACCTGTAAAGTGGCCTGAAACTGCTCGAATAAAAATGCCAAGACAAACACGTGAGGGAATCATAATCCAGATACGAGATGCGCCAAACGCGAATAGAAGCTCGACGCTTAGGGTAGAGCCTTTAAGTTCCGCTTGCCTACGGATCCATCCTACATTGACAACCAAAGGGAACCGTTCTAAAAATTAAATTCTTACATCATAAATCACATACTCCCCACATTCTGATCTGAATATTAAAATAGAGGAGCTCAAAGTATAAAATAAATCTGCGAAGTCTATGGAAAACTAGTTACCTCCATGCTCAACATAATATTTACTTGCAGAAATAACTAACAAACTATTGAAGCAAGCTAGAGCCGCCTCCGCCAAATAAATAAGGCGTCCGTACACCACCTGTAAAGTGCGCCTGGAAAACTGCCCTCGCAATTAAAAAAAATTGCCTTCCTCTGTCTGCCAGCCACCACTTCAAATCCTGCATGCCTTCTGCTCAAAAATAGAACCATCCACAAAGCCTTGCCCTGCATGGCTCTCCCACTGTTGCTAAGACGTTCCGGGTGGAAAATTGCAACGTTCTCCGCCGCACTTTGGTATTGAGCGATTCGCAACTAGCCAATAATTCCTCTTGCGCCAATTTAGTAGTTCCCAACTAAAGCATATACTTCTTGTGACCTTCGAAGAATTAGTGCTTTAGCACCGTGTCCTCTTATATTGCTTCCAAAGAGCCAATTTATTCTTGGCCATCCAAATATCAAATATTATTATTGATGATTATATGATCTATTTGACTTTATCTCATATCGCGTACTCAGAGCCTCCGCAATAAAAGGGTCCGTACCACCTGTAAAGTGGCCTGAAACTGCTCGAATAAAAATGCCTTCCTCTGTCTCCATCACCACTTCAAATCCTTGCATGCCTTCTTGCTCAAAAATAGAACCATCCACAAAAGCTTGCCCTGATTGGTCTCCACTGTTGCTAAGACGTTCGGGTGGAAATATTGCAAGTCTCCGCCGACTTGTATTTGAGGATGCACTAGCCATAATCCTTTGCGCCAATTTTGTATGTTCCCAACTAAGCATATATTCTTGTGCCTTCAAGAATGTAGTGTAGCACGTGTCTCTTATATTGTTCCAAAGAGCATTATTTCTTGCCATCCAAATATCAAATATTATTATTATTGATTATTGATTATTGATTTATTATATCGGTCGATTTATCGGCTGTAGCAGACAACTGTGTATTAGAGCTAAATTATTGTTTCCAAAATATTGTCCGGAAAAGTTGAGCCCAAAAGTTCGACTTTGGGCTGATTCGGCCTAACTGTTAGGAAAGGCCGAAACGAGGCCCAGTCAGCATGGGCTAGTCTCCAGCTAACGAACGCGGCATTGCCCTGTCTCCTCAAAACGACGCTGTTTATCAAAAAGTATAATTATTTTCTTAATTTAACATAGAAAATTATAAATGGAAGGAAAATAGATAGGAAGGAAGCTTCTACTCTGACCCCTCCATTTCAAAAATTTGAATTGAACTCGTCTCCACCTTTCTCACATCATGGATGGCGTATCTTTAAAGAATAAAAGATGGGAAAGGAAAACATCCATTCTTTATCTGTTCCTTTATCTCGCTCTTTCTCTGTCTCTGAGAAATGCCAAGCTTAATCGTTAAACTTTATAGCGTTTTCTTCAAATATCATCAAAAAACTCTTCTACATAACCTATCACAACCTTCTGCCGCCAATAACACAAACCCATTTGGCATAACTTCGCGGCCACATGAATCCATCGCCGCCAGTAACCCGTTGTTCAATGACGGCGTCGCAACTAAAGATATCCACATCGATCCCTTTTCTTCTTTGTCTCTCCGTATCTTCCTTCCTGAAACGGTTATTTCTTCCTCTGCTGCCCGTAATCGCGATTTACCCACTTACGGCGGTTATTCGCCGTCGTTTGGGGAGTTCAATCGGAAGTTACCGGTGATGCTGCAGTTTCACGGTGGTGGGTTTGTGAGTGGGAGCAATGAATCGGTGTCAAACGATGCGTTTTGTAGGAGACTAGCGAAATTGTGTGACGTGATTGTTGTTGCGGTTGGATATAGATTGGCACCGGAGAGTAAGTACCCCGCTGCCTTTGAAGATGGGGTTAAGGTTTTGAATTGGTTAGCAAAACAAGCTAATTTGGCTGACTGTAGAAGATTGGGTGTTCAAAACCGTATGTATGATAGCTTTGGTGCTTCAATGCTTGAGCCTTGGCTGGCTGCCCATGGAGACCCTTCAAGGTAACTATTAGAATCCTTAGTTGAATTTTAAAAGACGAAATGTGTTTAAGTGATTGTTTGTTTATGATTCAAGTCCTTCGATTATATTTGCCCACATAAATTTTGCATTGCAATGTACTCTTCATCATTAGTTTTGGCTAAATGGCAAGTCTTTTCTAGGATTACAGAGTTGAGTTCCGTCAAAACCCTAATTAAATATACTAGTTTAGAAATATTTATCAAAGAAAGAATGGTGATTACAGGTTGTTTAAAATTGAATTATTATTTTTAAGCCATGTTATTAACGCTAAGTTATTGGATGACTAGAAGATTCATTCTTTCATGTATGAAGAATGTTGGTTAAAGAGACTTTAAAGTTTAAACCATGCCAAAAACTTCTCAATCTGAAAGCTTAAGCCGTAATTTTAAGGGTCCAAGAATTTCAGACCTTCATTTCAATTTTTATTCTGACCATTTTTGCCCATAGGAGGGCACTTATTGGAGACCGGATATTCTAAGCAAAGATTTGTATAGCTAATTAACTGTATTTATCAATTTCAATAGATTTTTGTTAATTAGTTTTTTCTCCTTTCTATTTGATTAAGTTCTTTACTGACTTTATGCTTCTACCAGAACAGATGTGTATTACTTGGAGCAAGCTCTGGTGCAAATATAGCCGATTATGTGGCACAGAAGGCCATAGAGGCAGGGAAGTTGTTGGATCCTGTTAAGGTTGTTGCTCAAGTTCTGATGTACCCTTTCTTCATTGGAAGCACTCCTACTCGTTCAGAAATTAAACTAGCAAACTCATACTTCTATGATAAAGGAATGAGCAAACTGGCATGGAAACTTTTCCTACCTGAAGAACAATTCAACCTGAATCATCCAGCTGCAAATCCTCTTCACCCAGGCAGACAGCTACCGCTTAAATACATGCCCCCAACGCTAATAGTTGTGGCAGAACATGACTTTATGAGAGACCGGGCTGTTGTTTACTCGGAGGAACTGCGTAAAGTTAATGTGGATGCTCCCCTTCTTGATTATAAGGATGCAGTGCACGAGTTTGCAACATATGATGTGCTTCTTCAAACAAATGAGGCTAAAGCATGTGCAGAGGATATCTCTATATGGGTCAAGAAGTATGTATCTCTTAGAGGTCTTGAGTTTTCTTATTGAATAGAGCAGGAAAGAAAAAGGAAGAAACTGATTACAAAGGGGAAGGAATTGTCTTATTGACTGTTTTTCCCATGAGTTGTCATTTAGGTGAGTTTTTTTTTTTTTTTAACTTCTTTTTATTGTATAGTTTATAGTTTTTGTTGGAGATTTGGATTTCTTTGAAAGAATTGTCAAATGTTTCTTGTATAGCATATTCAAATATATCAGAAAAACATTCTTTGATCTGTTCCTTCATTTCATTATTTCGATGTACTGGATATTACATTTAGAAACAAAACAAAATAAAAATTATACTGATCATATATTATATGATTATTTCAAAGTTCCTTATTGAATTTCAGCAACTTTTATATGAGCCTACTTATTGTTCTTAAGAGGATCCATACATGTTACCTTGCTGGTGTCAAGCCTGTGTCTCTGCTATCTTTCTGGCAACAAGAGTCAAACAAAAAGGAAGGGCATAAAATAGTATATCCTGCATAAATTTCACCAAGAACAATGCATCGGCCGGCTAAATGGTACCTAAATTAAAAAGAAGCAACAGTGTTTATGGGTTTGCTTGATATTTTCTAAATTAAAATGTTAGGAAAAGAACATTATGATGAATATGTTAACTAAAAAAAAGTCTAAAATAGCTAAAAATAATTCCAAATTTCTTTGCACATAGATGTAAAAATGTCTCTGTCATTGCCTACCTTGGAACCGAACATAGTAACAAAAACTAGATAGATGCAAATAAAAGTGAAGACACGTTAGTGTTTGAGTCTCTGTCTGTCTCTTTTTCCTCTTATTTGTGCATTATCAATGGAGTTTTCCACAGTAGAAGGAAACAAAAACTATAATAAAAAGAAAAGCCACTAGAAAAAACAGGAGAATTTGTTTAAATGCGAACAGGACAGTCATGTCCGTATGAACTTTCTGAGCTGGATAGAATTGAAAGACAAGAGAAAGGTTAACAAAACTCCATAAATCTAGGAATTCTAATATCCACGCCAATGTGAACAGAGAATGTTCTTCGATTGCCCTATGCGTACATTGCTCTATGCATGCTGTAATTAAGCAAGACAACATTTCAAAGCAAAAGGTACTTATTGAGTTTTGTTTATTAAATCCTTGAACTTTCATTTATCGGTAATAAGATTTAAATTTTTCTTCCAGTAAAGATTAAACCCTAAATCGAATGAAAATAAAGGAGCAATCCAAGTCATTAACGACAAGAAATAAACACAATTATAATAACATAATACGTGGAAAATTGTCATTAAAACTAGGGCCTTAATAACGAAAATTTGAAGATCCCAATATTGACAAACAAAAGTTTAATTTAGGAAAATAAGGGAAATCTCAACCAAATTCAACATGTGTTATTATGACTTTTAAACCGTCAGTTAAATAAAGATTTAGAATATGTTCTGCAAAATTAGTTATTTTGATAGTGTTCCACAAAATTAATTATTTTGATAGCTATTAGTTGTTTGAGTAGTTTTTTATATATCTGTAAAAACTAAACGTTATATGGGTTAACATTTTTATAAAACGTTAAAAGCCAGTCATTATAAAAGCTACTTAAAAAATTATTGTGAAACACAGACTTAAAAAGTTTAATATCCATAGATAAAACTTTAGAATTTTGACGGGCAAAACTCAATAAATTAGGATGCCTAAATATGCTTTTTGTGTATTCCAAACTCATTCTTTTTTCTATTTCCTCAGTACTTTTCACAATTATGTCAATTAAATACATTAAAACTTTGTAATCATCTCCTGCCAACAAGGAAACTTCTTAATTTTGCACCTATAAATATCTCCTGAACAGCAAATGGGTTTTTCAGGATTTAGTAATTGCATAAATGTCTAATACATTAGAAGAGGAAAAAATGCCTTCTCCTCTCTATGTGCAATCTGAGTTCTGCACTGATCATAGAAGTGATGAAAATAAAAGGCTAGATCTCAATCTGTGCCATTCCATGCCAAAATTTTCTATGTTGGATAATAAACGCCCGGCCTGGTTTGATTTAGATGAAAAAAGAAGGTACAAGAGGGTGAAACAAGAACCAAGTACTAATAGCTTATCTACCTTGTCAAGACTGCACTTCAGGGATTATATTTGGGCTTACACAGAAAGGTATTTAGCAATTGAGGCTATGGAAGAAGCAACTGCAGCTATGGTGGTTAGTGACAAAAATGAAGTTAAAGAAGAAGAAGGAAGTGATGGGATGAAACTAGTGCAACAGCTCATTTCTTGTGCTGAAGCTGTAGCTTGTCGCGACAAAACACATGCTTCTGCATTATTATCCGAGCTAAGAGCTAATGCCCTTGTTTTTGGGACGTCATTTCAAAGAGTTGCTTCTTGCTTTGTTCAAGGGCTATCTGATCGGCTTGTGCTTGTTCAACCACTTGGGGCTGTCGGAATTTCAGCTTCTCCAGCAAAAACAATTACTAGTTTCACATCAGAGAAGGATGAAGCCTTGCGCCTTTTCTATGAAATTTTGCCACAAATCCAATTTGGTCATTTTGTTGCAAACGTGACCATATTGGAAGCCTTTGAGGGAGAGAGTTCTATTCATGTTATTGACTTAGGTATGTCACTTGGCCTACCACAAGGCCAACAATGGCGTAATCTAATACACAGACTAGCTAATAATAGCTCGGCCAACCCACCTAAGCGCCTTCGAATAACTGGCGTAGGAAACTCCGGTGAACGCCTAGAAGCAATAGGGAATGAGCTAGAATGCTATGCAAGATGCATGGGATTCAATAACTTGGAATTTTTATATGTCGAAAGCAGCCTAGAAAACCTGAAAGCAGAAGACTTCAAAGTTCTTGACGGTGAAGTTGTAATCATAAATAGCATTCTTCAGTTACATTGTGTTGTGAAAGAAAGCCGAGGAGCATTAAACTCAGTTCTACAAAAACTACATGAACTATCACCAAAAGTGGTAATTTTAGTAGAGCAAGATTCAAGCCATAATGGCCCCTTCTTTCTAGGAAGGTTTATGGAAGCATTACATTACTATTCAGCTATTTTTGACTCATTAGACGCAATGCTGCCTAAGTATGACACAAGGCGAGCGAAGATAGAGCAATTTTTTTTCGCGGAGGAAATCAAGAATATTGTTAGCTGTGAAGGGCAAGCAAGAGTGGAGAGACATGAAAGACTGGATCAATGGCGGAGGAGGATGAGCAGGGCTGGATTTCAACCTGCACCTATAAAGAAGATAGCACAAGCCAAGCAGTGGTTAGCTAACGCGAAGATTTGTGAAGGCTATACTGTTACAGAAGAGAAAAGTTGTTTGGTTCTTGGATGGAAATCAAAGCCTATAGTTGCAGCTTCATGCTGGAAATGCTCCTGAAACTGAAATCACCTGCTGTTACTCACTATATCAGCAGATTGCAGTTGCAGGTGCTCAAGTGGGAATGTTTAAGGATTACTGGGTTTAAGCTCTGATGTTGGCTGTTGATCAACAATCAATAATTGGGAAATCTTTCTTTTTTTTTTTTTTTTCTTTTTCCTTTGTTTCTGTCAAGAATTCTGAAATTATTTTATTGTTTTGTTACCTTCATTAACAATATTCAGATATGCCGGCCATTGACAGTAGCCTTGAAAACGAGACTAGTGAAAACAACTGCATCTTTTGGGAATAGGCTATTAGATGCCAACTGATTGATTTAAGGAAATGTATATTTATTTCAGAATCATTTAGGTGGTAGAAATTTAAAAAGAAGAAGAAAAGAAAATAATGGAAAATTTGTAAATTTATTCATATAGAACAATAAAAATTGTAATATTTTTCTGCGATGGAAATTATTTTGAGGTTAGCAAACCAAAAAGACAAAACTAGTATTTGTCTTCTTAGTGGTGGGAGTTTGGACTAAAACGACAAAGCGTTCCAAGAAATGAGCTTCTTTTTCTCGTATCTTTTATGTGGAAAAATTTTCCCTATTGGATACTGTGGTCTTAATGATATGTGGGGAATCAAAACGACCTGCCGTGTGTTTCCAAAACGCAACGGAGTGTTGTTGAGGCCAATAATAAATAGGTTCCGTGGACCATCCCATCGCCACCGGTGATTGGTGGGACCAGATGATTGTCGAATTGGGGGCGTTGCTATCTGCCACGTGTATGGTGATATTCTTTCTACCACTCCATCTCTTCTACTACTCCATCTTCCTCGAGTGTAGACTTACGTCTCGGTGGATAAGATTCGCTATACCTTCTGGATCGGAAAAAAATACAGTTGATTTTAAAAATGGAGGTGGGTTTGTCTCTAAATGCACTTGTGAGGCTTCCATTATCGAACTCCTCAAGAACTCATGAGGATGTACTGGTTAAGCATTCACTGTTCACTTCAAGAACAGGACAGAAATCTCAACACAGAAAAACCTTATTGGTTGTTAATGCAAAAGGAAAGAGAGGAATGCAAGCTCGTCAATTTCAAAGGCCTCCAGCTCCGTCTTTGCCCAAGATTGAAGACGATGGAAACCCTAAATTCCTTATCTTTATTCGAATGGCTAATGTTTGTTCTCTCTCTTAATGGGTTTTATTCATTTCTCAATAGATTCTTGAAATTTCGTATTTGGTTTTGAAAAAACCGCTTTGTAGTTATGGCTTCCATGGAATTTTTACCTTGTTTTTCTTACTAGTACTATTGTCTTGTTTAAATTGGTTGATGAAGCAGTGAAATTAGACATTCTTGTTTTTCTGTTCGGCAGGTTTATCTTTGGTACCCACTTAGTCTTGTAACGGGTGGAACTACTGCCAAAATCACGGTTGCTGCTAAAGATAATTTTCTTGGAAAATATATTTACAAAGATACACTTGCTAGAAATCTTGCAGCAGTTATTTACAGAGTAAGTTCGTTCTGCTTTTGCAATAAATTCTAGTAGCAATTGCATGATAATGAATTGATGTTGCTAAAACTTCTGTGAGAAAGTATTATTCAATTTAGGAAGTTCCAAGCTGATTTTAAACATGTGAGGGGAGCTATGTCTGACTCCTTGAAACTTGCTCAAAACTGTATAGTGGCTGGTGTCTATAGTCAATTGGCAACAATTTATGCCTTGTATTAGGCCTTGCACGTACATAACCACGTTTCTGATACCATTTGTGTCTTTAGTGTTTTGTCTTTGCTGTTACTGCTAGTTTGGATTCTGACCAAATAATGTGCTCTGTCTCGTGAAATTTATTACTGTATGAAGATTTCATATGCAGGGTAAAGAAAAGCAGAAGGAAATTGAATTGATATTTATCCTATATTAGACTGTTACTCTGTTAGTATGAAAAATTTCTGATGATGCTTACCAAATCATCATTTTTGGTTAGTTTGGACAATTTTTTCTCCCCGGTTTTCTACTGACTGGTGGTCTTAATTCAAGTAGGATGAGAAGGAGATACAGAAAACGGCATTTAAACAATATCGTGTGCTGCGGTCAGCTACTGAATTCAGATACGGTTACAAACTTGTTGTAATGTCCCCCTTAGCCTCTCTCTTACATTTTATGAAGTTCAATTTTAATCTGTTTTTTCCCATGCGCTTAGGATATTAATGTAATATCTGTGAAAAATGAGTAAGAACAATTCATCCACTTCCTTTCCTGAATTTTTTTAATTGTTGAATGTAAAGGAAAATGGCAATATGAGGGCTGCACTTTCTACCTCAGACGTTATTGAGGTGAGTTGTATTTTTCAGTTCTTTTCTTTTTTCTGTTGTTGTTTTTATTATTTATTTTGGATTATAGCATTTGAGCTTGCTGAGCTTGAAATGAGGCATAAAAAAGAATCCAAGATTGTAGTTTTCCTAGGATTGTTAGCAGTCCATTATAAATATGTTGGCTAACACAATTGAGATTTTTTGATATTTTCTACATTCTATGCATCTATTTCCAATCTCCAGCTTCCAACAGAAGACCAACTCAAAACAGTATTTGATAAAGTGAAAGACTTCTTTGGGGGTGCAAAAGAATCTTTTGGAAAGCTTACGGCTCTGAATTCAGCTGAGGAAACAGAGGAAGTTTCCAAAGAAAATACCAAGTGAGTTGTGATAATTCAACAGTTTTCAGTTAAAGAAGTTACGCGTCTATTAAGAAATGCCCCATGTTTACTTAATTCCCGGTATTTTTCTTGTTTGACATAGAATACTGTTAAATTTTGTTTTCATCATTTCTTTCATTTACCAGAGTTAAAGGCTAAAGCTGAAGAGACCATATGTTCCACAATGTTAAAAAGTTGCTTCTATGAAAATGAAGCTGCGAACGTGCACATAAAGTTGAGAGTGAAGCAGCATACAGGACAAGCTTACTTCATGGTTTTGTTCATAGAATTTATATGACCTATTTTTTTCATAGACATTGATATCCAAAATAGCTTGCTGTGCACATGTTTGAAATATGTAATGTTAGTTGAATTTATTTGAATCAAGAAATTTTGTTATCCTTTTCCTTCAACTATTGAAGCATTATTATTGGATTTGTAAATTACAACAAAGTTAACATAATTTAGTCTCTTGACTGAATTTCATCTCCCCTTAACTGATACTCCTTACTGATTGATGGCACAAGAAAAAGTGCAGATTTCTTCCTGGTGGCGAGCCCGAAAACCTCGCTAAGGTCTACATTGTCAGCTCCCACTCCATCAGGCAATGCCCAGTCAAAATGGTATAGAAGTCGAGCAAGTGCAATCTCGATTGTTGCTAATCCGAAGGTATAACCAGGGCAACCTCGCCTTCCTCCTCCAAATGGTAGAAACCTGAAATCCTGATCCTTGATATCAATATCGTTTTCTACAAACCTCTCGGGATTGTACGCAAGAGGATTCTCCCACAATTTCGGATCCCTTCCAATAGCGTAGGAATTGATCAAAATGCGAGTTTTGGCAGGTATTTCATATCCATCAAGAATGCATTTCTCCATAGATTCTCGAGGAACAAGAAGAGGAACTGGTGGGTGCAATCGCATTGATTCCTTTATAAGAGCTTTCATGTAATGCAGGTGTTGGAGATCATTTTCATCAACCATTCCTTTTCCTGATGCAATCTTTCTCACCTCTTCTTGTGCTTTCTTTAAAAATCTTGGATGCCTTGCTAGCTCTGTCAATGTCCATTCTAGTGTTGACGATGATGTATCAGTTCCAGCAACAAACATGTCCTGTTGGCATTTATTGAACTCAAAGGAGTTAATTGAATTGCAAATTTTGATTTTTTAAACGTGATGGGCAATAATAATAATAATTAACAAAAAAAGGGACTCTGATGGATAGTTTACAAATTGTTGATTAAGAGAAAATTTAGGTGCGATTTATTAGTAACATTTACTTACAAGCACTAAAGCCTTGAGATTATCATCAGAAATGGGCACCTCCAAATCCTCTCTTTTTTGAACCCTAAGCAAAACATCCACAAAATCTTCCTTTTCATCATCGCTTTCCATCTTCTTCTTCAAGTGTTCCTCTATTATATCATCGCATACTGCTCTTAGATCCTCCAAGTTCTTCATCAACCTCTTTTTATACCCACTGACTGAGTTAACCCACTCCCAGTCGGGAAAGAAATCGCCTATACAAAACCCTGCAAACAAGGCTTGTGTTTCTGTCAAAACATTCACCATTTTCCCTTCTTTCCCTTCCTCGATAAACCTCCTCCCAAACGCTACTCTACACAATATATCATTAGCTAAATTAAACAAAAGCTTGCTCATGTCAACTTCCTTCCCGGACTGAGCCAACACGGCAGCTAACAACCGATTCACCTCCTCGTCTCGAACCCGTTGAAACGAGCTGACCCTTTTCGCGCTAAGTAACTCAGTGACGCAGATCTTTCTCGCTTGTCGCCAGTATGCTCCGTAAGGGGAGAAAGTGACATCGGAACAGCCGAAGGAGAGGTACTGAGCGGAGATGAGTTGAGGACGGTTGGCGAAGGCGTGATCGTGAGTTTTGAGAACGAGTCTAGCGAAGTGAGCTGAGTTGATGACAACGGTGGAGATTTGGCCGAGTTGGAGATAAAATAAAGGGCCAAGCTTGTTGGAGAACTCGGAAAATGTGTGATGGGGCATGTCCGTAAGGAGGTGGAGGTGGCCAATTATGGGTAGCCGCCCCTTCGGCGACGGTAGGTTCATCTCCGACCTGGTTTTCCATAGATAATAACAGACGCCGATGACGGTTATGAATAGCAAGAGTAGGGGGAGAAGGGGGTGCATAGTTGGAGTAAAATGGTCCATTTCATTAGCATATGTTTTTTGGGTAATTGGGTTCCTGTGTACTTTGCTTCTTCACGTCAAGACATGATTTATATAACATAAATCAATAATAAGGATGTTGGAAGGATGTCAGAAAACCAGTGAGTTGGAGCAGAGTATTGTTGAGCTCAAACTCAAACTCAGTTTGTTTGAGAAAAAGACAAGCTTAAGTTCTGCTCCAATCAGCTCCTTTATGTTAAAGTTCAAATTCAGATTAAAATATTTTTATAATTTTTCGTTGTTTGAAATATTAAAAGAAAATAAATTATTCATCAATATATAATAAGCTAGCAATTAAACATTGGAAAAATATTTTTCTAACTTATTTTATAATTTAAAATTAATTGTTTTGGTCAAACACTCCACCCGTTATGTCTAATCCATCCTTGTTGCTGGTGGCATCATTTGGAAACTTTGAGAATGGCAGGTAGTGGTGGAAAGGTCAAAGGAGTTGAACAGAAGATTGATTACAAAATGAGTGGTTGGTTTTAATTGTTATAGTAGGAAATAATGCTATTAATGATTATTTTCAAAAAATATATATTAGGAAAAATTTTGAAAATAATATTAACCATTTTTTAAAAAGTTAAAAAGGTTTATAGGCCTTAAAAAAATAATAATTAAAGAGTAATTGGCCCATAATAAGCAATCTGTGTGGATACAGTTTGATATTTTGAGAAATATACTTACTAAAAAAAGAAAAAATTTTTATACTTTACAACGAAAAAAATTATTCCATATGAAAAAGATGGACATATCAATAAATAAAATTTACATAATTTGTAATTACTAAAATTCATAAAAAAAAAAAAAAAAAAAAAAAATAATAAAATTTTACATAATTTGTAATTACTAAAATTCATAAAAAAAAAAAAAGAAAAAAAAAAAAAAAAAAAAAAAAAAACACAATGCTATGCATTTAAAAGAAAATTTTATTTTCATATTCACAAAAGTCAAAAATATACATGAGGTACAGTGTTACGGTCCTAACCTTACATTTTTGGGTTGGGCCGAATTTTGATTTACCTCTTATGGGTTTAATGTAATACTATATTGTTCAATTAAATGAAAATACAGGTCCATGTTTTTGGATTAGTTGACCTTGACTTCTCGTATATTGTCTGTTGACATGTCAAATCAACACGTGTTTCATTAAGTTTACATTAACAAAGGAGAAACACTTATTTATGCGGGTCTAAATTTAATAAGAATAAATTAAGGTAAATAATAAATAAATAAAACAATAATAAAAAGTTGTATTTTTTTTATATTTCAATTAATTATATGTAGTATCTCTAGGAAAAATAATTATAAGGATAAAAAATAAAATTTTAAATGATTTTAAAAAAAAGTTTTACACATGCTTCCTTTTTTTGTTAGAAAAGAGAGAGGTGAAAAAATTTCTAAAAATACAATTAGAATAAATTATATCACATAAATTATAAAGGAGTTAGCCAAGCTCGGTAGCGTGTACTTCTAGTCAAGAGGTGCATCCCATCCTTTGTAATCGGTAACAACCATTACTCGCATAATTTTAAATCATGAATGATCTAATTATTTAAATTTAATAAAACGCTTTGAAGAATATGAATGCTCAAAAGTTTAATTTCAATGCTCAAAAGTTTAATTTCAAAAATAAGTTAATCAATTTACACAAAAATTTGACTCAAATGGATATGATTAAATATAATTAATCCAATCATTTACATTTGCTTCTTTAATAATTATGAAGTAGTAGTGTACCTCTCTTAATTGCTTGTGTTATGAGTTATGACTAGGTGGATTGGACATTCAACCTGCAATGATGATTAAACAAATAATTTTTTTTTTTTTTATACATTTTCTTAGGCATGGCCACCGGTTCGATTTTAACCGAAACCGAACCGTATTGTAGACGAACCGGAACCGGACCGGAATCGGCGGTTTATAATTTTGAACCGAAACCGGCGGTTCAAGGCGGTTCAAGGGCCGGTTAGATTCAATTGTGAATCTTAAATATGAAAACCGAACCGCTCAGAACCGGCGGTTAACGGCCTGTTCCAGTACGGTTCGAACCGATTGTCAAAAAAAATTTATAGATTAAAATTTTTATAAAAAATTTATATTACTTGATTTGAAATTGTAATTTGATTTTATTAATGGTGAAAAAAAAAGGAAAGTACAATAGTACATAAGTTATAAAAGTAGGTGAAAAAAATACCAACATTTTTTTAACTTAATTTATACAAAAAATGGTACATGAAATAGTTTGATATTTATTATAAAAAAAAACTTTCCAAGTTGGTATAAAAAAAGAGTGTAACGAATAGTTTTGATATAATAGGTGTTTTTTTAATTTAATTTTTTGGTAAATATTTTATTCATTTTTAATCATTTATTTATTTATTTACTAAATTATTCCAAAAATATAATTTGTTATTTTTTAATTAATAAGGGACAATTTTGGGAAACTAATAAATGAGAAACATGTATAAATAATTGATGAGTTTGATGATTTTTTATTTTCACAACCAATTATATCCATAACTTCTTCTCTTATTCTCAATCAAAAATTCTCGCATTTTTCATATTTCATTTATTTTTTCTATTGCTTTATTTTTTAATATGGAATTAAATTCTATTGTTTTATTTTTTATTTTTCTTTTCATACATCCAATTCTAAATTCCTTCTAATCTCAATTTTCCCATTCATAAATTTACTTCATTTGATTTTTTTAATAATTTTCTTAGTATTTGAAATTAATAATTTCTAACTCATTTCATTAATTTCATATTTCATTTAATCATTTTTTTTTCCATAATTCCATTTAAAAACATGGCACACAATTCACAAAACTCCAAGGGAAAGGGAGTTGCTCAAAGGGTGGAAGAAATTGATTCAAATGATCCATTGATTGATTTTTCACCACAATTTAATGATGAAGTTTAATATCAAACTCTAGTTGAGGAACATTATATTCGTCGTCATCCACCAGGTAAATGCGGAACAAATCGGAACCGTTAATTCCGAACCGTCCGTTCGCCTGGAACTGTGCCGGAACCGGAACCGGAACCGAAACCGGAAGGTTCAGGGTTGGGTTCCGGTTCAAAATTTTATAAACAATCCGAACGCCGAACCGGCGGTTCAGTGAACCGGAACCGGCGGTTCACTGAACCGGCCATGCCTACATTTTCTATGTTCATATAAGTAAAATCAGTATTTTAATACAATTAGTGAAGGTTAGCACCACAGTAGAAGAACTCTCTCATTGTTATAACTGATCTTCAAATCCAACATTGCTTTTAAAACATTAGACATGTCTTAATTTTTCATTTTCATTTCTTGAGTTACAGTACTATTATTTATTAAAATAACTAAGTTTCATCTAAACATATTATCAATAATATTGTTTGTTAATCCCAACTTTCATTACATGCAAGATCATAGATTCAAGATTTAGAATTACAACTGAAATGCTTTATTTAAATATCACCATGACTGGAACATGATACCATATAATGTCGCTCAAAAAAAAAAAAAAAAAAAAAAAAGAAAAAACATATGAGAAAGACATAAAAACTAAATTTAAACTCAGTATTAATATTCAATTGGCTAAATCACAAAAAAAAAGGCATTAATTGTGACGAATTTGGCAAATTTAGCCAATACTTTTAATTTTATCCATTACTACATCAAACTTATTTTTCTTTCTCAATTACGTTCTCCCTCTGATACTCGTTAGTTTGTTGCTTATTTGGCCGTTAGCTAGTTCTACGTACGGCACGCCAACTCACATCCATATAGTCCTTTAATTGTTCATCCTTACTTTTAAAATCTCCAAGTTGAAAGATTACATTGTTGGTTGAGACATTCTCCTTCTCATTCCACCACAAATTTGAAATAACTTAGTATAACTTTACAATTAACAGACTCTTGATGTATCCACCGTCAGTAACCTCAAAGTCTCCAAATAGATTTCTCCACTTCTGGAATTGCATCACTCAACTGTAACCAATTAGATTCTAGGTGAAAGCTAGAATTGGCAATAAAAAATAAGTACATAATATTGATTGATAAAATTAACAATATCGATTAAATTTGAAAAAAAAACCAAAAAAATTCAGGCTTTTTTTCTATGATTAAACCTATTCCATCCATATCAAGAACTGTGAAGTTAGATTTGAAAAAAACAAAGTAAAATACCATAAAGTTTTGACATCTTAAGCAAAGCAAATACAAAAATGTCAAATGTGGAAAGCATGATGGGTGAAAAAAAAAATGGATAGAGCATTAGAAAACTTAAAAGATTGGAAGACATGCTCTCAAGTAGAAAAAAGAAAAGGGTTTGCCCCCCATTGATGAAGCTGGCCAAATAAAAAGCAGACCAAAGAATCTTGCCCTTAAAAAAAGAAAAGGGTTTGCCCCCCATTGATGAAGCTGGCCAAATAAAAAGCAGACCAAAGAATCTTGCCCTTAAATTATTATTATTAATTAATATTATTGCGTTCTTGCTTTCTTAATTCAACTAGTGAAGGCAAGCACTATTTTATTCTAATGCAAAATTGTCAATAAATGACAACGACTCACGTCTTTTTCCACCATATTTTTACTTGACTTTACCATTAGTTATTCAATTTCTCTAATCAAAAATCAAAACCCATTCTAATATATAGTTTTTATGATTGATTTATGCTCTCTAATCATTGGTTTCTCTTATTCTTTAAGTTAGGATATGAACTGTCATGGAATCTTTTCTTGATTTTATAATAATTTTACAACTTCCTTTTAATCTTCAAAGCTTAGCTCTTTAATTAGAGTGTTATGTTGTTTCTTGTTTCTTGTTGATCATAATCAAGAAATTAATTAATCTTCTGCAATATGGGAAGACAACCTTGTTGTGACAAAATTGGATTGAAGAGAGGTCCATGGACTATCATGGACTTATCGAAGAAAGACCAAAAGCTTATTTGAACTTCATTCTGCGAACAATGGAATCCATGTTGGAGACTGTCCCAAAACTTGCAGGTAATAGAATTCTCACAATTTCTTGGTCTTGATTAACTAGCTTCTTGGGCATTTCTTTGTTTTTTTGTAAAGCAGAAAGACAAATATTTTTTTTGTTCTTGGTGGTTTAATATTAAGTAGATATGTAGGTTTTATTAAGGTGTGGGAAGATTGCAGATTTGGAGAAATGGATGAATTACTTACTTGGGCCCTGATCTTAAACAGAGGAGCCTTTAACAGAAGCAGAAGAAGATCAAATAATCGAACTCTCATTCGTGGTTTGGTACAGGTTTGAACATTAATTCTTTGTTGATTATACTTTTTTGAAATCAAACTATTAAACACACTGTGTGAAATTCATTAAAATTTTGTATGATTCTGCAGGTGGTCTAAAATTGCTGCAAAGCTTTTCCCAGGCCGTACAGATAATGAAAATTAAAAAGGAACAAAAAAAAAAACCAATTTGGAAAAAAAATACAAGAAAATTTAAGAAGAACTAAAGAATTCTTGGTATAGACCCACAAACCCATAAGAAGAAATTGATACAGAAGAAGGCTGAAACCTCTAAAGAAGAGTCAAAAGTGAAGGTTATCAGATAGAAAGTGAAATCTTTGAAGAAAAGAAATTTGATGCAGGATCTGTTTTGAACCTCTTTGTACTGATAAATCTGAATCTTTTTTGTTCAAGAATTGAGAATCTGTCATCAAAGAAGCAATCTCAGCAGAATTGGATTGATAATCGTAGAACTCTTTGCTTTCATGGATGGCTTTAATAATCTGGCAAGAGGATTAATCTGGAAGAGATATTTCCTTTTGACAGTCATCAATTATGCTAAGGAATATATATGGATTGTAAATTTTTCTTCTTTTTTTTTTTTTTCTTTTTATTAGTGAAAATGTATAATTATTATTAATGTGATGAAAATTATTTTATAAATATCACATAATATTTGCAATATAAATTCATGCAGCACTATTTATTTTTGTTTGAAAAGAGAGAAAGTTCTTCCCTTTCTCCGGGAGAAGAGTATTCAGTAATTCCTAAAAATTTACTTGCATCCGGTATATGAATCCATTTCATATATTATACTAACTAAAAGCAGTTTTTCGATTCAAATTAGGATATTTCTAAATAATTATTGAAAAAAAAATAAAATAGTAATATATATTTTTTTAATTCTTTATTGATTGGTTTGGTATACAGATCCAATCTAACCAAAGAATAATTTGTATTCTAAAATTATCCTCAGGAGAGGGTATCAGAAAAGACTATTGGATTTATATAAAATTTTTTTGGGTAAAAATTCTATATAATTTTCGGAGTTGGACCAGGATGGGCCTGGCCTAGTTACTGGCCCAATTAGGGTCAACATCAAGAACAGAGAGCAAGCGGACAGTACCTGAGTAAGGCTTATCTATAATTAGAAACAAAATTATTTCAGAAACAGCCAGAAGTTAAGGAATGAATTTCTGGAGAGTTCCAGAACGTTAAGGTCCTCTACCACTCCCATTTTCTACCCATCACAAAATGCTGTTTCCAGAAATGTCCACTCCTCTCTTTAAATGTCACCAATTCCTTCTGTGTTTCTCCACCGATCAAGTAAAAGGTTGGAGTTCATTCCTTTAGAAAAATGTCTCAAGCTCTTTCCAATTTAAGCTTTTCTCTTCCTTTATCATCAAAAAGCACTTCTGTTCGATCAAGAAACCTTCGTTTCATTGTCAAAGCAAAGGCAGCAGAAAATAGAGACAATCTTAAAGGCAGCAGAAAATAGAGACAATCTTGATCATTTACAGAAAGCCACCAAGCAGCAGCACCACCAACAACCCCAAACCAAGAAAAGAACGGCTCCTGTTGCTCCAGTAGGTATGTAATTAATTTAATTAATTAGTTACAAATTAATTGTTCTCTCTTAATTGTCTAAATTTAGTTGTAAAATGTGGGGTTTTGAGAGTTTGAGAAAAATCTTGAATTGCAGGGCTATGGGACAGATTTCCTACAGCTAGAAAAATCTTGAATTGCAGGGCTATGGGACAGATTTCCTACAGCTAGAACAGTACAGCAGATGATGGAGACGATGGAGAGAATGATGGAAGACCCTTTTGCCTATACGGCTACTTGGCCATCAGAGCCACCATCACCAGTTGAACGAAGTGGGTATAGCAGAGGAAGGACTCCATGGGAGATAAAAGAAGGAGAAACAGAGTACAAGATGAGATTTGACATGCCTGGAATGACTAAAGAAGATGTGAAGGCAGAGAAGGTGCCCGAGAAAAATAATGTCAATGGTGCACAAAATGGAATAGAGGAAGAAGAAGAAGGAGGATGGTCTGCTAAGAGCTATGGGAAATATAGCTGCAGAATTGCATTACCTGAAAACATACAGTTTGAGAAAATAAAAGCTGAGGTTAAAGATGGAGTTTTGTATATAACCATTCCTAAAGCTTCTACCACTGGCAAGATTCTTGATATCGCTTCAATATGATCATTCACTTTCCATATATTGAATATGTGAAGTTTATCCAAATGGACAGGTTTTTTTTTTTTTTTTTTTTTTTTTTTTTTTCTTTTTTTTTTTTTTGTATAGTACTATGTAAGAAGCTTTGGGTGTGAAGAGAACCAAAACTTTGTGGCTAATAATATTCTGATCATGGAATTGCATTCTGGAGTGGCCGATATTTTAATTGTCATTCAAGGAAAACTTATAAAAATATATATATATCATATTAGCTGTACAATCACCTAATGAAATAAAATAACATAGAGAGTTTTTTTTTTCTTTTTTTTTTAACTTATTTTTTATTAATTCTTTCAGCAACCGATGAAGCTGACTTTTGAAATATGCTTGATCTTGTAACTCTCTTCACCCAGTAATCGCCTTGTAAGGTCGAGATGTGTATGACACAATTTCAACACCTGAAGACTAGAAATATTCTGTAAGCCTTCTGGAAGAAACCTCAAGTTTTTACAACGCCAAAATTCAAGATACCTTAAACTAGGAAAAGCTCCACGGCCTATCTCCGTCCACTCCACTAGGATATCCACACCATGGAAAGTAAGTATTTCAAGCTTTGGAAACCCACCGGCGTCACAGAACTCTTTACCGATGCAGCGTACTTTATAAGCACGACCTAGACGAAGAACCTTTAATTTGGGGAGAAATTGAAGTGTAGGGGCTGGGGGCTCTAACAGATTGGAATAACTTAAATGTAACACAGTGAGGTTTTCCATGGAGGCAAGCCAAGCAGGCATTTCAACAAGGGCACCATATAACCTCAGATGTTTAATAGAAGATGGAGGGGAAAATGATTCCAAATCTAGAACAGATGAATTAAGGGAGTAGAATTCATCTGCTTTGAGTGACAAGGAGACAAAAATCATAGAACAGAATGAATAAGGGTCGGTCTAGAGATTCATCTGCTTTGAGTGACAAAGGAGGACAAGCTTTTCCCATCTTCGTGTATGGCTGCAAATATGTTTGGGTGACCTTATCCTTCAGGGACACACAGCCACACACTTGGAGTTGTTGCATGCTTGCGCCGTAACGATGTTAGCTTCACTGGGCATGACGCCTCCAGCTATACTTCACCTAAAGTAAAGAACAGGACTATTATTCAATGTTTCAATTCCACTTCGGAACTCTCATTCCACTCTGAACGTGGCTCCGGGCAAGCTGTTCTTGAATATTGATGTGTCTAACTGATTGAAATATTTAAAGGAGAACTTTGTAAGATATTGATGTGTCTCAACTGTTGAATATTAAAGACTTGTAAAGGCAATTCCTTCAGCTTTCTATGGGCGATTATATCCAAAGTTTGTAGGTTTTGAAGGTTGCCTAATGTCTGCGGAAGTTCATCCTTCAAAAAAAATTTCGAGCGCAAATATCTCAGGTGAAACAAGTCACCCACTTCGTCAGGTAATCCCTCCCCAAGGCCGCCATCCAAACTTAACACCAATAAATATTGCAACCTGCAAATAGTTTCCAGATAGGCCCGAGAAAAACCAGGCCCGGATGCATTCAAAAATAGAGAACGAATTTGAAGGGTTTTGAAATCAGGAGGAATATTGTTCCGGTGATGATGTATTATAGCTCGAACAGGTAAATTCGCAGCTTCAGCCAAAAATTCCACTTCATCCACCTCGACAACGCATAAATTTACATATGATTCATTAAAGCCAATATTAGGCCCATAATCAAAAGTATATGACACTGTTGTGTGTGTTTCTATCAGCAGTCCTAGATGAATTAACTCGTCGATAACGTTATTTGCTAGATTATCTATGAGTTCCCCTTCTTTCTCTGGTATCAGATCTTCAGCTGATAAAAGCCGAGCCATATAAGCCTTCGTTAAAGGAGAACCATATCGTCCTCTATGAACGATAGCGCAATAGTCTAAGCAGGACATGAGATAATGAGGAAGACTTTGATATATTGAAACGAAATCAGCTGAAGAAGAAGAACAACTCTCACCTATTTCGTTTAGTGCTGTAGAAGATAAGCTATCCTTTCTTCTTTGCATCTCCGCAAAATACATTTAGCTATCCTTTCTTCTTTGCATCTCCGCAAAATACATTTCTTTTCGATCAGTTGATTCACGAGTGAAGCAGATCTGAGGCATATTTTTGGATGCGTGAAGGAACCAGAAAAGATAAGGGAAAATAATTATTTCATCATCGAGATCTGAAAATCGAGAAGAAAGAAAAGATAAGGGAAAAGATAAAGTAACTGATATGGGAAAGAAATTTACAAAACTTAACCTTAACGTTTTACTTTAAAATTAAAGGAAAATGTGTGTTTTTTTTTTTTTACAGAATGACCTAGCAATACGAGGGAAGCAAATATCAGAGGCATTTCAAATATTTTAATCAAAGAGCGGTAAATCTCAGAGATAAAATAATTATTTTTTTAAAAAATAATACTTTTTAAAGTCAGCAGACAATAATTAATGCAGTAAAAATTTTTAAGTGTATGGTCAGAAATATCATCGTTTCAATAAGAATATTGAATTTCATTGGATCCAGTCTAGATAACTTTTTTCCTTTCCACTTACGAGAAAAACTTAGCTAGACCCGATTTATATCCATACCTATGGTCTAAACCAATTGAAATTTAATATTTTTATTGAAAGAATATATTTCTGACCATACATTTAGAAAAAAAATGATAAAGTCAGGGACACTTTTTTGTAAATTATGAATTTTATTTATTTGGTCCATAAATGGGCTATGGACCGGATCTAAGTAAGTTTTTTTCATCTATTTATATATCAAACCAATCTTAAACAGTATTTTAGTTTAAATGATGACATTTTAATTTTTAAATTATATACTAAAAAACAAGTAATATTTAAAAATAATTATTTTTTTAATTAAATTAAACGTATGTGATCACTCGTAATGTAAGAAAATATTACTGGATCTTTTATATACATTCGGCCATTATTCTACATGTGGAATACCATAAGCGTCATTTAAAAAGAAAAATTGGGGATGCTTCCAAAACTGCAATTCATCCCTCCTAATTGAAATTTCAATTTTCCTCAGGTTTTTTAAATTATATATAAAAAGGAATGTGTCTTTATTTTTTTATTTTGCTTTAATTTTTCAACAAGCTTTGAAAATTTTGGTAGATGTAACTGCTTGTTCTGACCTTGTGTATGTTGATTTCTTACCAACTTCAACTTGTGCACACTACAAATGAGATATTAATATTTTTCTTTCTGGTTTTTTCAATTATTTTAGGCTAATTTTGGATGTATTTAGAAGCATATTAGTTTGGGTTAGTTGCTTAGATAAGTTAAATTTTTCCTGGCTTTCAATATATTTTAGGCTAATTTTGGATGTATTGGAGAAGCACTATTAGTTTTGGGTTAGTTGCTTCAAGATAAGTTAAATTTTTGCCTGGATATATAATAAAATAAATAATTATACTGATAAAAAAAATGATAATATTGGTTAATTAATTGATACTATCTTAACTTTTTTTTTGCCTAAGATATATATTATTTATCGTTCATCATTCATCATATATCATGGTTTGGTCGTAAAATTTGCAAATGCCTTTCTAAAATATAAAAGTTTAAAAATAGAAAGATTTAAAATATAAAAGTTTAAAAATTAGAAAGTTCAAATTTAGATCTATTGCCAAGTTGTATATGAATTCACACTAGACTGTGTCTTGACGTGTAGAAAGTGTTTTTATGTATACTGACAAGTAATTTCTCGTTTTAAATGGTGGAAAATTAAATTCTCCTAGAAAAAGGAAATTTTAAATAATACAATATTTATTGTTCAACGGAAAACATTTATTGTCATTCCAATACAATATTTAACTTTCCTATAATATTTTTTTTCAAATTTTACATTTCTAAAAAATAATTTTCCATAAAAAATTGAATTTCAGTAACTAAAGCCTACGTAATTGCTGAATTTTCATTTTTTTTCCCAGATAAAATAGATTTTCTTTTTTAATGGATTGAAATAAATCACACATCTTTATGAATTTTCAATATTTGTAAAACCTTGTTTCCTAATATAAATGGTCTTTTAGTTTGACTTCTAATTTAGTTAAATTTATCTTTTAAGTTAAAAGTTATAAGTAAAATAGTGTTTGATTCAATATCCAATAGAACCAAATCGTTGGTTGTGTCCAAATATGATTCAAGGTTTTAACATTCAACAATCTTTTTTTTTTTAATGATCTGGTACCCGTAGCTCATTGGCTCGACTAGTTTGAATTTACATTAGGCAGACATATAAAATGGGATAAAAACGCTTTCTCTGAGTGTTGAAAGAGACTTCACATTTAGAGCTCGTATTCAAGATATCTGATTAAAAGAAAAAGAATCTATACTATTGAAATAACCCAAATTTTTATTTTTGAAACTTTCAAATTTAATTTAAATCAAAAATCGAAATTTTTGACCGTATGGGCTGCAAATGGAATACAGTCTCAATTTAAGCCCAAATTTTCGAATTGGGCCCAAGCCCAAAAAACTGATTATCCGGAATGTTCGATCGGAGAACACTAAATATTTTGATGAAATAAAATGGAAATTATCTCGGAAATGTTCGAGTCGGCGAACACTAAATATTTTGATTGAATAAAATGGAACACTATTACTTAACCTTGATTTATAAATGTAATGTTATTACGTATATAACTATTATAGAAATTTAATTAGTCCTAAAATCAAAAAAAAACAAGAATCATTGAACTGTTCCATTATTTGATTAATTTGCAGTAAATGGAGAAAAATATTAAACACTGGAAACCAAACTAAATTACTCAAAATAAACTCGAACGGGATCCTGACAATCAATTTAATTATTAATCGGAAACCACCCTCACGAATACTCTTGAAAACCAAGTGGAAAAATCTAAACACCGAAGCAAGAATCGCAGCACAATCATTGGAATCAGATCAAACCTTTGAATCGAACCGGAATGTCTAGAACCGACATTCTTTTCTTTTCTTTTCTTCTTCTTTTTCTTCTTCTTCCTTCTCCAGCGCAACGGCAACAGCTCTCATCCTTTCCTCCGTTGCCTGGTATCCAAACGGCATATAGATCTCAGCAAGGCAGCACTCTAATCGCCAAGGTCAGCTCAACGAGACAATCACTCCCGGTGGCCTTGGTATTTGAGCGATGAGAGCCTGAAGCGAGAGACGATTTCGCGCTGGCAACGGCCGCTGGTCACCGTGCAGATTGGCGTTATTCCGGCGAAAATACTCATTCAATTTCCTTGTCGACTTCAAGGTGGGGGTTTAGGTCTCAACGATCCTCTCCTAAATATTTGAACTTGTCCCCTCCATTAATTTGTGGATGTTCTTGGTTTTGATGAACACCATGGAACCGGGTGGCTTGAAGGTGGCTGGGAGGTCGCAATCGGCCAAAACGAGCCACTGGTGCATCAAACAAAGTAGATAGCAGATTTGGATTCCTCCACGAAAATATTGAGTCGGGTGGTGGCTGACCTTGCAATTTCTGGGCGGCTTTAGCTTCTCCGGGCAACCTGCACTAGCGGCTCCTTCTGCTCGGGCGGCCGTTCCGGCGAGACTCCGGCGAGGAACTTTAAAGAAGGAGTGATCCCTTTCGCCTGGGGTCACGGAAAATCCAAATTACCGGATTTCCCCTTCCAATCGGTACTATTAAGGGCTTTCGTTGTCCATTCTTTCCGGTAATAAATTTACAACGTCGACATTAAGTTAATTAATTGGACCTATAAGTTCAATGAAGATTAAACAATTGGGAGATTTTAATGGAAATTCAAAAACTGCAAATTTTGACTTGAATTTAATCCCGAAATTAATTATTAACGATCATTAACTCAAGTATTTAAGTGAATTAATTCATTTATTAAAAGTAACCATACAGCAATTGATTATTTGAAAATGAATTTTAACTAATAATTTTATATTAATCGTTAAATTTCGCGATTTTAGGAAGTATAAATAGGAAAATTATTAATAATTAATGATATTACGAAAATAAAACATTTAATCTTGGTGAATAGAAATTATCAAGGCCTACTAGTGATGCGAATGCAATATAAGTAGACATAGTTTGTGACCTGGGATCGGTTCATTGTAAATTGGATGGTCTTGTCCGTACCGCCTTGATATGTGGATAGAATAGTAAAAATTGGTATTAGCTTCACGGTTTATTAGGTAGGACATGCTGACCGAACTTTTCTCTTTGACAGTATTAAGCACTTTAAATGGAGAATTTAAAATTAATCCATGTTACTTAATAAGAGTAGACGGACTAAAATTTTAGGTATTAAGAATATGTATCAATTTTCATAATTATCATTAATACAATATTCCTCACCGCAATTAAAACTAGAGATCTTTATTTAAAAGGTTATTAACACTTTAGAAAATAGTTATTATAAATTGAGAAAACCCAGGAGTAATATATGTGCATATTAACAAAGTTGAATTAACATGACCTTAGGTAACCCAAAATAAATAAACGAAATAGTGAATATCATAGTTTTTGAATTAAAATTACTTATTTAGGAACTTTTCCTTGTTTATTTACATTTTAAAGGCTTATAATAACAATACACAATAGCGAAGGAACAAAAGCTCGGAAGCAATAGTGGCTAAAAAGGCAGATCCTTTATTAAAAGACCAATAAAGAACTTGTGAGTAAGTTAAATAATAATCCGCTCATACCGCCTAGCATTTATGCAAAATCACGAGCTAAAATTGTATATCAGCATTATTAAAGACATATTATGATGATTGCAAAGAAAAAAATAAAAATATTTAGATTGATATTTACATATTTTTTCTTGATTACTTGTTGATGTGAATTGCATGTGTCTTTTTGTGATGGAATGGGCCGGATGAAGGGTCACCATAGAGTTTGTTGAGACCGCGTTTTAACCGTTAAATGGATCCTGTAATTGAGACCGGAAATGGGAGATCGGCGCCCCCGTGTGCACCCCTACCGTTTACCAGTATACCGAAAACCACAATGATTGGCTTTCTTTGCTTGGGCACCTGATACAATCTAGATTTGAATTGACGCCCGCAGCGGTTGCCTCCTGTACGATGAGAATATAGAATGAAAAATAAAAAACAATATAAAAAATTGCGAAATGAGAAGACAACAACACGAGAAGTTGCCTCCTGTTAGGAAATATATTAATTTATTTAAAAAAACAAAAAGACGAGAGAGACTGGAAAAAAATTAATTGGAGGACCTGTGACCAGTGATGAGGCTTTCTATATACGGTAGACAGAATAGGTGATTGGGCTCCCCTGGTTGCACATTTGTGAGGTTGGATAGCCATGTGGCAGACGGACTCATCGGGTTTAAGGTGAACTCCACTGACTAACTTTCCACGTTGATTTATATGATTGATGAAGGTTGAATAATACTGTGAATTACTGTTTGTATCATGCCGATTTGATGTTTAACCATACTGCATGTTCATCAAATAATCGGTGACCAGGGTAAAAATACTTTTTAGCATCTGTGTGATTGTAGTTGGAGCGGTAAGAGAGTTATCTAAACTCTACTCATTGAGTTGAAAGCTCACCTTGAAACCTACCTATTTTTTTTCAGGTTAATAGAAGAAAGAACACGTTCTATGGAACTCGAACACAATACATTATTCATTAGCTGTATTACCGTGAAATAAATAATTCTGACACGTAAATGTTAGAAGGTAAGAGCTTCGCACTCTGTAGCTCCAGTTGGATTATGTAAAATGCAATAATAAAAAGTCCATTATAACATATATACAACGTTGTACTAGTCTACAAAAATTAAAATAAATTATTGTGGCCCAAAATGTATCTTCCCCACAATTAATTGATAGGGAACATGAGGGTATTGCACCAATTCATAGGTTTACTAACGTGGATTTCTGGGCGAGCCTTAAACCCACCCCCAATGCGTTCTAGTGCCGCGTCCGGCCCGTGGAAATAGGAGTTGTGACAAACGTAATCTCATCTCAACATCGGAAAAATATTAGTTAACTGTATTTTTTTGAATATTATTTTGCTAAGCCCACCCAGGTCCTAGTGCCGGTCCGGCCCGTGGAAATAGATCGTGACAACTATCTCATCTCAACCATCGAAAATATTTAACTGTATTTTTTGAATATTATTTTGGTGCACATGAAAATAACGAATTATGTATCTTAACATTCATAATACATAGGGTTTGTTTGCTTATTAAAAATAATAATCACTTTGTACAATTTTACCGTTAAAAAGAGAAAAGCCGTTGCTTAATCTCTATTACTGGACTTGATTTGTCTGCCTTTCCTCATTTCAAATTCAAACGATGGTGGACCAAACCGTAATTTCCTAATAATAATAATAAAGCAGATTCTCTCAATCTGTGAGTGTGAGGCATCTGTCAGCCCACATTTCATTCGCTTCACACACTCATTTTTTTTTATTTTTTTTTCTTATTTTTCACTTGTAAGAACTGAGAACCAAAATAATAGGACAAAAAAACACTAGAGGTTAGGAGCTTCCACGTGGGTCCCACATCCTCCACACTCTTGCAAAAACTTAAAAAAAAATTTTAGTGTATATCTTTTTTTATACAAATTAATAATAATTAATTATTATTTAAAAAAAATATTGGTATTTATTCTGTTTCTATTTTCGGTGAAAATACACCAATATTTTAATTGTGAAAATGTATTTATATATTTGATTTGTATAATATATATATGTGATTTTTTTAGAAAATAAAATGCTAAATATATTTATGAATAAAATTTATCTATAACTGATTTATTATTTATATCTGAATAATATTGTCGTTAATATTCTGGTTGCAACCAAAAACTTATTTTGGTAGGTATTTTCATTTATTTATTTAATTTGTTTGGAGTATCAAAAATCAAAAATATATATAAAAACCCTGCACTTTAAAGGCAAACAAAAATGCCTGCACACTAAAAGCTTCTTTCTTTCTCTGCAAATTTCAGTTACTTTGAATTTCAAGCAGTTTACACTTTACAGTGTTATACACAGAAACCCTTTTCTCTCTCTTCTTGTGTCTTTCTCGCCTGGACATGTAATTGAACCATTGGGCCATCAGCTTTAAGATTTTCAAATTTAAAGTGGAAGGAAGAGCGATCAGAGAGCCCTTGAAGCCGTTGTCCATAAGAGACTGAAGAGTTTTATAATAAACATATATAGAAATAAAGAAGAGAAAGAAAAAAGAAGGGTTTTGAAAAGAAAGGGTTTCGTTTTTTATACAAGAGTGAAATGGCTGAACCAACATGTCTTATGAGATCATTCTCTCACCCATCTAGTGCTTCTCGTGAAGCCAAAGAGGTTAGTCCTTAAAAATTTTCTTGTTCTATGTTGCTATATTTATCATTTTATTATGTTTAAGTAATGGCTATTAAAACAAGTTCTTTTGTAACCTTTCGTGGGTTTTGTTTTAATTGTTATCAGTTTGCTTCTATTCCCAGTTTGGTTATTTAGAGGTCTTGGAAAATATATGTGGTTCGAATCTGAATAAATCTAAATCTTTTTGTTCAAGAATTGAAGAATCTGTCATCAAAGAAGAATCTCAGCAGAATTGGATTGATAATGTAGACTCTTTGCTTTCATGGGATGGCTTTAGTAATCTGGAAGAGATATTTCCTTTTGACAGTCATCAATTATGCTAAGGAATATATATGGATTGTAAATTTTTCTTTTTTTGACAGTCATCAATTAGAATAAATTATATCACATAAATTAGTAATCTGGAAGAGATATTTCCTTTTGACAGTCATCAATTATGCTAAGGAATATATATGGATTGTAAATTTTTCTTTTTTTGACAGTCATCAATTAGAATAAATTATATCACATAAATTATAAAGGAGTTAGCCAAGCTCGGTGGCGTGGACTTCTAGTCAAGCGGTGCATTCCATTATTTATAGTTGGATAACAACCATTACTCGTATAACTATAAATCATGAATAAGCTAATTATTTAAATTTGGTGAAACGCTCCGAAGAATACGAATACTCAAAAGTTTAATTTCAAGAAAATTAGTTAATCAATTTACACAAAAATTTGACTAAAATGGATATGATTAAATATGATTAATCCAATCATTTACATTTGCTTCTTTAATAATTATGAAGAAGTAGTGTACCTCTCTTAATTGCTTGTGTTATGAGTTATGACTAAGTGGATTGGACATTCAACCTGAAATGATGATTAAACAAATAAATTATTTTTTTTATACATTTTCTATGTTCATATAAGTAAAATCAGTATTTTAATATAATTAGTGAAGGTTAGCACCACAGTAGAAGAACTATGTCATTGTTATAACTTATCTTCATATCCAACATTGCTTTTAAAACATTAGACATGCCTTAATTTTTCATTTTCATTTCTTGAGTTCCAATACTATTATTTATTAAAATAACTAAGTTTAATCTAAACATATTATCAATAATATTGTTTGTTAATCCCAACTTTCATTACATGCAAGATCATAGATTCAAGATTTGGAATTGTAACTGAAATGCTTTATTTAAATATCACCATGACTCGAACGTGATACCATACAATGTAACTCAAAAAAAAAAAAAAAAAAAAAAACTCAAAAAAAAAAAAAAAAAAAAGAAAAAAAAACATATTGAGAAGACATAAAAAAAAAAAAAAAAAAAAAGAAAAAACATATGAGAAAGACATAAAAACTAAATTTAAACTCAGTATTAATATTCAATTGGCTAAATCACAAAAAAAAAGGCATTAATTGTGACGAATTTGGCAAATTTAGCCAATACTTTTAATTTTATCCATTACTACATCAAACTTATTTTTCTTTCTCAATTACGTTCTCCCTCTGATACTCGTTAGTTTGTTGCTTATTTGGCCGTTAGCTAGTTCTACGTACGGCACGCCAACTCACATCCATATAGTCCTTTAATTGTTCATCCTTACTTTTAAAATCTCCAAGTTGAAAGATTACATTGTTGGTTGAGACATTCTCCTTCTCATTCCACCACAAATTTGAAATAACTTAGTATAACTTTACAATTAACAGACTCTTGATGTATCCACCGTCAGTAACCTCAAAGTCTCCAAATAGATTTCTCCACTTCTGGAATTGCATCACTCAACTGTAACCAATTAGATTCTAGGTGAAAGCTAGAATTGGCAATAAAAAATAAGTACATAATATTGATTGATAAAATTAACAATATCGATTAAATTTGAAAAAAAAACCAAAAAAATTCAGGCTTTTTTTCTATGATTAAACCTATTCCATCCATATCAAGAACTGTGAAGTTAGATTTGAAAAAAACAAAGTAAAATACCATAAAGTTTTGACATCTTAAGCAAAGCAAATACAAAAATGTCAAATGTGGAAAGCATGATGGGTGAAAAAAAAAATGGATAGAGCATTAGAAAACTTAAAAGATTGGAAGACATGCTCTCAAGTAGAAAAAAGAAAAGGGTTTGCCCCCCATTGATGAAGCTGGCCAAATAAAAAGCAGACCAAAGAATCTTGCCCTTAAATTATTATTATTAATTAATATTATTGCGTTCTTGCTTTCTTAATTCAACTAGTGAAGGCAAGCACTATTTTATTCTAATGCAAAATTGTCAATAAATGACAACGACTCACGTCTTTTTCCACCATATAAATTGACAACGACTTCACGTCTTTTATCCACCATTTTTCTTACTTTGAACTGTTACCATTAGTTATTCAATTTCTCCTAATCAAATACAAAACCAAATTACATATATATAGTTAAATAAAAAAGAATTGATTATAGATAATAATAATCATATGAGAATTTCTCTTATTCATTTAGGATTGATTGATTTATGCTCTCTAATCATTGGTTTCTCTTATTCTTTAAGTTAGGATATGAACTGTCATGGAATCTTTTCTTGATTTTATAATAATTTTACAACTTCCTTTTAATCTTCAAAGCTTAGCTCTTTAATTAGAGTGTTATGTTGTTTCTTGTTTCTTGTTGATCATAATCAAGAAATTAATTAATCTTCTGCAATATGGGAAGACAACCTTGTTGTGACAAAATTGGATTGAAGAGAGGTCCATGGACTATGGAAGAAGACCAAAAGCTTATGAAATTCATTCTCAACAATGGAATCCAATGTTGGAGACTTGTCCCAAAACTTGCAGGTAATAAGAATTCAAATTTCTTGTCTTGATTAACTAGCTTCTTGGCATTTCTTGTTTTTGTAACAGAAAGACAAATATTTTCTTGTTCTTGTGGTTAATATTAATTACATATGTAGGTTTATTAAGGTGTGGGAAGAGTTGCAGATTGAGATGGATGAATTACTTGAGGCCTGATATTAAAAGAGGAGCTTTAACAGAAGCAGAAGAAGATCAAATAATCGAACTCCATTCGCGTTTGGGTAACAGGTTTGCAATTAATTCTTGTGATTATACTTTTTAAATCACTATTAAACACACGGTATGAAATTATTAAATTTTGTATAATTCTGCAGGTGGTCTAAAATTGCTGCACATTTTCCAGGCCGTACAGATAATGAAATAAAGAACCATTGGAATACAAGAATTAAGAAGAAACTAAAGATTCTTGGTATAGACCCACAAACCCATAAGAGAATTGATACAGAAGAAGCTGAAACCCTACAGGAAGAAAGCTGAAACCGCTAAGGAAGAGTCAAAAGTGAAGGATTATCAGATAGAAAGTGAATCTTTGAGAAGAATTTTGATAAGGATCTGTTTTGAACTCTCTGTTACTGACTTCAAATCCTGAATCTTTTTGTTCATTATTGAATTAATCTGTCATCAAAGAAGAATCTCGCAGAATTGGGTATTGATAATTGTACGGGACTCTTTGCTATCATGGGATGCATACGTCATCTGGCAAGAGATATTTCCTTTTTTGAGCTAGTCATCAATTATGCTCATAGGAATTATATATGGATTAGTAACTTTTTCTTCTTTTTTTCAACTCTTATTTAGTGAAATGTATAAGTTATTCTTTTTATTAGTGAAAATGTATAATTATTATTAATGTGATGAAAATTATTTTATAAATATCACATAATATTTGCAATATAAATTCATGCAACACTATTTAGTTGTAAAATGTAGGGTTTTTAAGATTTTGAGAAAAATCTTGAATTGCAGAGCTATGGGACAGATTTCCTACAGCTAGAACAGTACAGCAGATGATGGAGACGATGGAGAGAATGATGTAAGACCCTTTTGCCTATACGGCTACTTGACCATCAGAGCCACCATCACCAGTTGAACGAAGTGGGTATAGCAGAGGAAGGACTCCATGGGAGATAAAAGAAGGAGAAACAGAGTACAAGATGAGATTTGACATGCCTGGAATGACTAAAGAAGATGTGAAGGTAAAGAAGGTGAAGGTTATGGGTTGAAGAGAAGATGGTCTGGTTTTGAAAAGCAGAAGAAGGTGCCCGAGAAAAATAATGTCAATGGTGCACAAAATGGGAATAGAGGAAGAAGAAGAAGATGGAGCGATGGTCCTTGCTAAGCCTATGGGAAATAATAGCTGCAGAATTGCATTACCTGAGAAACATAGCAGTTTTGAGAAATAAAAAGCTGAGGTTAAAGATGGAAGTTTTGTATATAACCTCCTAAAGCCTCCACTGGCAAGATTCTTTGGTATCAATGTCAATGATCATCACTTCCTATATTGCATGTGAAGTTTTAAACTAATGACTTTTTTTTTTTTTGGTTAGTACCGAGTAAGAAGCTTGGGTGTAAAGAGAAACCAAAACTTTCTGGTAATAAATATCTGATCAATGGAATTGCATCCTCCTGGAGTAGCCGATATTTTAATTGTCATTTAAGAAAAACTTATATAAAAAAAATAACTACCATTGTAGAATCACCTAACGAAATAAAGTAACATATGAGAGTTTTCTTTTTTCTAACTTATTTTGTACTAATTCTCTCACATTTTCAGCAATCGATGAAGCTGACTTTTGAAATATGCTTGATCTTGTAACTCTTTTCACCCAATAATGGCCTTTCAAGGTCCATATGTGTATTATACAAATTCAACGCCTGAAGACTAGAAATATTCTGTAAGCCTTCTGGAAGAAACCTCAAGTTTGGACAAAACGAAAATTCAAGATGCATTAAACTCAGAAAAGCTCCACGGACTATCTCTGTCCACTCCACTAGGAAATCCTCATGATAGAAAATAAGTTTTTCAAGCTTTGGAAACCCACCTGCGTCACAGAACTCTTTACCGATGCAGTGTACTTTATAAGCACGACCTATACGAAGAACTTTTAATTTGGGAAGAAATTGAAGTGTAGGGGCTGGGGGCTCTAATAGATTTGAATAACTTAAATGTAACACGGTGAGGTTTTCCATCGAGGCAAGCCAAACAGGCATTTCAACAAGGGCACCATATAACCTCAGATGTTTAATAGAAGATGGAGGGGAAAATGATACCAAATCCAGAACAGATGAATTAAGGGAGTAGCATTCATCTGCTTTGAGTGATAAGGAGACAAGATTTTCCATCTTCGTGATGGCTGCAAATAGTTGGGTGGAATTATCTTCAGACACACGGCCAATACTGAGTTGTTACAGTTGGGTTAACGAGCTTAGTTCACTGGCAATGACGCCTCCAGCATATACTTCACCTAAAGTAAGAAGACTTTTCAATGTTCCAATTCCACTTGGAAATGACGCCTCCAGCATATACTTCACCTAAAGTAAGAAGACTTTTCAATGTTCCAATTCCACTTGGAACTCTAATTCCCCTTGAAGTGAACGGGTTGCGTATTATGATATTGATGTGTCTCAACCGTTGAATATTCAAGACTTGTAAAGGCAATTCCTTCAGCGTTCCATAGGCTATTATATCCAAAGTTTGTAGGTTTTGAAGGTTGCCTAATGTCTGTGGAAGTTCATCCATATATGAAAAATTCGAGCCCAAATATCTTAGGTGAAACAAGTCACCCACTTCGTCAGGTAATGTAACACCAATAAATATTGTAACTTGCAAATAGTTTCCATATAGGCCTGAGAAAGACCAGATCCGAATGCAGTCAAAAATAGAGAACGAATTTGAAGGGTTTTGAAATCAGGAGGAATGTTGTTCTGATGATGATGTATTATAGCTCGTACAGATAAATTCGCAGCTTCAGCCAAAAATTCCACTTCATCCACCTTGACAACGCATAAATTTATATATGGTTCATTAACGTCAATACAAAGGCCATATTCAAAACTATGTAACTCTTTGTGTATTTCTATCAGCAGTCCTAGATGAATTAACTCGTCAATAACGTTATTTGCTACATTATCTGTGAGTTCCCCTTCTTTCTCTGGTATCAGAGCTTCAGCTGATAGAAGCCGAGCCATCTCAGCCTTCGTCAAACGATATAGTCCTCTAAGAACGATAGCGCAATAGTCTAAGCAGGACATGAGAGAATGAGGAAGACTTTGACATATTGAAACGAAATCAGCTGAAGAAGAAGAACAACTCTCACCTATTTCGTTTAGTGCTGTAGAAGATAATCTATCCTTTCTTCTTTGCATATCCGCAAAATAAATTTCTTTTCGATCAGTTGATTCACGAGTGAAGCAGATTTGAGGCATATTTTAGGCCTGAGAATGACTAAAGAAGATGTGAAGGTATGGGTTGAAGAGAAGATGTTGGTTTTGAAAGCAGAGAAGGTGCCCGAGAAAAATAATGTCAATGGTGCACAAAATGGAATAGAGGAAGAAGAAGAGTGCACAAAATGGAATAGAGGAAGAAGAAGAAGGAGGATGGTCTGCTAAGAGCTATGGGAAATATAGCTGCAGAATTGCATTACCTGAAAACATACAGTTTGAGAAAATAAAAGCTGAGGTTAAAGATGGAGTTTTGTATATAACCATTCCTAAAGCTTCTACCACTGGCAAGATTCTTGATATCAAGATTCTTGATATCTGTTAAAATTGCCTTAGAATTCTAAGATTCACACTTCAAGTCTATATTGGTTGGCCACATGTTTTTCATGGCTTATACTAGTTTTTGGATGGATTCAATGTTGGTTCACACTACTAGTCTTTTGGTGGCTAAGAAATATGTTTTGTGGTTTATACTAGTCTTTTGGTGGCTAAGAAAATTCAATGTTGGTGAGCTAACTTGGACTAGGATGGCACATCTTTAACAATGGAAGGAAGACTTGAAATTTGTTCACATGGTTATACAACTCTATATAAGGCAACCTTGCTTGGAGCAAATTGACCAAGTGAAATTCATCCAAGAGAGAAATCCTCCAAGAGCATTTCTCTAAACTATCCACTCTCTTCATATACCACCTTTTCATATATATACACACTCTTTTTCATATATATACACACTCTTGCCCAATATTCATTGAGTTGTAAGTGAGGTTGTTATCTTTGAGGTGTATTATTTTGTGTGGGTGTAAATCAAATTTGTATCTCCAATAATTTTTCATAGTGCCATTTACTACCTCTCTCGCCCCGTGGGTTTTTTCCCTCTACCACTTGGAGGGTTTTCCACCGTAAATCTTTGTGTCTCTTTCCATTTATTATTTACTTCTTCATTTTTAATCATCAGCTAAACCGAAAACTAAATATGTTATCCATAACCAGTTAATTCCGCAACAAACTGGTAATCAGAGCGTTTTAAATTATTTGGATTTCACCAACATGGCTTTCTGTCCATAAATTTGATGTTGAGAAGTTTGAATGGAAAAATCAAGTTTCCGGCATTTTGGCGAGTTCAGAAGTGAATGAGATGATGGCCGTTCTCACCCAGCATCGGTTGAAAAAGGCCCTTGCAGGAAAGGCGAAAAAGCCGAACACCATGTCGGATGAAGATTGGGAAGAGTTGGATGAAAAAGCCTTGTCAGCAATCCAACTTTGTTTATCAAAAGAAGTTCTGCGAGAGGTTATCAAGGAGGATACAACTGCAGGTTTATGGCTTAAGTTGGAGTCATTGTATATGACAAAGAGTCTTGCCAACAAGATTCGTCTCAAGGAGCGCCTCTATACCATTAAGATGGTCGAAGGTACACCCATTCAAACTCACCTTGATGAGTTTAAGTTAATTCATCAAAAGTTGATTTGGAAAATTTGGAATGTTGAATCAAATGAGAAGATAAAGCTGTTTGTTTGTTTACTCTCACTTCCGTCATACCCGTAACTTTAAAGATATACTGTATACGGTGGTAAGGGTAGTAATGAGACCCTAACATTTGATGATGTCAAACAAAATCTCTTGTCTAAAGAAAAATATGACTATGAGAATAATTCAAAGGATGAAGCCGAAGGGTTAATTGTTAGGGGGAGAACTATGGATCACGGTAGTAGCAGTAAAAGTAAATCCAAATCAAAGTCTAGAGGCCGAGATAATAAGAAATTTTTGTCGCTATTGCAAGAAAAAGGGACATGTAATTTCAGAATGCTTTAAGTTGAAAAATAAGCGGCAAAAGGGCGAAAACAATAATCAGAAGAATTCAGAAAATTCAGCTGAAGCAAGTACTGCTCAAAAAGAGTCCGAAGGTGAAGTTGTCTGTTACTGATTTTGGAACTAGATCTAAAACGGAGTGGATTCTAGATTCTGGTTGTTCCTATCACATGTGTTGTTACTGGTATCAAATTCGAATTTATTGTAGAATTTAGCGTGGTAATGGATAAATATTTCTCAGTATTCTTAATGGGGGAAATGGGGAATAATGCTCAGTGTAAAGTTGTAGGAAAAGGAACAATTAGAATTAAAATGCATGATGGCATGGTTAGAACTTTAACCGGTGTTAGACATGTTCCCGACTTGAAATGGAACCTTATCTCTCTTGGCACCCTGGAGTCCCTTGGGTGTAAATATGCAGCTGAAGGTGGAGTTCTAAAGGTCTCTAAAGGTGCTCTTATTTTAGTGAAAGCTAACAGATTTGGGAGTTTGTACGTGTTGCAAGGATCTACTGTTACAAGTTCTGCGGCTGTATCATTATCTATGTCAGATTCAGACGTCACAAAATTATGTCACAAATTAATGGCATTCTTGGGCCATATGAGTGAAAAAGGAATGACCAATCCTGAGCAAAGAGAGGTTCTTTTGTGCGGTCCAGAATACCGGTAGCGGTTTGGAAGTTCTGTGAACATTGCCGCATGTCTTGGGAAGCAGAAGAATTACATTTCGTAACCGCAGATTCATAGACAAGCGACCAGAAGGTGACTCCACTACTTGAATATATATCATCATCAGCTCTTTGGGGACCCTCACGTGTTTCCGTTCAAAAGGAGGACATCGTTACATGCTAAGCAATTCCGTATATCAGGTAAGCAGAAAAGATTAACTTTCGGTACCAGAATTCATAGAACCAAAGGTACTCTTGAATATATTCATTCAGATCTTTGGGGACCCTCACGTGTTCCTTCAAAAGGAGGACATCGTTACATGCTAACCATTATTGATGATTTTTCTCGTAAAATCTGGGCTTATTTTTTAAAGCACAAAGATGAAGTTTTTTCCACTTTTAAGAAGTGGAAGATTTTGATGGAAAACCAGACAGGGAAGAAGGTCAAGCGACTCAGGACCGATAATGGTCTAGAGTTTTGTGGAGGTGATTTCAATGCGTTCTGCGAAAATGAAGGAATTGTGAGACACCGCACACACCGCACGGTTGCCGGTAACGCCTCAACAAAATGGAGTTGCAGAACGAATGAACAGACATTGATGGAGAGAAGTTTTATTGCATGCCTCTCTTAATGATGCCTTGGCCTAAAGAATTTTGGGCCGAAGCTGCATCTTACCGCATGTTATTTTGGTGAATCGTTCCCACACCATCACTCGACTTCCAAAGATTCCAAGAGGAGTTTTGGTCAGGTAAATCCATTGATTAATTCGAAATTTAAAAAATTTTTTGGATTTGTCCCTGCTATAGCACATGTAAAATCAGGGAAAATTAGAAGCCTAGAGCTCTAAAAATGCATATTTATTGGTTATGCATTCCTGGTGTGAAAGGGTATCGCTTGTGGTCCTGAACTTAAGAAAGTAATTATCAGTAGAGACGTTACTTTCAATGAAAATGTGCTAATTCTCCCTGAAAAAGAAACTGTCAGTTCTTCTCCGTCTGACACAGGTGATTCAAAGAAAACTGACGAGAAGGTGGAGCTTGAATTTGAGATACCAACTCATAGCGAAGAGAATATTTCCTCATCTCGGATCACATCGGAGGTTCCTGATTCCACTGAACCAGATCGTCGTGAAAACTATTCTATTGTTAGAGATAAATCCAGGAGAGAAATCAAACGGCCTGAAAGATATAATGAAGGGAATTTGGTTGCTTATGCTCTTGCTGTTGCAGAGGATACAGTTGAAGGTGGAAAACCTCACATATACTCTGAAGCAATCTCATGTCCTAATTCTTCTGAGTGGCAAGTTGCGATGCAAGAAGAAATTGAATCTCTGCACAAGAATGATACTTGGCAGTTGGTGAAATTGCCAAAAGGCCAAAGAGTTGTAGGCTGTAAATGGGTCTATAAGAAAAATGGGTCTAATAAGAAGAAAGAAGGCAATCCCGGCGTTGAAGATGCAAGATGATAAAAGCACGTTTAGTTGCTAAAAGGCCTACACTCAAAAACATGGTGTAGACCTTTAATGAAGTGTTTTCCTCCTGTTGTGTTTACGTCACACTTCTATACGTGTACTTCTTGCCCTTGTTGCCTTGCAAGATTTGAATTAGAACAACTTGAATGTCAAGACTGCTTTCCCTTACATGGAGAGCTCGAGGAGCAGATTTATTATGCAATCAAATCAGAAGGATTTGTTTGTTCCTGGAAAAGAAAGACTAATGTTGTCACTTGAAGAAGTCTCCTTTATGGAACTAAAAACAAGTCCCCGAACAATGGTACAAAAGGTTGATTCCTTTATGGTTGAGCAATGGGTTGATCGTCCGTAGTCAGTATCGATAATTGTGTTATCACAAGAAGTTTTTTCAGAATGGATCTTTTGTTTACTTATTGTTTATGTGATGATATGCTAATTGCCTGCTCGTGATAAGTCAACCTAATAAAGAATGAAAGATCACTTGAGCCAGTGAATTTGAAGATGAAAAGATCTTGGTGCTTTGCAAAGAAAATTCTTGGTATGGAAGATTCATAAGACCGATCAGCTGGAAAATTGTATTTAATCTCAAAGAAAATTTAACAATTGAGAAGGTTCTTGAGAGATTCAACATAAATAAACTCAAAAACCTGCTGAGTACTTTCCTCTTTATTTTAAATTATCATCTGATTTTTGCCCTCGGTCTAATGAAGAGAAAGAGCAATTGTCACATGTGCCCTATTCTAGTGCAGTTGGTAGTCTTATGTATGCTATGGTATGCACTAGACCTGATCTTGCACAAGCAGTTAGTGTTGTGAGCATGTACATGAATAATCCAGGTAAGGCAAGCAGTTAAATGGATATTCGCTACTTGAAAGGTTCGGCGGATACCAGATTGGTTTTTGATAGGAATAAGGTGACACCGAATATTGTTGTTGGATATGTTGACTTTGATTATGCAGGTGATCTTGATAAGAGAAGGTTGGATATGTTGAACTTTGAATTATGCATGGTGATTCGTTGAAATCAAGAGAAGGTCCTTTTGTCAGCGTTAAAAATGTATTTACTTTATGCAAATTCTTGGTCCAATTAAGCTGGAATATATTGGCCAGTACCCATTCGTGCAGCATGATCGAACATAGCCGAAGACAGACAGATATACTCGGCCACCGTAAGACATCTAACGTCGTGAGGCACGGACGGAAGGATTCCAACAAGGACAGCAAACCAGTCTGGATCTTGGTAAGAGGTAAGTTTGATGATGATTTAGCTAGGAAAAGA